TGACGCTGGATGTGTAGTTATAAGCGTGAAGCAAGCAGCGTGCGCAAGCAACCAGAGAGAGGACAGGATCGTTCCGTCGCGTTGGTCCCGATTCCTTTAGGCCCCAGCCATGTTGCCGCCGACCACATGCTGCCCTGCTCGTCATCCACCCGCTGCGCAACAGCGTGCTAGTCACCGAACAGCTTGGGCTTCCGCATGCATCTGGCCAAGCCAGGCGACACGCCGTGCACCGCGCATCCCCGCGAAGCTCGAGCTGGTCGCGAGGGCACCGCCCTCGCGCGCATCTGATCCTGATCGCAAGCGTGTTTGGTCTGGTCACCTGCGCGGAGCACATCTGCCTCGGCGTGCCGCGCGTGCCACTGCTCACAGCTTGCGTTGCCCCCACCTCACTACCTCCGTCGTCCACTCCCACCACCGCGTGTACATTGTGCTGACATTGCCCTGTTTCACACTCTCGCCCCGACGCCGGCCCACTTCATTCATCTCCATCTTGCACCTACGGACAACAACGCGTTTGCCTGTGTGATTCACATCCCCATTCCTTTGGTCCTGCTGTGCTTGGAAACGCGGCCGCGCTGTGCTTGGAACGATTGGAATCGCGCCGTCTCGCTCGCCCGTCGTCTCATTCCGCTCACCTCTCGTCCGCCCCATCTTGCGGTCTACACTCCGTGACTTTCAATCCTCAACATCCACCCTTCCCGCACACCTGGGCCATCGCATCGCTCGACTTTGGCACGACCAAACAGCCTTAACACGTTATCAGAATGAGCAACCTCGTCAATGGGGTTAGGGTGACGGGTAAGCTCGCCCAGGAATGTCAAGGAACATGGTCAGCTGACATCCGTCCAGACGACCCCAACAGGGTTGTGACCGTCACTGCGCATGAGGGAAAGACTGGCCAGGAGATGGCCATCACCTACACCAACTACAAGGTCGTTGGAAACGGATCCTTTGGTGTCGTGTTTGCCGCCAAGATGTTACGTGAGTGGTGGGCGAGCGGCGACCGAGCAGCCCCATGGGCCGCCGCTTGACGCAGACGCGTATGACGCATGCCGCAGCGTGCTGACCGAGAAGCGACCAAGACGGCCGACGGAACTGAGGTGCCGGAGCAGGAGATTGCGATCAAGAAGGTCTTGCAGGACAAGCGCTTCAAGGTGAGCTTGACCGTCAGGATGAAGCTGACCGGACCAGAACCGTGAGCTCCAGATTATGCGCCTGGTCAGCCACCCCAACGTTGTCGACCTCAAGGCGTTCTTCTACTCGAACGGCGACAAGAAGGACGAGGTCTACCTCAACCTTGTCCTCGAGTACGTCCCGGAGACCGTGTACCGCAGCCTCCGCTACTACACCAAGCTCAAGCAGATTGTGCCCATGCTCCAGGTCAAGCTGTACATGTACCAGCTCCTGAGGTCGCTCGCGTACATCCACTCGGTCGGCATCTGTCACCGTGACATCAAGCCCCAGAACCTGCTCCTGAACCCCAACACGGGTGTCCTCAAGCTCTGCGACTTTGGCTCGGCCAAGATTCTCGTCGCCGGAGAGCCTAACGTCTCGTACATCTGCTCGAGGTACTACCGTGCGCCGGAGCTCATTTTCGGAGCGACCAACTACGCGACCAACATTGACATTTGGTCGACTGGATGCGTCATGGCGGAGCTCATGCTGGGCCAGCCTCTCTTCCCCGGAGAGTCGGGTATCGACCAGCTCGTGGAGATTATCAAGGTTCTCGGAACCCCGACCCGTGAACAGATCAAGACGATGAACCCCAACTACATGGAGCACAAGTTCCCCCAGATCAAGCCCCACCCCTTCACCAAAGTCTTCCGCCCTCGCACGTCTGCCGACGCCATCGACCTCATCTCCCACCTCCTCGACTACACCCCCAGCGCCCGTCTCACGTGAGTTGCTCCTCTGCAACGCCTAACTGACATTCAGTGCTCCCCAAGCTCTCGTCCACCCCTTCTTCGACGAGCTCAGAGTGGAGGGCGCGCGCCTCCCCAACGGAAAGGACATGCCGGCGCTGTTCAACTTTACGCGTGAGGAGCTGTCGACCCGGCCCGATCTCATCAAGAAGCTCGTGCCCAAGCACGCCGAGGCGGAGCTGCGTTCGCGGGGGATCGACGTCGACGACTTCCAGCCGATCCCCTTGGAGCAGCTGCGCATTAGCTTGGACTAGTGAACTTTCGCGTCTCTCTTCGCGTCCACTCAACTCTAGCTAATCTCGATACCCTCGTCTCGCGCTCCCAGCATTGATCGGCCCCCGACTGTCATGTCCCTCTCTCTCTTCCCCTCACGCTCTCCACTCTCGCTCTGCTCTCCCTCTCGACCCCGCTCTCTCGCGCTACCTGCCTCCCCGCCTGCGTCTCTTGTTGCACCAGAACGCGAGCGGCGACGTTATTAGAATAAGTAATAAACGACAATCTTAATTCCCTGGTCCAAAGGGAGGCGAATGGCCGAGCGAGCGTAGTCACGGGCTCGAGGATGGGTGTTGGCGGTTGTGAGCCGTTGTCTCGTGCGACGGACAAGGTGGAATTCTCCTTCCCCCCGAACCGCTATCCTCTTTATTTTCTTTTTTCTCTTTTACTTTAACTTCTGGAGAGAGTTGGGATTCCCCCTGTACGAATTGGATGAAATGCATTGATTACAGTGACGGGGCGCGACAGTGCTCGCCGGACATGGGTTATGCAGGACACTGGAAAGTGATGACGATGACCCGCGATGGGAGAACATGCCGCGGCACTCGCCACGCGAGATTGCTCCCGACGTCACTGGCTCGGGTCACTTGGCTTAGAGGAACCCGCGCGACCCGCGTCGCAGTCAGCGTGTGGTGGGGTCCCTGAGATGCCAGACACCAGACACCATACAGGGCCCAGTAGAGTGCGCCAGGGTGGCCCTGGACCTGACCGCTGACCTGACGGGGTTCGTCCTACGCGCGCTGTCAGTCCACAACCAACCTCGCGCGCACGTCAACATCAATCGGAACCTTACTGCACCTTCTTTCCATACTTTCCGGCGATCCGTCGACTTCGAGCCGGCACTGTCAATCTTCACTCACCTTACGCTCTTCATCTTCGTCCCCTCTAATCCCTTTCACATCCCTTTCGCCCTTCGACCGTTACGCTTATCTTGACTCTCTGCGGACTGCTTGAGGCAACCGATCGCCCATCCGCCGCCTTTCGCTGTGCAGCAACACTCTCGCCGCAGTCCTCAACAGCAGCAGTTCAAGCAGGCTGGGCCCGAGCGGCACATCTCTTCTTTCTCGCGCCAGTACCCAGCCCATAGACATAGCCCAACATGTCGGGGAATAACATCAAGGTGAGCTGTCTGCGAGAGATGAAGAGCTGACAACCAGGTCGTTTGTCGGTACGTGTTTCCGTGTCGCCAGCCAGGGAGTGGCGGGAGCGGTTGGGACGGCTGTTTGTGATACCGTCCGAGGTCACCATTGCCAGTCCCGCAGTATCTTGTCGAGCACCGCGGAGGGGGGTAGATGGACGAGGCTGCGCAAGCTTCGGCCAGTCCGGAAGATGCAACCGGCGTCATCCGTGCGCGTGCGCCGCTCGCCCTATGTTCAGCTCGCCGGCGGCCAGTTGCAGCCTCCCCATCGCGCTCGTCTTGCTCGGCGTCTGACCAGCTGCCCCGCCGTACGCCACTGGCACTGCGGTTGGTTACTGCCCGCCCTTCCGCCGACTGCAACGGCAGTCGGGTGACCGCCAGAGTTCGCTGACACCAGGTTTCGACCGATGAATCGGATGGAGACCGAGGCCAAGTCGGACAAGTGCATCAACATCTCGGACGACCACCTGACGGCGTTCATGAAGAATGCCTCCAGTCTCGCAGGCCCCGAGAAGGACGGCTTCTCCTTTGACCGCGTGTTCGACACGGACACGAAGCAGGAGGACATTTTCGATTTCGGCGTCAAGACGATCGTCGAGGACGTCATGACCGGATTCAACGGCACGCTGTTCTGTTACGGCCAGACGGGATCTGGAAAGACGTACAGTGAGTTGACGACAGGGTACGTAGCTGACACGCAGCGATGATGGGAGACATTGAGAACCCGGAACTGAAGGGTCTGATTCCCCGAATCACGGAGCAGATCTTCGAGTCCATCCTCAACGCCGACAGCACGTTCGAGTACACCGTCAAGGTGTCGTACATGGAGATCTACATGGAGCGCATCAAGGATCTGCTTGCTCGTAAGTTTTGCGAACCCTCTGGAACTGACGACAGCGCAAAACGACAACCTCTCAGTGCACGAGGACAAGACGCGCGGCGTCTACGTCAAGAATCTGTCCGAGTACTATGTGTCCAGTGAGGAGGAGGTGTACAAGGTCATGAAGGCTGGTGGCTCGAGCCGTGCGGTGTCCTCGACGAGTGAGTAGAAGCTTAAAAACGGGGGTCTTTTAGCTGACCGCAGACATGAACGCCGAGTCGTCTCGATCTCACTCCATCTTCGTCATCGGTATCCACCAGCGGAATACCGAGACCGGCAGCCAAAAGTCGGGCAACCTGTACCTCGTCGATTTGGCTGGTTCCGAGAAAGTCGGCAAGACCGGCGCCTCGGGACAGACACTTGAGGAGGCCAAGAAGATCAACAAGTCGCTGTCTGCGCTTGGTATGGTCATCAACGCACTCACCGACGGCAAGGTAAGCTCCTTGCCTTGAACCACCAGCTGACTCCCAGTCCACGCACATTCCCTACCGTGACTCGAAGCTCACGCGTATCCTGCAAGAGTCGCTCGGAGGAAACTCGCGCACGACGCTGATCATCAACTGTTCGCCGGCGTCGTACAACGAGCCCGAGACGCTGTCCACGCTCCGCTTCGGTATGCGTGCCAAGTCGATCAAGAACAAGGCCCGAGTCAACGTCGAGCTGTCGCCCGCCGAGCTCAAGGCCATGCTCAAGAAGACGACGGCCGAGCTCGCCGCTGTGCGCGAGTACGCCGCCGCGCTCGAGGAGGAGAACAAGATTTGGCGCTCTGGCGGCAAGGTCGACGAGTCCAAGTGGACACCGTCGCTGCAGTCATTATCCACGAGCCGGACCAAGTCGACTGCCTCGCCTGCCCCCACTGGCTTCTCGGACAGCCGACCAGACACGCCGGTCACGATGGACAAGGACGAGAAGGAGGAGTTCCTGCGACGCGAGAACGAGCTCAGCGACCAGCTGGCGGAGAAGGAGCGCGCTCTCCTCGCGCAGGAGAAGCTCATGGCCGACCTCAAGGACGAAATTGCGTACCTCAAGGAGCAGGAGGATTCGTGGAAGAAGGAGAACAAGGGCATGTCGCACGAGCTGTCCGAGCTTCGGATTGCATCTGCGCGCTTCGAGTCCGAGTCCAAGGACGCCTCGATCACACTCGACACGTACAAGGAGAAGGTGGCCGACCTGCAGCGGGACATTGACGAGCATAAGGCACAGATCGAGGAGCTCAAGAACCTGCAGTCGAGCGCCAAGGAGGAGGAGAAGGAGAAGCGCAAGCAGGAGATGCTGAACGAGATGATGGCCAAGATTGACATTGGCGGCGCCAACCTGGACGCGTCGGGCGAGAAGCTGCGGCAGGTGCTGAAGCAGCTGGACGGCGTGCGTGACGCGGACAAGGAGGCGTCGATGAGCGCCGACATTCGTGAGCTCGTCCAGGCGCACCTGGCCGAGAACCAGGAGCTCGTGCGCGACCTGCAGGAGCGCCTGCGGCTGAGCCACGAGGAGGCCGAGCTGCAGACGAAGCGCCGGCAGGAGGTCGAGAAGCACCTGTCAAAGCGCGACGAGGCGTACGAGGCGCTGCTGGAGAAGACGGCGTCGAGCCAGTCCATGGCCGTCGACGACATCAAGTCGCAGATCGAGGCCAAGTTCTCTGCGAAAGAGGAGATGCTCCGCGGCGAGATTGCTGCGCTCACCGAGCGCGCCGAGAGCCGCGCGACTGAGATTCGCAGGCTCCAGAACACGATCGACTCGTACAAGCTCTCGAATGAGGAGCTCGAGCGCGCCCTCTCAACCGCGTCCAACGGTATCCAGGACGGCGAGACGTTTGCCAAGGCGACGCGCGACCTCGAGCGCAGCCGCAAGCAGCACGAGCTGCAGTATGCCGAGTTCGAGATCATCAAGAAGTCGCTCATGAAGGATCTGCAGAACCGCTGCGAGAAGGTGAGTTTCCACACTTTTAACTTCCTGCTAACTGTTCTCAGGTCGTGGAGCTCGAAATGCAGCTCGACGAGGTGCGCGAGCAGTACAAGGTGATCGCGCGCAGCGCGAACAGCCGCGCGCAGCAGCGCAAGCTCGAGTTCCTGGAACACAACCTCGACGCGCTGAACATGGTGCAGAAGCAGCTCGTGGAGCAGAACACGGCGCTGAAGAAGGAGGTCGGCATCGCGGAGCGCAAGCTGATCACGCGCAACGAGCGCATCCAGAACCTCGAGACGCTGCTGAACGACGCGGACGCGAGGCTCGCGCAGAAGAACCAGCGGTACGAGCAGCAGATCCAGGCGATCCGCGAGCGGCTCGCCGAGGTGCAGGCGCAGCAGCAGGCGAGCGCGTACAATGCCCATGCGCGCATTGCCAAGCCGCTGAGGGGCGGTGGTGGTGCTGCTCCCAGCGCGCCGTCGTTCCAGTCCGCAAACCCCATCTCGAGGCTGCAGGACGAGAGCGCGGCTAGTGCCAAGAGGCAGAGCTGGTTCTTTTCCAACTCGCCGGCGCGCTGAGCCGACCGAAGGCCGTGGGCCGGAGGTCGGCAGTCCGAGGTGGCCTCAGCCTCCCCTTGATCTGCCGACGACACCTACGGCCCCGTCGAGGCGTGGGCCTGTCTAGCAGATATACACTGTACATTTTTCCTATAGAGTCACGAGCACGAGCAACGAGCATGAAGTCTATACCATCTCTTATACCTCCCAGGCCAACTGTCCCTCGCGCATGCCCCATCCGCCAATCGCCTCCGAGACGGCGTCGGCCCATAATCGCATAAGCCGTCGCTCTTCGGGCCCGACCCAGACCCTCTTCTCGTTGTAGCCAAGCCACCACCCCGAGGCGCCCCAGTCGTCCCTGCCCCCGGAGCCCATTCCTTCAACTGTGGGTGTAGAGGCAGGGGAGGAGTCGTCGAGAGCGCCCAGGAGAGCGTGCAGGGGTGGAGGAGAGTGACGCTCCATCAGCGCCGACGCGGCGGGTTTGGCGAGAGACTGTGAGTCACGTGCCGCGATTTGGGGGATTGGAAACTGTCCAGAGCGCTGAGGACTGCGCGGAGGGTCGGGTTTGACAGGAGGGAGCGCAGATCGGGGGATGTGGCTGGGATTAGCTCGCTCTGGGGCGGGTGGGTGTGGATTAGAGGGAGAAGGTAAGGAAGGGACTTACCGATCCGCTCCAGTTCTGCGTGTCGGAGTGGTTTTGGATCTTCCCGCTTCAGTGGGTCTGAGAAGATGGACTCGTCGGGTTCTGGTGGCCACTTTAGGTCCGTCAGCTTCTTCAGTGGCTGATCCGTCTTCTCCTCTCCCTCTCCTCTGCTGCCTTCCTTCTCTCCCTCCACTCTCTCCCCTCCCTCCCCTCCCTCCCCTCTGTCGACTCCCTGGTCTCCCTCGTCGCTCGTGACCGCGTCGGCTGTCGGCCGATCATCCGTGGCCTTGCCCGGCTCGACTGCAGGTTTCGACGCCTCGAGACTCGGAGCAGGCGCATCTTTCCCTACACCCGTACAATTCCCGTCTGCCCGTTAGCTAAGAAGAAAGAAAATGGAGCTCACCTTTATGCTGCTTGTAGCACGCGACTGAGCAACTGGGGCGTGTCAGCTGGAACCAGAGAACTAGCTTACTATCGCACAGGACAGGCGGAACAGCGATACTTGGCCACTTGGCCGCAGAAGCATTGCGCGGGTTTGGGCCCCATCCTGTATCCCTTATTACTGTCTCGAATATCCAGGGCCTTGGTTCAGTCTCTTGCCCTTGCACAGAGTGAAGCTGGTTGGTGACAAGGTGCCGATGACAGGAAGACAGTGCTGGATGGAAGACCGCGGTCAACCTCCACTTTCAAAATACTCACCTGCTTGCTTGGTGGAGGCAGTGAGTGACGTCCCACCAGCGTACCAGCCAGCTCTTCGTCCCTTCGTCCAAATAACAGAATTAGCTTCCGCCCCGTTGTCTCGCGCCCTTCTTTCTCTCGTCCAGTGACCAACTGGCCGATCGCACCTGCCCCAGGTCAACGGTTGACAAACAACAAAATCACAAAAACTCAACCCCGACTTCAGCGCCATGAGCTATAACGGCGGCTACGGCGGATACTCTGGTGGATACGGAGGCGGCGGCGGCGGGGGTGGATACGGTGGAGGCGGTGGTGGTGGTTATGGGGGAGGGTATGGCGGAGGCGGTGGCTATGGTGGTGGTGGTTACGGAGGTGGTGGTGGCTACGGTCGCGGACCGAGGAGGAGTGAGTACCGCGAGCCTTTTCTCTCACGGCTCGATATAGCCATCAGCTACTCGATCTCCGACAGAATGCTCCCAGTAATCCTTATTGACCTGCTGCTAACGCAGCAGATGACCGCGGCCGTGGACCCAGGGGCGGCGGCGGCCGCACCCTCCCCGAAACAACTGCCGTGCGCATGCGCAAGATGATCGCCAAGTACGCCGAGGACGAGGACTTTGACGCGCTCGAGGACCCGCCGCGCCTCGCCAAGGTGCTCCGACGGAGCTGGCACGAGGGCGGACAGGGCGCGATGGAGGGCTTCCGGAACGCCGTCACCGAGCAGCCGTACAAGCACCCGCACCTCGTGACGCTGCTTCTGCACCTGGCGTACAGCATCGACGAGGGCGCCAAGCCGCCCACGGACGAGGGCATGGATGCCGCCGAGGGCAACGGCGAGCCGCAGACGGGCGACAAGCGCAAGGCCGCGGGAGACGACGAGGAGTGCGGTCGCGAGGTCATTGAGGACCTGGGGCGGGCGTTCCGGAATGCCGTCGAGGGAAGGCAGTGGCGCGATGCCCGCCTGCTGCTCCAGTTCCTGTCGCTGCTCGTCCCCGCTGGCCTGGTCAGCTCCCAGAGCATCATCGAGGTGTACAAGGGCCTCCTGACCGTCATCAACGAGGTCGGAGGCGGCGGCGACCGTGCCGAGCGCGCGTGCCGGGCCGTCACCGAGGGCCTCATGCGCTCCGCCCACGGTCTGGTGCCGACATACTCGGGCGACGTCGAGGACCTCGTTGGCTCCATCGAGCAGTGGGTCTACGGCCGCAAGGGAAGCCGCGAGCTTATCAACCCCTTCGCCCCGATCCTCGATGCTGGAGAGGAGGCCGAGCCCTACAAGGATGTGAGTGTGTGATCCAGCTTCCGGAACAAGTCACGTAGCTGACATCCAGACGGTCGCCGAATTCCTCGCCGCGCTGCACGCGCTCCGCGCCGACGGGTACGCTCCCCCGTCTGTCCTTCCCCGCCCCAGCGAGAGCGTCACGCTGCCCGAGGGCGCGATCCTGCCGGACGCGTACAACCTGTCGCCTGTCAACATGCCGCCGGACCTGTACGAGGCTTCGGACGACCTCGACAACGGCCAGGTCGGCGAGGGCCAGGCTGGTTGCCTCCGCCTGTTCGCCGAGGACGTCGTGCCTCCGGCCGACACAGTGATGGGATGGACGCTGCGCTCGCTCTTCCTCGACATGATCAACATCTACGAGGTGAACCGCAAGGAGTGCGCACGCCTCTTGCTCGCGCTTCCGCACCACCTGACGCCGGGCACGTTCAAGGCCGAGGGCAACGAGTCGACAATCTCGCTCGAGTCGCTCATTGTCAACTCGATGCTCGCCGGCCTGTTCAGCCTGAACCCCCTGCCGTTCCGCCCAATCTACTACGGCTCCGTCATCACCGAGCTCTGCAAGCTGTCTCCCACGACCGTTGCGCCCCCCGTTGGTCGCGCCGTCCGCAAGCTCTTCACGATGATGGGTGCCGAGGGCCTCGACCTCGAGATTGCCCGCCGCGCCGCCGAGTGGTTCGCGATCCACCTGTCCAACTTTGGCTTCCAGTGGATGTGGAAGGAATGGATTCCCGAGCTTGAGCTCCCGACCGGTCACCCGAAGCGCGCATTCATGCGTCGCGTCGTCGAGCTCGAGGTTCGCCTGGCCTACCACGACCGCATCCATCAGACTCTCCCCGAGCCCATGCTCGAGAAGGGCGCTGGCGTCATTGCCGACGCGCCCCCCGAGCCGGTGTGGGTGTACGAGTCGAGCGAGAACCCGCTGCACGCCGAGGCGACCGAGCTCCTCCGCCTCATGCGCCAAAAGGTTCCCGCAAACGAGGTCAAGAGCTACCTCGACAATCTCCCCGGCGCGCGCACCGAGGGCAGCGAGGTGCTCTCCGCGCCCATCCTGACCATGGCGGTCGAAACGATTCAGCACCTCGGTGCACGCTCGTTCTCGCACTTCCTGAACGCGACCGAGCGCTACCTCGATGTACTGAGGCACATGACGCCGGACGCCGCGTCGCGCCGCGTGCTCCTCGACGCTGTCGCCAGCTTCTGGCGCCAGTCGGCCCAGATGCGTCTCATCACCACGGACAAGTACCTGCAGTACGGCATCCTGGAGCCGATGGACGTCGTCTCGTGGGTGTTTGCCGAGGACCCCTCGTCGTCTTCGGGCACCGACGCCGCCGATGGCTGGACAGACGGCGACAAGTGGGAGCTCCTCCTCATGACGCTGGACAAGGTGCAGGGCCGCGTCAAGGCTGTCTCGCGCCGCCTTGCCGCGGTCGAGAAGGCCGACGAGGTCGCTCGCGCGCGTCGCGCCGCCGAGCGTCTCGAGTCTGGTGAGGGCGTCGGCGACGACGAGGAGGACGAGACGCTCGAGCGCTCCCGCGAGGCGCGCGACGTGCAAGCGTCTCTGGACCTCCAGTCCGAGCGGGCCGACAAGGTGTTTGTCGCCACGACGCAAGCGTTCGTGTCCGAACTCCTGCCGTGGGCCTTCCCAGCCGAAGGAGCCGAGGAGGGCGAGGACGCCGGGTCGGGCTTGAAGGCCGTATTCGCGCTGCAGGACGCGGGCGAGACCGGCGCCTGGAGCACGCGCGCCAAATGGGGATGGTACCGCGAGTTTGCAAGGCGCTACGCCACGGGCATCCGTGACTTGAACGACCGCGTGCAGGCCGATATCCTCGCCAAGATACCCGAGCGGGCTGACTCCGAGGGCCCCGAGGCGCGCGCCGAGAACATGGTCCGCAGGGTGTGGAAGGACGCGGTGCAGCTCGAGTAAAGCTTGAGTAGGCTCGAAGAGTAGTAGCGATACATGTATTTCTTTTGCAATGAGACGGCGTGGTGCGCAGTGCCGCATCTGCAGCTCTGCAGGCAGACGCAACGAGGGGAGGCTTGGAGGAGAGAATGGCTTGATCACCGGTCTCCCACGGGCACGGGTCCTGCAGGAGTCACCCTCCGGACCTCTCACGAGAGGATATCTTCCCCCGCAGCGAAACGGGAAAGGGCGGTACAAAAGGACAAAAGAGAAGCTTCCTGACGGAGAATCGAACTCCGATCTCCCGCGAGCGTCACGAAAATGGGTGACAAGCGAGCATACTAGCCGTTATACGATCAGGAACGCGTTATACGGGGGTCGCGAGACCGTTGGTCTTCATGGCAGCGCGCATGGTTACAAATGTTGCATTGCCCGAATAGGAGCGCGAAACGCGATCCGGAGAGCGGGCCTGCTAGTTCTCTGCGATTGCATTGGCAGTGTGAAGAGCGAACGGTTAGTGAGAGAAGCGAGGAGTTTAGAGTGGAAGCTGATTGAAGAGAGGGGGAAGGACAATAGAGATGGGGATGTGATAGGAGAGGGGAGGGGTCGTGGCATGTCTGGCTCAAGTCTAGCTCATGTCTAGCTCCAGCGATGAGACAGAGAAGGGCGTTTACGTCTGAAGACAGCAGGGCGTAGGCTCGTAGGAGACAGTGGCACAGACTGAGCCCATTGAGCCCCGTAAGCCCCGTAAGCCCCGTGCGCCCCGTGGGTCCGACAGTGCCCCGAATCCTGTCGAGTGCGAGAGGCTTTCGGGTTCGGGGGTCGGACTCCGACACCCGGTCGCTTACCGGCTGTCCTCGCTTCCCTCTTGCAGGCGTGCGAGCAGTGCGAGCAGTGCGAGCAGTGCCAGCGCTGCCAGCGGTGTAGAGATGCTGAGACAACGAGAACATGATATGTGTTCCGGAGCCATCGACGTCCACAGTGACTGACGTCTCCTCCACAACAGTGGTGCATGGGGGACTTGAGAGTTCACAACGCGTCATCTTCACCGGCTGCCGCGCCCTGCTTGGGGGCGCCCTGCGCGATCAATCATGAGTTCATGAGTGGGGCGCTTGAGGACGATGATGGATTCCGCGAGCTATGGTCTGTGCGGCGCTTACGAGAGTGTCCGTGACGCCTGCGTCAGTAGGTGGTCAATGAAAGAAGATCGAAGTCGAGGCTGGTCGTTACCAGCGATGCTCCAAGATGTGAAAGTGACGAGGACTCGAGGACTAAGATCCGTTGTGAGGGCTGTTGTGAGCTGCAACAAGTCGCGACTGAGAGAAGGCGTGCATGCAGTTCCCACCAGGTAGATCGCGCTGAACAGATAGCGCGTTTTGGAGTTCGATTTCACAACTGGTTCCATCTATATGAGACAAACGAAGAGAAAGATGCGTGAGAGGAGAAAAGGCTAAAGGACATATTCTAGGCAGACCGGCAGGTCGCTGGTGATGAGAGAGAATGGGTTATTAATATTACGACGAGATGTTAAACAACGGCAGAGGAGAAGATGCTTAGGCAGAGTCGGCCTTCTCGGAGGCAGCCTTCTTGGCCTCGTCGGCCTTGGCGTCGACCTTCTTGGCGACCTCGGCAGCCTTCTCCTTGACGTCCTCGACGACCTTCTCGGCCTTCTCCTCGGCGCCCTTCTTGGCGGCGATGACGTGCTTGTAGATCTCGTCGACGACGGGCTTGACCTGGTCGACGACGTAGGCACCGAGCTTGTTCGTCTTCTCCTGGACGGTGCCCTCCTTGGCGAGGACGATCGACTTGACGTCGGTCGTGACCTTGGAGAGACCCTCGAGGAGCTGGTGCGGGAGCTCCTTGCCCTGCTCAGTGAGGGTGTGGAGCTGCTCGAGAAGAGCGTGAGAGATCTCGGTCGACTGCTGGACGGCAGCAGTGTAGCGAGCGTTGAGCTCAGAGTTGATGGCGACAGTCTTGTTGATGACGTCCTGGATAATGGGCTGAGCCTGGCCGATGAGGGGGGCAACGCGCTGTGGAATCGGTCAGCAAATAGCTCTCTCTTCCGTGAGCGGGGCGGACGGGAAGGACCGTGAATGAGCACGTCACGACTCGACACCGAGTAGAATGATGTCCGCCCTGCCTCGTGTGTTACTCACAGCGTCGTAGACAGACTTGGCCTGCTTAACGCCAATCAGGTCCTGAGTAGGGGTCTTGAAAGGGTCTGCGGTGTTATCAGCGCCCTGTTCCTCGCGTTCCTCTGCGCTTCTCACGCAGTCGCTGCGATTCTAGCGACTGCTGAGGATAACGCTGTACTCACAAGGGAAGGTAGCCTCGGCGCGGTTGAAGGTGGCGACGGCGAGGTTGTCAGCCGACTCGAGGAGGGGCTTGCTGCGCTCAATAACGGGCGACGCGACCTGGTAGGAGCCTACGAAGTCAGTTACGCTGCACGACCGATGACAAGGCGAAAACGGGAACCGAGCGGACCGGGGACCGAAACCGAAACTGAAAAGCAGGCCGCGACACAACCACACAAGCTCAATAGCCGGTCGCTGTGGTCGCCGGGCGGCGGTCCGTGAGAAACTCGGAACCCAACTCGCACAAGTCGAAACGTCTACTCACGCGAAGCAATGTTGAGGGCGGTCTGGTAGAGGTTGGCAGTGACCTGGTTCGAGTTGATGAGGTGCCTGCGAGTTAGCCATCGTCAGGGTTTCGCAACTCACTGGGCGTAGGCGACCGAGTCGTGGACGACGGGGACGGAGTCGAGCTTCTCGACGATCTTGAAGGCTGTGGTGTCAGCGGCGATCGCGAGCGGCGAACATTGAGGAATACATACCGGGAGCGCCGACGGTGCCGTTGGGCTGCTGCTGAACGGTGGCCATTATGTGCGAGGTTGTGTCGGTGTTTACGAGTAAGTGAGAGAAGGAGAGAGTGTTGTTGTGAAAAAGAGGTTGAGAAAAAGTGTGAAGAGGCGAAGTAAATGTCGAGGATGTGTGGTGGTCGGCGGCGATGTGAAGTGCGTGCCAGTGCCTGTGAGGAAGGAGAGTGCTGTGCGGTGCGGGGTTGCAGGCTAGAGGGCCAGAGGGCAGCGAGGGAGCTTAAGTGTGTGTATCGCGGTCGCGGTCGCGGGGCGTGGCACGAATCACATCAACGTTGTCCGCAGCGAGTCTCGAGCAGCTGCCGTGCCTAAATTTGCCGGGTCGTCGAGAGTGCCGGTTACCTGCAGCAGCTAAGCCAAAGCCTAGCCCAGGCCGGCTGGACCCAAGCCAAGACGTCAATCGCGACGGGCTGCCAGGCGGGCGGGAAGAAGAAGATCAGAGGAGCAGGGAGGAAGAGCAGAGGGTCGCGGCCCGAGCGTGGGAGTGGCGTGGATGCGATCCGATCCCAGATAACATTCTAATCGCCCTGCGATCCTGCGACCAGGCGCTTCCTGCCGCCCAAGGGCATTCCTCAGGGCGCAGACAGGATGGTCCCAGGGCCCAAAACGCTGATGCTGGGCCGGCCTCCTGTCGTCCTTGACCTGGCATACTGGCGTCATTGCCATGACAAGCAATGCATGCGCCTGCCTGGCAGACATTATTTTTCGACGGCGGCGTCCAGACAAACATTCATGTGCTGAGCATGCTGTAACGGAGGCCGTTAGAGCCGACGATGAACTAGTGCAGGGTGAACGAGCCAGTGCCGCAGTGGGTGTGTCTCGCAATCTCGCACTGGTAGAGCCAGATCGTGCAGAGCGCGCAGAACGGTCCGCATCCGCCCGCATGGTCTCTCAATCTTCTGGGACCATAGCCGTAGCCGCATCCGCGCTAGCGGCCATCTTCGGTTCTACATTCCGGCTAGCTTGCTCTGCATTTCAGCACGATACGCCATACGCAGCGCCTGTCGCACCAAGTGTCGCACATCAATGACGCTGGCGATGGCGATCGAGCACTGCTGGCCACCGCCCTCGCGCCCTCGTTCCTCGTCTCGTCATTGAGCTCGAGAGAGTGACGAGCTGGGAGTGCAGGACGTACTGAACATGACGCAAGCGCTCTGCTATCCCTGCTGCTGCGAGACACGTCGCGTCCGTCTCGTACTTGCAACGCTTACGCTCGCTCAAGAACCGCATCCGGCCATCCCGGGCTCCGGGACGGCGGCGTGAAAAAAAAGGCTCAGACACGACCAGAGTTGAACCAGCAGTGACGAGCAAAACAAGTGAGTGTGCCTGGGCCTGCGGGCCCCTGAGCTAGGCAAACCTAGTTCAAGGCCCGGGTCGACCATTCAGACTAGTTTTTTGGCTGGGTGGCAAATCTTGAATCTCCTGCTTCTGGCAAGAATCCAGGGCACCGTGGGAATCGGCTACTGATTATCCTGCATCACCCCCTTCTTCCTTCCTCGCTCTTCTGCTCCTCGCGGCTGCTTCCTCTCTTCCCCCGCTATGCCGTTGCGCCCTCCCCCCCCCGAGTGTAACGGTAGCGCTGCGGTAGCACTCGCGTTTCAAACGTGTCGGCTGCGAGAGCCAGAGGCTGGCGAGGGAAGACGCGACGCGTGAATCGGAACGTTGGAACGTGAGGAGAAACGTGTTGTGCTTCCGAACAAGCAGCGTGAGCGTGAGATACGACAGCCCATCGAGGGTGCTCCCCGTCCTTGCTCAGCCATGCATACGCAAAAGTCACAACCCTTATCGCAGCCTCAACAGCTATCGCGAGATTGTGCAGATTAGGCTTCAGAGTCCTCAGCATCGGGTATCGAACTAGCCTCGTCTAGTTCAGGAGCGTGACTATCAGCTGCTCAACCACGATCTGCACCTGGTGACGGCCAGGCATGACGTACTCGGCGCCCTCCACCGTGGCGCTGGCTGGGCGCTGTTGGCGCTGCCCAGCCAGCCAAAAGTTGACCCTGGAGGGCAAAAGCGAGGAATGTCATTGTTCCGCGACAGGCTGTGTCAGGGGTGGAGGTCGCCGCAACTCCGCTCAGGCTAGAGGCAAATACCAAGACAGAGCCGGTGCCTTGCCCGGCTCACTGTGATTTTGCCGGTGCAGGGGGGTCAGACTTTTTGTGCGGCCTCCGAGCAACCTACACAGAAAAAAACATCAGTCGATCACTTGCGCACTTGCCCGGCGATGAGATGCGGCGGCATAGCCGGATAGCGAGGCCGCCGTGCTGTCATGTCGACTTTGAGTGCTGGTCCGGACTGTTCTCGGCGTACTGGTTTGCTCGTGGGTAGAGTCCATGCGTCCATCGGCCGGTCGGTCGACCAGACCCGCATGGCCAGCTGGTCCGCCGGCAGCGACGACCACCCCCTTCCCGACCATCGGTCGACCGATGGCATCTCGGTACCTCGGGCCAGGCAGGCAGGGCGGAACTTGCGTCCCTTCGTAGGATATCGCTGTCACTTCTTTCCCGCTGACCCGACAGGCCCGACAGGCCCGGCAGGTCCGGCAGGTCGCATCTTCGCGTCCGTCCAGATGTCATTCATAACGTCACGTCGGACGCCCTGTGCGTCCGCCACATTGGCCCAGTGATCCAGTGAGATGCAGCGAGTGCAGCATGCAGCACATGGACCACAGACCGGGAACGCGTAACATGCCTTTCGCGCACTGTCTCCAGTAGTCGAGTCGACCCACCGAAACCACTCTGCTCGAACCCACCCAACAGCCATATTTTACGGCTACGAGGAGATAGAACCTGAAGGGCAGAGCAAGTCCACTGCGCCACCCATGCACGCCATGCGGCCATCCGGCTACTGCCTGTCCATGAGCGCACGCACGCATGGGCGCCAGCTGCCTGTCCGTGCTCAGTACGACTCGTCAGCCTCTAACAGCGGGCATTATCAGCTGGCATTGCTGAGACATGAGAAGTATGAGACAACGATGCAGACCAACATCTCCGCTTGACAAACCGATGGAACCGCGGGACTGGCGTACGCGCGTCGTTGAGTCGCCGATCCGCCTATCTCTCCCTTGCCAGATGCGCCATCGGGCCATCTGGTCAGATAGGTCGTCACATGCCTCTGCACGCTTGGCTTGGCTCCCCACCCAGCTCACACGTGTTGGCCGCTACAGAGCACGAGATGCTGGGACGCCGCGGCCAGATCTCTTTCTACTGCCTCTTCCGGATTCCGGCACCTCTCGTCGCACTCTTGCATTAAGCTTCAAAGCTACGGCACACGCATACGGCATGGTTTTGCATGCAGGTTACAAACAACGTCTCTTTTCCGTGTCCAGCTCCGCGCCAGTCGTACAGCATCCCAACGTCTCTTCCGATGCACCACCACTGCGATCCTCGGCCCGCAACAATTCCAGCTAAGCTTCGGCACTACATCCTCTGCTTTTTCGGGCTCGGTGCGCCGCGCATGACCGCGTCGAGCAGGCGCTTGCGCTCCTTCTCGCTTGCGCCGTCGGCGTACGTGACGCGCATCGATTCCTCCTGCACCGCCTGAGGTACAGCGAGGGCAGCGCCGGGGGCCACAGGCGACGTCGGGCTCTGCAGCCGCGGCGAGAGCGGGCTGGGCGCCACCTCGCTCCGCGGTCGCGAGTTGCGCGATCTTCGCAGCTGCACATTGCGTCAGCCTCTACCTTTCGTTTCGCACCTGCATTCCGCGTGCCTTGCTCTGCGTCGCAGAGTATTCCCAAGGCGAAACGGCCCCCTGCTAGACTTACCACTTTGCTGCGTGTCGGCGCATCAGGTCCCTCTGCCAGGCGCCGGAGCGCCGCTGTCACGTCGCTGCCGGAGCCGAGTGCGCTGGGAGACGACACAGTGCCTAGCACCCCAGCTGTGGAGGAAGGGACGACGGGTGAAGCACCCCCCTTGCGGCTGGGGCTGCTGCGCGGCTCCGGAACGGTGTGGGCTCTATTCAGCAGCCGTTCCGTGCTTGCCTTGGGGGACTGGAGCGCGTTCGTGCTGTCGGCCACGAGGGCGCCCGCACTGCCGCCGGGCTTGTCCACGTGTGTCGGCGTGCTCTTAAGCACACGTGATGATAAAGACGAACCCGCGATCTCGTCGGCGGTCAGGTTCGGCACGGAGCTGCCCAGCGCCTCGCCCTCGCTGTGAGCACGGCCGCTTAATCTTGATGGTGTCGGCAGCGGGATGCCATTCGGCATGTCGGCGCCGTGCAGGTGCTTTGTGATGTCGTCGATGACGCCTGTTCGTCCCATGTTCCACAACCAGGTGTCCTTGACGCAGGTTACTCCCCACTCATGCGCCTTCGTCCACTTCTGGCCCTCGGGGACGGCGCAAACCAGATGAGTCGTTTTCCGATTAAGCTTTTCAGAAAGAACACCTCCAACGGTCTTCAGTAGCCGCTTCAGATACACTGTCGTTTCCGTTGGGAAACCGGAGATGTGAACGAGGATGCTGGACGCTCCAGGGATTGGACAGTCAACTGACAGAGGTCGGAAGACAAGCGTTGCGTCGGGGTCGAGCAGTCGTTGCTCGAAACAGCAGCCCTCCACCCAGCACTCGGTGACCAGTGCCGGTGTCGGTTCCCCTGGCTGTACGGGAGGCATGTCGACTTTGGTCCTGGCAATCCTGGACGTCAGCTCCGTCATTCGCATTCCGCAACTCACAATCGCACGATGACATAGTCGACGAGAGCGCCTGCTCTCCACTCAGCCTCGGAGACAACTGTTCCTCCATGCTGCTTCAAAGCGTTCTCGAGCCCTTGGCATCCTTCGCTGATAACGTGGGTGAAGCGCATATCGGCGAAGAATTGTGGTGGCGACCCAGACCGTTCTCCCTCGGCAACGGGCATCTTGCTCGGACCAGCGTTGGCAGCAGGAACAGCGAACGACGTGGACTTGGTGACGTGCAGAAGTGAAGGCTTACGTTCAAACGTCCGGGGCGCAAGTGACATCGGATCGGGTTTCGTTTCAGATTCTGCGCCCGGAGAGTCCACCTCCATGTCCTCTGTTTTAACAGGCACCCCAGTGGTCGAGAGCAGCTCGTTGACGAGGTTGCCCATGTCTTCTTGTTTCCGCTTCTTTCTAAGAACGACCGGCTCGTCCTCTTCCGCCTGCTCCTTCACTAATTCCGGAGGAGGCTCGAAGCAGCTTCCGTAGATTCTGCGCCCGGAGAGTCCACCTCCATGTCCTCTGTTTTAACAGGCACCCCAGTGGTCGAGAGCAGCTCGTTGACGAGGTTGCCCATGTCTTCTTGTTTCCGCTTCTTTCTAAGAACGACCGGCTCGTCCTCTTCCGCCTGCTCCTTCACTAATTCCGGAGGAGGCTCGAAGCAGCTTCCGTCGAGCACCGACTCGAGCTTGATCTTCGGCCGGCCTCTCGGCTTGCGAGCGTCGTACGCGTCCTCCTTCCATCGGCCACGGAAGCCGACACAGTCCCAGATCCAGTGTTCGTAGATGATCCAGATATCCTCGCCTTCGACCTTCCTGCCTTTCCGGCGGCCCATGGCGCGGTCGCCGATCTCCTTCATCGCCCACTTGACCTTCTCGCTCGCTTTCGCCTTGGGGTCGCTGGTAGGGAAGGCTGACACGAGGTGCGTGCATGAGCGGTCGAGATCTTTCGAGTAGGTCCCGCCGAACTGCTGGATGTAACGGATGATGGTTTTGCGGTGGTCCAGCTGATCGATGCCGGAGATCGAAATCTTGAGCCCAGTGAACGGCAGCAGACGGTGCGCCTCGATACTCTGAAATGTCAGTGAGGATACTCTTCTGAAACGTACAGCTGGCACGTCCAGTTCAGCACCAGAGACCCATTGTCTATGTGCGTCCTCAACCCATGTAGGCGCAAGCACAGGTAACCGGTGCTCAATAGCATACATGTACTTGGCTGAGCCGAAACCCGCCGCGATGACATGAGTCACGTTGACGGTGAGAGCATTCTCGACTTGGCCTCCTAGCTCCTTCACGAGAGCGGCCAGCTTGGGTTTCTCTTCGACTCCCGTGAAAGTGACCGTTATGCCTTTCCACGGTTTCGCGCCGCTACTCAGCGACGGGCCGGCCTCGTCATCTGATGTCAGTGTAACCCTCTCGGTTGCAACTCACCCTCCTCGTCGCTCCATGCCGGTCGCTCCTCCGGCTCGTACTCTGCAGCAGCACTCCTCCTAGTGGACCGACCAGCAGGAGCTGGCCGCAGCTTGACGTTCGGAACCTTGTGGGAGAGGTGCCCGCGGCGGTTCATGGTGGACAATGGGGCGGCGGCGTTGGGCGGAGATGACGGTGTCAATGTTGTTTTGGCGCGCGTCGCGTCCCAAAACCAAAGACAAAGTGGAGGTCGTAGCTCCAAGCTCATGGCCACATTTTCGATCTGCTTCCGTGATCGTGAAAGGGAGAGCGATTTCCAGAAAACAACAGTTCGGCAACCGCCATGCATGGGAAGTTCGTTGAAAAACCTGTTTTAGCTAGAGAGCACCAAGACAGCACTTGTGTCCAGAAGGAAGGGGAGATGTTGCATGATTTTCACGGTGATTCGCACTCTCGAAGTAAGAGAAACTGAAAACTCGGCGTATTGCGCATTGGTGGCAAATCAGGGACCCGCCTGATAGCTTGGAGAAAGACAAGCGCGTCGCGTATAGACTGTGCGTCCAAAGTGCATCAACAACAACGAGCAGCATCACAAAGCGTAATACCTGTGCCAGATCGTCGGCCCGCTGGAGCAGCGTTCGCTGAGCGATCGAAACGTCTGTAAGCTGCCTTCCGCGGTCTGTATGTGTAGGTTGCAGTGGGTACAGGGTGAAGGCGTCGGAACGCGACTCTTCCTGGGCGTATCCGGCGGGGCTCCGGTCCTATAATTGTTTATGGCGTCGATCAGCAAGTCTCCCGAAGCCGACGATGGACCGATACAGAGCGCCCTATGGACGCCTAGCTCTGTAGGTCGTAACGCCGCACCGCGACGTTCTCTTCCTCACATATCACCATGACTGTTCCCCAAGTCGACCTGCAGGCTGTGAGTGCTACCGCCTCTCCCGATCAAGAGGCTGATCCAGAGGCAATAGCTGACGTGTAGCACTCTGAGCTCTTGGCACGGTTGCAATCTCTGTCGTACGCGCCGCCGACGCTCACAGCGGTTCAGCGCCAGCTGGAACAGAGCCAGTCCGGCCTGGCTGCCGAGCAGGCGGGCGTCGCTGCGCTGCATGCCAAGACTGGCAAGGAGTTCAAGGACTGGAAAGCGATTGAGAATCGAACGCTCAAGCGCCTCTGGGTCAAGATCAAGCACCCCGTCCATGGTCGCGAGCGTCTCACCGAGCTCGAGGCGAAGGAGGAGGCCGAGTACGTTGCGGCGCTCACCGCCGAGCAGACCGCGGCGGCTCGCACCGCTGTCCTCGAGGACCAGGTGCGGCGCCTGACTGAGCAGGTGAACGAGCTCCGCGGCGCTGTTGACAGCTACGAGCGAACAAAGACTGAGCTCGACGCCCTCTACCGTCGTGTCTTTGACGGCCCCACCCCCGCGTTCCCCGAGGAGGACAGGCTCGAGGCGAACTACCGCGCCGCTCTCGACGAGTACAACGCCTCCCAGGGAAACACTGTCAACGAGCAGCGAGCGATTGCGTATCTCACCGAGGCGGATGCGCACCTGCAGCAGGCGATCAAGATCGTCGGCTCGAGCACGGACTACGCGACGATGAACTCGTACGGCGGCATCGATGACGTTGCCATGGTCGAGCACTCGGAGCTCGCTAAGGCTCAGCGTGAGGCCGACCAGGCTCGTCTTCTCGTTGAGCAGGCTCAGCAACTCCTTCCTGGACTCCCTGGATTGAAGGACGTGCAGATGCCGAAGGGCAACATGATCTCGGATGTCTTCTTCGATTCGACGTGGTCCGAGCTCGCCTTCCGCCAGCGTGTAGACGACGCCGATACCGAGCTCCGCAATGCCCAGAAGCAACTGCATGGCCTCGTCGGTCAGGTACAAGCGCAGAGCTCGGCTCAGAGCCCCCGCGTCCAGCAGGCTGCGAAGAATCTGGAGCAGGCCCGAGGTGCACTTGAGAATATCCGCCGCAACATCATGCTGAGAGGAGGTGCTTGAGCACCTGGCTCATGACGATAACGCGGCCCGTCAACTTCATGACTACCTTAATCGCAATACACGACGTACAACATCACAGCGCACGCTTTACATAGGATGCATTTTTTGGCGCCTCTATGTTTCGTCCTCGTGCCTGAGCAGTCGTTCTGACATATGACACACGGTCTGACCGCAGTACATGCTCCGCGCCAAGGCCAAGCATTGGAATTACTCGGATCCGACGAACGGGATCAACTGTAGAAGATCGACACTGCGACAAGTTGACTGTATTGCATTCCCCCAGGGGAGGACCGTGCGTGACGCGTTGAGAACGACATCCAGCACGACGACACCCCTCTGTTTGCAACCACCACGTCTCCCTTTCCAGCCATGTCTTCCTCCGCGGACATGGATGGCGACAGCCCCTCGTCTGTTGCAGTCATGCTTGACTACAGATTCTATCCTCATCTCGTCGATCTGGTGTTCGATCACAGCGTCGCCTTGGCATCTGAAGGCGACCGCTCCCTCCTCCTGTCCTGGCGTGCGGTTGGTCGCCACTGGAGCGAGCGTGCCGACTCAGCTCTTTTCAAGCATTTAGCGATCTCGTCGTGTGGATCTGGATTTCAGAACTTCCGACCCGTTATCTTTGCCCCCCACCCGACCGACGCGTACAAGGTGCTATCGCTGCCAATGATGCACAGTGCGCTTCTCCCCGCAAGCCCATGGGACAAGGAGTGGCAGGCCAACCGAGAGCGCCTGCGCAGCCGGCTGCGCTACGCGCGGGTTGTGGACTACCTTTCGCCCACTGAATTCTCGCAAAGAACTCTGCCTTTCACGGAGGCACTGGACGCCGACTTGCTGATTGACCTCACCGGCGTGCGGGTCGTACGCCGTCCATGGCCGTCATGGTTCGTCGTCAACGCCGACGTCACAGTCGACGTACTGGAGCTCTCGAGCAAACTCGGCGGTAACGCGCCGTACGGCACTGTGTATTCGGTCGCGGGGGGGCACGGACCCTACGTCGATGGGCGTGAATCATCTGTCAATGCTGTACTCGTCGTACACATCAAAAGGAGCTGGATCACCGAGTCGCTTGAGGAACTGAAACTCGAATGCGGCGCGTACGCAGACCAACGAGTGCAGTGATCTTTAAAGTTGAAGAGGAAGAAGACGGCGAGGACGAGGAGTACGAGCGGGGAGACGAGGAGACGACCCAGCCCCGCTTGGCATACTTCATGGAATCGTTGTGGTGGACGCACAAACCGTTGGTATTTGTGGGGCTCGAGGCTGCCGATCCTCGCGCTTTCGGACTTGAGCCAGGGACCAACGTTGTCGCCGCAGTGCAGGAGAACCTGTCCGCTCTAGCGAATCTGCATCCCGCCGATCGCCTCACTCAAGCCACCTTCATTAGCAAGGACGAGTACCGCCAACAGGTGGGCGAGGAGACGTACGAGCTATACACCTCCATTGAGCGCAAGACGGACACGGCCCGCCCGGATCCGCCGTTTCAGAGGGAGCCAGAGGATACTGTGTGCAGACTTGTAACCCAATCTCTCTGGAAACCCGGCGCGAGCAAGGAGGACCGAGCCGCGGTACTCGCTATGCGTGCCGTTTCGAAAAGATGGAGCTGGGATGTTGACTCCGTCCTCTTCCGCCATGTCGTAATGGGCACTCGGGATGAAAGCAACATGCCAAGCGAGGAAGAGAGAATGGAGTACGCGTATCGCCTTAATGCCCTTATGGGCTCCGATGACGAGAGCGAGCGCTATGAGTCGGAACCGGAGGTTGAGGAAGGAGCAGAGCCTGGAGGCGAGGATGGCGACATGTCCGATGGGATTGGACAAAGCGATGTTATCGAAGTCGAAGGTACCCAAGTTGTTGCCAACGACGAGGGCACGCAGGAGGACCACAGCGGCAGCGAGGGCGGGAGTGCCTCGGGCGAACCCATGGAGGTTGAGGGCGGGGATGATACGTCACCGCCACCCGGGCGGCCTAACCAGCACGAGGAGGAATCCGACTGGGAGATCGAAGAGCTCGCACGCCTGTTCCCCATGGAGAAGAAAGCGGCCAGACTTTCTCTGGTATCGCCCGGAGGGCGCCTACCACTTCTGTTTGAGTTCTGGTCGGTGCAACCTACCGCCGCTGGCGTGCGCGCGCATGCCAAGTCGATGGTACTGCTTGTTCACACGCGTTTCATGGACCTGGCCGTGAAGGAGGAGGACGTACAGTGGGATCTGGTGGAGCGGCTCATCCACCCCTTCACCGCGCCCCTCGTCAGGGTAGTTCGGCATACTTCAGACAGCTGCGACGTAACTCCTCGTACCGCAGCCGGGCTGTACGTGCACGTGTGTGATGGGACACTCGCGGCCCCAATTCGTGCTCAAAGCGCTCCGATGTGCCAAAGCATGGTGCAAAGCGTACCAGAGGTGTGGATCGGGGCCGGCAGCCTTCCGAGCATCACGTTAAATGTTCTCTACGATTCTTCCTGGCCGGAGGTGCTGCGCCAAACAACATACAGTGGAGAGCACTGGGGGCACTGCTCGACCAATTCGATCAACCTGATGTTCACCCCTGTGGGGACACCGCGCGCTGCTCTGCTTTCATCGACGAAGCCCTCGGAGCCAGAGAGCCTGACTGGAGCCGAGAATCCCCGCGCCATGGGCTTCTTCGGCGAGTTCTGGTCCACCTTCATCGGAGATCGAACCCCGGTCTCCATCAGCATCATAGGTCTACAAGATGTCCCACTTGCCGCCCTGGGACTGCGGCCGGATGTTACCTTTGAGCAGATCAAGGAGATGGTGTGTTGGAATCTTATCGGCGCCATCACCATGTGCGACGGCTTCGACCCCGAGCTCCTCCCGGAAGCTATCGATGGAATGATGGATCGAACGCTGGGAGCGATCAAGTTCTACTCGCTGGACGAGTACCGCCGGCATTTTGGGAAGGATGGGTGGGAGGAGATTGAGCTTGAGCGAAGCGCACGGCCTCCATACTGGCCGACGAAGGCTTAGTTGGTAAGTTGTCCAGGTGTTTGTGCTGCCGATGTGACTTGGGATATGAGACGGCATTGACGTTCGTAGGCCGACCCGCTTGCCGTAGGTAGGGCGGGCAGCGGTCTGTGAGACACACCAACCTCGATGCACAAGACCCCACCAGACTTTTACGAAGTCGCTGATTCCTCCAGTCGTGTATGCCTTGGCCCTGATCGGACTGTGAAGGTTGATTGGCACATCGTTTACGCCCACTCATATCCGAACCCACTCTGCGCATCCCTCTGCACAGCCTAACATCTCTTCTCGTCACCGGCAGGTTTACTCGCTGCACTTAAGTCACGGGCATTCCATGCATTCACACATTGGCGGCAACGCCGCCGCCGGGGACAGAACGGGTGGGCATGTTTTGGGAGAGTCGGCGGGGGAATAGATAAGGTTCAGTGATGAGTGACCGATGGCCGCTGCCCGATAGCAGACACCGGGTCTGGCAGCACTCTTCGGCTGTGCCTCTTGCGCCAAGGAGCGGCAAGGATCGAGAGTCCGGCAGGGTTAGGAACATGTCCACGGGTCTAGCATACTATGTGTTCGAGAGTACGACGTGCCACAGCAGATTCTGTCGTCTCAACGGCCAATCACACTGCACCTCTTTCCGAGTTTCTCATCAATCGACTGTGTTGGATGGCTCCTACGGCGTTACTAACCCGACCACATCGGAAAGAGCTATCCTAACCGTGCTGAGACCCTTCACAGTGTATTGAAGGTTCTGTAACCCTTCAGCGATTGTCACCCGCCGTCGGCCGTGCACGGGCGTGTGCACAGGGACTGCCTTCCAGACCCCCACATCATAAGCATCCTGGAGAGAGATATGTTGAGGAGAACTTAGCTGTTGCCCCGCACCTTCCCAGCGAATGATGCAGAGCACTGGAACGGCAACATATGGCGAGCGGTCATGAAATCCCCGAAATTATCGTTATTCTCAGGGTACCGCCTCACGATGGTTCCATTCCGCACAGAAGGTTTCCAGCACTCAATTCAACTCACCGTCACAATGGCAGTCGGTTGCGATGGCTGTTGAGCTAGCTGCACTCGATGAAGCTCGGACAAGGATTCAATACTTCAACGTCAATGCAAGTCAGTATCCATTGATCCACGATGGCACAGCTGTGTGAATGTATGGGTGACTTCGCTCGGACTGTACGTAATGGTCTTGACTGACAGGCCGTGCAGCGCTTCTCAGCGGAAGATCGCGCAGGTTGAGAACACCTTCATGTCATATCCAGGGAGATGCACCCACGGCTGCGTGATCGCCACATTCTGCTTTGGAGTGGAGCCAGGACGACCCGGCCCTTGAGGCCTATCTTGCGTTCTGCTTGCAGAGATTAGAGTTTCGAACCAGGCACAGACCGAAAAGCCCAGCGCGCGTACCACATGTCCGGGTTGCGAGCCGGAGGACTATCCCAGTGGCGCCTTGAGAACTCCGCGGCGATGCAAGGCCATGAGGCGCCCGTGGCTACGGCAGATAACGAAAGCAGTAGGGCTCGAGTTTCCCGGATGGGCACTTTTGGGCAGCCCGAGAAACAGTCACCGTCGGGGTGTGGTGCGGTAGCGTGAGCTTTACCATGTCTTGGGGAAGGTATCCCAGGCGTAGGAAATGGTACAAAAGACAGCTCACAGTCGCTCGTCCCACCTGCATCTTCAAAATTGACTCTACTCTCACCACTTTGACACACATCATGGGCGGAGCCGGAAGCAAGTGCGATCAGTGGGGCTGCGGTGGCATGTACCGTCGCTACGACACCCCGGGTGCTATCCAGCCCTTCAGTGTCAACGCCCCCGAGATCGACAACACCTGGGAGCAGTGCTTTGGCAATGGAAATGCTTGGGCTTGTCCCCCTGAGACGTAAGTGGGTTTATGATGTCAAAGCTAACCGCAGCTCCATCTGCAGCGCTGATGGATGCTGCTCCTCGAAGAATAACGACGTGTGTATAGTCTACGTACCCAGTCCAGAGCAGTAAGCGAAAGTCTCTGGGATGATAGTGCATGCAGTTCAAATGTCTAATGCTGTCGTATATCAAGCTTTTACTGACCGATCATCGGCGGATGCGCGCATCCACCCATGTCGCCGGTCCAACCATCAACCTCCTACGCCGCCACCTACTTCCACCCACCCTATCGTCTTCCAACCATCCAAAAGCATTGCTGCAGCCCGCAAGGCATGCAAAAGCGTACATCCAGGGGGAATCGAACCCCCACCGCATCGAGACTGCGTGGCAACGATGCATGATACCATTTCACCATAGATGTTCAGACGTACTTGTCGGGAGTTCACGCGCGGCGCGCTCGCGAGGGCACCGGCAGCGCCTATGCCGTGATTATGGACGTAACAGGATGACAAAGGAGGCATGACAGTACTGCTGGAGTCCCCAGAAGTTGATAGCGCTCAGGAAAATAGATCCTCGACTCGTTGACAAGGGTAGCCTTTGAGACAGACGATGAGAGGATCGCCTCAACACCGTTAACGCTTTGTCGCAGCGTAACGACAATGATGGCCTTGCCCCAACCGAAAGAACAAGCGTTCATGCGATTGATTCGCCTACAGTAGCACTGGGCGCTCACACTTTCCATCTGACATAAAACGAGACCCCCCATCAGCCCGTTTTGACAGCGTGTGCGTCCGAACAGATGTGCGTGTGCGTTGCTGTTCGACACACGTTAAATGCTCATACCGCTGAGCTGTGATAGTAGTTATGCCACCCTATCGACGTTTGCGCCATGCCCACTTCAAGGGAGACTTCATCCTCCGACAGCTCTACGGTTTCCGACGACCCAAGCACTCACAATGCGCAGGAGATGCTCTCAGACCTAATGCAGCTACCTTTCGCTGATTTCCACCATTCCGACTCATCTTCCGATTCCGAGTATGACCCCGCCACCGACCTGTTCTCAGTGTTTTCACGACACACGTTGCTGGTGGAAGTGACGAGACCGAGACCAATCGACAACCCTGAACCAATGAGGGAGAAGATGGAGGCAGTGGTTCGAAACCTTGACGGGGTAGAAGGCTGGACGGCATTGATCCCCTCAAGGCTAGTTGGCAGCTACTGGGAGGAGTCGGTGGGGCTTCCCGTCCCGGGGAAGAAGCTGCTGGAGAACCGCGCTGTGGCTCGGGGCAAATCAGGCGATAAAGACGTCTGTCGTGAGAATGACGATGCCGAACTCCCTGCCTCAATCTCCACCCCCGAGTCCGAGACCACCTCCAACAGTCGTGCAAAGGGCCGCATTAGTCATTTGGACCCGGTTGACGAGTCGCAGCCCGGTGTGACCTTCACCTTCGAGATCAAAGGCCTGTCGATCGTCATAGGCATCATGCTCGGAAGGCTACTTGCCCGATGGGGGGAGAATCAGATGGGCGACTGCATCCTTTCTTGGTACTCCAATGCTTGTGTGGTATACGAGAGCGATGGGGAGTGCGAAGGCAGGGTGTCCGAGCCTTGAGAGCTGATTAGATAGTGCTGAATGTAGCTTCATTTGCATTAGTGTCCCGAATGCAAAGAACACAGAGATCGTATGCGTTTCCAGACTGCTGACGCCATCTGTAGAGAACTGCGGCTGTCAGTTCCTTGCCTCAGAGCTGGACGATTGCTGTAACGTGTTGGCGTCGGACGAAATTCATCAGAAATTCCCGAAAATGTGCGGAGCCCCTCTCCGCGGAGGTGAGGATCGATCGACATCCCTGATGGACAGAAACAGCTGCACACCAGCCTACAGCAGTGCAACAGGTACAACCGCATTCTATTCATTGACAATCTATCTAATCTATAAGATCTCGGTCTACTTTCATGCTCAAGCGCTCCCGCTCCGGTCCTCGCTGCTCTGAATGACGGCCACACTATGCTCCCACATCCCGCCAAGAGCCGCCTGGGCCCACTGTGCCATGTGATAACCAACGGCAGTGCCGCCGGTCAAGTCGCGCTCCTCAATCTCGAACCTGAAGATGGCAGTCTGGCCATTGCACGAGTAGTGAGTGCCAGCAGGCACCTCGTCGCTGCTGTTCGGCCAGACACCCGCAAAATAATCACCTACGCGCCGCAGCTGATCGACACTCAGCAAGTTGACTCCGTTCGCGCTGAGCATGAACTGACGTCCGAGAGCCGAACCTGCCACTGCTGCGTTGATGACGTCGCGCCCTCTCACCGTCACCTCCAGCATGCGGCGAGGCTGCACGCCGCCATTACCGAAGGAGGACATGGACCAGAGCCCAGAAAACGTAGAGGCGTTCGAATCTTCGGGAGTGAGCTCGGGGGTGGGCTCAGGCTCCGGCGAAGGTGCGTACTCGCGTCCGCAGCGGCCACAAAGTCCGCAGGTTGGACAAAGGTACCGGTCACCGCAGCTCCGGCAAGGCGTACCGGGACGGGATGCGCGGCGGTGGCCCTCCTCCTCAAAGTTGGTGATGGTGGAGCCGACGGGAGAGGGCAGTGCAATTGGGACGGGCGCAGACGGCGGAGGCGTGCTCAGACGTGCGCGTTCGAGCTGGTTGGCGAGCTGGTCGGCCGAATCGGCGTCGGCTGGAGAACGGGGGAGGGTTGGTGAGTTGTCCGGCAGCGAAGGCTCGGGGGAAGGAGAGCGACTGATGCCGTTGCCGTTCGGGCAGCTGCGGTTCATGATGGGGAAGGAATTGCCCATGAGCGCAGAGTCGTTGGATGAGTGGTGAATGGCGTCAGAGCCGAAGGGACTTTATAGCAGCCAGAACCATCAGAAGCATGGAGCGTCGTCACCAGGCCGCGCACCCTCTTCCACGATAGGTCGCACTCTTTGACCTCAGTGTTTCAAGATAGGGATAGTCATTGTCGCCGCCAAGTGCGAATGTAACCATCAAGAGGCCGCGTCTCAAGTCACTGTTGTGAGGAAGGCGACGACTTCGTGGCGCATGCAAAGTGGTAGTGAGTTGGAGTCTCGATTGGAACCGGTCATATGAACGTTCACGAGCACGGTGTGCTTTACTGCCAACCTCAAGCAGGGGCAGGCATATCTTCACATCAGCATATCCCCTATCAAGGAGCGTTTCTCCCGACCCCCGACCTGCCCAACCCCCGAGCTGACTTCCCAGAACAGGCTGACATGGAGCACTTCAAGCTGCCCCGAGAACCCCCCTACCTTCCCGACCCATCGCGCTGCAAAGCCTGTCGCGCCACGCACCTCAGCTCAGGGTATCGCTGCAAACTCTGCTGGAAGTTGGAGCTCTGCCACATCTGCGGCTTCTGTGCTTGCTGTGACCATTGCGGACTCTGCACGCCCGGTACGTGCGGCTGGTTTGACCCTTTGCCAGAGTATCAAGTGGCGCGCAGTCTCCCCACCTCCGGGTACTCCGCTTTGCTTCATCGACCCCCGCCTCATGGCACCATCGATCCGACCCGACTCTCCCTGCGGGGGCCAACACCGGTGTCACCGCCCACCCGGCCTGAGAGGCAGATGGACGCCTACCTCCAACTGAAGTATCGAGGCCCGCCACTTGACTATGTTGAGACGAAGGATAGACTCCTCGACGAGATATTGTTCTGCTTCCAGATTGCGGCGGTGTACATCCCAACTTGGCGATTGCTTCGAGCCCTCACCAACTACTTCTACAGCGCCAGCCCCTTACCACCGCTGATTGCCCCCGAGAGTCATGGACCGACGGCCTATGGGTCGACTGTGACCCGTGCTACGCAGGGCCCTTCCAGTGGAACGATGAGGTGCCTATTTACCTTCCATCTGCGTGGCAGGACGACAGAGAACATCATGCTTGGAGCCGATAACGTGAAGGCGTGGGCTGAAGACAAGCTTGGCGGGGCATGGCTGTGCGATTTTGAGGAGGAGTGATTCATTGAGAAGGGACCCACGTCTGAAGACATTCCCCTTACTGTTCTTTCAAGTGTATGCATGGCTGCATTCAGAAGCAGCGAGTATTTCACAAGCCGTCGTGATCAGGTTGCGCGGAGAATTCGCGGAAAAACACTTGTCTTCATAAGCGAGATCTCAGGCGCGTTTCTGAGACACAATTGGATCGATACCCAAGCCTGGTTTAAGGGGCTCGACTCAAGTCGATAGACTTTGTCCGACAGGATTTTCGAGTGCGTAAGCATCGTGGGTTCGAATCCCACTCGATTCACTCTTTTGCTGCAGGAGTGTTCAGGGATGAGTCTGCGATGGCTGTGCGGGGAAGAGCGTGTGCCCATGTCTATGCATTCACCAGTCTGCAGCGGTTCACAATGACAGAGTAGCACAAGAAGTCATATGTTACATTGCACTCATTAACCTAACACTTTCAAGAACTACGCTCGACCCCGCCTACAGATCCAGTCGCCAGATGCCGACATCGCGATGTCCGCCGCCATGGTACTCGGGCCACTCCTGACTCTCAACGTCCTCCTTCCTGAACCCGAGCTTCTTCAGTACAGCCTGACTGGGCCCATTCGCCTCTTCGGCATGGGCAGTGAGCTGCTTGAAGCCGATATTGTCCCGTCCCCAGGCAATGAGCTGCTTGACGGCGGCGGTGCAGATGCCCTTGTTGTGGTAGTCGGGGTGCACGGTGTATCCCAGTCTCCACTCGCCCTCGGCGTGGAATAGGTCGCAGTCGCCGATGAACTGCCCGTCCTTGCGCATCACGTTGAAGGGACAGTGTTTCGGCGAGAGTGGGAGGCCGGCTTGCAGTTGCGTCGTTGCGCGCACAGCGGGAGGGATCTGGTGCAGCAGCCACACCAGAGCATCGGTCTTCTCGTATCTTGGGATGGTCAGGAGTGCCAAAGAATGAAGGAAAGTAACGACTCACGGGTACATCCTCCTGAAAGACCACCTGGCAAGAGAGGGCGTGTTCGACATGATAATCATGGTGCGAATGTCGGCGTTATCGCTCCGATGAGGCGTAAGCGTGACACCCTCGATCCCGGTCTCGAGGTACGGCTCGGGAACCTCGTCCTCAGATGTCTGCGGCCATTGTACTTTTGGCGTAGCGATTGAGGACCAGTCTACCGGTGTGGACGGCATGTTTACGTTTGTTGGTGGAGTGTGTTTGTGTAGTGCCGAGTGAATGTAGTCAGTCGATCGACCTTTATCCACGGGGAGAGGAAGTCCTTGCGTTATAAGTCGAGTCAGAAAAGGATGTTCGGGTGGTGGTGTGTGCGTGTGTGGAGCTAGACAGAGATTAGATCGCGATGAGATCGTTGACTCGTCTCTCCTTGATGACTCGATGTGATCGACCGGACCTTGGTCGCGCGGTATTTCCTTTCGATATCCCACCGGACCTGACCGTTGCTCGGATCCGCTGTGAGCAGTGGCCTCGAACGGCGTAAGCATGGCCTATCGGGCATGCATCCGGGAACAGACATGCAGAGGGGCTCATCTGGTAGAGCTCCGTCTGCAATCCGCGGTCTATGCAAGCCACGATGACGTCGATCACAGTCTCTGATCGGTCGTCTGACTTGGCGTTGGCCACCCAATTTCGGACCGGCCTCGACGCGTCCGCCAGGAACAGGGCGCGTCAGGACGATTTCGGGCATCATCAGTCCTGACCCGATTTCACTCCTTCTGTCAACCACAAACCCCCTTGCATACACCACACACAGAACACGCACTCCTCTCTCACTCTCGGAGACAAGCACACAACCCAGAATCACTCGCACAGAGTACCACCGCCATGTTCATCTCGCTGATTGGCTTGCCCTCCGCCGGCAAGCACAGCGTGCTCGAGTACCTCGTGGAGAACTTTGGCTTCACGCCGCTGTACATCGGGGATCCGAACGATGTGGAGCGCATGGCCGAACGGGTAGGCAATCTGAGTCTGAACTGGAGTCTGGAGGTGAGTAGCGCTGCAACCTCTGCTGCACTGTTTGCCTGCGCAGTCAGTTGCTCCGTCTGATGAGATGCTTCTCGCCCCGCTCACGGGCGCTGACGACAGCACACCTTCCGCACCCCGGACGACATGCTCGACTACGTCACTCGCTCCTGGCGCGGCCGTTGGGTCACGCTCGACCTGGGGACCTGGGAGCGCGCCGAGCCCTTCCTGAAGCGCCCATTCTTCATGGTCGTCAACGTCGAGGCGCCGATCGGCGCGCGCTACGCAAGGGAGAAGCGACGGCAACCGAACCTCTCGCTCGAGGACTTTATCGCCGCACACGACAAGCGGCTGTACGAGACGGGGGCGGACCTGACGCGCCTTATCGAGTGCGCGCACGTGACGATCGTGAACCGCTTCGAGGGACTCAACGGGCTGCATGCACACCTCGACCAGGCCAATCTGCTCGATGAGGAGAGGCTGCGGCCAGGTTGGGACATGTACTTTATGGTGAGTGCTGCATTGACTCTTTTGCTGCTTCTCCGTTCCGGAGAGGTGGTGAAGGGACTGCTGAGAGGGGTAAGGATCAAGCTAACTTTAGACACTCGCGTCGCTCGCCTCGCACCGGTCAAACTGTATGAAGCGCCGTGTTGGCGCCGTGCTCGTGCGCAGCAAGCGTATCATCTCGACGGGGTACAATGGCACGCCGCGCGGGACGGTGAACTGCAACGAGGGCGGATGTGCGCGGTGCAACGGACCAGCGAAAGGAGGGCAGTCATGTAAGTCGAGCGCAGCGAGACGCTGACCGAGCGCGGCCGAGCTATGGGTAAGCATTTTTAGCTGACGACAGTATCAAACTGTCTCTGTCTGCACGCAGAGGAGAATGCGCTCCTCGAAGCGGGGCGGGAACGCGTCGGCGGCGACGCCGTGCTGTACTGTAACACGTGAGTGGGCGCTGTCTTGAGGAAGAGCTGACGCCCAGGTGCCCCTGTCTCCTCTGCTCGGTCAAGATTGTGCAGTGCGGCGTGCGCGAGGTCGTGTACAACCAGAGTTACTCCATGGACGAAGCATCGGCGAAAGTGCTCAGGGAGGGTGGCGTGGTGCTGCGCCAGTTTGTGCTGCCCTACAGACCGAGAGTGGACTGAAACGGAGCGAGCGCAGCGACCCTCTGCATCTTTCCCGCCACCTTTGTGTCTTCTGGGAGGGCAATTTTTGGGTCCAACATACATTCCATCTATGCATTACATATCATCCTCCTACGAAGCCAGCACGGCCATCGCGTTCGCGCGCAGGTCTCCCTTCGGATCGCGGAGGTAGTCCCACGTCCCCCTATCTCCCTCCAGACTGCCTATGCTCGCACTCAATACCGTCCACGTGAGGTCGCCATCCCGCTCATTCAGCGCAGAGTACAGCTCCCTAGCGCCGTCCTGGAGCTCCGCCTCCGCCCTCACGTCGAGGAACGGCCTAAAGCTCACACACACGTCCCACACCACGCCCTCCTTCACGGGCACAGCCGCGACCATGAACTGCGCGACGCCAAGTAGGGCCGCGTACAGCCTGTGACTGGCGCTGAACTTGTCCACCCTGCCCACGACGCCTCTCGTGGCGAGATCGTTCCTGCGGTCCTGCTCCATCTGCGCGACGAGCAAGCGGCGAAGCGTAGGCCACGCATCCGCGAGTCTCTTCGAGATATAGCTCGGGACGTACTCGCAGAGACTGCGGAGGAGGGACACGGCCTCGACGACGACGTACGGCTCGGGATCGGTAAGGCGGAGCATGATGGTCGGCCACGCCTTGTCGATTTCGGGGAGGAGGGCGGCAGGCCGCCCAGAGAGCACGGCGACGCAGCTCGCGATGAGCGCGAGGACGCGCGCACGCAGGAAGGGCGAGGAATGGGAGAGATAGTACGTTGCTTTGGAGAGGATGGCGGTGCCAAGCTCCTCGCCGCGGGTCGGGGGCACTTCCTCTTCTTGCGGCTGCTCCCCTTCCCCTTCGCCCTCGCCCTCGCCGGGAGCGTCCGGGTTGGCGTCGGGAGCGTTCTTTCCCCACCCATGCCGGGGTGCTCGTTCCAGGATCCCGTCCATGTCTTTCTGAGCCCGGGCACTGCGTGATGCCCACCACTCGCCAAACTTGGCAAAGTCGCTCTCCGGGTTAGGCGGGCGGAGGAACCGTTCCGTATCAGCCTTATCCTCCTCTTTCCGCTTCCTGCCCTCTTCCGTCTCCATAGCCTGCGGATCGTTCGCCATCGTCTCCACGAGCGCATTGAGCACCGCCAACAAAGCAGACGCCAGCGCAGCGTACCCGTGGAAGGCGTCCAGGGCGTCAAACACCTCGTCCACGATATCGTGCACCAGGGGCACAATCTCAGCCCCAACGAGCCGGATCATGGCTATCAGGACTAGGGGTGCCTGCGAATCCAAACGGTGATAGGTGAGGCGCTGGGAGACGCAGTTGACGACATAGTCGGCGTTGGCGAGCACCATGTTCTGCGCGGACGCGTATCCGCTCTCATAGGCGACTTTGGCGAGGGCCACCTCGGCGAATGTCCTCACGAGGTCGGCGGGGTGGCTCAGAGCTGCGAGGAGCGGGTACAGAGTGTGTAGCAACAATGGCTTGAAGCTCGCGCCGAGAATCGAGGCGGAGGTCGAGACGGAGCGCAGACTGAAGCACGTCAGGAGACACCGCTGGCTCCGTCTGTCCAGCCGTGCTGTCTCCTCCGAGGCACTCTGATTCGCCATCGGCCGGTCCAGCAGCGTCGTGAGTTCCTGCAGTCCACTCTTGCGCTCGGGCGCAAGCACCGTGCCGTCCGCATGCGCCCTGTCCTGTTCGTCCTCCTCGTAAGCCTCGTCCTCGGCCTCATCCAGCTCGACCAGAGCCCGCGCAACGTCCCGCGCCGCCTTCCTAACGGCTTTCGGCGCCTTCGTGCCCGTCGAAGTCGACGCGATGCCGGAGAGCAGATTATCGGCGACCCAGACTGCGGACGTTGATCGGGCAGGGGCAGCGATGGCATTGCCCCGCGCAAAGCTGACGAAGTACGAGACTGAGTGCAGGGCTGGTTCGCCCCCTGCTGCGCCGAGGGATGACAGCATGGACTCGAGGCGCGACGCGATACGGGGAGAGGGCACGTAGCGGAGCGGCAGGTTCGGGAAGGAGGCTTCGGGCGGCACTCCTCCGCCTTGTGCTCTCCCGCTGCCTTCTTGTGCTCCGCTAGCTGCGTCGGCACCGGTGTCGGAGGCGTCGGCGGCAGACGGCGCCTCGGTTAGCAGTGGGAGACTACGGCTAGTCAGACCCCCACCCCATCCCAATGCCGCTGTTCTCGCCGCGCCTCCTTCCTGCGCGCTCCATCCCCGTGGCCGTCCAAATTCGAGACATTCGAGCAACGCAAATGCCCATCGCTCCACATGCCCACTTGGGCCGAGGAAGGCCGCAATCGGGTTAAACCTGCTCTCGCTCCTGGCAGTCGTATGAGCAAGGGCGATGATGAGTCGTGCCGTTTCGTCGACCCTCTTCTCGTCCCCTGCCCGAATGAGACGGGGAAGAGCGTTGATGGCTCCAGAAAGCAGCTCCACAAGGGCATTCTCGAGGTCTGGCGCCTCGGGACCGAGGAGGGACAAGAGTTCCGTCTCGGCTGCATCACGGACGGCGTCAAATTCGTCCGTGGAGAGGAGGAGGAGGGTCGAAAGCGTGTGTGGGACCAGGCGGGGGAGTGACGCCCGGCACCGCAAGAGGAGGGCCGAGGCGAGACTCGCTGCGCCAGCTCGGGCATCGGGCGATTGGTGGCCTGCCAATGTCGACAGGATCGGGGGAACGGTGGCCTGCAGCTGCGCGCCCGTGTACTGGAGATACTTTGCGTTCAGTGGCGGGAACGGGTTTGGCGCGCCCGCACTTGGCCCTCCGATACTTTCTCCGGCTTTGGCGCTGGTTCCGCTTGCTCCTGTGCTTTGGGCCAGCTCCGCCCTCTCCTCGTCCGTCATGTCAATGTCAATCTCGTAGTCCTCGACACCGAGATCTTTCTCCTGCTGGGCGTTCCAGGCCCCGGCCAGGTCGGCGAGATCATCGTATTGCGGAGCCAGGACACCAGAATCACGCAGATCCGCATCGTTCAGAGTGCGCACCAGTACGTCCTGGACTACGCTCGCCATGTCCAGGCCAATGTCGCCCTTCACGCCGCCGACTATGGCCTTGGCCATGGCGCTGACCACGCCGGGAAGCAGAGAGGCGAGGATGTTCGACTTGGTAACATAGGGCAGCGCAACCTGCAGGAGGTGGACAGAGGCACGCTGCAGGGTTGTATTCGGCGGCGCGGGGTTGCTCAGATCAACGCCGAGGGTGATGCTCTGGAACAGCGTTGGGAGCAGTCCCCTAGGATCCTGGACTTTCGTCTTCATCTCGTCCGTCGGATCGCGCAGGAGCGCAATGAGCACGTTCAGTGCTGCCGTCGCTGCCTCCTGACTCAGTTCCTCGCCCCGCCTGTCCTTCCCCACTCTTGGGGAGGCAGACGCGACGACAAAGCGCCACAGCTGCTCCCACGCCTTCACGTCCATCCCGCCCGACGCACTACGCCATCGCGTAATGATGAACGCAAGCAGGTTGTACGCCGTTTCGAGAAAGTTGTCCGGCAATGCCGAAGGGTCGCTTTGGCGGAGAATCGAAGTCAAGGGAAAGAGCACATAGTTGATGAGCGAAGGGGAGAAGGCCTGCGGAGGAAGAGTCTCGCAGATCTGCAGGATGCGAGCGAGTAGGGATGCGTGAGGGCTCGAGGAGGTTGGCAGTTGCGAAGACAGCGACATGAGCTGCACGCAGACCGGTTTCAACTGGGGGTCAGCTTTCCCGTCAACAACTCCAGCCAGCTGAGAATACCTACCTGTCGGAAAGCACCTAGTCGCGCATCGGCACTCGCATCCAGCGCCGTCATGGCTCGAGATGAGGGCTGGGAAGACGGCGGCGGTCGCGGCTGTTGTGGTGGTCGTGGCGGGTCAGAACCGCCGCCCGACATCGATCCCGTCGGCAGCGGTCGCCCGAAGAGGTCGCGTCCGCTCATGTTGCAGCTATCGGTGAGCCATGGAGAGTTGGGCAACAACAAAGTGACCGAGACGGGTGCGTCGAACTTGCCAGTGACGCAATCTGGGGCTCCGCATGAGATGTCTGACTTTTTCCAGCCCAGTGTACCTCGAACGTCCACTTTTGTCTGTAGTTTAGGAGGAAACGTTGGTAGAACTGTGATACCCATGCATGCAATGCGGAAATGCTAAATCTACGAATACTACTTCTTGGCCTGTGGCTCGGCCTGGATGACCTTGTCCCTTGGCTCGAGCGTGCCAAACACGTCCTCCACCCTCCTGACCGAGAGGACGACCTCAGCGCCAGACTCAGTGAGACGGTCGAGGCGCGCCGAGTCCTTAAAGTCCATGCGGTAGGAGTAGTGATCCTTGTTGAGCCGGCTGGCCGAGCCGGGGGAGTTGACCCACAGCGACAGCCACGAGGTACGCTCGCGGATACCGCTCGTCAGCGGCCGTCCGAGGACGAGGTTGGTGCTGCACTCGCTCCGGGGGATGTCGCGGCCGCCCTTGCCAGCGCCGCGGATCATCTCCTGGCCCATGGTGCGCATCCGGATCGTGTTCGAGGAGGTCTCGCCCACCTTGCGGATGAGAGAGAGGCGGGTGACGAGACGCGAGCCGAGGAGGGCCGCGCCAAGTCCCATTATCGTCGTGGCGGTGATCGCACCGGACAGAACCCAGGTACGCAGCATGTCCTGCGGGATACCGAGGAAGGACCTGAGCGTTAGCTAGCTTTTCCGACTGCCTAGCTGAAGCGCTGGTCTTGGCAGAGTGACTTTGGCGGTGCCGCAAAAGTGCCTCATAGCCATGCCTAGTCTTCCAGCTTGCTCGCCTCGCCCCGCGGGCTCGGCTGAGTACTCACCACTCCGGTGCTTTCGGTGCGTCCGGGAATTGCTTGGCAATGTACGCGCTCGTCTCGCGGTCGCTCGGCATGACGATCCAGGTAACAACGCCTCCGAGCCAGAGCACGGCAAAGACCCACATCATCCTCGGGTCAGTGCTAACGGGACGCGCAAAGATGACGCGCTCCTCCTCCCCATTTCCGAGGGGTCGCCACGGCCACTCCGCCTCCGTCAGCTGGTTGCGCACAGGGCGCTGCTTGACTGGTCTCCGCGGGGTCGCATTGACAGGCGAGGTGGTCGAGAGAAGGCGGAGGCCAACGAGGCTGGCGGGAGAGGGGGCGGGGCCACGGGCCAGAAGGATCGGTCGTGATGAGGTGGCCAGACGGCGCAGGGCGAGTCGCGAGGGGCCGACGCCGAGAGCGAGCATTGTCTTAAAGTAGTTCGGTCTTGTCGGAGAAGTCCTCGAATCCGAAATTTCAGATGAGCGTCCTTTCGTCCTGTGGTGGTCGCGCCGACTTCGGATCAACGCGGCGTACTCGGTCTGGGTTGTGTCACGTGATAGATGAATGGATGCGGGGTCATTATTATGGAGCAAATTGCATCCGCTGGATCCGATGGACCTCGGGGTGCGCGTGCCTCGGGCATGGAAATGGATGGCAAGGCCGAGGCTGGGTAGTCATGATCATGTCGAGAGATTAGTTTATCGGCACGTTCGGCTGCAACGGCGACGGAGCGAAGAGAAGAAACCTGTGGCCGAGTAGTTCCTGCTAGTCGGCAGAACGAAGAGAAGGCAGGCACATGCACCGAGAGTACGCCGCTGCAGACTACTCGCGTCGGAGCTACATTCCAGGAACCAGGAGGGGGAAAGGCCAGACAGCTCCAAGCAAGAACAGAGGAACACTCCTGGACTAACGACTAAGGACTGGGAACAGTTGACTAATGTTCTTTTGTTTTTCCTTGTTCACCCCTTCTTCCTCTCGTCGTCTCCCTCTATCCCCGACTATCTCACTTGCTAGCCCTCTCTTGTCGAACTGCTGCTGTGTCGATCATTGCGTACCCCGCTGCTTCTTCCGCGTCATCGCCTTCCCCTTTCTCCTTGACTACGACCTGGTGTCTCGGCTACGTCGCTATATCTACCCACCACATTCAACTCCCCGGCTCCGACATTTCATCCCATTCACCCACACTCACTCACGCTTACGCCTGGCCGTCGGCTCCAGTCAACCATCATCCCCTCCATGTCTCTCTGATCCCTTCCCTCTTCACTCTGTTTTATCTGCACCTTCCACATCAACACACTCCTTCACACTGCACTAGCCATACACTCACCGACCCCGTGTCACTGCCGACTCGGACATCTCTCAGCTGAACATCCATCATCTCGCCTTCCCGGCCCCTGGCTCACCTCAACCGTTTGACCCAGGATGCCGGTCCCGACAGATATTCCAACGCGACCAGATCTGAACGGTGTCGTGCGCGTCGACCAGGCTGGTCCTTCGCAGCCGACACAACCTGCCGGCCAACCGAGCGATGTCGCCGGTGTCCTTCGCCGAAACCAGGCCTGTCTCGCCTGTCGCCGGCGCAAGCTTGTGAGTACTCTCTTTGATCCCTTCCCTCTTCACTCTGTTTTATCTGCACCTTCCACATCAACACACTCCTTCACACTGCACTAGCCATACACTCACCGACCCCGTGTCACTGCCGACTCGGACATCTCTCAGCTGAACATCCATCATCTCGCCTTCCCGGCCCCTGGCTCACCTCAACCGTTTGACCCAGGATGCCGGTCCCGACAGATATTCCAACGCGACCAGATCTGAACGGTGTCGTGCGCGTCGACCAGGCTGGTCCTTCGCAGCCGACACAACCTGCCGGCCAACCGAGCGATGTCGCCGGTGTCCTTCGCCGAAACCAGGCCTGTCTCGCCTGTCGCCGGCGCAAGCTTGTGAGTACTCTCTTCCTTGTTCTAAAAACAGCCTGATGCTGGACCGCACTGACCCTCCGCAGAAGTGTGATGCTGTGCGTCCGCACTGCTCAACTTGCATCCGCTCCTACAAGCACCTCCTGCGCACTGCACCGAGCACGAATCCCGTTCTCACCTGCGAGTACGACGACGACAAGGAGAATAATGACGGTGACGAGGACGAAGCAGAGGCCCGCCGAAAGCGCCGCAAGACGTCTGGTAGCCGCAAGAAGGCAGACGAGGAAGCGGAACTGGAGCGCGAGCGTCTGAACAAGAGAATAGGTTAGTGCCGTTGTGGGATCTGGATCTGACGCCCAGCCGACCTCGAGGCGCAACTCGCCCGCAAGGATGCGAATCCTTCCCCGCCCCAACCCCCGCAGGCACAGCAGTGGACTGGCGCGCCGATACCGCAGGTCGAGTCGCCTACTGCCTTCCTGGAGATGCTCTCGTCTGCGGCGTCGAGTGCGCCGACTGCCAGGCCACCAGACGGCATGGCGAACGGTGTTCCGAACGGTGTGCCGGGCGTGCCGAACGGGATGCCGAATGGCGCCTCTGCGGCTCCAGGCAGCCCCTATCAGTCTCTCTGGGTTTCAATGGACCGCTCCTTCGTCGAGCCGACCGGCATGACGCCGTACCTGGCATTCAACGAGCCAGACGTGTTCCCCGGCGAGATCAACCCGGCAGCGCAGGGCACGACAGCGATGCTGTCACCTGGCAACGTGTTCAACTTCCCCTCTCCGACGCCGTGGCCGTCAGCCGATGTGCTCGAGAACAGCATGCCGAACGGGTCGTCGAACCTGGCGACCGCGCCGCCGCAGAACAGTCCTAGGACGGCCGAGGCCGCACAGAACGCCTCACCAACGCTCCAGAACAGAAAGGCGTCGGGACAGGCGGATGGATCGCCCGAGGAATCGGGCCTGGACAGGCAGGCACTGTTCGATCTTTTCTATCCTGGCTGGCCTAAGACGCTGCCAGAGCCTGTGGTCGTGAATGCGCTTGTCGAGGCGTTCTTCGACGTTGTCCCGTCGATGCCGCGCATGCTGCACAAGGGGCGGTTCATGACTCGTCTGAGTCTTCCTCCAACACACAGCAACTTCCCGCACCCTTCCCTGCTGCACTCGATCTGCGCAATCTCGTCCGCATGGTGCGATCCCAAAGTCTATGACCCCAACGGACAGGCGCCGGATCCGACAGCGACACGAGCGGAGTTCTTCTCCCGCTCTGGTCCGACGCCAGCGGCGCCAGAAATCCTTCCCTTCAGCCTGCGGCACGCCGCCTTTGCCAAGGACGCGATTCACGACGGCCTGAACACGGGCAGCCGCCTGTTCGACGTTGTCCGCGCCATGATTATTCTGAGCCGTGTGTTCATTGACGACACGCGCATGCTCGAGACGTGGACGTACATTGGGCTCGTGTGCCGGATGATCTTACCGCTGGGTCTTAATGTTCGCTCGGCGGAGTTGTCGTTGAAGAGTGTGATGCTGCCTCCGCCGCATGACGCACTTGAGCGCGAGGAGCGCAGAGTCGTCATCTGGCTCGCGATGTATCACGACACGATCGCATCCGCCGCCTCAGGGTGGGGCACATCGCTCGCTTTGGACGAGCTGACCGTCCCGCTCCCCGTGTCCGCCGAGGACTTTGATGCGGGCAGTCCAACAATGCCCGGAAATTCGCAAGATCTCGAGTCGTTGGATCTCTACATCAAGCACCCCGTCGCGGACCCGCTCGTGATGGCACTGAAAGGCGGCGTACTCCTGAACCGAGTGTGCAAATTCGCGCGTCGGTGGAAGAATCGGAGGTTGCGCGACCATGATGATCTGGACGGCATGCAGCGACCCGAATTCCGAGAACTGGCCAACGCAATCGCGTGTCTGCAAATGTCCTTCCCGCCTTCTCTGCAGGACGCTGGAGTGGTCAATTCGCGGCGGCAGCTCAATGTTGATCTGATCTCGGCACACGTGATTCCGCACACTGCCATTATTTATCTCTACGAGCCATTTGCGGACGTGACGGACCCGAACGACCAGCCCGGCCGCCGTCTCCTCAATGCTGCTCGGAGCATTGTTGGTGTGATCCAGCAGTTGGTCGGAGCGGTGGGGCAAGGCGCCACGAACCTCAGTGCCGTAATGCACAGTAGCACATCCGTGGCACTCGTCACTGCAGCGCGCACACTCCTGTTATTCTACAGGCACGCTCTCAATGTGGGGGACCAGGCCCAAGCCGATTCCTGCAGGCACGACATCGAAACTGCCCGTCTCGCACTCGCGCAATACGGCCAGCGCTTCAAGATCGGGTACCACCACGCGCAGCTGATCGAGTACTTCCTCGACCGGGCCACGAACCCGACGTACGACAAATTGGCAGCGCACTACCCAGACCATCCGCGGCAAGGCGCGATTCGTCTCACGCCGGACGCCAATCTGGGCCTGTGCATTCTGAATGCGCTGAACATCAAGCGGGGATACTGGAAACTGCCCCAGGCGGGGGTCACGCCGGCCATGACGGGGCTGCACTCGCCAGAAGTGAGGATGTACGACAGTCCTCAGTCCCAATCGTCTACTGGAGCGGCGTCGGCGTCCTTGAACTTTGGGACGATGCCGCCGCCCTCGGGGCCTAACAACAACCCTCCCAACCCCTCCCTCAATGCCAACCAGGCCCCGGGACAAGGCCAAGGGCAAGCGCAAGAAGGCTACGGCATGATGCCCCAGTCCGCCTCCCAGCCGCAGCCCAACCAGACCCCCCGGGTGTCGGTCAGCTCCCAATCAAGTGGGGGGTATTGGGACGAAGCCGCGCGACAGTGGAACGAGGGCTCGGGGGCAAGTATAGTGCCGCTGGAGAGCTTGAGTGGGAACCCTTTGCCGCCGTTTGAGAAGGGCGATGTTGCGGGTCATGGGCAGAGTATGGAAACTACGGCGTGGTAACGCATCAGGAGAGGGGAGGAAGGGGTAACGCAGGGGACATTGTATTAGAGATAGTTGTAGCTGAAAGCATAGCATAGCAATAATGTATCGTTCTTCCTACGGACATGGACGTCTTTCTCTCGTTGTTGTGCCACGGGAATCGGGGCCAAAGGACCTTAGCCGCCACTACCGACTGTGTCCTGTGTGTTGAGATATTCTGGAAGAACATGCGTCCAAGCAACCATTGCATGTGTTTCTGATCATTGTCTGAATTATCTGCACCCCATGCACTACCCGTGACTACCCGTAACTACCCGTATTGAGCATGAGTGAGCCTGTGTTGAAAGTAGGCGAGGCGAGGGCATGGAGGGAAGCAGAAACGAAAGTGCGGAACCAATGCGGCAAAGTGGCTCGGTCATGCGGAACAGGCAGTGTGTGCGGAATGACGCCAGACCGATTTGGCAGAGTGCCACACTGCGTTCTAAAGAGGGATGGAGGGACGGATAAACCTTCCTCCGTACGTGTTCGCTTGCGTCGCTTACACTATGCAATAAACGTCAGAGAGGAAGCCAGACCATAGTGAGATGGGAGGGGTTTGTCAGCACTCTCAGCATGTCATTTGTGATGTTTCGATGAGCTGATATGTGGTGGTCAGCAATTAGGGCTCGTGGGATTGAGTGTTCTGTGTTTTGCTACAAGTCGTTATGGGGGTGGAGCGGGACGTACGCAGTCGTCTATTTACCAGCGCGGAAGGGTGATAGTGAGTGTCGCCGTAGAATACTTACTAAAGCCAGAAGTAGAGAGTGCGTGGGGCAGCTATGCACCGCACAACTCTTAGTTGGATCACGGACAGAGCGCAGAAACAGAAAGGCTCAGAAAGCAGACGGATGGCAGGAATCAGAGTAGGCGGCAGACGACGGGTATCTAAGGCTTTTCGTATTGCGGCGATCACAGCGACAGAGGTGCTATGACGACAACCTCGCCAGTCTGGAACGACCGCTTCCCTTGGAACGACTATAGTGGAACACTACAGAGTTTGTTGGATTTTCCAGAGTTTCGAGGAGTGCGACTTCCGAAAGAATGCGATGGATGTTGGCGGGGAAGACACCGAAGACACCGCCCCAGTTTGCTGGATATGGGGATGTAGCCTGCTCAACACTGCAAGAGAGAGAGAGAGAGAGAAGTTTACGACGAGGCGCAGTGCCTGTGACCAGCACATGGAATGTTTGGGATTCCCAGAGTATTCTGGATTTTGCTTGCTGCGGAATGAATATTGCGACGTGGAAGCGGGAGGCTGGAAGAACTCGGGATAAACTTTGCGCGTGAGGTGATGGGGTGTGAGGCTGCGATGTGTTGACACCGGAACAGGGAGCTGTGACGATTACAGAAGCCCCCAGGATGGTTGATGCGAGGAAGGAGGGAAGGCAAACATGGCAAGGATGATGGAGTGATGTCAAGGAGCCGTGTCAAGGTTCTGGGGTGCAGTCCTCAAATGTCGCGGAATGGCGGAGTCTCCTTGGCTTTTCGGGGATCGTAGTTGTTGGAACAAATGGGGAATGGCAGGAACCAGGGGGTATTGTGGAGCCATAACTTTGACGTACTGGAAACTCTCGTGTGACGATGAGTGGGGAAAGGAAGACAAACATGACAATGCGGGGGTTGTGGGGAGTGGGAAGACGTCGCAAAATAGTGTGGACTTATTCTGTTCCTGTTCCTGCAATGTGGCGATGTCTCGTGCCGTCATGGACCATTGTGGACCTTGCAGAAGGAATTGCGGGGGAGGGAAGAGGGAAGAGAAACGGCCAAGATATAGCAGAGCACGTCAGGCAGAGTGTATCCGGCGATCGTGGTGAGAGAGACTGCGGAATGTGGACACCATCTGGGTTTCGGGGATCGGCACGTCCCAATGGCGTCGTGGCAGGAACGCTGGGAGACCGTAACCGCATCAGGCAAGTTGTGACGAGCGCAAGGCGTGGCGTGTGGCTACAATCTGTGCATCGTGGCTACATCCCGACCTCACGGGTCCTTTGCCCGCCACGAGCCCCACTACGTTCAGGATTAGGCAGTTCTCCAGCGGACACTCGTGCGGGAAGAAGAAGCTGGCGTGGCGGGGCCGTCGCCGCTATCTCTGACGCAAGGCCGAGTAATCCTTCCTCCGCTGGAGCAAGATCGCTCCACTCCTTCGGATCACTAGTTGTACCTTGTCGTTTGGAGCTGTCGTTTGTCCTGACATACCGCGGAGCAGAGTGAGGCACAGCGACAACGTTCTGCCGTGTAGAGTTACAAAGGTTGCAAAGGTTCTGCCGCAATGTGGCTGCTTACAGCTGGATGTTTACGTTCGTGGCAGTCTTACGATAGCAGTATCTGATAAGCTGGCAGTGATTTGTCAGTGGGTGGAAGTAAGCGAGGATGGGGGAGGGGTGTGACTGATTTGTAACAAGTGCGGAAGATGAAACGTGGCTACGTTCTTTTCGTCCAATCGTCTACCTACTGACCGATTCTGACCTACATGTCTACGCACTCATTGCGGCCGCGCACGATGCTTATAAAGTGATCTGATTTGCGCAGACACTACAGCATGGCCAATGCTACAGCAACATATTTTTCAAAGACCCGCCGAGGCACCCAGGACGGCAGATCGGACTCGGGATGATGGGAGGGACCGCGTCTGCCTCAGATCACCATGGGGTGACCTGCACTTCTGACTTATGTCAAGAGTACCTCGTTGATAGTGAGCACATCTCCTTATCAATATGAGGAAGTTCGGCCATTCATTGTGAGTTTTCCGAGTTCCCAGATATTGTGTGACGGGACTGTTGGCCAGTCTGCCACTCTCCCATTGCGAGTAAACACGCACCTGGCACGGCCTGCGGCCGATGCCATCTCAGTCATCCCAAATCGCGGGCTCCGATCAGTATCACTGGATTAAGAAGAGGGAGCATTCTGATCCATCAGGAGTAGGCAGGAGTTCTCCAGGGATATGCTAATTGGCGGCCATATCCCGACCCAACCCTCCCTCGAGCGACGGTGTCCCAGGACGAACATTCTTAGCGCTAACGAAGCTACTACGTCTGCTTTTGGGACTCCGCTCTTCGCGTATTGTTCTCTGCTAAAACGCCAGGCATCGGAATCGGGGAGTCCGCGCATCTCGATAGCCAGAATAGCCCAGCGTAAAGCCGCTGATTACTTCAACGCTCGGCCCACGAACATGACTGGGTTGATGCCGACAATAGCTAAGGTCTCCGTGGAGACTCCGGCCCAGGCGCGTTAACTACCAGACTTTCCTGTACACACACTGCTTGGCGCTGCCATAGCAAGCGGTACGGAGACACCTCAGTGGCTGCCCTCACGACAGACCTCCGTTTGCCAGGGCACTTCGAGATAATGGATGAGAGCGCACAGGTGACGATAAGCGGCATGCCCGACAGCCGCTGAACTGGCCCGGTTCTTTGCGCAGAACCCCGGTATCCTTTGACTGCGGCCAACGTCCAGTTTCCTGCTCCGCCACGAAGTTCCGACGTTTCGATAGTGGCAGTGACGCTCAGTTGATGTCCTCAAAGTCCGCCGACTACCATCGGCAGATTGCGCCGTGTTCTCCGGGCCCGAGCGTATTGGGAGCTTTCACGAGGGGGAAGAAGGGGTTTACACAAGATGCCTGGTAGGTCGTGTACGAAGTTTACGCCGATTCCAGCAAAGACGCACCTCCCGTACACCTGTTCGGCTACCTTGGTCGATCTGGTTGCTCCGAAACAGGCACGCCTTGCCGCGAGCTTAACTTCGATAAAGCCTGGTAATGTTCCGAGAGGCTGTGAGTAAGCCGTCACCTCATCATGCACATTCAGGTATGCCGAGCTGCAGTGAGCAATGACAACACTGGCATTTAGCATGCGCCCGGTGGAGAGAAAACAAGTTTGGAGAAGCGTGGATTCGGCTGCCAAGGCCGATTCACACACCGGTTGGCGCTGCGTGCACAGTCACCTCTTGTCCTGAGGTAGGGCCGGCGTACCGACAACTGAAGTCAGCAAGGAAAGCGTCCCGATATCTGATATCTGATAGCTGGCAAGAGTCAGCGTATGCCTTCACACCTGGCTGGACGCCTCCCGCCAAATGTGACTTGGGTGTCTAATCTGAGCACCTGTGGTCGTGGGCTCAGTGGAGAATGAGATCGGCAGCTGCGATGAGCTCATACTGCAGAGACTTCAGGCACCTCTCGATCTCTCGATTAACGCGTATGAACGAGGAACAGCGACGTAGAGGAAAGACACATCCGACAGATCATCGACATCACGATCCGAGGGTCATTCCCCTCCTGCACATGCGCCCAGCAAGAGTCCAGACCGGCCAGGCCTCATCCGTCAGGTCTTGCGCTTTGCACATGTTCTGGAACTCGCGGCCGGCCTGACTGGGGCGCAGGTACGGTCGGAGTCTGGAATCTGGCTCTTGTGGACTCGTGGAAAGATCCGGGGCCTCGAAAAGCTGCGCAGTCGTGCAACAGCGCTCGCAGTGCCTGCGCCTTTCAGGACGCCCAGGGCGACTGATTTTCACGTTCTTCACGTTCTTCACACTCCTTCCTTATCACTCTTCGGCCCTCAGCTCCACTCCACTCCAGTCATGTCCACTCAGGCAGGCTGGAGGGGACGACGTCTTGCGGAGAAGAGGACAGCCCGATGGATCCAACGGGGTGTGCAAGTTGACCGTGCCCACGGAGAGGAGAGCTCGAGCCGCACACGAAGCGGCAGGGAGCGATCGGTCGGACCGGAAGCGTGCCAGGGATTCAAACCCTGACCCGAGGGTCCCTGCGCAGTTTCGTCCCCTCAGCGCCTCAGCTTGGCGCTTTGAGGTCTCCCCTCGCCCGTCGTTGTGTGCGCGTGTGCATGGCTGACGATGGCTTGGTGTATGTCTGGGGATTGCAGATCTTGTGTGTGAATGTGTCATGCACACAGTGTGCAGAAGGAAGATAAGCATAACCATCGAGGCACCGAGCACCGAGCAGATGGAGTGTGCGGGACGCGTCGCACGACTCTCTCGCGGCACGCGTTTTCCGCCCACGCCACCACGGCAGGGGCCCAGCGTCGACTCTCTTCCGACAGAACAGAGCTAGCCGCATCTAGTGCAGAGGACGTTCCGCGCGTATCCGTGCACCACTTAATTCCCGGGGACCCGAACCCGGGCAATCAACGGCCCATTGTTGCTTTTCGTACCGGTCGTGGTCGTATCGTTGGCCACTGCTGTGAGCTCGGACAGCACTGTGAACCATGCGCTGACGCGCCCCCGGTGCGTCTATCACTCAGAGGCGTGTCGAGGCGCGTCTGCACCACCCTAAACCATTTTGAGGTGCCGGAGTGTTCCATCGACGCCACGTTTCCAGACAGGACAAGAATGCGTAGCAGGTTGTCTGCATTCTGATTGCAACAGGACGCAAAGTGGGATCAGGCAGGTAACTGAGTACGCGGGCAAGGCACAGAACCCGAGGATGAAGAAGAGGTAGGGTGAGTGCCAGGGACGGGGGCTCCTGATTTCCATCACCCTTGCCGTGCAAGGGCGCAAAGGGGGAGTCTTCGACAAAAGACCTCGAGAGGACGTAAAGCTGCACCTCGGAACCGTCGGCTACGCGCGTTTGCTAATGGAGACTCTACGGCAAACCCAACTAAGCTTTGGCGCCCTGAACCCAACTCGATCCTCACCGGCCAAGTTTGTTGTCCACTCCATCCAACACTCCATCATCCATCACCTCACTACTTGCCTTCTCTCCATCACTTGTCTCCGAAAACATCCTCACTCCGCCTCTCCGACCCCGACCCCGAATCAATGTCCTCCTAGCCTTGCACCCCGACCACCCACGACTTCTCTCAGACCAACCCGACTCTCTTTATCCAGTTTCCTCGCCAGCCTTTCTCTTCCGCCAAAATGGTGCATATGCCCCTCGTCCACCGCCAAGTCGCCGCCCCGAAGAATGGAACGGCATCGGCAAACCCTTCCTCCTCAGCCCCCGCCAACGTGAAGACGCAGTTGTCGTCCTCGCTTCCGCCACCGCGCACGCCTACTCCGACACAGTCACCCAAGGCGACGACGTCGACCACACATGCCCTCCCGTTAGCGGTGGGCACGTCGTCGGTATCAGTCCCGAAGGGCGTGCTTCTGAGCAACGGAACGGCGGCGGTCGGACCGCTGTTATCGACGAGCCCAGTACAGCCGACAACATCGGCGACGTCTTCGTTCATCGAGGAGGAGGACATCAGTATCGATATCACCGAGATTGTTGCCATCCCCACCTCGACCCCGCCACCGACACCAACACCCTCTGCTTCGTCCGGTACCACGACAGTTCCGCCGATAGCGCACACGAGCCTTCCGCCAGCGTCCAGTTCGTCCGCCGCCCCGTCGGGCACAGGCATGCTGGACACTGGTGCGTTGATCGGTATCATCGTAGCCGGTAGTGTGATTGCACTCTCGCTCTTAGGTCTGTGCATTGCGTGCGGCGTCCGTGTCCGGCGCAGCAAGCGCACTCACGCCCACCTCGACGACCTCCCCGCCATTCGCGCCGAGTACCCGCACCCCGTCCGGCCAATGACACAGGTGACGCAGGTGACGCTCCCCGAAGCACGGGACAGCGTCTACACTCGCCGCGACCTTGCGCCGCCCCGCGCCGCAGAGTTCGCTCCCCCGATGAGGAGCCATGCGGCATTCGGTGCACCGCGCATGTCCCGTGCCACGACGACGTCGGCGTGGACGGACCACAGCGAGGCGGACGCCTTTGCCCATGACGGAAGCACGATCGCGCGCACACTCTCGACCGTCTCACGGCCGAACTCGGAGTACGACCTCGAGAACGACCCTGGGGCCACCTTCCGCGCCTGCCCCGGTACGCCCGGCACGTTTGGCCTCCCGGCCTCTTCCTCTTTCGGCCCGTACTCTCACTCGAACGCGAACAGCCTCGACCTCGGACCGGCCATCAGCGCCGGCGCGGCTGCTTATGCGGGCTACGCGGGATCGAACTATGCGACGACGAGCTCGGGCTACGCGACCAACTCGGGCTATGCTACGAACTCGGGATACTCTGGCTACCAGTCCTCGGGTCCCAGCTATGCCAACACGTACCAGTCCTCTTCGCTCGCGGGGCCCAGCTTCGTCGCGCAGGATCAGCCGGGGCAGCAGCGCGTCCCCGCACCGCGGTTACTCGTGGACACGAAGCGGACTCTCGCCGAGAATCCCTCCAGCCCCTTCTACGAGGGTCCCGTCGCCGGACCGAGCCACTCCCAATCACGCCCGCAGACGGAGTACACGCAGATTCTGTCGCCATCTTCCTCGACCGGCATGGGTACGCTCGGCGGTATGGGCACGATGAGCTCGGCCGCGTCGCCTTTGAGCCCGACAAGCACGAGTGGATTCAACCAGCCCCAGGCGAGCGGCTCTGGACTCCAGCGCGGCCCAACAATCATCCGACATGCCGACGCCGGAGCGTTCGCCGACGCCGTGCCAGATGACCGCAGCGAGGTCCACCTCCCCCCAGCCTATGGGGACATCTACGGCCCGCCGGCGGCGTAGAGCGCCGCGACCCCACATCCTGAAGTACCGCGGGAGCCAAGGGCCCCGAGGACTTCTACGCCGCCGCAACACCCCGGCACGAGTTCGCACCACGTCCGCCGGAGTAGCGGGCAGGCGCGAACCCTTACCGCGCGGGCGGGATGGGATGAGTGGATCTAGTTTGGCTGGCCGGGCGTCAGCCAACCCACCTATAGTCTGCGCCGGCCAAGGCGGCGCGCCTCCCCATCCTGTGCCACTTGATGTTAAACGGCCACACATCGCATGCGCCCGGAGCGCACCCTCGCCGCGCGAGGGCTAACGAAACACGACCTCACGACTAAGCATACACTCTTTAATCCGCCACGCACTGTTGCGGCACTCTTCGTCCCCTGTTCTGCGCTCGCGCAGGCACCACCCACTTGGCACCAACTCGCCACGACATTCACTCACACTTCGGCAGGCAGGCATTGTCTGCTACGACAACTTGCCGACGCAAGTTGGCAGTAGACTACACGGCATTTTGTAACACCATCACTACATAGGAAAATCATGGCGGCGGGCCGCGATGCATTTTGGCTGTTGTACGGATCGTCTGAGCGCGTCGACAGATGGGCGAGGAGTGGCTGATGAACTGAACTGATCTGAACTGATCAGAACTGATCTGAACCACAGGCGCAGAGCTGGGTGGGCTGAGCGGGTTGGTTTGAGCTGAATCACAGGCGCAGAGCTGGGAAAGGTTCTGGCCTACAGCCATGCTCAGAGCAGCTCACTGCCACTCGGCTGCTGACTTGAGACCTACATATGGCTGGGTAGACAGGTGGGAGAGAACCCATGTTGAATGTTCGCCTAAGCTGGCTGGATGAGAGTGATGAGATAATGGGTCTAGTGCATTGTTGGGTCTACAGTTTGCTTCTTCATCTTTCCTCCACAGTCTGCTTCTCTCCTCGTCGGCATCGCCCTCGCTCCCCTAGCGGACAAGCGGACAAACGTCGCACTCGCACTCCTCGCTCCGCTCGTCGTGCTCGCCAGACTGAACGCCCGACTCGCTCCCTCCACCCGCTCCTCCTGCTTCGCTCGCTGTGCTCGCTCATCGGCTTACGTGTCCGTAACAGCCTTGACGGCGGCAACCTTGCCTCCGGCGCGGAAACCGGCCGCATCGCGCCCGTCGTCGCCGACTTGCGGCGCCTTGATCTGCACCTTGTGCCCGAAGAGCGAGCCCTTCAGCGATGTCGCCGCGGAGCCCAATGTAACGGAGAGAAGACCCCAGAAGACGCCTTGCAGGAAAGGAGAAATGATCTGGTGTCAGCTTTCATGGCCCAAGCCCTAGCTGCTCTTCCTCCTGCCTTTCCCCCGCTTCTTGAGCTCTCGTTCGGAATGCGTCGAAGTGCGACCTCGCGCACTCTTCAACGGGGCCTTTGACACACTCCCCTCTATCAAGCTACACTCGGCTCGCTTCGCTCGCTCCGTGACTCACCTGATCCTTGATCGTCACAGCCAGCACCCTTCCCCAATCCACAACGACCGGCTCCGCATTGTAAATCGCAACGGCCGTCTCCTGGTTCGACGGCTTGTCGAAGCGCATGCTCCCGTCCTTCTCCTCGGTGATGACCGCCCTCCGCTTCGGCGACACGGCGGGCAGGATGCTCTTGAGATACGCGACCTCGAAGCGCAGCTCGGGAACAGGCGGCATCGTCTGGCGCACGCGCCGGCGCACAGCCTCCACCTCCTTCTCCCGCTCCGCGCGCCGGGCAGCCGCTGCTGCTGCGAGTGTTGGTGACAGGCCCGGGAACGACATGGTGTGCGATGAGGGTGCAAGGCGACGGGGGAATGAGATGATGTAGCTGGTACTGGTGACGGGTGGCGATTTGGTCCCGCTCCGCCGATCACGATATCGATGACCTGATGCGTCCGGTGGAGGTCCAGCAACGTCAGAAGTTGATACGAGGGTCGCCGCTGGAACAACAACAACAACCAGACAGCATGTCCGTTGCGTCCTCGTGAGTCCCTAAGTTCTTCTACTCATTGGTTTTGCTGTGTGGCTAGGTTCTCGAGCTGACTCCAGACGCGCTCAATCGCTATCACCGCGAAAGCGACCCACCCGCGCCTCCAAGACGCACCTGACACAAGCGGGATGCTACGTCTCCGAGCAGTGTGTGTTGGAGGGCACAATCGTACTTGAGCGCGGATGCGTCCTGCACCCAAAGGCCGTCATCATCGTCGCCCCAACCTGTACCGTGACCTTCGGACCCGGCTGCGTCGTCGAGGAGAACGCCGTGCTGCACTTCCCCGGTCCCGGCAACGCTACGGTCGGACAGGGCAATGCGTTCCAGGTCGGCTGCGCCGTTGACTTGGTCCCCGACGTCGTGCCGCCGAGCTCACCACCCCTCCCCGCCGCCGACGGCACCGTCCCTCCTCCCACGAGCAGCGGCGTCGTGCCCAGCATAGGCGAGTGGAACACCTTCGCGCCTAGGAGCCGCGTGAAGAGCGTCCGCGTGGGAGACTGGTGCACCTTCGGCCCTGGGACTGCGCTGCGCCCCGACCATCCGCAGCTCGAAGTGGAGGACGCGGGGAGTAGGCGATGGAAGGCGGTCCCGAGCCAGAGTGTAGTGTACGGCGCGACGAGTAGGATACGGCACTGGGACGGGAGCGGGAAGGAGCATGAGCTGGGCGTCAGGCGCAGCGCGACCGAGTTCCTGCGCGAGATCATGCCGAAGTGAGTGGCCCGTGGACCATTAGCTTACAAGTGACCGCTACATTAGCTGACACCGCAGGCAGCAGAAGAGGGACACGCGCCCGCCACCGCCGGCGAGCACGCCGCAGGCACAGCAAGCCCCGCCACAAGCTCAGACATGAGTGAGTGTGCAGCTGTGAGTTCGTCCTCCAAGCTGACGGCGCAGAAGTAATGGTTTGTCCAAGCTGCATCTCATTCACCACTCAGCTGACAGCCAGATACGTTTTCATCCTCGTATCCTGTGCTTTCAATCTGGCCGCCAGCCCATTCTGAAGTATACGTCCAGGGCACGATCTTCGGTCGACATCCGACCATTAGGGGAGAGTGTACGTCCAGCTGATTTGTACGTGGAAGTCAAGCTGACACGTAGAATGATCGGTGTCAGAAGTTTGAGAAGCTCATTGCACCGGAGGAGAGGGCGGCGATAGGTATGTGCAGCTCTTCAATCGTTTGCCCGAGCTGACAACAGCCTCTCCGTAAGCGCAACAGCAGAGAGGACGTGCGTACCGGCTGAAGCATGAGTCCAGAGCTGGCATGCAGATGCGCAAGGTGTGTCCAGCTCGTCGGCCACGCGCTTGAAACTGACCTTCAGCCGTATATTTACCCAGCACCGCGCCCAGTCAGTTCATCATCCTGTGTCATAACTGACGTCCAGCCCGTTGTATAGAGTAATGGATGCATAGTTCTACAATGATGTCTAATGCCCAACAGCCCTCGCCACGCTGCCAATCTCGTCCCACATCCCCTCCCCATCCAGCTCTGCGTACTGCGTCACTAGCCCAGGGCTCGCGAGGTCCACGGCGCTCACAGTCCGGAGCGTGGGCTTGGGACCCGTTCCGTGGGGCCGCACGCTCTCAGCGACGTCCATGATCTCATCGGCCACGAGCGTGGCCGTCTCCTTTCCAACGGTGATAGTCGGTGGGGGCGTGAGGCCCTCCTCGGGGGCAATCTTGCCAAGTGGCGGCGGGGGGATCGTGTCGCTCTCAACTGCTGGTTCCTCAGCTTCGGTCACAGCGGGAGTGGCAGGAGCAGCGCCACGACGGAGGTTCGTCACGTCGTCCAGCGCCAGACCAGTGACATAGTCCGCGCTCTGGGCGGCACGGGAGAAGAACTCAGCCAGCGGAGCAGGGACAGCCGTCGACTCGGTCGAGCGACTGATGAAGCGCACATCGACCGGCTTCCAGGGCAGGGCGACGTCCGTCAACACTTCGTTCCTCTCCACGCGGGCGCTGAGGTCGAGCATCTTCTTCTCCTCCCTCGGCTTCTCCGCCTCCTTGCCGTCCTCCTTCGCTTCCTCCGCCGTGCTACCGGATGCGGAGAATGTAGGGCTCGCAGCACTCGCCGTAGAGCCCCCCTCGATCAGCCGATCGATGTCCCCCCGACTAGCACCCAGGATCTCATCGACGAGGTCGTCCTCCTCCTCGTCCTCGGAGAGGAAGCGGTCGAGCGCCTCCCGGCTCGCGTCGCCTGCGAACAGATCGCCGCCCTTCAGCTGCTGGTCGAGGAGTTCGGTCCAGTGCGGCTCGTGGCCTGGTTTCTTGGCCGCCTGGATCTCCCTCAGGGGATAGGTCGCCTCGACGACCAGTTTGCCCTGGGGCAGGGCGTAAGTCAGGCGACGCCGACGGCGAGTTCGTTCGGGGAGGGGGAAGCGGACCAGTGCGGGGGGAAGGGCAGGGGAGAAGACGGTTCCCTCCAGATCGGCGATGGGCGATCCCGGGGCGAGGGGGTGGGAGCCCTTGATCGGGGGCGTGAAGGGGTGGAGGAGGCGGAAGGGAGGAGGTGGTGGCCGAATCGGGCCAGTGTCGATCCGTTGTCGGGAACAAGGGAGGAGAGCACGTCCTTTGTTCCGAGGACAGGGAGCGTGGACACATCCTCGCCCTCGACCTCCTCGCCGCCTGAGAGGCGGAAGAGACTTCGTCCATCGACGCGCGCAGCCTCAGCCCATGGCAGCGGCGCACTGCTGGCGGGAACGTGTGGGAGGAGCGCGAACGCGCCGTCGTGGCTCAGCAGTGTCAGAGCCGGCGAGGATGCGGACAGCTGCAACGCCACACGCTCCAGCATCCCCCTCGCAGCCGCGACCTCGGACGACGAGCCGGTGATGCCGCCCTGGTCGATCCACGCGCCAGTCGCCTGCGACACGGTCCAGCGCACGCGGGGTGGCATGTCGAGTGAAGTCGGGAGGGGCTCGATGGTCAAGGTCTGCCGTCAGCTTTGCTCACTACTGTCAGAAGCTGGAGTAGACTCACATTGACGAAGTCGTGCAGGAACCGGTTCACGGTGTCGAGCACCGCCCTCGGTCCATCGGCGGTGAGGACGTATCCCCCGGCTTTGGCGGGCTGGACAGATACATGCGTGCCGGGCAGAGCCTCCAGCCACTCCATAAGCGGCAGAGAGCGCTGGAGGTGGAAAAGCGTCGCGGAGCTCATGGGGAACTCCTGGGCATAGCTCTGCTCCGGCGCCTTGGGTTTCGGCCACCCCCAGCTCTGGAGGATCATGGCCGTCACCTCTTTCTTCTTGCTGCTCTTGCTGACCGGGAGCTGCAGCTCCTGACACAGCGCCAGGAGTTGCGCACGCATGAACGCCCTGTCGACCCTGTTCGTGAGCGCGGCGTATTTGTCGGCATAGTCTGGTCGCTTGGTGGAGGGGACGTCCTCGGGTTGCAGGGCGAGCAGGTCGTCGACTGTCGGCTGGGCGTCGTCGTCCTTCCGCGCCGGCCGCGCCGGCGTCGGGTCAGGAGCAGATTGCGCAGCGAGCATACTCTTCATCGCTGCCGCCTTGGCGAGAGCCTTCCGTCGCCTGTTGCCCTCAGTGACGAACTTGGCTGTGCGGCGGGGAGCGGCGTCGTCGTTCAGGCTCGAGGCGGTGACGCATATCGGTCGTCGGAGTGTTGAGGGGCCGGCGACTGCCGGAGCAGCGAGGCGAGAAGTAGCCAAGCGCGGTCGTAGTCGCAGCGCGTGGCTGAGCATCGTCGTGTGGGTGGTGTGGTAGATGTTGTGGAGGGTGCCCGATCGAGATTCGAGGCCGACGACATCGGCCAGCTCGAAAATCCGGTCTCTGGCGCGGAGAATGGTCCAATCTCCGTCTTCCGACGGCCTATCTTATCTTGCTGCGTGCCCCGAGCGTACATGCATCGATGCGAAACAAATTTAGGCCCAAAAAAGTCCAATGCATATGCTTGAATTGATTCTCTACAAGAGTTTTTGTATGTGTGTGTGTGACTCCCTCCTAGATGCAGTTACCAGCGGACAGGCGGCTGCTCGGTGACCTCGACCATGGACGGCCTGAGGTCCGAGATCTTGTTGGCGCCGAGGAGACGGAGGGTGAGCTCGATCTCGGACTTGAAGATACCGACGGCGTGCTCGACTCCCTCCTCGCCGGCAACAGACTGGGCATAGAGGAATCCACGGCCGACACCGACACCGTTCGCGCCGAGGCAGAGAGCCTTAACGACCTCAGTACCGCGGGTGACACCGCCGTCGATGAAAATGTCGAACTTGCGCTCCTGTTTGCCCGGAGCGTCGGGGGGAGTCAGGCGGTCGGGATGCTCAAGAGCCTCCTTCGAGAGACCGGTGGGGGCACGGAACTCAGGACGGAGGAGCTGGGGGGCGTGCTTGCGGATCTCAAGGAGGACGTCAAGCGAGGGACGGGTGGTGTCGAGCTGGCGTCCACCGTGGTTCGAGATAACGATACCGTCGCAGCCGGCCTTGTAGGCCATAAGGGCGTCCTCGACTGTCTGAATACCTGGAAGTCAGCTAATGTTCGACGAAACTGAAGCTGATGACTTACCCTTTACCATGATAGGAATGTCAGTAATGCCGCGGAGCCACTTGATGTCGTCCCAGTTGAGGTCAGGGTCGACGCCGGCGAACATGGCCTGGGAGACACCCTTGGCGTCGTCCGACTTGATGGAGACACCGCCAGCGGGTCCCTCAAAGTCACCCTTAAGGCGGAGGTCACGCTCGCGCTTGCCACCGACGGGGGCGTCGGCAGTGAGCATAATGGCGTTGAACTTGCCCTTGTTGATCTTCTTGACGAGCTCCTCGGCCTGCGCACGGTCACGGTTGACGTAGAGCTGGTAGAAGAGCGGCTGACCCTCCTCACGCTCGGCGAGCATCTCGTCCATGCTGCACGAGGCGTTCGAGGAGATGCCCTGGATGATGCCGGTGGTGCCGGCGCCGCGGGTGAGGTTCAGCTCTCCGTCGGGGTGGCCGAGCTTGGCCATGGCGGCGGGGGCGATGTAGATGGGGAGAGACGAGGGGCAGCCCATGAGCTCGGTCGAGGCGTCGGCATCGCGAACCTTGCGGAGGACGCGGGGGCGGAAAAGGACCTTTTGGTAGACAGAGCCGTTGGCATTCTTGGCTGCAATGTCAGCAGCAGCTACTCAAGGAACGGGGAACTCACTGATCTCGTCGTCACCTGCGGAAGCGTAGTAGGCCCAGCAGACCTTGCTGACCATGTTCTCGGCGAGCCTCTCGAAGTCCTGTTTGTCAGCTCCATGGACGCTCTTGCGGAGCTCACCTTCATGTTGATAACGCCACCGAGGCCCTTCTCCTCCATCTCCTTGCGCGCCTTCTCGACACGCTCCATCTCCTCGAGCTCAGCCTTCGAGATCGGCAGGGCGATCTCGTGGAGCTCCTCGGGAGAACCGACGACGCGACCAACAACGCGCACTGAGTCCGGGAGGTGGCCGGGGAGGAGCTGGTCGGAAGGGTGTCGCGGCTTGAACAAAGGGGTCACGTCGTAGGAGCGGTTGTGCATGATGATGTCCGCACCACCGGGGTGGCCCTCCACGAACCCAGACATGCTGTATGTCAGCTCAAATCAAGGCGCAGGATAGCTTACTCATAGACGAGGCCGTCGATGACGACCCAAACCTCAGGGCCGGTCTTGCGCTTAACGATCTCGGACGGGTGAATAATCGGAAGCTGGTCGCGGGGCGTCTCGACCGACGAGTCGAGCTTGATCTCCTTGCTCGTGAGATAGAAGAGAGTCTGTTGTCAGCTAGTCCTCGGCAGATGAGCTTACCGGGAGGGCGAGGGCGGCGGCGCCGAACGCCCAGCGTCCATTGCGTCGCGAGTACTCGTTGCGACTCGGGCCAGCAGCCTGGGTTGCGACGCCGCGGAAGCTCTGGCGGAGCAGGGGGCGGGCGGTGTTGAGCGCCCTCGTAGCGGTTCTCGTCGAGGCCAGCATCTTGATCGTTCTCGCGGCGGGGGTGGGGAGGGGATGGACAGGAGACGAAAGACAAGGAGGGAAGACAAGAAAGTCGGGCTCGAGGCTGCGTATTATGTTCGACTTCCCGACATCGCGGGGGGTGAGGAAAGGGCCCCCACAAATCGCGGCATCCCACGGCCCAACCTGAAGCCGGCGGCAGGGCTCCCCGCCTGTCACGCCTGACCACTGGCTGACCGACGCGCCGCCTTTCCGATCCGGAATGCCCCACTATAGGTCGGAGAGACTCTTCCACTGCACCTCACCTCGGCCACGCGCGCTGATATGCTGATTCACAGACGACGTACGCTATGTTCCTCCGCATCCAAGATCCCAAAGACGTGCTTGCGACTCGCCCGTCGCCGGCTCCTTCCTCGGCGCCTTGCCGGAGAGTTCTGTTGAGTGCGAAGGAAGCGGGCAGCAAACTTCCCAATCTAAATCGTTGTGGGGCAGAAGGGGGCCAGCAATTAGCCTAGGTGCCCCGATCTGCACGTCAATGCTGCCTCCTGGGGCATCATCAACCTCCTCTGCTTGCCCCGCAAGGTTTTCCGCTCGCGCTAAGAGATGGTAGTCGCAGTGAAGGTCGAGGTAGACGACAAGGTAGAAAATACCGAGGATCTCGGCCGCTGGCGGCTCCCAGGGTCACTAGATAACGATACAACGACTGGATAGGACAGAGCCGGAATTATTAATGTTGGGTCACTTGAGCGATTAGGCTCTGATATAGCAGATCGACGCTGAGGAGTATACAAGTCTTGGCAAGCCACAATCTGCACCCGGACATATCGGTATCTCCGCCTTCCTTGCACCGGGTGGAGGTCAACCGATTCCAATGTTGACTCGGGCGTTCAGGCGAAGTGTCCGGCACTCGATACCCCTCTGCACTCACAAAGATGTCCCGAAGACACTCCCAGTTCCGCCCGTGCATTGACTTGCACTCTGGCGTTGTCAAGCAGATCGTCGGTGGAACGCTTGACCTCGACTCGGCCGCCGCGGGACCGAAGGAGAACTTTGTTGCCGAGTGAGTGTCTACCCTCATTGCCTTCCTCGCCTTCCCTCCATGGTGTCAGGGCGCTTTCCCACCTCTACACGATAGCAAATCCTTGATGATGCTGTCTCCATGATCATTCTGCCTATTTAATCTAGTCTCTTATTCTACCTCCGGGATTGCAGGGCATAGCCTGTCCTCGCTGTGCGCTGTGCTGCGGAAGCTGACAACAGGAACCCGCCGAAGTTCTACGCCGAGCTGTACCGCAGCAACGGCCTTGTTGGTGGACATGTGATCAAGCTCGGTCCTGGAAATGACGCCGCTGCTCGTGAGGCGCTCGCTGCCTGGCCGAATGGACTACAGGTCGGCGGTGGCATCAATGCGGGCAACGCCCAGGAGTGGCTCGACGCGGGCGCGGAGAAGGTGTGTATCGCGTGCTGGCGGCAGGCCCGGGGTTTGCCCCTCGCCGGCGAGCAATGGCTTCGTAGTGTGTGACAACTAAGCTGACACGCAGGTCATTGTGACGTCGGCGCTCTTCCCTGGCGGCAAGTTCGCCGAGGAGGTGCTTCGCGAGATGTCGCAGAAGGTCGGAAAGGAGCGTCTGGTCGTCGACATCAGGTAAGCTATCCTGGCGGATGTTGATGCTGATATGCAGCTGCCGGAAACGAGAGCAGGGATGGATCGTTGCTATGAACGGTTGGAAGACTCTGACGGACATGGAGGTGAATGCGGACAGCATCAAGCTCATCGAGCAGTACTGCTCCGAGCTGCTGATTCATGCGGCCGACGTCGAAGGCCTGTGCCAGGGCATTGACGAGGAGCTCGTCAAGGGTGAGTTTGGAAAACATAGAGAGACCAGATTGGGACCTGCAGCTCTGGCGAGTATGAACCAGTATGAGCTGACGTGCAGCTCTCGCTTCCTGGGTCTCGATTCCGTGCACCTATGCGGGCGGCGCGAAGGAACTCGGCGACCTCGCCCTTGTCGACCAGCTGTCGAACGGCAAGGTCGATCTCACGTTCGGCTCGGCGCTGGACATTTTCGGCGGAAAGGGAGTCAAGTTTGACGACCTCGTAGCGGAGGACAAGAAGGCCAAGGACGCCAGCCAGTAATTGTTGTTGCATTGCATTGGACATAGCATAATGCGCACGGATCCAGTCCGAGCGGAGAGTGGCAGATGGAGCGGCCCTTCTCAGCGCGTACTGCCAGCGCTGCTCTGCCGAGCTGCGGCAGTGCCCCGTGCGGGGATCTGTCAGCACGACGTGCGGGCAGTGTCTGCACCTGCACTGGCAATCGGCCGATGCATGTGACAGTGGGGTCCCCTGCGAACGCTAGCCGTCACAGCGTCGTCTTGTCACTATGGTTACGGTCACTCTGATATTATCAGTTGTGGCGCGGAGTGACTTTGCGCTGAAGTGCTTTCCCGTGGCCTTGAACGGCATACGGCGGAAATCAGACGCCCGTTGTGGGGGAGGGACGGAGGAAGCCGAGGTTTCCGGCGGCTATCAGCGGAAAAACCAAGCCCTGTGTCGTGGCTGGGTCAGCACGGATGTGATTTGAGCTTGCAGTTGTGACAGTGCTGAAGGAACAAGAGGCAGTAGCCAAGGTGATGCAGACAGTGAGCAGAGCGGATCAGCAAGTCATGGGCGAACTGCCACGCCTACAGAGCAAGGATGAGGTAGGCCACTGGGTGGTTGTGGATTGGGGAGAGTGTGATTTGATGGAGCCATGACGTAGGGCGATGAGCGGAATCCCGAGGAAAAATTGGAAGTCACCGTCGCATGAGAAGCCTGGCTGGGCCTGGCCTCCCCAACACTAGCACCACACGCGGAGGCTTGGCTCGATTCCCACTTTGCAAGTCCGATGCCAGTTTACTGCACCATCAACAGCTCTCTATGCATGCGCTGACGAACATGCATGAGAAGTGCGCATGCAGAAGACGATGCATGCACCTGCGCATGCACGGCGCGCTGGGGTCGGACGACGGAACCCGATGCAACAACAGTCGGCTTTGGTCGGCGGCCTTTTGGGGTACACGTGACGATCTGCTTCCGTGGCGTCTCACCCAGCATCCGTCTCCGCACGGGAAAACTCAGCTATGTCACCCCGTGTCAGCTGTCAGCAGGTTCAAGTTAGCATCTCTTGCTTCTCTCAACCCCCTCTCATCCTCCCCTCCCTCCCGACCACCACCATGCTCCGCACACCCCGCGTCCTTGCTGTCGCCGCCAAGGCCGCCCGCGTCGCCGCCCCCCGCGCGCTCCCCGCCGGCCGCATCGTCGCGTCGCGCGTCCCCGCCGCTCTGTAAGTTGAGAGAACAAGGACAGTGCGCGCCAGTTTGTGGGGCCGACGTAATGTGTTTTCGCCCGTCGCACTACCCAACCAACCGCGCCTTCCAGAAATCTTTGTTTGCAACGATGGCAGCTGACCTCCCAGCCCCCGCGCCGCCATGGTCGCCCGCCCCTTCCACTCGACGTCGTTCACCTCCGCCCCCGTCGTCGTCGAGGTCCCCCAGATGGTGCGTTTAGGTTTCATGACGACAGCCCAGGTGGAGATCGGAAGAGCACACGCCTCAACAGGCCGAGTCCATCACTGAGGGTACCCTGAAGCAGTTCAACAAGGAGGTCGGAGACTTTGTTAAGGCCGACGAGGAGATTGCCACCATTGAGACCGACAAGATCGACGTTTCTGTCAACGCTCCCCAGTCCGGAAAGATCCTGAAGTTCCTCGCCAACGAGGACGACACTGTCACCGTCGGCCAGGCCCTCGTCGAGCTTGAGCCCGGAGAGGCCCCCGAGGGTGCCGAGGAGTCGGCTGCCCCCGCCAAGGAGGAGAAGAAGGAGGAGGCCGCCCCCGCTAAGGAGGAGGAAGAAGGAGGAGAAGCCCGCCGCCCCCGCTCCCAAGAAGGAGTCCGCTCCTAAGAAGGAGGCTCCCAAGGAGGAGACGACTGGTGCCCCCAACCGCAAGGAGACCCGCGTCAAGATGTCGCGCATGCGCCAGACCATCGCTACCCGCCTTAAGGCTTCGCAGAACGCTGCCGCCTCCCTCACCACCTTCAACGAGATCGACATGTCGTCGCTCATGGACTTCCGCAAGCTCTACAAGGACGGAGTCATGAAGGCCGACGGCGTCAAGCTTGGCTTCATGTCCGCCTTCTCGAAGGCTGCCTGTCTCGCCCTCAAGGAGATCCCTGCCGCCAACGCCTCGATCGAGGACGACACGATCATCTACCGCGACTACGTCGACCTCTCGATTGCCGTTGCCACGCCGAAGGGTCTCGTTACGCCCGTTGTCCGCAACGCTGAGCAGTACGGCCTCGTCGGCATGGAGAAGGCCATCCACGACCTTGGTGTCAAGGCCCGTGACGGCAAGCTCACGATCGAGGACATGACCGGTGGCACCTTCACCATCTCGAACGGCGGTGTCTTCGGCTCGCTCTTCGGTACCCCCATCATCAACCTGCCCCAGGCCGCTGTCCTCGGCATGCACTCGATCAAGGAGAAGCCCGTTGTCGAGAACGGCCAGATTGTCATCCGCCCCATCATGGTCGTCGCGCTTACCTACGACCACCGCCTCCTCGACGGAAGAGAAGCCGTCACCTTCCTTGTCCGCATCAAGGAGTACATCGAGGACCCCCGCCGCATGCTCCTCCCCTCGCCTGTGTAAATGTATTGTAGGTTTAGGTGGTGGATGCATAATCGTGATAGATCTGCGTGCCAGTCGCCCGAAGGCGGTGAAGCGAGCCTCTCAGCCAAGCGAGAGAGCTGCAACGAAGCACGCACGCCTGTACACACTACTGACCGACGCAAAACAAGCATGGCAGTTAATCATCTTTGCCCCGTTCAATGTAGTCGCCGTCAACCCGTCGGCGTCTAGCAAATTTATGGTTGAGAGATTACGGGTCGCTGGTGCGGCTGGTGCGGCTGGTGCGGGGCGGTGAGGCGCAGAGTGCGAATGCGCCTCGTTTGTATCTCAGCCAATCCCCGACACTGATAAAGGTCAGGTTACCGCCGGTCCGGGCGTCGCCGCGGGCGTGGGCGGCGCGGGGTCGGGCGCCAAGCACAAGTGCATGCTTCAGGCGTGGCAGGTGGGTGCCATCAGATTACAACTTCATGCATGGCACCACAGACTACATGCTTCACTTCGTTTTCGGCGCCGACGTGGACTTCTCCTCATTCGGCCCATATGCAAGCTCGGTCGCAATCTTGCCCTCCAGCGCCTTGGTATTGACGAGATGCGGCCCCAGCTCGCTCAGCTTGTTCACGCCCAGGAGACGCATGGTCGTCTCGACCTCGTCCTTCAGTATATCCACGGCATGGTGCACGCCGTCCTGCCCGAAAGAGAGAGCGTAGAGGAAGGGCCGGCCCAGCCCGACTCCGCGCGCGCCGAGACAGAGCGCTTTCACAATGTCGGTGCCCCGCCGCACGCCGCCGTCAATGTACACCTCGCACTTGTCGAAAACGTCTGGACGGAGCTTGCGCAGCTCCAGCAGTGTATACAGGGCGGGCGGGGAGCCGTCCAGAGCCCTCCCGCCATGGTTGGAGAGATAGATCGCATCGACGCCAGCGTCGGCACACCGGATCGCGTCCTCGACGCTCTGCACGCCCTTCACGCCAATAGGCATGGGAGTCTGGGACCGGAGCCACCTGAGGTCGTCCCAGTTCAGCTTTGGGTCGATGTACTGCCCAGTCGTGCGGCCGACGCCGCCCCCGCGCTTGTCGGCCTGCACTACGCCGCCCGACGTGCCGCTCTCCAGCACCGCGGTGGTACGCACGCGCTCGTCCGCCTCGCGCTTGCCCGGGGCAGGACAGTCGACGGTCACAAAGACGGCCCGCACGCCAGGGTGCTCATTACACCGCTTCAGCAGCTTTTCAGAGTTGTCCCGGTTCTTGTCGACGTACAGCTGGAAGAACTGGACCTGGTCATCGGCGCTGCGGCCCTCGGGGATCTTGTCGAGCGGCGCGGAGCTGTTCGTGCTGATGAACTGCACCAGCCCCTCCTTTCCCGCCACAGTAGCTAGACCCGGCTCGCCCTCCGGTCCGGCGAGCTTGGACATGCCCGTCGGGGCTATGAAGAAGGGCACAGACGAGGGACTGCCGAGGAAAGAAGTGCTCGTGTCCACGTCCTTGACGTCGACGAGGACGCGGGGCCGGAACCAAATCTCGTTGAACGCCTGCCGGTTTGCCGCCAGGGAGGACATGTCCGTAGCCCCGGCGCTGATGTACGCCCAGCCCTTGGGCGACATGCGCTGCTCGGCCGCGGCGTCAAGGTCAGGGAGGCCGATGATTTCGTCGAGCGTGATCTCGTGGTCGGCTACGGGCGCGCTGCCTGCAGTAGCACTAGAACCGGCAGAGACAGAGGAGCCCGAGTGCGACGGCGTCGGCAGAGTGCTCGGGTCAATGTCCCCGATATACGCCCCTGGCTGTTGCGAGAGCAGGCGTTCCTCGACGATCCCAGGCGAGTGGATCGCGTTGAACAACGCACTGGCATCCTTGCCCGCCCACGTCTGCAGGATCGCCGTGCCGCCCGGATGCTGCCCGGCATAGTTGCTCAGATCGAGCACGCGGCCGTTGATCACGATCCAGAGGTCGCCGGGCTGGTTGTGCTTCGCGACTTCGGAGAGCGGGATGAGCTTCTTCCCGCCCTTGCTCGAGTTTGGGTGCAGAGGCGGCGTGGGACGAGACGGCGGCTGAGAAGCGACGTAGATCCCTCCGCCGACTAGGAGCTGCCGTCAGCGCAGATGAGAGAGGAGACATACGGCTGCAGCGGAGAAGAGGAGCGCGGCGCGCTTGCCCTTGTCCTGCGTTTTGGACGATGACGAGGGGCCGGCGCCGGTGCCGGAGCTCGGCGGGGTGGGTTGGGAGGAGAGCTGTCGCCGAGCGGGGCGGACCTGCCGCACGGCGGGGCGGAGTAGTCGTGTCGGCGCGGCTCTGAACATGGTGTTGGATGGTGAGGAGCGGTCGACCGAACACCCGAGGTAAGACGTAATATCTCAAGAGTGCAGTGGGGGCGACTCGGTCCATCGGCACAGCGCTATGCCGAACCGGGCCAACCGCTGGATACCGCATCGTGCCGGCATGGTCTGTGGTGGGCCGAGATGTCGGGCCGTAATACACAATCGCTCACTCGCCCACCTGCACCCGTGTTGTGCCGCTCTGCACGGCCCGCTGGCCAAAACGGCCCAGTTGGATCTGGCTCATGCATGGTCTTCTTTGGCTGAGAACTGCAGGGCTCGGCGTCTTGGGTGGGCACGGATTTGGCCGTGACACTTGCGGCGCCGGGTGTCCGGGCCGGGTACCGGGTACAAACTCACTTCAACCAAGCCACTCGCGGTCCGCAACTTTGTCACACTACACCGTACAGCTCACAGCTTGCAGCTGCTCATGTTCAGGCCATCATTACGAAGGGCACTTCGGAGCGCTCAACCAGCGCTGCGGCGCACGGCCTCGACTGCCCCTCGCGCTCGCTCCATCCCGTGGGCGGGTATCGCCCTCGGCGCGGGCGGCATCGTGAGTCCCCCTAGCTTTCTTGACTAACCCCAGGCATCAGTCGCATACATCGTGACCCCCCGATTGCAGCTTGACTCGGCCCAAAACACGCCCAAAGGCATATCTTACGACGAAGTACAGAGGCACAAGTCCAAGGACTCGTGCTGGGTCATTCTGAACGGGGAAGTGTACGACGTGACGACCTTCCTGCCCAACCATCCCGGCGGGACCTCCTCCATCCTAGCAGTGGCCGGCACGGATGCGTCACGGATCTTCGCGCCAATCCACCATCCGGGTGTGCTCAAGACTCTGCCGCCTGAGTGCCACCTGGGTCCCGTGGACCTCTCGACCGTGCCCGCATCGACGCTGAGTCCCGAAGAAGAGGCAGACGAGAAACGTATCGCGGCACAGAGGGCGCTGCTCCCCCCGGCGGAGAGTTTCCTCCTGCTGTCCGACTTTGAGGAGTGGGCCCACAAAGTATTGCCAAGGGCGGCATGGGCATACTATGCCAGTGCGGCCGACTCCGAATCAGCATACACCGAGAACATTGCCAGCTGGTCGCGCTACTTCTTCCGTCCCCGCGTGCTCCGCAAGATCGACGAGGGAGACTTGAAGACGACAGTGTGCGGGACCGAGATGGACATGCCCGTTTTCATCTGTCCGGCCGCCATGGCGCGGTTGGGACACCCGCTGGGCGAACTGAACCTCACCCGCGCAGCGGCGAGTCACGGCATCGTGCAAGCGATCAGCATCAATGCGTCTTGTCCCCTCGACGAGATCCTGGAAGCGAGGGAGGAGGGCCAGAAAGTTTGGTTCCAGATCTACCTGAACAAGGATCGGGAGAGGAGTGTGGAACTCCTGAAAAAGGTGGAGCAGGAAGGTGTGGCTGCTGTCATTTTCACGGTCGACGTGGCGTGGCAGAGTAAGCGCACCCTGGACCGCAGGGCCAAGACGGCCCTCGAGCCCCCGCCCTCCAACGTGGGCAGCGCGAAGGGCGAGCAGGGGGCTGGTGTTGCCGCCGCGATCTCTGGATATCAGGACACGCATCTGGTCTGGGACGACATTGACTTTATCCGGGTGAGCCTCTGCCCGAGAAACAAGTGCTGACGACAGAAACACACCTCCCTGCCCATCATCGTCAAGGGCCTCCAGTCCGTCCCCGACCTCATCCTCGCCAGCGAGCATCCCGCCGTCTCCGGGGTGATCATCTCGAACCATGGCGGCCGCAGCGCCGACTACGCCCCTGCGCCGATTGACGTGCTGACCGAATTGAGGTGGTACGCCCCCGAGACGTTTGACAAGGTCGACGTCATGATCGACGGTGGTGTCCGATCCGGGGCCGACGTCGTCAAGGCGCTCGCGCTTGGTGCCAAGGCTGTTGGGTTAGGACGGCCGTTCCTGTATGCTAATGGGACGCATGGGCAGGCTGGCGCTGAGCGCGTCTGTGAAAGTAAGTATGACTGGGGAAGCAAAAGCGGATTCGCAACTAATGATCAGTTCTCGAGGAGGAGATCACGAACACGATGCGGAATTGTGGCGCGGCGACTATTGACCAGCTCACCCCGAGTCTCGTCGGACCCTATGGGCCTTGGGTCGGTGGGAACAAGCCCAAGTGGTATCACCCTTGCGACACAAAGTAGAACAATGCAATGCATGATATGGAGCTCGTATGCTCCTTTTATGTCTAGGCTATCGAGTGACTCCGCTCACTGTCGCTCGGTGATGGCCGCATTTCGGACACACTGATCTCGATAGCTGTCGGTTCCCTGCTCCCTCGCCTGCTCTCTGTAGGTGTGTCGACGTCCATGGCCTCACTCGCTTCTCTTGAGAACTCAGAAGCTAGTGTGCTGAAGTCGGGTTCGGGTCGCCCCGCGGCAGCTTGCACTGCCGAGACGCACTTCTGTGCCCACTCTGAGATCACGAAGCGGCCGATGCCCTGCCATGACCATCGGGGTATGCGGGCGTTGCGCGCGACGATGACAGCATGCGCGTTGAAGACGCCTGGGAACCACGCGACGACTCTCTCGAGCTGAGGCAAAGCGGACAGGGCCGTGACCATAGCCTCCTGCTGACTCGTCAGGATTGGCTGGGACGGTGGAACGAGCGCTGGTCCCGCAGGCTGACCGGCGTCGACATCCCCCGTCTCCGCCAGAATCGGTCCGCCTTCGCCTCCGTCCGCGTCGCCCGTCTCCTCCGCGTCCTCGCACACCTCGCATGGGTCTGCCGTGCCCTCTCTGGTATCCCGGTCGTCAGTCTCGCCCGCGCTCATCTTGTACAGCTCCTTCATCACCGAGCCGCGGATCGTGCTACCACCCAACGAGGGAGAGCCCGGACGCGTGATCGCTGGCGTGTCCCCGGAGACGTCATAGTCGCTCGACTCGAGGCCGAATATGCGGTGGTGATGGTCATGGTGCACAGCCAAGGCGCGGATCCGGCGCGACGAGTGATAGGAATGAACGGCCATGGCGGCTGCGGCGAACGTGAGGGCCACGGGGATGAGGATGGGGATGAGAGGGAAGAGGATCTGTCGTTAGCAGGAGCGGAGAGGTCGTAGGGGAGAGCCCGCCAACCTTCAAGACTGGTTCGGACGTTCCCTGCACTCACATATCGGACTGGTCGGTACGGCAGGTAGAACACTGGCGGGAGCCATGGTCGCGTCGGCGCCGCTGGAACGAGCGTCTCGCCGACGATCGCGTCCACTTCGTCCTCCTCTTGCGGCGAAAAGACATTCCGGACAATGTGGTCATGTACGACTAGTCCCAGTCGACCAGCTTCATAGTCCACGAACGGGTCGTGTCGCTCCGCCGCCGCGGTGCAATACGGGACCGTCAAGTCGCCGACACCGTTCGCGATGAAGAGGACACGGCTAAACTGCGCCAGTGCCCTGTAGTATATGCGTGCTGCGGTCAGCCATAAACTGGTGAATGATATCATCGGGAATGTGATGTGCATGACACTTGACACATGACACAGGTGACGACGCACACACGACAGGACGTCGACACAGCCACGGCACACGGCTGCGGTGATCGGCGCGCCGCTTGCTGCGGGGGCGCACGGTCATGATCAGCGATGGACTGCACTCACAGGGATCAGCCAACACGACGAGGAAGGGGTCGCCGTGGTCCGAGTCGAGGCAGAAGAGTTGTTGCCCCGTGCGCGAGAACATGTGCTGCCCCACTGCGTGCATCCATGCACTCCGCCATGACCCGTATCGGAGCACGCCGAGGTGCGGTGTCGCGATCGTCGAGAAGTAGGCCGGGCGGTGGCGAGCGAAGAATCCCGGGCGGGCGTAGAGCTGTCCGATGAGTGTGCGGGCAATGAGACCTCCAAGAGAATAGCCAGTCTGGCTTTAGCTGTTGCGCGGACCCGTCAGCTCGAAGCACTCACCACACTCAAGTAGACGACCCGCTTCCCGTCGCTTTCGATCCGGCTGATTTCCGCGTCGAGCTGCGATCAGTGTCGAAGGAAGGCGTGACTTACCTCCTGTGCTACGCCATGGGCAATGACGTCGACGCCGTCCCATGTTTTTGGACCAGAGTAGGAGGTAGCGTTCAGGACAACGAGCTCGAGATGGGATCCGGCCGAGTTGTGAGCCCTCTCGACCTCTTCCTCGAGGCACCAGAGGTTGGACGGGGAGCCATAGAGGCCATGGAGGAGGAGACAGAGATGGACGTCTGTCGCCATTGTCGAGGTGACAATAGCGAGGAAGACCAATTGTGCTTGGAGGAAGGCAGTGTCAAATGTCGCAGCAGTCGCGTCCGAGGTCGCTGACGACGAGTGAGTGCGTGAGTCGTGACTAGCCCTGGTGAGCCGGTGGAGGCCGATTAGCACGCGGTGGCAAAAGTTAGCTCTGAACGGTAATTGCGTCATTAAGCGTGTCAGGCGCTGAGGGGAATAACGCGCTGTACGGTGGTGGGTGGCAGTGATTCGCTGCGGGCCCTGCGGTTGCTCCTCCCTGAGATCTTTGGGTGTAAAACCCTGTGGGTTAGAGCCGGGCAGGGGGGGAGTCAAATGGGAGTGCGAGGAGGATGCTGAAGCCACAATAAGCTTTCAGCCGATCGCTGCGCGTCCTTGGCAAAAAAGGATTACAAGGACAAAAGGTAAGGCGCGTGTGCAAGTGCTAAATAAATCTAATCCTACCCTTGTCAGTCTCTAATCCACGCGCCGCCAAGACACTAACGCTGCCCTTGACCCCACGCCCAAACCCTCACTGCCCTTACGGCCCCTCACATAACTCTCCCCTCCCCTTGAACTAACCACACCCTCTATCGCGCCGGTGCGCGCTCCGTCAAAGCGCAGACACTGAGCTGCCGCTCCCTCTGTCCATGTACCGTGTTCCTGATTCCTGCACAAGACCGCAAGCCCATAGCCCATGCCCGCAATCGCAGCGCACAACCAACCCCCATCCTCGCCGCCCCCTCTCTCTCCACACACACACTCGCGCAAAACCAAACTTCTTTCTCCACTTTCCCCTCTGCACAGTTTCTTATCTCTTGCACTCTACGAACACACACGGCTCTTTCGACACTGCACCCAGCCGCCTACCTACACTCTCGCTCCCTGTCCCCCCCCCCCCTCCTATCCGGCCTTAGTTTGTCCCACCTGACTTCGCGATCTCTGGCCATCGCGGCCTCGTCGTAACGACGCTCCGCCCACCATGAACGACACGGCGTCAAACAGCACCGGCGGCTTCGATGAGTGAGTGGACCTGTTCAAACAATGACTGACGAGAATAGTGGCGGTCGCGAAAAGGCCCTGTCGGCCAACACACAGTCGTTCCTGACGTCCTTCGCGTTCAACGGTGCCATCGCCGGCGCGCAGCTCATCGCATGGCTTGTCCTGCGTCCGCTCATCAAGGGCGTGTACGAGCCGAGGACGTACATTCCACCGCATATCCAGCAGGCGGTTCCGCTAGGCAAGAATCTGATCATGCCATTGTGGCGAATCATCATGTCCGACCCGGACGAGATTCTGCGGAAGAACGGTGTCGACCCTTATGTCTTTGTCCGGTTCCTTCGGCTGATGATCAAGGCTTATGTGCCGATCTGGTTTGTCTCATGGGCAATTTTACTGCCGGTCGACTCTGTCAACTCGAGCCGCGAGGGCCGCCAGGGCCTCGACCAGTTCACGTTTGGTAACATTGCGCTCAATAAGCAAGACAGATACTGGGCTCACCTGATTCTCGCCTGGGTCTTCAACGGTTGGATCATCTACCTCATCTGGACGGAGATGAGGAAGTGGCTCGTGATTCGGCAGACTTACCTCACATCCCCAAAGCATTCCAAGACCGCCCAGGCACGCACGGTGCTCGTCACTGGCATTCCGCTCGAGTACATGGACGAGGAGCGGCTGAAACAGCTCTATTCGTTCCTGCCCGGGGGTGTCAAGACGGTGTGGCTGAATCGGTGAGCACATGATGCGAAAGTCGAACTTTTTGGCTGACATCAGCAACCTGAAAGAGATGCCATCCCTGTATGACCGGCGTCTGGCGGCGTCTAACAGACTCGAAAACGCCCAGGTTCAGCTCGTTCAGAAGGCGTGGAAGTACCGTCACAAGCACGAGCAGCAAGCAGCCAAGGCCGAAAAGAAGGGCAAGGAGCCGGCACCCCTCGAGCCAGCGACCAAGCCACCGACGGACGGCTCGGCGCTGTCATTGGCGGACCAGCTCGTCCCTCATTCCCAACGTCCTACAATGCGCCTGAAGCCGTCCTGGTCCCCGATCGGGCTCGGCTGGCTCGGCATTGGAAAGAAGGTCGACGTGATTCACTGGGCCCGCAAGGAGATCGCCGAGTGCACCGACCAGCTGGACAAGTCGCGCGACCAGCTCGGTCGCGACATTGCAACGGTCGGCATTGACGGCGACAACTACCCGCCCCTGAATTCGGCCTTTATCCTCTTCAACCAGCAGATCGCGGCGCACATGGCGCACCAGTGTCTTAACTACCAGGTCCCGTACGTGTGACGATCAGACGACGTGACTGACGACCAGGTACCAGATGAACCGCCGTTTCATTGAGCAGGCTCCGTCTAACATCTTGTGGCAGAACATGCGCATCAACAGCTACGAGGCTCGTCTCCGCACGGTTGTTTCTTGGGCGTTGACTTTTGGCATCATTATCGCTTGGGTGCCCCTGTGTATGTGCTATTTGTTGTTCCGTTGCTGACGCCAGCCTCGTTCCTCGGTATTATGGCGAGTGCGCCGTCGCTCACGTCCAAGTTTTCGTGGATGTCGTGGATTCTCGGAGACTCGTTCGGCAAGAAGCTGCTGCAGGGTGTCATCACTGGTGTGCTTCCTCCTATCCTTCTCGCTGTTCTCAACATGTTGGTCCCCGTCATCTACCGGCAGTTCTCCGCGCTTGCTGGAACGCCGAATAAGAACTTGGTTGAGCTCGACGTCATGACGCGGTTCTTCATCCACCTCGTCGTGAACACCTTCGTGACCGTGACGCTCTCGAAGGGTCTGATCCAGAGTTTGCCCGAGCTAGCAGCGAACCCTGCCAGTGTCCCCGCCACGCTCGCGAAGAACATGCCGTCCGCATCGACTTTCTTCATCACCATGATCCTCACGCAGTTCACTGGTGCGGTTGGTGTGCTGCTGTCGCCGATCACCCTTCTGTTCTACTACGTCCGTGTCATTCTTGGTGGAGGTACGCCCCGCAAGATCTTCAACGCCCGCTACCGTATGCCCACGCCGACATTTGGTGCCGACTTTGCGCGTCTCACTGCCTACTGTCTCATCAGTGAGTTGCTCGTTGCCCAACCCCTAACTGACACTCAGTGAGCGCGTATATGATTATTTCGCCCGTGATCAACGGTTTCGGTGCGGTCTTTGCCATTGTGTCCTACTGGGTGTACAAGTACCAGTACATCTGGGTCATGTTCCAGCGCCCGTCCGAGGACACTGGCGGTCTCTTCTTCCCGAAGGCGGTCTCGCAGGTCTTTGTCGGTCTGTACATCCAGGAGATCTGTCTCTGCGCGCTCTTCTTCCTTGCGCGTGATGAGAATCAGCACGTGTCCGCCGTGCCGCAGGGCGCGCTCATGGTTGTGCTCATTGCCGCGACGGCGTCGGTGCACTTCCTGCTCGTGAACGCATACGGCCCGCTGCGCGACTCGGTGCCCTTCTCGCTTGCGCACCTGACCCGCCGTCCGCACGGCAGCAGCAACAAGCTGCAGGGCGACTCGGAGTCGTTCGTGTCTGCCAAGTCGCAGACGCCCCTGAACCCGACCCCGCCTAACGAGCGGAGCGAGTACTCGTCCGAATCGCAGAACCCCTCCTCGAGCAAGGGCGACCATTCGTCGACGAAGGGCGACTATTTCCCGGAGCCGAAGCCGGCTGCGCGCCGCGGTTCGACCAAGTCGTGGGAGGACATCAAGTGGGACAGCATGGCGCAAGACTGGCAGCCGGGGACGCAGGGCGACACCCCCCCGCCCTCTCCGCCGGCGATAGCCAAGGAACGCGCGCAAGAGTCGATAGCGAAGGAGTCGATCGAGATGGCCGAGCTGGGGCGCACGAGCACGCGCGTAGACCCAGAGGACGACAAGGAGGACACGGCCTTCTTCGCCGTCCCCGGCGGTCCGGGGGTATACCCTCCTCCGCCGAGCGGGGTCGACCCTGCCGCCTTCTTCCACCCCGCGACGAAGAATCCGCAGCGCACCGTCTGGCTCCCCCAGGACACGCTTGGCATGGCAGCTCATGAGATGAGGGACAATGTGGACGCGGGCGTGCTCACTACCACCAACAACGCGTTCCTCAACTCGAACGGAAAGGTCAAGGTCGTGGGCCGGCCGCCCGATATGCTCTAGCATGCGCTCTAATGACGTAACGAGAGAGGTTTGAGTCGAAGCATTAGTAGCGTATATATACCATTGGTTTCTGTAACGTTTTCTTTCTCCTTGCGTAATTATCTTGATTATTCTTGATGCACTTTGATACATGGCATGGCATGGCATGGAGCCGGGCATGAGTGGGAGTGGGGAGTAGGATCTGCATGGGAGCGAGCATTGCATGGTCTGCATGTGAGCGAGGAGTGCATGGTCTGCACGGTCTGCAATGGAAGAGACACAGCACTGACGTTGCTTGGGACTGGTACTGGTGCAACGCGTGCAACGCGTGCAACGCCACGCTCCGACCACGCTCCGATTACCACTGTGCACTGTGCCCTACAGTACCTGACGAAACCATCTCCTCGTACTTCGTCATAATGTGGTCAGTGTAATCCCCAGTCAACATCGCAGCCCTCGCAAGCCCGCTCACGCACACGCGCACATGGATTAAAAGTCTTATTCATAGCAAATGATGAGTGGAACGGCGTCGCAACGCCGCCGAACGCCTCGCTAGCTGCGTTGTAATCTGTGGGATACTACCTGTGAGCCCCTCGGGACTTGACTCTGTTGGCCCTGCTGGCCCTGCTGGCCCTGCTGGCCCTAGTTCTGCTGGCCCTCTGAAATGGCCGTCTACTCCTCGTCTGTGTCTGTACTCTGATGTTGTGTGCCTCTGCGTCTGCTTTGGCTTGGATGGTGGTGTTGCTGCGGTGTGATGGGTCGGGGGAACGTGCCAGGGCTGTCCGGCCGTTTGAGGGCTGACAGCCTCGCCTTGTGGCTCGGCTGGAGCTGGGGGCATCGCGCCCTCGCGCCTGCGGCACTCGGCGCTCGCCGCTTACCACAGCTTACGCCCGTTGGCGCCGCCGCGCTGCTGCTGCTGCAGGCCGCCTACGCCTCCCACTCCGCCCCCGACACCCCCGACACCCCCGACGCCCGCTCCGTACCCGTACTGCCCCTGGTAGTAGCTCGGGTCGTAGGCCATCTGGTAGTCGACCCCCGAGACGCCGTTCATGACGCCCTGGCCCATGTGGCTGTGGTTCGGGAAACGCCCGCCGGCGTGCTGCTGCCCGTGCGGGCCGTGCTGGGCGTGCTGCCCGTGCGAGCCGCGGTTCGCCATCTGCTGTCCGAACCCGTGTCCACCGTGCGCGTGCCCCCCGTACCCGACATGGCCGTACATGTTCTGCTGCTGTCGGAACTGCTGTGGGTACTGGTAGCTGCCCTGCTGGTTCGAGTAGCGGTAGTCGCCGCTGAAGTCCTTGCCGGCGCCGTTGTTGCCGGCAAACTGCATCTGGGGTGACTTGTTGTCGTGCAGCGCGTTTTTGCCTGGTGTCGCGGAGGCGGAGTTAAAGCCGTATCCTGCAGAGGTCATGGGGCTGCCGAACGAAGGAGCCCACAGACCCTGCTGGAAACCGTTGGCGCCGGCGGGCGACGCGCTGGCACCGCCATTGCGGCCCATCAGGCCGTACTGCATGCCCATGCCACTGCCGCCGTCGGCGGGGCTCGTGGCACCCGAGCTCATGGTCGGGTACTGGAAGCTGCCACCGACGCCCGAACGCATGCCGAAGGCAGACGAGCTCGACTGGCCGTAGCCGCCCGGCTTGAGAGATGACTCGGATGCCGTCGAGGGGGCGGTGAGGGACGGGTACAGCGGTGTGTCCGGCTGACTCGGCACCGAACTCTGGGGCTGGGTAGAGGGGGTCGTCTTGGGCTTGGAGTCCGCTGCCGACTCCCAGACGCTCTTGAGGTGCTCGTGAGGGGGAGCGACCCTCGCCGGTGAGGCAAGGTTGTAGGACAGGGCTCCTTTGGCCCACGGTCCCGGAGCAACCTTACTCGGCGACGTCGACGGCTGAGCAGTAGCCTTCGGCGGTGTGTTGGGGCGGCGCTGGGCCATGTCTGGCTTGGCCGACTTGTCCTCCAATTCGCCAATGTGCTCGAGGCTCATCTTGTTGACCTCATCGAGAAGGCTGTCGCCCTCGTGCTCACTGGAGACCATGAACCGCACACCAGATTGGGAGGGAGGCTTGTCCATGAAAAGCTGCTCCTTGTCCTTCATTGACTTGAGGACATTGTCGGTCGTGGCCATCATCGACGCCTCATTCTGAACGGCCTCGGCGGTGGGCGCGGGCTTGCTGATCTCGGCCGGACGGGCCTCCAACGTGGCGCGCCGCTTCTGCTTCTTCTCGAATGGCTGCAGAGTACGAGGAGAGATGCTGACGATGGGACCAGTCGGCACGTGACGAGCGAATCTTCGTCCGATCGGCTGCGGCAGCAGGACGTCCGAAACCAGAGAGAACGCAGGCAAGTACGCAATGGGAGGATCGTACGTCTGCAAGAAGCCCTTGGGGACGTAAGGGAACGAGTCAAAGCCCTTGAGGCGCCAGCGGGGAATGGAACCCAACGTGGCTCGCGCAGGCTTCGGAATCTTCACAGTGTATTGCCTCCAGGCTGGAGGCGGCGAGCGCGGTAAGCCGGTCTGCGTTGCGTCAAAGTAGTCCGGCGGTAAGTGAGGGTAGGTAACTGGCCGCGGTACAAGCTGAGGCTGCTTCTTCTCTGCTGGCGGCTCATGGGTCGCCGACTCCTGCAGCTCCTTCAGGGCTGCCTCCCGGGCGGCAAGATGCTGCTCGTGCTCATCCTTCTCCTCGCCAACAACGGGCGACAGGCGAGTCTGCTGCATGGCTGCCTGCAGACGCGCCAGCATGGCATCAAAGTTGGCTTCCTTCTTCGACGAGTGAGGGGTGGGCGCCGCAATCTCGGGTTCCGGCGCAGGAGATTTCGGCTTGTGAGGCATGGAGCCAATGGATGGAGGGAGGTGGTCACCGACGTGCGGCGGCGCATCGCGAGGAGCTCGTTGGTTCGCCGAGGGCACATCGCGCGCAGAACCACGACGAGAGTCGCGCGAGATGTCCGGTCGCTGCTGGTGGTGATCGGAGCTGCGTCGTCGGTTCTTTCCTCGGACGTCGTCCATTTGCGGAGGCGAAACCACGGGTCCAACACGGCGCCAAGAGGTGGCCCGGTCGGCTGGGTGAGCTTCGTTGACCGTCGGCAGATGCACGCCTTGAGCAGCCGGAGAAAGGCCCGGGTCTCCACCTTGCGGGCGAGACGCAATAGTCACAGGAGCACCTCCCGCATGGCCAAGACCGGGCGGAGGCGCCGGCTTCCCGGATAGTCCCGGGGGAGGCGCGGCCTGGGTAGGCTGACTCGGCGCAGACGGCTTGGACGCTGTTGACGGCTTGCTGCCGAACCGTTCGGCAAGCTCCTGCGCCTTCTTGCGAGCCCGCTCTGCCGCAGCTTCGCGTTCCGCCTCCTCCTGCTGTCTGCGCATGCGCGCCTTCTCCGCAGCCGAGTGCATTTCTGCGGCCTGGGTCTCGCCAGAAACTGGCTCCACGGGCATCGGAACAGCCGTTGCTGGGGCGGGCGCTGGGGGTGGCGCATGTCCAGGGCCAGATGCGGCTGGCGGCGGAGCTGCGTGAGGTGGTTGTGACCGCGGCAGAGGCGCCCGCTGGGCCAGGGGCGACAGGCCGCTTCCACGCTGAGGAGGCATCGTCTGCTGTTGTTGGTGGTGAGGAGGTTCGCGCTCAGTGCGCCATGACGATCGGGTAGGCGGCGGGCCGGCGCTGGCGTGAGCCTGATGAGCACCTTGGGATGCCATGTGAGGGGGGAGCATGCGTCCCGACTGAGCGCCTCCGGAATCGGCGAGGTGAGGCGGTAACGGCCGTTCGCCGTGATGGGGTCCATCACGCGACATTATCCTCGCAGGCGGTCCCTGCTGCGACTGAGGAGGTTGGCGACCGGCATGAGGCTCCAGCCTGTTTGACGAAGCATTGAACAGGACACGACTGGAGTCGATCTTTCCCGGGCGCTGAGGGGAAGTGGAGCTCCGAGGCCAGCTGCGGTCAAAGTCATCTGCGAAGCGATCCTGCTTTGACACTGGATCGTCCTCGGGGTCGTGCGGGAAGGTGCGCCCGTCACCAAAGTCAATGGGGTCGTCGTCGTCCTCTTCTTCCTAGGCAGGGTCAGCTCACTGGAATCAGTAGCAGACACTCACGTCCCAGCGGTGAGTATTGGGCTCAAGATGGGTGAATTCGTTCAATCCCTGCAAAATGGCCTGGTTGTGGGCGGCCTCAGCCTGCGCAACAGCCTGGGCGCTTAACATTGCCGCCCGCTTGCCTGTGATGTCAGCGTGGAAGGTCTACGCGGAGCTCACCTTCAGCGACTTCGCTCGCCGTGGGGAAGTCTCTCGATAAGTGACCCATCTTCTTGCCTGAGGACACATTACCCCAGGCGCGTCTTGCAGCGCTTCCAATCCCCTGCCCCGATCCCATGGCCACGTTGGGCACATTGCCTCCGCGAGTCGGCATCGGGTGCTGCAGTTGCGCATTGCCCTCGGGCAATGAGACAGCAGGCTTAGCCCACGGTGAAGACGTCGCGGAACTGGTAGATGTGGCTGGTGGCTTGGGTGACGTGCTTTGCTTGGATGATGGAACAGTGGTGAGTTTGGTCGAGAGTAGCTTGGAATGGGTTGTTGGAGGGGCAGCTGCGGCCACCGGGCGCACTTGTCTCGTCAGCGGACTGCTCCGGCAAGCTTAGATCCTTTACTCACCTAGCTTAGCCGCAGCCGGTGCTGGGCTGGCCGCCTTGCTCAGGAACTCCTTTGTGACACTGACGGAGCTGAATTTCTTCTTACCAGCGGCCGTAGCATGCAGGGGAGGTGTCGATGTCCGAGAAGAAGGGGTGGGGATGCGAGGTCCATGCGTCGCTGGGATGGAGGGCGACCCGTCGCCCTTTGCTTTGTCGTCGGAGGTCTTGGCCACGGGGGTGTGTCCCCGCAAACTCGGCTCGGGCCCAGCGGCGGTCACTTTCGCATCTTCCTTCACAGCATTGTCGGGCGCTGCAGCAGGCTTGTCCAGACCGCCGGAAGGACCTGTCGTTCCTGCGCCTGTAGCGTCGCCCGTTTTGTCGCCGGCGACGGCAGAAGAGGTCGAAGGAGCGGCGGGGCCATCTGGCTCCTGCGCACGGACCGCGTCCGCCGCTGGCGCGTCACCGCCGCTCGCACTCACGGACTTGTTCTCGTTGTTGGTTGTTGGCGCTTCATGCAGATGCACTTGGGGGGAGGGAGAAGGGGATGTGCTCATGCTGGGCTCCTGTGCATGTCAGCGGATTGGACTGGATGGCAGGCGGTGACGTTGGTGCTAAGACTCGGTCAGGCTGAGCCATGGACCCATGGAGTGGGCGCCGCAGGGAGGGAACAGTTTGGGGTGGATCTTGAGAGAAACGTACATCGGGAAGCAAGCAAGAGTGCACGCCGTGGAACTGAAGGCGTGTGTCTGTGACCAGAGAGGATAGGTGATTCTCAGACCGGTGACGACGAGCGTTGGGCTGAGACTGAGTGCCGTTTGGTCAGTCACGGGATGGGTCGAATAGGCTGGGTTGGGTGGAGGATGTGGGTGGACCGTCGGGGGGTTGGGAAGGAGTCGTTGATGTTGGGTGGTGGTGGCGACGACTTGAAAAGAATTGGCGAGGAGGCGAGGAGGAAAGGAGGGAGGGGATGGGAAGCAAAGGGGGGGAGCCCGGGGTCGGTGGTGGTGGGGATCGGGCTGATGGTGATGAGCGTGCGTCTCAGAAAGGACAATATGGTGTGTCTAGTGGTGGTTGCTGCGTACGGTGATGGTCACTGGAAGCTGGAGTAACGGAAGGCCCCAGGTCCATGGTCCATTCGATCCATCCGCGCCCAGCCAAGTCTACCGACAGCCCCGACCACTACCACCGGCCAATACAACCAGCCAAGCTTCACGGCAGTCTGGCTGGTGACGGCTGCAATCCACCACGCGACGTTGAATCATGATACGTGCCTGAGCCGATCCTCCAGCCTGGGTCAGCCTGGGTGGAGGCTCCATCCTGGCTGGGCTGGACGCCCCTGGGTGGTGAGCGGTGAATCCCCGAAACACCGTCCCCGTGGCATTGGCTCGCTGGGCGCTGGCTGGCCGTCGCACACTCGGACTCACTCAAACCCAAGTCGGCACCACCTCCGTCCACCTCACAGACACCACTCTAGCTCACCATGGCTGCCCGGTCCTCGCTCGCAGCTCTCCGCGGAGGCCTCCGTGCCGCCCGCCCCGCCCAGATCGCCGTCGCCCGCGGTCTCCGCACCTCGGTCGCCCTCGCCCAGGGTACGTTGAAACCGACAACCACCCCGGCGTAACATTTCGGCTCTGTTATTGCCTGTTGTCGATTGGATGACATGCCTCGGAACGCGTACTGACCTTCCCAGCGGCCACCAACGAGCCCTCCGCCCCTCCCTTCAAGGAGCCCGTCGGTGTCAACCCCGCCGACTACTCTGCGTCCCAGGTCTCGCCCCTGCATGAGTACGGCCAGTACATCACTACTTGCCTGCCCAAGTACATCCAGCAGTTCTCCGTCTACAAGGACGAGCTCGTTCTCTACATCGCCCCCGAGTCCGTCATCCCCGTCCTCACCTTCCTCCGTGACCACACGCAGTGCCAGTTCAAGCAGGTCTCGGACATCACTGCCGTCGACTACCCCACCCGCGAGCACCGCTTCGAGGTGAGTGATCGGACATATGCGCGGCCATGTCGATAAGAGATGGCCGTAATGTTTCGACTGTACGGATCTAACAGCTTCAGGTCGTCTACAACCTCCTCTCGGTCGCCCACCAGCAGCGCATCCGCGTCAAGACTTACGCCGACGAGACCACCCCCGTTCCCTCCGCCGTTCCCGTCTTCAACGGTGCCAACTGGTACGAGCGTGAGGTTTGGGACATGTACGGTGTCTTCTTCGCCGGACACCCCGACCTGTGAGTGGAGATCGAGTGCGGCTCAGTTGCGTTAGCAGCTGGGCGCGCCGAACAGCTAGCCGTGCATAGAGCTTCAGCTGACATCAGCCGCCGTATTCTTACCGACTACGGATTCGAGGGCCACCCCCTGAGGAAAGACTTCCCTCTCACTGTGAGTTGCAGCTGTATGGTGCTCAGAACGCAAGCTGACAGGACCAGGGCTACTCCGAGGTCAGGTACGACGAGGAGAAGAAGCGTGTTGTCTACGAGCCCCTCCAGCTCACCCAGGCGTTCCGAAACTTCGCCGACGCTGCCTCGCCTTGGGAGCAGGTCGGTTCTGGAACGCCCTCAACCCCGGAGGTGAGTAGGACTGACAGGGAGAGGGCAGTCGCGCGGTTATCAGGAGGATGAGGTGGTGACAGATCGACTCCTGCAGTGCCGATGTCTACGGCTCCGGACCGGCATCACATGATCTGCCTGAGGCAGTGGAGTGTCAAGACAAAAGTCGGCATGCTTCTTCGGTTGCCTCACCACATCCCCGCAACGCGCACCTGCCGCATCGGGCCACGCCGACTCCCATGTTCCCAAGCCCCCCAAAGCATCACTGACCATTGCAGAACTACAAGATCCCCCCTCCCCCTCCCCCCGCCGAGGAGAAGAAGTAGAGCATTTGATACTGGCAGGATAGGGAAAACAACACAACAAACTACAAAATGCATTCGTGCTACTAGAAGCAGGTGGAGCGGGCGGGCGACGCCCCGACGCCCCGCAGGGGCGGAGCGCGGAGCGAGGGACGTGAGCAGGGAGTGCGCGGGCCTGCAGCCTCCACAGCTCGGTGCATTGCGCTCTGACGCAGATTAGCACTGAGCTCCGGTGTGTCCGGAGTCGCGAGGTCTCAGAGGAAGGTTCGAAACAAGAGCGCCAGGTGTCAGGTGTCAGGTGTCAGTCCGCCGAAGTCAGAAGCCGCAGAAGCTGGGCGCGCGGGCGTGGGAGTGTGAGCATGGGCGTGTGGGTGTATGGGCGTGTGGGCGTGTGGGTGTATGGGTGTGTGGGCGCGTGTGTCTTTACGAGGTGTTCGAAATCCTAGTCACGGTACGCGAAAATACGCGATAAGCTATCCCAAAGCAAGGGCCAGAAAAGGTACCCGGCCCACATTGCACAGTGGTGGAGTGGGAGTCTCGGTGTGAGGCGAAGTGAGGTATGAGTGGTCAATGGTTTCAGTGGAGCAGGCGCGGCCAGGCTTGGGAGGCGTTGTCGAACAGGTCGAACAGGTCGAACAGGTCAGACGTGAGTGTCAGATGCTCTCGGGCGAGCCCGAGTTTACGCCCTCGTCAGAACGTCTGCGAGTGGAGCGGGCTCTCTCCAAGCACCCTGGTCGTCATCAGCCCCGCCCACTCCGCCCACTCCGCCCACTCGGCCCTCAACGCAATCTGTCTCCGACAAACGAGTGATGAATGGATCAATGCCAACGGAATGTGGGGTCCTCGCTACTTCTTACAGTTCTGGCAGAAGTCCGCTCCCAGCGACTATAGCACTGTATCTCAGTGCTGACGTCTCTGCATGATCAATGGACTGGAAGTGCGAGGCCGAGTGCGAGGCCGCGACGGACGAGGGATCGGAGATCGGCCATGCGGTTGTGGCCCCGCATGTGTCGACTGGCCGCAAACGAGGTCCGCGCGGAGCGGCAGCTAGGCAGCTAGATTGGCGTCCGGCGTCTGCCCCCCCCACATGGTTCAGTGTGGCTTGAGTGATGGCTACCGGCTGCCTGCATGCAGCATGTTAGGCCTTAGGCATACTTGGGCGTGTGAAAGTGCGCGCGTATGAACTAAGGTGCTGGTGAAACGGATGAGTGTTTATGAAGTGGCGGTCTATTCAATCGCACGAGAACGCGAGAACACGCGTGTTGTTTAGCACGGTCGAGTTGAGTCTAGGCCTGGACTCGTCCTGCCATCGCTATCAATCATGAATCAATCATTATGCACTAGACGCCATGCGTACCAAGCGGACACACATGCAGCACGCAGTGAGTCTGCCGCGTCAACCGTGTCAATCGTGTTGACAGCTGATGACAGGCCCTCTAGCGGCTGATCGCTAGTGGCTCCATGGCTCTGATCTGATCAGTCACCACAGCCGCCGGCACCCCAGTCTCGGACCGAGATCTTGATCTCATACATCGCATCGCGCGGATGGCTTCGTATTGCCTGGCGCGCTGGCGCGCTGGCGGCCGGGCGCCTGGGCCTGGCGATAGCCCGATCCTATTTGACTTTCTGCGCGCGAACACAGTGTCGAGACTGAAGTACGCTCAGTTGCACGTTCGTCCGCGAGACTACATGCCACCATGGAGCAGAGGCTTGACGCTCGAAAGCCCGATGACCCTTGTTGGGACTGCCAGCGCTAGGAGTCCCGTCTCCTGCTCGTCGCACATATCACATCATTGCAGCCATGTTCACTCGGACACGCTAGTGCCTCTTCGTGCACAGAACATGAGCATTCACGACTCGTTAGGAGCGGATCCCTCAGTCCGCTACATGCATCACGTGCAACAACAATGAGGAATGTGAGCTTGCAGGTTTGGACGTTCTGGAGCTGCCGGCGTTCTGGAAGAATGGAAGAATTGGCGCCTCATGTCAAGCTATTGAATCGTTGGCGAGAGGCAGAACGGGTTGGGAGGAGAGCCCACCCTGGCTATCATGAGCAGTCAAGTGTGCGGTTCACGCAGCGATCAGTGCTGACTTGGTGATGCCTACCCTCACACCATCACCCACTCCTGCCCATCTTATGTTTCTGGATCCCTATTGCACGATGCGAATGCATAGCCTCGCAGATCGCAGATGTCCAGACCAGCCTACCGGGGGTCCGGACTCCGGAATCCAGCGATAGCGATGCAGCGCGGAAAGGACGCAGATCCCTCAGATCCGAACAGGCGGGTCTGGCCACGGGTGGGTGGGTGCACGGGACAGACCGCCGTTTCGCGGCGACCCAACCCTTCTGATTCAACCCGTCCGTATCCAAACTGGGCACAACTGTGCACCTCTATCCGAACAGCGACCAACAGCACCGCTCTGCGCATCTGCGGAGTATCTGTTTCTATTAATTCTACGTTTGACGGATCTACCACTGCCAGTGTCGCAGTTCAGGTGGTTCAAGTGTGACTCGGCTTTGGGTGACGGGAGACGCCACAGCAGGCACAGCAAAGGATGCCATGGAAGCTTCCGTCTGCCCTTAGGTAGCCATGGCCAGCCATGGGTCTGAACTGCGGATCGTCGCTCCCCGAGCTTAGCACTGCGATCGATGTTATTCTCAATGACTGAACGTCCATGGACCCACGCTGCGCTGGTCGGTTCCAGTGCGGAGAATAGCGCGATTAGGTTGGCACCTTTGGTGTGCCAATCTACGCCTCCAGCTAACTTGTCTCCGCACTCGAAGCTCGCGTACACTCGAAGGCTTCGTGTGCACGGGGACAAGGACACCGCCGGCTGCGCGTTCCCACTGTCCCACCGAGCTCACCTGAGCTTCACCTGAGCCAGTGCCAAGAGACCACGGGGTCACTTGCTTGCATCCGAAGACCGTATTCCGTCAAGTGCACGCTAGTGAATTGGGCAGCGTAGACTAACAGAAGCGTACACCGGCCCAGGACCCAGGGAAGGGGTGGATGAATTGCTGATCGGGGGGCACCACATTATTGCAGATTGCTCCTGGGAGATTGCAGATTAACAGATCAATGTTGCCCCTGCTGGCTGGCTATCTCGTGGTGCCTGCGATGTCTCGCCTGCAAGAGGCTACGCTGGCCAGTATCTTGCAGTACCTGCAAGGGAAAGCTACACGGCTACGATCAGGCACAGGCGCGATACGAAGTGTCAAAAGTGGTGAAGTCGGTGAGTTGCAAGAGTTGGCTGGTAGAACACGCAGGCACACGACCAAAGGCCAAAACGCCACCCCGGACATCATGTGACGAGGGCAATACCGTCAACCGCGTCATGCCATAAACGAGATCTCACATTCCCCCTGGGCTCTCCAGCTCTCCTGCAGGAGCAAAGAGGACAGGCTGCTGCGGCAAATGGCCAGGCTCCATCGCTCTCTGCGCATTCTTGCGGGCAGCCTCAGGCTCAGCTCAGGCTCCAGCTGCGAGTCAACCACGAGCGAGCATCATCACTCCATGTTTACCATCTTCGGCCTTGCGGGCTCGCCGCTCCGCTCAGAGGGAGTCACTATGATACAATGATGATCAGGATAGAATCACAGGATCACAAGGAACAACACTACGCAGCCTAACCTGGCTAGTCCCGTCGTCCGAGGAGCCGCTGCCGCACGACCCAGGACGAGCCCACGACCCACGCGGGCAGCGTGCAAGGCCTGAACCTCGACGCACGCTCCAACGCAGCCAGCCAACGCGCCCAGCGGTAAATAAAAAGAGGATCTGACCACTGCACGCCCTTGAGCACCACTGATCTCTGCGCATCACACTAGCACCACCACCACGCACCTACCACCGCCATCACCAGCACCAGCCTTTACGAGCTGCTAACTGCCAACTGCCAACTGCCAACGCGATCCCGATTCCCTTCGGACTACGGAGACGGAAACGGCTGAGACGGACGTGCGCCACCTTGTGCGACCCATTCCGTGTGCGGTATAAAGAATCCCCGCACGCCCGCTGCGCCTTGATCCTGGCACGGAGGCGCTCCAGACCACGCCAAACGACGCCAGAACGCCAAACGCCAGAGCGCTCGAGCGCAACAGCACTAGTCACCGCGTCCCACACGACCCGAGTCTGTTGCGAGTCTCGCCACGCCTCGTGCATCTGTCGACGCCCGTGCGCCCCTTGATTCCCGCGCGATCCTGCGATCCTGCACGCCAGATTAAGATCCACACGAGCATAACGGCTCAACGGCCTGCAGCCACCCGAGCCACCACGCGCAGCGTTAGCTCCTGCACCACCCGACGCATCTGGTGCTAGCATCTAGGGACATTTGGAAGGAACCGGCGGCGCGGACGAGCGTCAACAATCAGTCTCACCCCTCGCTGGCACTGCGCCACCCAGACCTCGATCACACCCCCGCACACACCTCCCACCTCGACAGGCAACCCACCCGGCAACTGAACATAAACTTGAGCTCCCCCGGACCTAAGCACGCCTCCTCTTCAACATCTCTGCATCGCACTCCAAACTTGACAACTATCCGTCCACACATCTGTTCAGCTGTCCCCTCCTTCCCACACACAACACACCCCCGACGCTCCATCCGAGCCCGCCCGCATCCCCTCCCACTCTTTCCTCAGCAACACACAGATTAAAGGACCACCCGCTTCCACCGTTCCCACCACCAACACTCACTGCCCCATTGTTCGGAGCCTCGACGCAAAGTTCAAGCGTTCCCCAGTGATCAGCGCACGCAGTCAACCCTAAGCTTCAAGCTTCCCGAGTTCTAGCGCGTAAACACAACCCCAATCTCATCATCACTAAATCTCAACCTCATTTCGGTGGCGACATGGCGACCCTGCTCTCCGCCCCAACGCTGAGTGCGTCCCAGTTCGCCGAGTTCATCGAGCCCGCTCCGTTGTACCAGTGCCCGCGCAGTGCGACACCTACCATGTCGCGCCCGCGTCTGACCCGGGATTCGAGCTGCAGCCTGTACCCTTCGCCTTCCTTTGGCACGGAGCTGTACCGCGCCCCTACCCGCGACTGCCGCGACAGGCGACGAGACAGCACCCCGCCATCACCCTCTGCCAAGCGATGGAGCATTTCGCTCGTGCGTCCCCGCCTCCGCCGCTCCGAGAGTGACGAGCCGCCGCGCCGCTCCTCCCGCTCCAAGTCGCCGAAGCGTGCCAAATCGACCAAGTCGGCCCGCTCAAGCGAGACTCGCCCCGACTCGACCGAGCACCGGTACTCTGTCTTCAGCGCCTTCGCCGAGTTCATCGAGCCCGCTCCGTTGTACCAGTGCCCGCGCAGTGCGACACCTACCATGTCGCGCCCGCGTCTGACCCGGGATTCGAGCTGCAGCCTGTACCCTTCGCCTTCCTTTGGCACGGAGCTGTACCGCGCCCCTACCCGCGACTGCCGCGACAGGCGACGAGACAGCACCCCGCCATCACCCTCTGCCAAGCGATGGAGCATTTCGCTCGTGCGTCCCCGCCTCCGCCGCTCCGAGAGTGACGAGCCGCCGCGCCGCTCCTCCCGCTCCAAGTCGCCGAAGCGTGCCAAATCGACCAAGTCGGCCCGCTCAAGCGAGACTCGCCCCGACTCGACCGAGCACCGGTACTCTGTCTTCAGCGCCTTTGGCGGCTTCGGTGCCCCATTGAAGAAGGTGGAAAACCACACTGCTCTCGTCGAAGCGCGCCTCGATGCTCCGTCCCCACAACCCCTTCCCTGCCTCGAGGCGTGCACTGGACCGCCCTCGCCCGCCGTCGAGACGTTCTCTAGCACGGCGACGACGCTCTTTGACGAGCCCGAGCGCGATCCCTTCTTCGACGACGATGGCATCATCTGGGTCGTTCCCCGCAGCCGTCGCGGATCCCGCGCGTCGAGCTACTCCCCCGCCAAGCCCAAGTGCGTCATGCAGCACTCCACCCCGGAGCCGCAGTCCATGGCCGATCTCAAGCGCGACTCGTACGGTTTGCACGACGTCCTCAACGTCCACGAGGTCCAGCCAGTGCCGAGCAAGAACCGCGTCCGCATCGAGCGTATCTCTAACTGGGGCCTGCCCTCGTCTCCTCGAGAAGACAAGGTGTGGTCGAAGCTGAGCGTGACCTGGTGGCGCCGGAAGTCGATCTGAGCTGCAAGCTGCGAGCGAAGCGAGCAGCGAGCAGCGGGAGTTCACTCCCCATTGCATCTCAACCCGAAGACGACGAAGACGACGACGGCGCACGCGCGCGAAAAGTAGCCAACGTAGCAGACTACAACCATCCATAATCGCATCGACCAACACCATCATCAACAACCGAACAATTTTCTCCATCAACTGTGTATACATCTCGAATCGTTGCCACAAGTATCTGCCAGCGTATCAGCGTAAAGAAAGCGTATCGAGTAGCTGTTTTTCGTAAACTCTTCTTCTCATCCATATGTGTGTAGTACTAGCCACCCGTAGCCCACCGAGCAAAGGTGTAGCCAACCCGCCATGTTAAGCCATAAACCTGTTACTTTGATTCGGGCAAGATGATTTGATCGGAGAAGGGGGCTTCTGGAGCACTTTCGCCGCGCTTCGGTAATGAGTTTCTGACTGAGATTTGGTAACGCTTCGGGAGTGACGCGTGCATGTGTCTGAGACGCGACTCGGCGAAGCAGAGGTGACAACCTAACATGAGGCAGTACACTGCGGTGAGTGAGTTGCCCGAAACTGGTCGGAACTGGTCGGGGTGCGGAGGAGTGGGGACGCAAGGAGGTGGGTGGGGAGCGGTCGGCCAACACCCACAATGGTGCATCGCCGAGATCTACGTAATACTCAAGTTCGCGTGCTGGCCGGGGTTCGGGATACGGCGACAAGAAGAGGAGAAGTACATCAAGAAGCAGCATGGAAGTCTCGAGCTGAAGAGGGTAGGAATTGTGTGTTGTGTGGTTTGCGAGGCGGGCGAGGCGGTGTGGTGGAATCAGGCCGACATGGAAATCGCAGGGTAAGAAGCTGGCGGAGCAGCGGAGCTAGCGGAGGCAGATGTTATGCATCATGCCTTTGGGCCGAACGCAGTTCTCCCATTGGCCATTGGGCACATTGGGTCCCGTACGGGCCGTACGGGCTGGACTGGGACCAGCCTGGCCAGCCTGGCCTGGCTATCGTGCAGTGCATGCAGTGCTCTCCAGGCGTGCCAGTATACCGACGGCCAACGCTGGGCCAACGCTGGGCCAACGCTAGGCTGGGCGCTGGCGCGCTGGAAGACACCACCCAACTCTCCAAACAATCCAGCTTGCTTCCTCCAACTCCAGGCATTGCACGTACGGTATTGGTATTGGGGACTGCTCCCGCGCCATACTTGTCTGCATACTGTACTTGTCTGCTTTTGGCCTCGTTCCCCTTCAATTACAAGCTTCGTGTGGATACTCGTCCACACTGGCGCGCCGTGAGGCAGCCTGCAGTGTCTATGTCGGCCTGTCGGTCATCACCAGTGTGGGCCTTTGGTCTTGAACGGCGGCGTGTTCCGCCTCGGCCAGCCGGCCAGAGGACCAGAGGTAAAAGACAGTCGCGACAGTCGCGACGTGCGCCGTCCAATTGAGAACAAGGCGGCTGCGGGCTGCGAGAGGCGTCTACTTCTTTCAATAATGACCTCGAAACTTTATCTCCAGGTCGGGTTGAACTGGGCGTGACGACTGGGTCTCCTCTCCCTCTCTGCCCAGCTTACTGGGTACATACGCCGTGGCACGCCGAGTCGTACTTCGTCCACACCGCTGCTCTGGATCTACATCTAACCACAGCGTGGACCGCGTTGCTACTCGGGCATGCCCCAGAGCCTGGTATGCCAGACTACCCACGTTCCCTCCTTACTCGCCTCCGAGATAAACGTGCACAAACATGTGTCTCTTTAGTTAAACTAGAGCACGAAATCGGCACGCCAGCGTCAGCCAACAGCAGAACTAGCAGAACTGGCAGAGCTAGCAGGCCAAGCAGAAGAGGAAAGGCAAGGGCAGATAGCCAGCGAAAGAAGCCAAACGCGTGTGCTTGGCAGAAAGCAGCAGTGGCACCAAAAGTATCCATTAACCCGGGACGATCCCTCTCCTCCCTTTAATGTGGAACCCTGAGTCCAGGGCGCACGTTCTACCTTGCCACTCCCACCCATCAGTGACATTGAGTTACGCTCATGCTCATGCTCAACGCTATGCACAGAAGGATGCACAACTGGGGCTCTCTCCTCTCTCTTCGTCAAACTTCCAAACTCAGCTTCTCCTATGGCCTGGGGGGTCTGTCTCGATGTCGTTAGTTTTGGCGAGGAGTGAAGAGTCACACAACTCGCAGCTCTTGCGGCGCTCACGGTCCCGATCCCGATACCGCTGCCCGATGAGACGGAGCCGCGAGCGCCGCCGTTTGATCCCTCCCTCCCGTTCGCTCTATTCGCGGCTGGTTGCGTTATCTGCACGGACTCTGTTGGCCTGTTGGGCTGCAATTCTGCGCTGCCGTGACAGTACAGTTTGTAGTTGCAGACACTCCGCCCAAAGTCGTATTCACGGGAACCGTCGAATGACCTCTCATTACTTGAGCAAAGTTGGAGATCGGAGAGGTTCACACTTCAAGAGGACAAATCCTCACCTCGGCGAGACTCATGCGTGCCTCGATCTGGCAATACTGCTTTGGGGGTAGGCAGCAACAATGCAAAACAAAGTTGCCTCTGGAGCCAAGTTTCATGTTTGCTCCCTCCGCCATCCTCCCCCCCCCAGTGGGAGCTCGCTCCACCTTGTTTCGTTTGTCTCGCCGAGGCAGAGTGCGACGCCGGAGGCACACATGCATGACGCACCTCTGTACCTCTTCCTTCTGGCACTCTGCACGCATGCACCGAAAGAGAGTGTGCAGTGTTCCAGCGGAGGGGACGCCCCGCTTTGGAACGCATCAGCCAAGCCCCCGGCGACCTGGCCTGACGCATATCTAAGGGTCTCTCTCTTTGGTGAAGCATTTCTCAGGATGATGGCCGTTCTGAAAAATCGAAACACGCCGCAGTGTAGACCCCCGAGCTCCGGCTCCGACGCACAAACGCGAAAAAGTTTGCCCATTCATTAGCCCCAGGTCCCTTTTGCCTCCTGCTAGCCCTGGCCGCCTGCCGCAGCCCTGCCTTGCCCTGCCTTGCCGCCCGTCTGCCGCCCAGCCCGCTGCAGTGACACTTGCGGTGCACGAATGGTGCAGCGCTTGCATGCCCCGGGCCGGGATGCATAGAGAGGGAGTTCAGATCGTTCAGACGTCCCGAGGCCGTGGTTGCCGTGATCGACACGTGGATCGCCCCTTGGCCTTTCTGCCCCCAGGGTGCGATCCCTGCCATTCGTCGATAACGCCTGTCTCCTGCCTGCTGCGGCTGGCAACCATCCACATCTTGTCTCTTTCAACACACAATACTCTCTCACTCTTGTCGCTCGCTGGGTCACTAGAACGAGCCCCTCGGCCCCCGCTCCACTCGTTAACGCATCATCATCACGAACAATCGAAAGTCGCATATCATCATTACATCAAGCTAGTTCTCCAACATATCTATCATTAATCGACGGCGGGACAACACGCCGACCTCCCGCCCCCCGCCTGCCCGCGCTGCTCCCCGTGTCCGAACCCCACCCGCCCCACTAATTTCTTAACCACTCTCAACACTCTCGCACTCCACTCCACTCCGACGCACGCCCCCGACAGCTCCGCAATGCTGAGCGCCGGCGACCACCGGCACCGAGCCCGTTTGCGCACCAGTCGTCCTCCCTCGACCTCTACGCCCAACACGCCCAGAACGCGCCGTACACGCCCTACAACGAGAAGTATGTCTACGCCAACGGCACGAGTAACGGGCTGCCGACGTCGCCTCGCGGAGCATCGTTCAGCGCGGGGCTGTTCGGCGGGCTCGACTCGCTGTCGGCGTCACTAGGCTCCTCAGCAGGCGACGACTCGCTCGTGTCTCGCGTGCTCGCGGCGCTCCCGAAACCGGCCACGCTCAAGTTTATCACGCTCTGCACGCTGTGGTACGCCTCGAGCGCCGTGTCCAGCAACACGGGCAAGGTCATCCTCAACCGGGCCCGGTTCCCCATCACGCTCACAATTGTGCAGTTTGCGTTCGTGTCAGGACTCTGCTGGCTCATCTCCCGCCGCCAGCTTGGGCTCGGACACCGGCTCCGCCGCCCGACCCGCCAGATCGTCGTGCATACCCTCCCCATGGCCGCGTTCCAGGTCGGAGGACACATCTTTGGCTCGCTCGCCATCTCGCGCGTCCCCGTTAGCACCGTGCACAGTATCAAGGTGAGTTCGAGTTGCTTGGTGACGTGACGCTGCGCTGCGTGCGCTGCGGGTCTGTTGGGCCGATCCAGCGGGTGACGAGCGGCTGATCGATGTGCCGTCTGCACGGCCGATCGCGCTGCGTCACAGTGGCTATTCCAGGCCCAGCATGCAGCGATCGCGCTGCTCTCCCGCTTGTTCTCTCGACGATCTATTCGCTCAAAGGCTGACACTATGCAGGCCCTCTCGCCCCTGTTCACGGTACTCGCGTACGCGGTCCTGTTCCGCGTCTCGTACTCGCCCGCGACGTACCTGTCGCTGCTCCCGCTCACGCTCGGCGTCATGCTCGCGACGTCGTTTGACATTTCGCTGCGCAATTTCCTCGGCCTGATTTGCGCGTTCGGGTCGACCATCATTTTCGTGTCCCAGAACATCTTCTTCAAGAAGGTCATGCCCTCGCCCGGGTCTGGGGGCGACGTGTCCGGCCCGAGGCTCGACAAGATCAACCTGCTCTACTTTTCGAGCTCGATGGCGTTCCTCCTCATGACGCCGATCTGGCTCTGGGTCGATGCTCCCAAATTGCTCTCTCTCATGAGTGCGCCGGGGAGTGGGCACGCCTTCAGCACGGCAGTCTACTACGCGATCAACGGCACGGTGCATTTCGCGCAGAACCTGCTCGCGTTCAGCATCCTCGCCTCCACGTCGCCAGTGACGTACTCGATCGCCTCGCTCGTGAAGCGTATCGCCGTCATCTGCCTCGCGATCGTCTGGTTCAAGCAGAGCGTGCACCTCGTCCAGGCTTTGGGCATTGCGCTGACGGCGCTCGGATTATGGATGTACAACCGGGCCAAGCGCGACGTGGACCGGGGCGAGAAGAAGGTGCGCGCGGCGGAAATGGCGCGCGAGGGCGTTCTCCCCTCCAATGTGAGGGACGAGGACATGCTCGACCCCGCGCACAAGATCCACAAGTCCCCCAGGCCAGAGTATGTCTCCAACGGACATGCGGGACACGCCAACGGCCACGCGGGACACGCCAACGGACACTCGTACTCCCAGTCCTCGGCGCTGAGGAGAGAGTTCATGCCCCCTCCTCTCTCTGTGCCCCCGCCACCGCCAAAGTTCAAGCAAGCCCTGCCCCAGGGCCCGTACCCCTCTCCGCCGGCGAGTACGGCCTCGAGTCCCCCGCTGCCGAGCACGAAGCTGGACGAGCATCCTGTCGGCCTCGGGGTTGGCGTGGGCGTTACGGCGTGAGAGATCATAGAGTGCGGGCTTGGATTAGCCCCGATGCTAGATTTAGACTAATGGACCATTGGTACTCTTTTCTGCTATTTCATTTTCTTAGACCTGTAGAGATTTACAATGCACTATGCACTATACAACGAGAACGGAAACGTGGACGAGGACGTGGACGTCGGGGAGAGCGCCATGTGTCGAGGAGATTGAGAGTATGCTGAGTCGGTCGAAGCCACGACCTAGGTAGTATAATGGCGCCATCACACATGGCCGAGCACGCCGTAGCTCTAGGCCAGCAACGCCTTAGGACTAGGCATGATGGCACTCTCGCCCACGGCCGAAATGACTCTGGCGACCATCTCCTTGAGTGCTTCCTGGACGCCGTCGAGCCCCGCCATCCGCTCGAGTGACAGGCGCCACTGCGCCCACTCAATGAGCTGGATGTACTCAACAACACTGCCGACCTGGAATGTACGCCGGATCTCATCGCCAATCACCTCGCGCACGGCGTCGGCGTGCAGGCGTATCTCCTCGAGCACCCGCGTAACTGTGTCCTGCGGTAGGAGGCCGACGACCTGGCTTGCGAGCACAGCTGCGGCATTACTAGCCGCCGAACCCACCAGCGCAGACAGTGCGCTGAGAAGTAGCGGACTCAGGCCCAACGGCAGCAGACCTAGTACAGCCCTCAAAGCCAACTGCTGCAACAACCGGGACAGCAATCGGCGCACATTGCTCCGGACTTGGGAGCGGAGGAGTTTCGACGCGTACACCGGCGTTGTTATTCGTGCCACCTGCCGGACGACGAGGGCCGGTATCCGCCGCGCGAGCACGTAGCGGAGTCGACTCAGGAGGGTGAGCGTGTAGAGCGAACTGAGGCGGGAGAGACGCGCCAGCGCGCGAGGTGTCGCGGAGCGGCGGACTATGCGGACTGCTTGGGAGAGGAGGGGGCGCGGGACGGCGCGCACGGCGACGGCCATGTTGTTCGACAGTAACGAGCGCGGCGAGCGCAGCGAGTCGCGCAAGTCGCTCTGAGAAATCGAGGAGCCCGCGAGCAAGGCTGAGGCGAGGCGCTCAGCAGAGCTCAGTGAAGACCGACGACGCGGTGACGAAGCGGCGCCAGGAAGTGGAGGAGAATGTGGTCAATGCTGAGTGTTGAACGCCATGAAAATGAGATTGCACTATCGCTGCAACGAGGGACTTATGTTACTTACCCGGGCGCCGAGCAACATTCCTTCCCTGCACCCTGGGTGCAGACGCGCCTGGACGTGAGATGGGAAAAACACGCTCACGTGACTCGGATGTCAACAACAACAGCAAGTCGTAAAGCGCTGTTCGCCGCAAGTACGGGCACAGGTGCATATGTATAGTACAACATGTCAACATGGAGTAGGCCGTGAAAGTTGGTTATGAGAGTGATGGGATCGTTTGGTGGTCGGCGAGTGCGTTTCGTTCGCTGTGGGTGGTCGACTGTAGAACGCCGATAGTGATGGCATTGCCGGCTTGAGCTGCGCGGTTATGAGCCGAGACACACTTCCGTGTCGCTCTTCTTTCCTCCGACTTCGGCGAGGATGCGGACACAGTCCTCGATGGTGCGCAGACGGAGCGAGCCAGGCATACTGCCCCGGCCGGTCCAGCTCGCCCCGTCCCTCCGCATCTCGGTCGCACCCTTCACCACCTGTGCGCCCGCTCCTTCCAGATCTGGCCCCCTCTCGTCGTACAACTCTCCCTCCAAGTCTCCCATGGCCTCCTTCCTTTCGAGCACTTTGTCGGGGTTCTCGTTGATGATATCAGCGTCATCATGTGTCGTAGGGTCGACAGCTGAGTCAATCGTCGACGTGATAGTCACCGAGACGTCCGTGTCGGGCGCGAACAAGCTGACGCAGAATCCCCGCGGCGCATGGTAGATGTACACGCTCGCCTCGCTCGTACCGCCCGTCTCGCCCGACTCGCCCGCGTTGAACACCTTGACCAGATCATATCCGGAGCAGAGATCGTGCAGCACCGGAATGCCTGCGCCCTTCGAGGAGAAGCCGGCTTTCAGGACTTCGGGCTTGTCATGGGGTTCGATTGCGAGCGCTGGAGTGTTGGTTGGTGTCTCGTGGTAGAGGAAGGGGGCCTGGAGAGGCGCCGAAAGGACGAGGGGGAGGATGAGGAGTGCGGCCATGGTCCAGTCCCTCATGCTCGAGGTCGACGGTACTGAATGACTGCGCGGTGAATGTCGATGAAGCGGGTGACCGTCCAATCGCCCAGTGTTCGCAGAGCGTCGTTCGTTCAGTCGTGAGTGAAGAGATCAATATGACAAGTGAGCTAGTGAGCAGAGTCAGAACGGGTGGGAAGTTGCAAGAGCAGGGCGCATAGCTATATCTGCGCCCCGCCCACCTGCTACCTGCTCGCCTCGCACACCTCGTGTGTGTGTCCTTGGTTGATGATGCCGCACCCCAGTCCAAACTAGAGCGTCTGTACCTGGGGACTACCCACGCTCAACAGCTATTCTGCGAGCGTTCCCCGCTCATCCCCGGATGGCCGGGTGCGTTTCTGCATACGCGGAGGGTGAGCTAAGGTGGACGGCAGAGACGACGGCACAGTGGAACTCCAGGGGAAGCAGTGAACCTACCACACCCTCGCCGACTTCCGCGGACCGAACTCTAGAGAGCGGTACGACGCTCCGGCACCCTCGTATCAGGCGTCACAGGAGTGACTGGCTCTTCTCAGCTCTTCAGCGTCGATCTCGTCCTGGCGCTGCGAGGCCTGCCCACCGATGAGGAGATGAGAAGAGGGGCAGATTAGCGCTTAGAGTTTCACTGCCTCACTTGCTCGACTCTCACCAGGTCTCTCGCCACAGTACACAGAATGCTCGGTGGTGTCAGTGGTAACTTCCAGCTCTGGTTGTGCCTCACGACCACCCTGCAAGACAGACTCAAGGTCAACAGCGGTCGGTGGAGGCAGTCGGGCAGTTCGCATGTCACGCTGTTGTTCATGTTCGCTGTCCATGTGTCCAGGCACACGGAGCTGTACCAAGACCTCACAGCAAAGCTCTGTGCCTCCTGAAGCAGGTGAGACGCTCGTCCACGTCCTGCTCAACGGAAAGCGCACTCACAGCTGAGCAGACAGACCGAGCGGTTCACGCGCGTCACGCGTGCATCTTCCTCGACCGCAGCCAGCGCGTCATGAATGTTCCTGTGGCCCGGTACCCGACACGCTTCCTATTCTCCCGTGCATTCACTGCATGCACTGCATTCACTCGACTGCGAATCCAGTGTCATGAGCTCATTTCGGCGTTCCAGAACAGCAGGTCCGACTCCACATATCCACATGCCGTCTCCGATAAACGAGCACTCCCACTCCACGGAGACCGAGCGATACACACGCAGCCGCACCCACTTACCCACTCTGGCCACATGTCGAGCACAATGAAGGTGTCCACATTGGCTGGCTCTCTGTTATGAATGACGTCTCACTCTCACACCGCACGCACCCTCCACCTCTTTCCACAAACAATAACCTCGATGACGGTCACGCCCGCATGAAATGACAACAATGCATAAACTACAAACACTAATGCACAATGGTTTTGAGGAGGGTAATAAACGTTCTAAAGTGGTGATGGGGTGATTATCGATTGTCCGTTGTGCTTTTGCTTGGCGACGTGCGGGTGGCCTTATTCTTCTTTGCTACTTCGTCCGAGTCCGACACTCCTACGGTCGGCGGATATCGTTCGCTACCGGCGGAGGTGACCTTAGTGATTAGGGCCTCTGCGGCGCCGGGCGGGCTCGCTGCGCCTAATGCTTAGATGAGATGGTGCAGCTTGGGGTTCTTGGACGGGTCGAAGTGGGACTCTTCCCGCGGCCGCGTGAGGCTGAGGAGGGACATGAGCGGGCCGCGTTTCGGCTGCTGGGCAGGCTCTTGTTGCTGCTGTTTCGTCGCAGCCTGAGCGGCAGCGTTGGCCTTGGCGACTGCGTTGTCAGCTGTGTTGTTCCTCTCGGTGATGTGGTGATGTGGTGGCGGGATCACTTTGCTCCCTCCCTGCTTCCCGTGGTGGAGTGGTGGATGGTGGAGGCTGGTCGAAATTCGACGCTACGACGCTTCGAACGTGACTCCCAACTCCACCATCACCACTGTCACAGATGGTCACTCCGGGGCACGGAGCGCAGCATGTGCTGTGGGGTAGGGCTACAGGCTGCGCACGGTATGCAATCTTGCACGGTGCACCGATCACTCCACGGGGAAGGGGTGGCGAAAGCCGATGGACAACAACCTGAGAATACTCACGCTCTTCACGTTCGCGCTGGAAGGAGTGCGTTCCGCTCTCGCAGTGCTCGAGGAGGGCGTTGAGGCGGTCGTCGGGGGATCCAGAGGGTGTTGTGGTGGTGCTCGAAGCGGGAGAACGGCGCCAGTTGGGCACGGTGAGGGGGGAAGGGAACGTCATGTTGTTATTGTTGGGCTTCTCGCTCGGAGTCGTTGTGGTAGTGGTAGTGGTGGACGACAGGGTTGCTCGTGTCGACAGTGTCGTGATTGCAGTAAATGTCAAGGAGAGTGCAAGTTGGCGAGTTGCACTGCAGGTAGTGGTGATGGGTTGCTTGGCAAATGGCAACAGCAGGAAGCGTGTCGATCATCATATATCAGGTGTCGTTGCAGCTTTGCGGCTGGCAGCCCAGGGACGGCGGTCGGGAGGAGGGAGCGCGGATGCGGGGTCGCGCCTTCGCCCGCCAAATCCGAGACGTCCGAGCCAGTCGTACGCAGAGGCTACGCTGGGAGCGGGCACGTGTTGCAGTCCAAAGTGGAGGCCGGTGGCAGGGGAAGGCCGGGACCGGCGACTATTCAGGGTGACTAGCCCTAAGCGGGCTTGGTTTTCGGCGGCTACGGCGGCACTTCTGCACGGCTTTGCGGGCTTGGCGGGAGCAAAATCTTCACACAACTTCAGCCGTACTCGACTCTACGCTGAGTCGACGGGAACGGGAATAATGGGTCCGTCGTTATCTCATCCCTGAGGCCAGCGGTGGAGGCCGGCGAACGTGTACAACCCCCCTTTGGAACGACTGATTCTCCCGATCCATAGTCACATCTTGCATGTTCATGTCAATGTTCGATGCACACGGATGGTTCATCCGTTCAGTTTCGACACTAACAGCGACGAACTAGGCGTTAGCGGCCCCGAGCCCACGATGCGGGGACTCCATCGCCCGTGCTGAATGCGGGGAAGGGCGCTCCCCCACCTTGGCTCGTGTCCTCGTGACCTCCCCCCGGCACCACGGCATCTGGACACCAGTATGCCGAGGCTCTTCGAACAAATCGCCTCCGCGCGGCCCCGGACAACGCAGCCTTCCCCGCACTTACTTGCGCCCCTCCTCCTGCATTACGTTGCGAGCCATCAACAACGGCCGCGTGCGAGATCGAGATCTGAACATTGAGAGAACTGGTCGAGTAACAGCGGCGATCTGAATCCCGTTGACTTTGGGTGAGCGGCGCCCGGCGCCGAAAGCCGGTACTTCTCCCGAACCAGATTCCCACGGTTGCGGCCACCACAGAGCCTAGGCCGGCGCCAAGCTTTCCAAGCTTCCTTACCCCGCAATGATCGCCGCAGATAGTGGAGCCGCCGCGGAGAGCTGGATATGCATGATGCGAACGATGTCGTTTGACTTGCATGCATGAGTCGAGATGAGAGGGGTAACGAGGAAGGGGGTGGTGGAGAGGACGACTGTGCCGCCTCGAGGGAGGTTTTGCCGCAAGTCAGCGGCAAGAAGGCGCTTAGGGATTGTGCCTGGAGACTCTTCACGTGAACGAACGGGACCAGATAAGCACGCTACCGCACGCCGTTATCAGTGGCGTTGTGCCCTCCACTTTTGCTTCCTGCGTTTCTTCTGACTCCCCTTCTAGGCCCGATAACGCTCATCCCCTCCCTACTTATCATGATAACGCCGCTCTGCACGCTTGATAACAGGACGCCGGTCGTGATATCCTCCCGGATAACGGAAGAGGTGACATCCGAAGCATGTGGAGGGAGACGGAGCGGAAAGAGTGGTGGAGGCTCCGTGCACGACTGGCGACGGCGAATGCCGCCGGCAACGAGAGTTTTTCCGCAATCCCGCCGGCGCACCGTTTTCCGTGAGTCCGCCGTGAGCCCCCAACAGTGACTCCTGCTACACCTGCTTCCTCGTCTGATTAAACGAGTGAGCAAAGGAAGGATTCACAAACTGAGCAACCCGACAAAGAACGCACAATAGAAGCTTTGGAGAAGTTTCGGGTCGAGAAGCAAGTTTGGGGTGAGACATGCGCCGATCGGATCGCCTGTTTGTCCACCACGATCGAGGAGAACAATGACGACGTACAAGTACGTACGCCATGTATGTATGAGAGTGGCACGATGTCCTCGAGACGATTCGGAGACGAAGTCCTCCTTCCCTCCTGGCTTTTGAGCTGGGACATTGCAGTGCACAGAATGAATTGTTATACACACGCACGCGTCGTCATAACACTAGGCCCGGACACCGTGCGTCTCGTCCCGAGAGTGTCCCAAGAGTGAACCCATACTGCAGCGTGCTTTGTGTGGACGCTCCAACGGATGGAAACGTCGTCGAAGGCGTATCAGCCATAGTTCTGCTTCCTCGCGCTACGCTCACGATAGTGGAGACAGCTAAGGGCAGATCTGAGTACCCCCGGGGCGAGCCTTAGAACGCGCAAACTTGCTCTCTCCCCCTCCCACCTGGAGCTGCGCACATACGTTCTGAGGCGTGGCTATGCGCGTGAGGCACACGAGGCGGCGCGTGAGTCTGCGTGCGCAGGCACGCTCCCTGCACAGAGCTGCAAAAAGTCCAGTGTGTGACTGCCGAGAACCTATGCATAGACGCTATGGGATCAATGGCGGCCCAATTATCCATGGTACGAAGGGGTAAGGTGGGGGGAACATATGGACACATGCTGGGTTACGGAATGGGATGATATTGTTCTTTGCTGCTCTTTGGTAGTGTGACTTCTTCTTTTCTGTTTTGGATATAGCGGGGGTGTAAAAAGGTAGAGGTAGAGGGAGATGGGATAGATGCACAGACTTGAGGAGGAGTAATGCGGAGAGTTTGAGAGTTCATGTTGAGAGGAAGAGGAATATGCACATTTTGGTTGTGGGTTGGGTGGTGAGATGAGTGAAATGCGAGGTGAGGTGGTGCTTGATGGATGGACAGACTGATGGATGGGGTGGGTGATGATGCGAGTTCGGTCGTTCTATGTCATCTATGCTGGATGTCGGAGGGGGTGGGGTGCACTGTAAGCTGCACTAGGTGCTCGCTCACTGCCACTGGTAAGCCTCGTACGGGTTGCGGAGGCGGGGAGAGGGCAGCTGGAGCTGAGGCGCCGGCGCGCGCATGACCTGGGGCACGGGGTGGTGCAGCATGGCGTTGGGGTTGCCGAGCATTTGGCGCTGGAGCATCAGGCTGGCGTGGCTCGGGTACGGCGCGGGGCGGGTGGGGGTGAGGAGGACGCTGCTGTTAGGCGTCGAGGCGGCGCTGGACGCTGCTGATGGAGTGCGCGAGGCGGCTCCGTTGGCGGCAGCCTCAGCGAGTACACGGCGGGGGCCGCGGGTGCGCCCCGTGTCGACCATGGGGAACAGCGGGGGGTGCTGCTGCTTGACGTGGTTGGCCATCTTGTTGCGCTGGCCGTACGCCTTGCCGCATCCGATGGCGGGACACTTGTGCGGGCGCTCTCCACGGTGGGAGCGGATGTGGCGCTCGAGGTCGGCGTTGGAGCGGAAGGTGCGGGTGTTGCGCTCGCAGTTGGCGTACGGGCAGAGGTGCGGCTTCTTGGGCTTGAAGCCTGATGCGGTCTGCTTCAGCAGCTGCTTGGGTTCCTCTTTCGGCTCGACGTCCTTGCTGTCGGCATTCGTGTTGGTCGAGCGCGTGCTGCAGCGAGAGATTGTGCGAGGCGCAGGCGTAGAGTTGACAGTCACGCAGCCCGAGGTCGTGAGACCCGGCGTCGGCGACATCTGGAATGCGGGCGAGTTGTATCCGCTAGACATGCGAGGCGAACCGTACGGTGTGGTGATGTCGTCGAGGTTGAAATTGTTAGGCCCTCCGTTCGAGAGGTTGGGAAGCAGGCTGGGGCTGGGAGCAGCCGAGTTGGGAGCAGTCGAAGCAGACGCTGAAACGCCGGCCCCGTTCGCAACGTGGGCAGCGAGGAGGGAAGAAGCCTGCTGGGCAAAGCTCGTCGGAGAGTAGTCTGCGACTTTGATGGAGAGCCCGTCTCCGATTCCGGGGCCTGGCGGGGTCATGTCGTTGCCGTTCGTGGCTGCTGATGAAACGTTGCCGCTCTGGTTCGAGTTCTGGTTCGAAGCCTGAGGGGCGCCGGCGTTTGCAGCCTGGTTCAGCGTCTCGGCGAGGATGGAGTTGGTGGTAGCCGAGTACTTTGACGACGTGAGGAGGTGGACAAAGTCAATGTTGGACTGGGTCTGACCCGAAGGAAGCGAATAGTCGAAACCGAAAGGGTCGTCTGGTGTCGCGAGAGCAAACTTTGTGCCGACAGTGTTGACCCACTCTGCAGTGTTGGAAAGTGAGTCGTCCTTGAACGCGGGTAGGAGGTTCATGACGAAGAGTCGGGAGTTATATGCGTGCGCGCGCGGTGTGTCGCTCACTCGCGTTCGGAAGGGGGGAGGAAATTTGGGGTGCGCAACGAAGGTTGACTCGCTGTGTGTTTCGGTGCAAGTTGCAGCAGCCAAGCTCGGAATGGAGAACGAGGGTGCGGACTTGGTTCAACGTGTTGGAACGTTGGAACGTTTTGGAAGGTGGGAAAGCTAGGAGGGGAGTCGGTGTGTGCTGCCAAGCGTGTGTGTGTAGCTGCCTGTTGAAGAAGCTCGAGTGAGTTGAATCTGAGGTTGCGTCGGCGTCGGTCGCTATCGGGTCGTCCGGGCCCAAATTTTGGAAGGTGGTGAATCGATTGAACCGTCGTCGAAAACGGGGTGCCAGCAGGCTTTTAGTGGTATGTGGGGGTATGCAACGGTCAAGCCCAGATGGAGATGACGGCGCGGGGGGTAGAATGCAAGGGGTATAACCTGTCGGGGAGCTTACTGGTGGTGTCGAAGTCGGGTTGGTGTCGGAGGGCTTGGAGAACTGGACGTTGGAGACATGGCGGTCGAGAAACTTGTCTAGGACCAGACCTCTTTTGCTGCGGGGTCTCCACACTCACCAAGCTCCGTCCACCAGGCACGCACCTGTTGGCTGGCACTGCAATCCTACTCGAGTCGTCCATGCAACCTCGCTGGTCCTCGTTGCGTGCCTCTAAACAGCACACGGCGAAGCAGCAGAGACGATATCATACATACACACCAGAAGTTGTTCAGCCAGAACATGTCTCGGCGCCGAAGGCGTCGCACTCTCGCCTCTGCCACTCCCGCACACAACGACGACCCGCTACCACTGACACGGTCCCGGGCGCCGTCTTGCTGCAGGTACCACCGTCAGACGAGCCGATGCACACTTGAGGCACTCCTGGTAGCCTCATTCTAGCCACGTCAGTGTGTGCATGCGCTCCTAGAGACCTGCAGACGTTCCGACGAAACTGCCGACATGAGGCTGGCAGCCACACGCCTAGCCCGCCCAGCCCAGGCAGCCTGGCCCAGGCTGCCAGGACGCAAGTCAGGTGGAACATGCACACAGCCAAGGCCTCAAGTCTCCGTCTCTGCCAGCCCCAAATTATCAGGACGCGCAGCCGGGGCAGCCGAGGTGTCAGCCTTGGCCGTGCGCAGTCACTTCTGTCTGCAGTTTAGTTCGACTGCTCAGGCAAGCCCGCTGACAAAGCTGGGCACGCCTTCTCGCCAATGTTCTCGGTGTTAGCCGTGCGCACAGCACACTACGCACACCAGGAGAGGCATACACGGCACGCACGGAGTGCTGGAATTTTCCTCTGCGGTACGCTGATTGGGAGGGGCAGTCCCTCGGCCACTCCACGGAGGAACGCAGGAACCACCACTACGGCCAGATCCCGTTACACCCGTACGGTGGGCCCGTAGCACCGGCGGCCCTACAGATCCATCGACGTCAGACGCCTGACTGAGCCTGACTGCTGCGTGCGTGTCAGACGACTCGGTTTGCAGAGAAGCGACCTTGCAGAAGTTCCTTAGGCTCGGCGGTCCTTCGGCAGTCCTGGCAGCCTGTAGGCCCTGTGTGTGGGCACCCCTGTACTTCCTGCAAGCGTTTCCGAGTCGGACACCGTGCATACACCGCTACACCGCCCACACAGTCGACACAGCATGGGCACCTTGGACTGAACCAGGGAAACCGCGAGGTAACCGTACTTGTGGCCCAGGGTGGAGTCGGCGTGCGTGTCTTTTTTCGACACCGCGGACGTTTCTGACAGGACGAGACAAACGCCCGCTCGGCGTATCCTGAACCTGAAGATCTGGAGGCAGCGCTGTCCTGGGGCTGTCCTGGCATCTAGCAGTTCTCAACTCAGGAAGACGTACAGGGGTTGAGTAATTTTCGACTGGAATGACCCCTTTCTCTGGTTTCTCTGGGTGGGGAGGGACAGGTTAAGGTCACTCCTTTCGTAACGTCGGTGGACTGGTCGAAATTTTGCAGCTCTACGGGCCAACGGACGAGAGATGGCCGACGCACAGGCTGCCGAAAGATAGCAGAGGCATGCAGCTGTTCGGCAAGATCTGTACCACAGGCTGGCTCTAGTCTACTCTGGAGCACGAGACATATGCATGGACGAGCACAAGTACAGTCGCGCATCCCCTCCTGGCGTACAGCCCAGAACGCCAGGGATGTCACTTGAAATTTCGGCGAGCCAAACTATGACGTCGCGAGTGATTTTCTTCTGCCCGAACTCTCTCCCCCCAACAGCTTCGAACCCTGGACTCCTATCGGCAACTTACAACGCCGGGCAACTGCCTGGCTCTGGGCTCTGGCCTCGAAACTTTTCCACCGCATAGCGGATGGAGCTGAGTGGGCAGTGAAGTGGAGGGAGGTACACAGGGCCGACGGGCGGCGCGGTTTCGGCCTTCGCCTTGACAAGTTGCTTCTGCAAGCGAAGCGTGGCGTGTCAATCGATGGCGGCGGCGCTCCGTCGCCTGACTCAGGCGTCGAGTCTGTGACGCCGAGCTGAGCTTCGCTTAGCCCACCGACGGCATCTGCCACCGTACACCTCAACCTCGATCAGCAGACCACTTTGCAGGCATGCCGGTGCAGCAGATGGGGACACAGGGAGCGACGCAGAGCCAATCTCTCCCTCGCTGAGCCTATCTCAGCCAGTCAGCCTTCCCCCACCAGACAGTGCTGAGCATGCTGACAGGCACACCAGCTTCTCCGAGCCGGCCGGTACGCACGGACATCGAGGCATCGGTTTGTCGGTGTATATCTGACTGGTCGTCAGATATGGCAGAGCACAGAGCACTAAGGCGGATCGGACCGGACCATTCACTACAGCGAAGGTGTACGATGCCCACCCAGCTGACAGTCTTGGCTGGGCTGACGAGAAGTGCTCGAGCGTCCTCGGGAAGCTGAGAAGTTAGTCGGACCGGTCGGGTCGGGCGACTGGGTCGGCTGCGACGGCCTTGCCTTGGCTCCCACGCAATTGGAGGCAGGTGGCGACCAACCAGCTCGAGGCGGGCAACTTGGCACCATCGGGCTGCTGCAGAGGCGATCAATCCCCTCGCAAAAATACGAGGAATGCACACCTTACATTCCTCTGCGCACTGCTTCCAGAGGATGACGAGATGAGGACAGTGCAGTGCTGACCGAGGTGATCCAGACGATCATTTGCGCACTCCAAGAGGGTTGACACCTACGGCGCCCGCTCGCATTCCTTGCCTCCTTAAGCTCCCCAGGTTTCAGTGATCTGCGTCGGTGCGCGTGTCGGTGCGTCGTCACTGGAATCAAGAATTCGGGTGCTCGGACGCAAGTCTGCAGGCTTCGCAGGTCTTGGAGCCGTCCACGGAGAGATCGACGACGCTGGCATTCCTCCTCGAGAGTGGCTGCGAAGCCGCCCTCGCCGCCCTCGGAGCATTTAATTCTGACGATCCCCCTGCCAAGACTCTTGCGGAATGCGGCAGCCGCACTTTCGCAACGTAGAGTGCTGAGCTGCAGTGCGAGATGTCGCATGTCGATCTTGTCGTGGCCTGCACGCAGCCTGGGTCCGCTTTCGAGTCGCCCGAATGCCGACAGACCTGAGCGCGACGCAGCTATTCAAGTTGCGGCTTGACCGCCTCATTCTCAATGACAACTGGCTGAACGTCGACTTCAGGCTGTGTCGTTTTGGCAGAATACGGCCTTTATGTCGTCGGGAAGCTGAGGACTGGCCCGGCTTGGCGAAGCAGGCTACCGCACGTCAGCGTCCGAGACATCATCCGTTTCCAAAACGCTTCGCAACCTTGGGCCTTTGCTACTATCGTGACTGGTGACTACGGCCAGTGTAGCTCAAGTCGCTCTCAAGTCTCAGCCACACTCGCTGAACTTTGAGAAAGTCAACACCATGGTTTCTCTTCTCGCCTAACAGTCGTCTATCTCGCCTGGCCCCAAACTCGAGAGATAAGCAAAACCTTCTCTGAAACACGCACACGCGCACGGCCACGTCCATATTAAGCTGCCGTTGGTCAGTATCCCACAAGGGCATGCCCCCGCATCGCCCGCGGCCATTCCGGTGACTTCGTAGTGCGAGAATAACACACACAGCTCGTGCGTAAGGTTGGGTGCGGGCAACTCGGGTCTCCAATTCATACTATTGTTTGCTTTCGCTTCCTTCGCACAGTTCTCTGTGCGCACGTCTAAGCGCTGCCAGTGCTTGAATTGTAACGCCAAGCAATGGACCGCAAAGCTTTGTTAACCGGTCTGCTTCTTGGAGGCTTTGTCGGAACTACACCGAACGCTGATGGTACGGACGTCCGGTTTTGAGCGGAGCGCCGAGTTATCGAAGCCCGAGAGACGCGAGACAGAAAAAAATGTCCAGGACACCTATTCTAGGTCAGCCATCAGTCCCTTCCCGTTGTATGTCCCGACAGTCCGTCAGTAGACGCTATCGTCTAAGCCTCGACCTCCCTCTGCTTGTTCCTCGAGATGTCTGAGAACGCAAGTGGCACGTCGCCCTCACGTCTTCCTCGATAACACTGCGTCAGCGTAGGGTAGGCATATCGCATCCAGAGCTTCTAGTACAACCAAAGTGAGAATCAACTTCGCGCGGCGTGAGCCGCCTATCCGTGTCTTCGTGTCTGCTTTCTATCCCGCCACGCATGTGAAGGGATGACGGATCAGGCCGCGCGCCAGAGAGGAAGGGAAAGAGCAGGGGGTCCCGTCAACCCTTAAGCCAGGATCTGAGGTCAGCTTAGCGGCCTTTCGCCAACTTACAGCTAAGATGACGACGCAGATGACGATGACGAGGATCATGAGGAGACACGCCATGCGCCGCCCCGCCTTGCGCTGGTACTCGTGCGCGGTCGTGAGTTCCTCGGCGGCCTCGCGCGTGTTGCCGGACACGGAGATGATGTTGCTCTCGATGTTGTCTGGGGTAAGCTATTGACAGTTCTTGGCAGCTTGCAGTCACTTGGATGGCGCTGCGCGGCGGCTGTGCAAGCTCAACTTTAACCGCTGCTCCACAAGTCCAAGGCGTAAGTGACTCACCGACTAAGCCGCCCTGCTGCTCGACAATGGCGCCAATGTCACGGAAAATGTCGTTGAGCTCGTGGATGCCCGACTCGATCTCGCGGATCTCATTTTCCCGCTCGGCAATGAGCTGCTCCTGGAACTCGAGCTCGTGCTGCGTGATCTGCGGCGCCTGCGCCTGCTGCTGCACCTGCACCTGCTGTTGAACGGGCTCGAGCTCAACGCTGCCGCGCGACCGCTCCTCCTCCGCCACGACCTCTGAGACGGCATGCGCGCGCCGCGCCGGCTCGAGGGTGCCCCGCTGTCGCTCAGCAGACAAACGCTGCACGCGCTGGAAGTTTTGCAGCGCCGCTGCAAACTCTCGGGAGAGCTTGGCTGAGATCGCCTTTTGCGGGCCCTGCCGTTAGCTGCAGAATCGAAGAATTGACAGCTGCCAAGTCGTAATGCTTACTTCTACCGGGTACGACGCCAGGGCCTTCACATCTCCCGTCGACTTCTTCACCATCTCGCGCGTCGCCTCCGTCAGGTTGTGCCTGGCGTCAGCTTCCCATCCTCAAAGAGCAGCTGGAAGAAATTGCAGTACACCTTCCCATCACATTCACAGGCGCACAGCCCTTATCCTCATCACTTCTCCGTTAAGCTTGCGTAGTCGCAAGCTATCCCCCACATCCACACATCAACCCAGATCCAGGCAGCAGTCACCTGCGCCCCCCTCAAAGACCTCTCACCACCCCTCCTTCAGTGGCTGCACGACACTTACAGCGTATTCCTCATATTCTCCTGATCGCCAGCACCGCCAAGCTTGTCGACCAGCTTCTGAATACCGGTGACGTTGCTCTGGATCTTGAACACCTGCAGGGAGACAGTGTCCTTCAGCCGCGTGAACTCGGGGTCGGCGGCGGGGGACCCAGTCCCGGACCGAGGAGAGCGGGTGCCGCGCTCGAGATCGTTGAAGCTCATCGTGAGTTGGGGCCGTGCGCCGTCTGTTCGTCAGATTAGAGAGTGTCGGGGGTTCGGTTTCGGTGGGTCGAGTGTCGAGATGAGCGGCAATATCAAAAGTAGTAGATCGGGGGTAGCTCAGAGGTCGAAGGGCAGCTGAGAGACAGAGAGGATGGGCTGTTGACAAGAAGGAAAGGTGAGAGTGGAGGACGTGACGCCTCACGCTTGGCGGTGCAGGTGATCGGCCGAGTGCCAGGTCCCGGTGGCAACAATGACGACTGCGACGGGAGCAGATTCCCCGCGCTTTCCTGCTACCCCGCACCATCAAGCCCACAGTGACGGTCCTCGGCGTCCACCCAGGTGCATGCACGCAATCTATCACGTTCGCTGAGCAAAATCAATCACCTTTCACTCTCCCACGTCACCCACCAACAACGAACACAATGTCCCTCTCAGACCTCGACCTCGTGCAGCAGGCCATGGCGCCGACCGAGCCTGGTGCGCAGCAAAACCAGTCCACCAGCCCCACCCTCGCCGACAAGTCGACGAACGGGGCGACGAAGAAGGACGAGATCGACGACCCGCTCGCCGGGATCGACCTCTCGCAGCTCAACGACGCCGACCGCGCTGCGCTCCAGCCCATCCTTGATGCGCTCAAGGCCGCCTCGGGCGCGGAGGGGCAGGAGGGCGGAGACCTCGACTACGAGGGTATCCTGACCCAACTCGACGCCGCTGGAGACGTCGCGGACACGCTGGAGGGAAGGCTCGATAAGCTGCTCGCGAACCTGGGCGAGATGGAGAAGGACCAGCAGGAGCAGTGCGACGAAGCGGCGCCGAAGGCTGAGGCGAAGAAGTGATACGCCTGTCTTCCTCCGCCTCTCACGTACGCCTTCCTCAGACTTTGATTGCGTTGCTTGACAAGCGAGAGCAGCCCTGCAGTAGGTTGATCGCGGATGACTGCTTCTAACCAGCCCCAGCTTCGCTATAATATACCCTGCATCTCCATATCACATGTATTCTACGTGCTCTGTTCAAGGAGCGACTCGACGGCCAGCGCCGTGTTGTGATTACTTCCCGTCAGCTCAAATCTACCCTGTCAGCCTACCTTCTCTGGAGTGCATCGATGATAGCCGGCCTCGAGAGGTTGGGGAACATGTTCGAGAGCCTGGGTGTCAGTTATCATCTAGTTCAAGGTTACTCACGCAGCAATCTCTTGTTCGGTCGGTGCGCGGGTGGAGCGTCCCGTCATCTCATCCACCCACTCGCCCATAGCGCCTCGGGCTGTGGGCGGTGTGGGCGTCTCGTCGCCCTCTGTTTCAGCAGGCCGCGGCGCGGGGACATCGAGTCCCGCCCTGGCGGCCAGGAGACCACGGAGTCCGCGGTTCTCCAGCTCGCTGGCCGGCGCATCGCGCACCTGTCCAGGAAGGACGCGGTTCGAGCGGCGCGGCGGCTGAGACACACCGACGATGGGCGAGAAGACGCGCTCCAGCAGTCGGTACAGGGCCAGCGGAATTCGCCATGCGCGAAGCGGACGCCAGAGCCGCCGCGGCCGCTGCAGTGAGGGAAGGAAGAAGGGCGTGTCCGTGCGGTAGAAGTAGCCCGTCAGTAGGCCGGCAAGCGAGGCGAGTATCGAGCCTGGTGGCTTGGAGAAGAAGAGCTGATGTCAGCTTCAGATGAGCGGACGGTGAGCTCACCTGCGCAGCGAAGATCCAGGGGAAAGTCTTGTTCGAGAATTCGATGCCGAACACCCTGTAGCGGTACAGAGCCGGAACGGTGCGGTAGTATTGCCACATCCTGAGGTCAGCTCTATCGAAGGCACCGAGCTCACAAGGCGAAGATGAGTCCATATGGTCCCGCGGGAATCTGATTAAGTCCCAGGCGGTGGCCAAGTATCAGTGCCGCCATGCAGAATACGGCCGTCAGGCCGGTAGTGACGACGGCAAAGGACTGCGGTCAGCTATCCGTGGAGCATTGGTTAGCTTACAGCATACTTCCGCGAACCGAAGGAGCTGCCTGTCAGCTACTCCAAAAAAAAAAAACAAAAAAAGCTTACCGCTCAATTCCGACGCCGACGTTGTACAGCAGCAGCTCGCCCATGACGAGCTCAGTCGAGTTCGCGAACGCAAACGGGTACACGAGGATGCGCCAGAACTAGCGTCAGCTGAAGAGTTAGCAGTCGCCAGCTTACCTGATGATACTTTGTCATGTGGGGCACAAGCTGGAGATGAATGTACGTCTTCATGTCGAGGAGGGACACGGCGAGCGACGTGATGCCCAGCAGCATCATGATGCCTGTCGTCAGCTACAAAGCGCGCGCTCAAGCTCACCCTTCGTGACTCCCGCGTCTCGGAAGCCTGGTTGTTAGCTACTGGTAAGATGAATCAAGCTCACCGGCCATGACGGAAGACTGAACGATGCGTGCGAATGCGGATAGCGAAAGTGTCAGACGAGGAGATGAGGTGTCGAATGCGACAACAAAGTCGCGCAGCACGCACAGGCGGCCTCACCGTGCCTGGCTGGTGGCAAGTGGAGGTTCCTTTGGCGGCTCTGGGGCACCATATGGCGGCGTCGATTGTCTCTGCAGCTAGCGATGCCTTCCTCCGTCGAGGGAAGGCGCGGTGTTCGGAAACGTGCATATGCATACGACTACAACTACTAGCTTTGCCGGCGAGAGATCGCTCATCCACGACCCACGAACGGCATACCCGGAGCCCTGTCGTCAGCTTCGAGCTACACATCGCAGCTGATACTCACATGATGGTGAACTGGAGCACGTCCGCGTCTTTCGGCAGACCAGCGACGAAGGCGACAGACTTGGCGACGTTGTCCGCGTCCATCATCGGCTCGACCTTGATGCTGCCGTCCGCCTGGAGCGTGCCCTTGGAGCTATGCGCCGAGAGGTCTGTGTAGGCGTTGCCGATGTCAAGCTGCGTGCACATGATGCCGTACTTGCGCCCGTCGAGGGAGGTGCACTTTGTCAGACCAAGGATGGCGTGCTTAGTCACCGTGTATGCGGTCGAGTTTGGTCGCGGCGAGTGAGCAGAGATGGAGCCGTTCTGAAATCAGCTCAAGCAAATGCCGGACAGCTCACGTTGATGATGCGACCGCCCTGCGGCTCCTGGTCCTTCATAATGCGCACGGCGGCAGAAGTACACTGGTGTCAGCTCATTCAAGGGGTCTCAACAGCTAGACGGTACACTCACAAGCACAGCTCCCATCAGGTTAACATCAACCATCTGGCGGAACTTGTCCATGTCAACGTCCTCGATCGGCTTGCCTCCCGTGATGTTCAGGCCGGCATTCTGATGTCAGCTACGTTGATGTTGATGTCAAAGCAGCTGATGGCTCTTTCCTCTGGCTGGAGCCCGAGACCTGAGTTGGTTCGAGCAACTCACGTTGAAGAGAACGTCCAAGCGACCATACTTCTCCTTGATGGTGTTGAAGATGCGGTCGACATCCGACTCCTTGGAAACGTCGCCGGAGAGGATCTCAGTCTTCGTGCCCTCACGACACATCTGGGCCGTCTTCTCGAGCTCATCCTGCCTGCGTCCAACGAGTGCGAGGACGAGGGGCTCGGGGTGTGACGGGGAGGGGAAGGCTTTGGAGAGCCCGACAGCCGTAGCGCGGCCGATACCCGAGGAAGCGCCAGTGATGAGGATAACTCGTGAGAGGGACATGTTGCAGCGTTTGCTGTGTTTAGCGCTTCAGCGTCGATCTGAGGGGAATATATAGATCTGCAAGCGAGCAAAAGTGGTCGAGCTTGTTGCCCACTCGACTCGCCCAGCGACGGTAATTCGCGGCCACCCGGCCCGGTCCTCCGGACCCAAGTCAAGCGAAGCCAAGAGTGCATTCACGTGATCGACCCCCGGATACGCGCCTTACTTTTGTTGATTTCTGGTCGTGTTTGGGTCGTTTGGGCAAAAGCTCCCGATCGCCGCGGCCAGTGAGGGAGGAAGGGTCCTCAGCACGCCCGATCAGGCAACCGCTCGGTAGCTCTGTTGCTATCGACGAACGACGACCACTTCCTCCTTTCGATCCGTCTTGCTAACTCCGTCTGTTTCTGCGTCTTGCGTCCTGCGTCTGTCTCTGAGCGCGTCTCTTGTATCTGTCTTGCATCGACCCCAACCAACCCTAATCAACAAGGCCCCTGCCACTCATACCCCTTTCCCTGCATCAACAAACAAACATTGCGATCTACCCCAAGGTCACCTTGACACCTCCTCATCAAGCATGCCAGTCACGAAGAAGAAGGGCGCCATCTTCGCCGTGTACGCGGACACGCCTCCGCGCTCTCTCTCCTCCTCTTCCTCATCATCCACATCCTCCAAGCGCTCCTCATCGCCCTCAAAAGCGAACGCGACTCGACGCGCACTCGCGCCCCTCCCCGCCGCAGCCGCCAAGACAGCAGCGCTCAAGCCGAAAGCCCTCGGTGCCGTCGGGGGCGTCGACGTGCCGAAGGAGAACCTCGTCAAGCCGAAACAGGGCGTGCTGGCCTCCAAACCAGCAGGCAAGCCGCTGGCTGCAAAGCCGTTGAGTTCCAAGCCGCTGAGCGCGAAGCCGCTGGCGAGCAAGCCGTTAGCGGGCAAGGGCATGCCGCTGCGCGAACCCCTGCGCGCGTCATCAGGCTCGCTCGCGCCGCAGCGAAGACTCGGCGCAGTCCCTACTTCTGCCGCTAAGCCGCTGCGAGCCGGAGGAGGTCGGACGTTCCAAATCTTCACCGACGAGCCCGCAGCCCCCGCGGCGCCGACTACCGTCACCACCGCCATCGCCTCCGCGCCCAAGCCGGCACGCGGAGAGGTCGAGGACAAGGAGAACGGCGCGCCGCGGCCCGCCCTCGCTACCAAGTCTATTCGCGCCCCGCTCGGCGGCGTCACGAAGAAGATGCCGACCAAGCGGCCACTGCAACAACGCACCATCTCGGTGCTCCTCGACGCGAGCGAGGCATACGGCGCAAACGGGGAGGAGCCGGCTGGGTTCCGTGATGTTTTCGTGAGTCTTCACCGCCTCTGTTGATCGCGGCTCGTGCGCGGACGTGCTCGACTGTGCGGGGATGCGTAATGATAATCGACATTGGCATCGCCTGTGCGATCGCGGCGCACAGGGTCGGAAAGGAGGAAGGAGAGACGCGAAAGGACGCGCGCTGACACACACAACAGGTCTAAGCACCTTGCCATGAACGTACACACGCACGTATCCGGACACTGAAGTGGATTCTTGGACTCTTGGACTATGTCGCGACACGATACTTCACGCCTGCACCATGACATGATATCTTGTCGCTTCTGACGAGGGACCGTACCTCTACCCCTTCTCTAGCTCTACCAACCATACCCTCTACCTCCTGAAACGCTTCCCAACCATACCCGACAGCAAACGCATAATCGCGTCGACTCCGACTCCGGCGCGACCTTCTTTCCCCACCTTTCTTGGCACTGTCAGCACTGTACCCTGTATCGTAATGCATACTGCATCGTCTCATCATAACATCTAATGATCTATTCTAAACTTATACATAAACGGCCGCCGCGAAGATGGCTGGCCGGTGGTCACTCCGGCCCTCGAGCTGGCGCATCCCCGCATCATCCAGCGTATCGTAATGCAGCACCTGCACTTCGCCGACGAGATGTCGCTTGGGGCGTTCCTTCTCCTCCCCCTGTTCCTGCTGCTCAGGCTCGGCGTGGAACAACGAAACCCTTGAGTGGAATCGGCCAGGCAGGTCGCGGAGGAACTTGGCAAAGGCATTCGTGGATTCCTTGGGGTGCGACGGGTCGAGCGAGTCGGTGCGTTTGAAACTGGCCCCGGCACTGCGGCGACGCAAGCGCACACTGTCCGGGATCGCGGAGGTGGTTTTGGCGTGCCCGAGGGCTGTGAAGGAGGGCGACTCGCTCCGCCTCCTTGAGCGAGAGGAGGTGGAGCGTGTACTCCGCACACTACGCGAGCCGATCGAGCTGCGGCGGGAGAGACTACCGCGCCTTGAGCCGGGGCCAGAGGGGCCGTCGACGCTGCCACGGGAGGAGCGGCGCGGGACAGTGCTACTGGGCTGCGAGAGGCCGAGCGCACTCCGGTCCGAGAGCACGGGGAGGTCGGCCGAGGGGCCGTCGAACGTGACGCTGCGCTGGCGGGTTGACTGGCGCCGCGGCATTGGCTCCGAGGCGGAAGTTGGGACGGGGACGGGCTCGCCGTTGATTGTCGGCGAGTCGGCGATCGTGACGCGGAGCTGGTCGCTGCTCGTCGTGTTCTCGCGGGGACGGTGGGGCATCTCCGCCACTGCTGGGTCTGCCTTCTCGAGGACAGAGCCCGGCTGCGTTGCCTGGCCCGGGTCGCTTGGGGATCGGCGCGGCGTCGGTGTATCTGGTTCCTGGATAAGGGGTGGCTCGTCTGCCAGGCTGAGAGGCGAGTCGATGGGGACGGGCGTAGTGAGGTGTTCCCGAGCGTTGGGCTCGGCGGGCGTCATGCCCAGTGCTGGGTTGAGACTCGCTCGATGGGCCCGCGGCTCATCCACGGGCCCAGCGGTGGGACTGCCCGTGTACTCCATGTTCGCGCTTGATCTTCGCCTGAAACGCTCCGAAATGTTCGTAAGTGCATTCGACAGTTTGACGAACGCGCCGACCTCTTCCTCGCTCTCGTAGCTGAGGAGGCTGTCGTCGTCCTCGTCTGGAATCACATGTGACTTCCACAGCACGCGGTCGCACCAGGAGGGAATGCGTTGCTTCTTGCTTGTGTCGTAGACGCCGACGCGGTGGTCTATCGTGTCATCGAAGTCGAGACCATCCTCTGATCCAGGGGCGAAGGAAGCACCCGACGGGGAGCGAAGAAGCGTGTGCTTTGGTCGCTCTGGTCGCTCGATGCGTTCTGGGTCACGCTCGCGCGCTTCGCGCCGTGAACCCGTCGTGCTCGTAGACGTGCGCCGGCTCACGCCACCCTCATCCTCGACGAAGGGGCGGAAGGGGAACTCGTCGTCTGAGATTGCAGACTCCTCGTCCGACGCTGCCGAGATCCGGGAGGAGCGGAAGGAGGCCATGCTCTGCCGCCGCGCTGGAGGACTTAACGGCGTCACGGGCCGCGCCTTGCTTGGCGTCCGCTTGTGGCCGAGGTTGAACATGCCCCAGAGCTTCTTGCTCTTCTCCTTGATGCCGCTGATGGGGTGCGCGACACTGTGGTGGCTCTGGTCCGTGAAGCCCGACTTGTAGCTCTCGGCGGCTGATGTTCCGGAGCGGTATCGCGAGGAGGGGCGCGCACTGTTGCTGAGCGAGGGCCGGGTGGACGCGACGCTCTCGTCCATGCTGAGCTGGTGCGACGGGTGGTGCTCGCCCTGGCTGCTGCTCCTAGCAGACTGCCAGTCGTGGCGTGGGCCAATGTCGATGGGCGACGAGACGATCTCGCCGTCGCCCTCCTCGAGCACAGTTGGCTGCGTCTCGAGCTCGGGCACCCCGTCAAGCGTAAAGCTGCCGGCCATGTCGGAGCTCATCCGCTCTGGCCGTTCTCGCCTGCTGCGGCGGATGCTGCGCTTGATCTCACGGTTCGTCGCGCGCATGCTCTTCCACACGTCGTACTTGAATGTAGGCATGAAAGTAATCGGAGCCTCCTCGAACCCAGGTAGAGGGTTGATGTTAGGGTCAGCCATGACCTTGCGCAACTGGTCGAACATGAGCGCGTCCTGATACTTCTTCTGGTCGAGGAGCCATTTGGCGTGCAGCTGAGAGATGTCGACGCGGAAGTTGAGGTCACCGCACCAGAACGTCGTGTCGAAGCGGTCGGTGATGTCCTCGAAACCTTTCCGCGGATCGCTCTCATCCAGGAAGTCGTTCAGCTTCAGCTCTGCCTTGATTTTGGCAATGTTGGCTAACCGCGCATCCATCTTGTCGGCGTGCGCGGCAAGATGTGCATTCACGAACAGTAGCCGGTGTCCAGCCAGGTTGACGCTGACGCCGATACCACCCTTGTTCCCGATACGGCCACCCGCCAGGCCAGCCGTGACGTAGCTCTTGTCACAGCCTTCAAGCAGGTGCTTGCAGCCCTTGTACACGAAGACGGACATGTACATGCCGAGCAACCGCTCCTTGATGATGTTGACGTACGGCCCAGCGCCAGGGCGGCGGTACGTTTTCTCCTTACCTTCCTTACCCTCCTTTTCGTCTCCCCGGTCGATCCCCACCGGTGAGCGGGACAGAGTTGGCGACCGACCGAGCATCGGCGAGTCATGTGGAGGCGAGAGGAAACGATTGCTATCATAAGAAGCACCGAGGTGAGATCGGGGTGTCGGGTGGTGCAGCATCGGCGGTTTCGACACAGAGCTGGCGCTCAGCACGCTGGTCCCCAAGGCACTTGTTCCCAAAGCAGGTGCGCTAGTCGTGCTCGTGCCATTTGCGGGGCTCGGGATAGCCATTGATCCCGATGGGCCGGGTGTGGCTTTCGGCGTCGATGCCGAGGACGATGACAAAGTCGATGTCGACGGCAACGGCGTCTGCCGCGGAGTTGGTGACGCCTCGCGCTCCATCAGCGACTCGCCGACATCAATCTCCGGGAGAGGCATGACGCTCATGCTTGCACTGGACGGTGTTGTGAGCAGGGGTGGTGGCTGGGGCAGGTGCGGTGTGGCGCCGGCGTGCGGGGTCGCCTCGCACGGAACTGGGGGCCCGGCGCAGAACCATTCTGCCGTTAGTCACCTTCGAGCGGGCAACGTACCTTCGAGCATGGAGCTCCATCCCTTGGGCGCACTGGGCTTGAGCGCTCCACCCTCCTCGTCCGGACTGAGGGGCTCATCGGCGTTCGGCGTGCGCGTGCGCGACGGAATGGCGACATCGATAGTGTCTTTGAAGCGCTCGAGACCGCGGTCAAGAGCGCGATCCAGCGACGTGTGGAACGGCGCTTGCATCTCGCGCGCGAGCTCCTTTTCCTTGATCGGCGGTGACATCTTGGGCGACCGCGCTTCTTCCCGGTTTCCGTTGCCCTGGGCTGAACCATTCGCATGCCCAGAGTCCGATTTGGCGTCCTTCCGGTCATCGGCTGAAACGGAGCGGTCGCGACCAGCCTTACTGTCGGACCGTTTCGTGCCGTTCTCAGTTGGTTTCTTTCCGTTCTCCGGACTCGGCTTTGTTGCGGGCTCCTTGTCCTTGAGAGGCTTGGCGGCTGCGTCCTTGTCCTTCCGCTCCTTGCCTTTGTCACGAATCTCCTTCAGGACGGCATCACGCTCCTCCTTCTTGAGTGCAACACTCGGCTCACGCCCGCGCAGGCCCTCAACTCCCACCTTGGGGATAACACCCTTGCGTAGTCCCGCACCGAGACCACGGGGCACGCCACTCGGGGTCGGACACTCCTGCGCAGCAACGACGACAATGTGATACGGGTGTTTATTCTCGACGGGTAACTCGCACAGCTCGTCTGTCTTCTCCGGCGCCTCATACGGCGGAACGTGACCGAGGAGAACCGATAAGTCGCCTTTGGGCTGCGTGTTAGCTATGCAGAAAGCGGTGAGCTTACGAGGGCGTCACCCATGTTCCATGTCACGACGAGGACCTTGAGTGCCGGTCGGTCCTTAAACTCGATCTCAAAGCTGTGCATGCCCGGCTCAGACGTCGGCGTGCCGCCACCTTGGACGGTAGGGACCTGGAGCGTGCTGGAGGCATCGGCAGGCGGAGCGTGGTGATCGTCCTTGTGAAGTAGGGCTGAAATGCGATCAAGCACTCGACTGTTGTCATGCCCTCGGGGTGCGCGGATGGTGTGTCCGTGACCATGGTCGTGCACGCCGTTCGCCTCGGCGTGCGGGGTCGCGGGTGAGGTCGTGATAAACGTTGGCAGGGGAAAGTGCACGCCAGACATGCGCTGGGACGCGGGCGGCGTCTGTGTCGGCGTCGAGTTGTGGGACTGGGACGGGTCATGGATACCCAGCCCCGCTGCTTGCGGCTCGTGGGACCCCCTCATTGCTCACTGCTCACGAGCGGCGGCAGAAGTGTGCGGCGGCGAAGGCACGGGGGAGCCGCTCCGAAGGTTGTTGACAAGCGACGAGGCGAGCGAAAGAGGTTCGGGGGAAGTAACGGTGACGAAAGAGATAATGGGACCCCTTCCCTGGGTGCTCAGGTTCGGATGGCGTCCGGGTGTAAGCCGTGTGGATGCGGGTGTGCCGGTATTGGCTGGGGTTTGGTGTTTGTTGACGTAGGGGCGGGGATCGACATGCACAACGGTTGTGGGTGCGGCGAGGCCGGCGGGGTGGACACTGGCGTGTAGAAGGTAGAGGTGGTGGATAGAGAGATGCGAGGATGAGCAAGCGCGGGGGACTGTTGTGAAAAAGGAACGGGAGGCCAAGAGGAAGGAGAGAGGGGATAACGTACTGCGGAGATCAAGGCAATCAAAAGGATCTTCAGGACTTGATCGGAGCCAGCGAGACTCTAACGCTCCCTGGCCACCCGGCTGTGCTCGACATGTCCGTCTCCCGCTCTGACGTTGGCTTTGCACCCACTTTCAGTGTTCACCCTCGGCTCATTGCGGGACACACTCCACACACGTAACACTCCACACGCCCTCGGTCGGTCAACTAGCACACGTTCCAAGCCTCTCCGACTTTTCAGGTCCGACCACCGCTTATCGGTCACTTGTGCTCTACGCCGCTGAACCCGTTCATCGACTTCAGCTGGACTGGCTTTAGCCTCGCCTGTACGGTCATCACAGCTACTCGGAACGTTCGGTCTGTTGTGGGACTACGACGGCTCGGCTCGGCTGTTCACGCAGCAAAAGTCGAATAGCAAGCTTGACTCTGGCGCAATTCACCGGACCGAGGCACGCCGCCAGACCACGCCGAGCACGCCTCGGTGTGAGACATCGTCTCAAGCACTCTACGCCTACTGAGCGCCGACGGTCCGCAGTACTCCAAGTGTTCCGGATTGAACAGCTTGAACAGCCTTACCAGCGTGCCATTCACCCGTTCGCTTTCTGCATTCGCCGCATCACCCAGTACCACCGCCCAGCATGGAGCCGATAACGCGGTCACGATCACCGTTGGCCCCGACGTACCAGACCAGTGAGGGACCGTCAGCAAACCAGCTGTATGCCTTCAGTATCGCGTGCATGCTTCTCAGCGTTGGGGCCGCGATGCTGGGCATGTCATACTTTCTCTGTCCCAGTAGTGTGAGTTTCCCCCTCCCTCCTGCTTGTTATCCAGCTCACACTCTAGATCCCTGGCCTCAACTTGCTCTGCCAGGACCATCATTACAAGTACCTCGTCCCGCTGCTCGTGCCGACGACGGCGTGGTTTGTCATTGCCAACTGGGTCGGGTGGCAGTACTTCCGCTACGCCTAAAGCTGCACTCTATCGTCGGCAGTCTTGACGACCCCAGACTGGGACGCTTCATAGATCATCCCATTGTACTCTTTAACGCACACTCTTTGGGCTCAGACTCCTATGTATCAGTATAATTAATCCTGGAACAATGGCAACAGAGTCGCAAGAGATCCTCAGACAATACATGCTAAAACTAGAAACGCGCACTCTACTCGTCGTCCTCGTCGCCGTCGTGGTGAATGACGATCTCCTCCTCCTCCTCAATGGGGTCGAACGCGTCCTCGGGGACGGAGTAAAGGCGGATGGTGGGGGCGTTGGGGTCCTTGACGATGACGTACTTGCCCTCGGGCTGCTTGAGGACGAGGTCGGCAATGGTGCGGACGATACCCCAGCCGTTGGCGAGGGAGACGTTCATCTGGCGGGCAAAGTCGACGGGCTTGTAGCTCTGGATGCCGACAATGACGTGACGCTGGGCGTCGCGCGGGTTGGCACGCGAGATGTAGCCCATCTTCATCTGCTCGGCGCCGGCGAGGTAGGACTGCACAGCCCAGCGGGCGAGCTTGGCCGAGTTGTTCTTCATCTCGTTGGCGACAATGGCTCCCTTCTGCGTGTCCAGGTTCTTGCGCCAGTCGAGCGCCTTGCCGCCCGCACCCTGCGCGCGCGGGTCGTACTCGTTCAGCGCCTTGATCGTGACCAGGTGGTCCTTCTTGCCAACGTAGGCGTCGACCTCGGTACGGACAATGAGGTCGAGCTCCTCGTCCTCGTCAACCGAGAGGTCGAACTTGCGGTAGCGGTACAGCGTCGGGGCAAGCGGGTCGGTCTCCTCGGGCGAGTAGAAGGGGTTCGGGTTCGGCGTGTAAGCCTTGCTCGAGTCCTGGATCACCTGCGACGTGAAGTTCTGGTTGATGTAGGTAGCCTCAAGCGAGAGCGAGGCGGCCGAATTGATGTTGGACGCGTCGTCCGAGTCGACAGGAGCGTCGATGGCGTTCTCGTTGACGGTGATGAAGTCGAAGGGGCCGCCCTCGCGCTTGTCGAGGAAGAGCTGGTTGCCGCGGCGCTCGAGCACCATGTCCCACGAGTTGAGCGATCGCGTCGTGCACATGAGGACAGAGAGGATCGAGTCGGTAGCAAAGATGGTCGCCTTGTTGGCGTCGGCCATCTGCTGGATGATCGGGTCGTCAGAGGTCGAAATGTTGTATCGGACCTTGTCCTGAATCTGCAGCGGCTTCTCGTTACGGGTGTTGATGCGGTCGAACGTGCGGTCGTAGCCCTGGAGCGTTCCGTAAGACTCGAGGTTCTCAGGCTCATCCACACTAAGGCTGAGCTTGTTAAGACGCGAGAAGTCAATCTCCTCGAGCTGCTCCCACTCGGGGCCGACAGTGACAGACGAGTCGCGGGTGCGCTGGGGCTTGTCGTAGCCGCCGTAGCCGCCACGGCCGCCAGCACGGCCACCACGAGCACCTCCCCGTCCACCGAGGTTTCCACCGAGGCGGTTGCGGGTAGGGCCGCGGTTCTGAGCAGCACCACCGCGAGCGGTACGGCCACGAAGACCGGAACGGCCACGGACAGCAGCACGGCTCGAGTTGTCGACAAGCGAGAAGCTCTTCTCGTCCTCGTCGTGAACGTAGCCGAAAGCGTTCACCTCCGAAGCGCCGTAGGCCTCACGGCCAGGGCGGCGGTTGGCCTGGGGCTGCTGGCGGCCACGAGCATTCGAAGAGGTGGCACCCTCAGCGGCGGGGTCGTGCCAGTCGGCAATGCGGGTGATCTTGTCCGACTTGGAGAAAGGAGCATAGGGGATGCTGGATGTTAGCTTATGACAACCCTTAGAACAGCTCACTCCTTGAACTGGTTGGGGAGGGTGCTGGTGCTCGGGCCCCAGGAGCCGTCGGCGTTGTCGTGGATGGGCGGGAGGACGAAGTCGAGGGCCATTTTGGATGAGTTGGGTGTCGACGAACGACTTTTGTTGCGATCTCAACCTCGCTGGTCGTCACCCAGCAGACTTCATCCTCTTCTTTCATTGTCCGAGCAACTCGACGCAGCGAAACTGCAACACGTGGATGCGCTTATGTGCTCCTACCCTTTAAAATTTCGGTGGTCTGTCTGAACCTGGACGCAAGAAAATTATTCGCGTGACCCGCTTTCTTTTCAGCTCGCACTTGGAATTTTGAGAACGGAACGTCCCAGTGACATCCCCCCCTTCCTCCTACCTCTCTCACCAACATGGGGGAGCCACTGCCGAGACCACAAGGCCATGTTCGCTCAAGAAGAAAAGGAAAAGAGCGTCAGGTAGACGCTGCGGACTTTGCCACGCCCCAGAAGGCTGGACCGTCAAAGCCCAAGGCGAAGCAGTTCGGCGGCTCTTGGGACGTCATCCCAGTCGCTAGCAGCGAGGTTTCGAGGATACCGCCGGTATGGTCCAAGGACGGAAGGTGAGCTTGGAATTCTTCGTTCATTAGCTGACTCCAGATTCTACTTCACGGCCGCCAACACCTCAGTGTTCGTGCACTCGTCCACGGCTCCCGGTTTCCAGCGGTTGTCGACGCTTAGCTCGACTGACCCCAACGGACATCGCAAGCCGATCACCGCTCTCCTCTTGCACCCGACGAATCCTCTCCAGCTTATCACGTCCTCCGACGATGGAACGATCAAGATCTGGGACTGGGTCGAGGGACGTCATGTCCGGACGATACAGGTCCTTGACGATGGAGGTGTGAAGCAGATTTGCGTTGGTCAGGTTGGCAGCAAATGGTGGATCTTTGCTACCGTCACCAACCCGAAGCCGGGCAAGAAGACGAAGGAGGACGGCTCCCACATTCAGCATCGTGTCATGCGTGTGCCGCTACTTCCGCAAGCCGCCATGGACGGCGACAAGCCGATGGCGTGGCTGTTCAACGTCGGCAAGCTTCGCGCTCCGCCAGAGGCACTCTTCATCTCCCCGCGGACATCATACGTTGTAGCTCTCGCCGGTCAGAAGGCCCACGTCTACCGTCTCCCACAAGGGAAGGACGTCACCGACGACAAGTGGAAGCCGGACTGCGTCAAGTTTGTTTCCGACGAGCGCTTCACGTGCGGTGCCTTCGCTCCCGACCGGAAAGGAGGACGAACAGTGCAGGAGGAGTGGTTCGCGACCGGAGATGCCCGTGGTATCATCCGGTTATGGCACGGGCTCGGCGCCGCTTTCCGCCAGCTCGACGCTGCCAACCAGCAGCAGCAGCCGGGCGGTTCGGGCCAGGACAACAGCGAGAAGCGTCTTCCTACGACGATGCTCCACTGGCACGCCCATGCCGTCTCCGGTCTTGCGTTCTCATCTGCTGGCGCGCAGATCCTGTCCGTTGGCGAGGAGAGCGTGCTTGTACAGTGGCACCTGGCCTCTGGCAAGCGAGAATACATCCCGCGACTGGGCGGCCGACCAATTCTCAGTGTTGCCGTCCGACCGGGAGACCGAGGAGTCGAGGAGGAGTACTGGATGGGCTTTGCCGATGGAGCCATGATGCGCGTCGGTGCCTCGACCGGTCAGGTTTCGAGCGTTGGACAGGGTGTCCGCCTCGACCCGTTACGGCCAACGTCAAACCGGCCATACCCGCTCGCCGTCCACCCTGCCTCGAAGGCTCTTGTTGTACCATCCTCCCACCCCTCCACTCTCCAGTTCATTGACCCTCTCGAGTCTCGAGTCCTGTTCGACCTCGAGGTCGCTCCCTCGAACCGTGTCTCGAAGCGCGACGACAAGGAGCTCGAGCCGATCGCCGTCGAGCAGGTTGCTTTCTCGGCTGCCGTCGACGGCAAGTCTGAATGGATGGCCACCGTTGAGGGCCGCGAGGCGGACCAGTTCGAAGGTGGCGGTTTCGTCAAGACGCTCAAGTTCTGGCGCTGGAACGGAGACCGCTACGTCATCAACACGCAGTACCCGCGACCGCATGGCGCCGACAACATCACGGCGCTTGCTTTCGGCCCGTCGGGCACCGAACCTTTCGCGCTCACCGCGAGCTCGAACGGAACTGTCAAGATCTGGCAGGTGCGGCAAGCAAAGCGCAGCGAACAGGGTAAGTTACTCTCAGCCTGCGAGGTCCCCGACGATGAAAAAACAACATCACATTACTACTTTCTCCGTAGCTTCGGCGGTGGGGAACTCATGTTCTGCAATCCTGAGGGGACCTGAAAGCTCTACAACTTGTTCGTGAAGCTGACGTTACAGGCAAGAAGAGTGCCAAGAAGCCGACCGTTGCAGAGTGTGAGTATTTTCAGTGCAGCTGTGACCTGGGGATTCAATGATGAGTAAATCAATATATCAAGCTCAACAGTCCTAACAATTTTGCGGACACCCTACTTCTATTTCTGAGGCAATCCTCAGGTCGCAGCTGTTCGACTGCACGAGCAAGCTGACGTCAGACTACTGGAGCAACCGATCGACCTTTTCGTACCGCTCGCTGCCGGTGTACGCCGCGGCGTTCTCGCCAGACTCGACGCTCGTCGCCCTCACGCACGGCTCGGTCGTGACGCTCTGGAACACCGCCAGCAATGTCATGGTCCGTGCTCTCGAGAGCTCCATCGATGCGCGCAAGATCACCTTCGTCGGCGGTGAGGGCCGCTACCTCGCCGTCGGCGGAGCGGCCAAGGGAGTGGCAGTTTGGGACCTTCTCTCGTGTGTCATCACGAACTCGTCCCCCGAGCAGCTCGTCGATGTCCTCCTCCCCATCCCCACGGGCTTCGTCGCGGCGCACTCGACGACAACGTCCACGACGCTCTCCCTCTTCCAGCCGAACGGCCAGCACATGCGCAGCGTGCACCTGCGCGCGCCGTTCTCGGCCCTCACGGCTCTGCCGGGCATGCACCTGGTGGGCATTGCGCCGTCGGGCGAGATCTCGCGCTTCGGCGATGCGCAGGCTGCGGCTGCGCCGTCGTCGCGCGCGATCCAGGCGCAGCCTCAGCGCCGCACGACCTCGATCTGGCAGGAGATGTTCGGCAAGGACGCGTTCCTGGACGAGATCGAGCCCGAGCCCGAGGCGCCGGCCGTTACGGAGCTGCAGCGCCGCGCAGCCGGGCGGCCCGACATGGTCTTCGAGGGCCCGTCGCACACGCTCCCGCCCGTCAGCATGCTCTTCGACGCGTTCATGGACGAGCTCCTCGTCACCCGGTCTGCGGAGGAGACTGTCGACGTCGAGATGCTCGAGGACGAGGCCGTTGCGCCCGTCTCCGCCGCGCCTGTTGGTGGCGAGACCTCGCGCCCCGTCAAGGACAAGGACGTCGATGAGCTCGTCGACTTCTTCACCGCCGTACTCGCCAATGCGCCTAAGAAGGCGCCCAAGCCGAAGGAGCCCAAGGAGAACGGTGATCGCAAGGCGGACAAGCTCGGCAAGAAGGAGCGCAAGGACAAGGCCAAGGCTAATGGACACCGCACCGTTAGCATGCCTGCCTCGCTTGGCGATGAGGACGACGAGGACCGCGTCGTAGACAAGAGCAAGAAGAAGCGCAAGGCGCCTCGTGCCAGTGACATCTAGGGTGTAGAGTAGTAACTATACATTATGCATTCTTGTACTCGTAGACGAACGGACTCGTCAATGTCAGTCGCTGAAGAGCTGTACACTAATCATATCACATGAATCATCCGGGAAGTACAAGAAAAGGGAGGAAAGCAAGCAAGTCAATGTCCTATGTAGTTGCGTGTCTCTACGTATGTCGTTGTGCGCGGAGAGAGGTGAGAAAACCAGAGTACCCAAAACAAGGAAGACAGAACTGGGCGAAACAGAATCCTGGCGGCCTCGCTTCGTTCGATCTAGTCATAGCCCAGCGTGAGCCCGTTCCTCGCGAGCACCTCTGCCATCTGCCTGATCCTAAGCTCCATCTCCTCCCTCTCCAGCCTCAGCTTCGAGTTCTCGACCTCGAGTGCGTTCCGCCTCGTCTTGGTCTGCTGCAGATCGGCCCGCATAGCCTCCGTCTGGGGGAGGAGCTCGAGCGTCGCGTCGTTGTACATGCCATCAAGCTCGGCGTTGAAGGCATTGTACATCTCCTCGACCTCGAGTTCCTTCGCGGCCAGCTGGGACCGGAGCAGCTCGTGCGCCTCCTTGCCTTGCTGGATCTGCGCCTCGAGTTGGGACGTGCGCTCGCGCGCTTCCTCAATCGCCGACTCGAGGGAGGCTGTTCGTGTGGCGTGCGCGTCGTAGGAGCGGACAAGCATGCGTACCCGCTCTGCGTCGGCGAGCGCGGAGACGAGCGTCGACTCGAGCTTGTCGCTGCTGTGGGCCAGGGCTCGGGTCACGTCGTCCAGCTCGTCGTTGCCGTCCGCCAACCCGCGCACTCGAGGAGAGCGCAGCACGCCCGCACCCCGCATCGCGGTGTGCTTCCGCACATGCCCCGTGTCCTGCCTCAGTCTTCGGGCGAGCTTGCGGGCGTCCGCAATGCGCTGTCGCGCACTGTCCGCTGCTGTCGGGAGATCGGCGTGGTCGCTCATAACGACATCGTCGATGTCGGTCGTCTGCATCGTCGCGTCCGACTTGGCGCTGACACTCCGCGTTCCCGCTCCCACCACGCTCACGTTGCTCATCGCGCTCACGCGGCGCGTGGGTGTCAGCGTGCCAGATGTCTTGCGGCCCTTCGGTGTCGTGTTCCGCGGGCGCGGGCCCTTGCCGAGCCCCACACTGCCGTACTTCTCGGATCCGTTGCTCGCCACGCGCATCGTGTCACTTGGGACGCGCTTGCGAGGGCTGCTGTACTCGGCCTTGTGCTGGCGCTTCGTTGAGAGGACAGGGGAGTCGTCCGCGTAACCTGACGGAGAGTTCTCGTCGGTGACTTGTCGCGGAGGCTGGCGTGGGCTTGCCTTTGGCGAAGTCTGCGGGCTCGGTTGCCGGCTGGGCTGTGGGCTAGGGACGTTCAGACTGTGACCCGTCGTGCAGACCGCACTCGGAACCGGCGATCGCGCGAGAGCAGAGGGGGGGCCCTGCGGAGGGACAAGCACGCCGTCGGGACCCAGCATCGGAAGCCTCATAGGCGAAGTGCCGAGTGGGATCGAGTTGAGGTTGAAGCTCATAGCGTTGCCTGCCGGGCCCGGAGGCTGAGGCAAAGCTCGTCCGTGAGGTGACATTGGGCGGGACACCGGTGGGGCAGGCGACTGAGCGCGCATCGGAGACATGACAGGCGAAGCGACCATTGGCTCCTCGTCGAGCAAGACTTCCTCCTCGACGGTCGGTGTGGGTGGCGGTAAGGGCGGGATGTACCCAGTCTTAGTGGGAGTACGCACGCCTTCCGCAGGCGACACGGATCGCGCCGGGGAGCGAGCCGGCGAGGCGAGGCCGGGTGACCGTGCCCGCTGGGGAGACATGAGGCCAGCGTTCATGAGGCCTGCAGACATGGTGCGGCTAGGCGGCCGGGGGAGGCTGGGAGAAAGCGCTCGACTGGGAGGACCAGGCGACAGGACTCGGCTGGGCGAGGGAATGCTCGTTGGCGGGGGTGACCGAACTCGGCTGGGCGACGGGATACTGCTCATCGGGCCGGGGGACAGCACTCGGCTCGGTGACGGGATCGTGGCCGTCGGGCCCGGCGACAGAACTCGCGTCGGCGACGGGATCTTCGTGGGCGAGGCTGAGCGGCTGCGAGTGCCGCGGCTGGGCGGATGCTGGTCTTCCGCCTTCTTACGAACAGAAGGGTTGCGTCTCGGCCCTCGGGGAGACATGGTGTTGGTGCGGGAAAGCAGGGTGTCCGTCCTCTTGAGGTTCGACGCCGCAGTGTTGAACACGAGGGGCTCATCCATCCTCTTAGGCTTCGATGGCGACGGAGAGAGGACTCTAGACTCGTTGCCTGCGATGGACTGAGCGAATGTGGCAATGCCTGATCGGACTGGCGACCGCCCGTTTCTAATGGGCAAATCCTTCGGCGGAGTGGAAGGCGACTCCAGACTGTTGTGCTGGCGGAGCTCGATCTGTTCTCTCATCATTTGCACTCGCGAAATCCTTGAGCCCGGCGACGGAATCTGGCCGGGCGAGTGTGGTTGCGGCGCCCTCTGGAACACGGTGCCAAGGGGTGCCTCCTCCTCCTCTTCTCGCACGGGCGGAGGCGGGATATCGATTGCGCCACTCGCCTTACGTTGTGGGGTTGTCGGAGAACGAGGCGACCGCGGCGACAGCGGCGAGCGACCAGCTGACGAGATGGACTTGGCCTCGTTTGTCGAGATGTGACTGTTGATCGAGGAGCCGTAACTGGAGCCGCCAAAGTTGCTGCGCGAGCTGGCTGTGCCAGTGAGGAAGTTGAGTCGCGAAGCGCGCTTTCCAGGGGTGCTCAGAAGATGGGGCTGAACAATGTTGCTAGTGTCAAACTTCAGGCACCCCTGGTCTGAGATAATGCTAACCAAGCGCATGTTGATGTCTTCCAGGTGACAAACCGTGGTCTGAAGCATTGTATTCGGACCCGAGTAAGCGATGCGGACAAGATCGCCTTCGATCGCGACAAGGCGGAAGACAAGGTTTGGAGGCCCAAGACATGTCAAATCACTTTGAGACCTCTCCTCATTCTCGTCTGAGACCTGCATGGCGACCTTGGCCTTTGTGTGCTCAGACTCCCAGCCCTTACGGGTCCACAGGTTCCAGTACAGCTTGACGCGCATGTGCTCGCTGTCCATCGAGACATCGTTGTGTGAGGTCAACACTCGCGGAATCTCCTTAAGTTGCGAGGGAAGCACCTTGGTACGTGCCATAGCCTGGAGGGCCCAGAGATTCTGGATGAAGCGCAGCTTGTCGCTCCGCGCAGTCGCAGGGTCAAGACCGATAGGTGTGGGAGGGTTCACGGCAGTGTATGTTCGCAGTGGTCGGCCACTCCATCGGTCACTCTGGTCCATTAGCGGCTTCTCCAAAAAGAGCTGGAAGTCGCCGTCTCCGAGGTCAACTGCGATAACGTCCAGGATGTTGACTGTACCGCGGTAGCTGAGCTTCCAGTTCTTGGCTCCATCCTTTTCCTTCACTGCGACACCGCCTCCCGAGCGCACGAGCTTGGACACATCTTCCAATCCGGTAACTTTCCGACCGTTCACGCTTGTGGACTGGCGCTTGGCGATGAGCAGCTTGTCATCGAACAGGAACAGCGTGCAGTAAAGAGGTGGCGGTCCACCGGATGATGATTCCTTCACTGGCGACGCCAGACTGCCCAACGACGACACAGAGGAACCGTGCATGTGCCCGTGCCGTCCTCGGGAGCCGTACAGGTCGCCCATGGACTCTTCGACGTCGATGGAGTCAATGTAGTCGCGGTTGTTGCTGAACATATTGGCAGGGAATCCGTCAATGTTGCGGGATAGGCAGTACTGCACGGTCGCCCGAAGCGTCTGTTCGTCGGGGTCACATCGGGCTATCCGTGACGCGATCTCGATGGCCTCGACCAGCTTTGCCCGCTGCGTCGACATGGGCGACATGCACTTCACCATGGCTGGATTGTCAGCTCAGCATTACGTCACGACGTACATTGCCACAACAGAGTGTACCGGGGAATGCGCTGCACGGGCTCCATAAGGAGTTCCCGAAGTCCGATGTTGCCTATTCCAGTGGTATGATACTTCGTCCTCTGGGGCGAGTCAGCTTCGCACAGATCCGTCGTTGAAGGGACGCACATCGACATAGTTCCTGAACTCATCCTTCTTGTAGAGCTCCTGGAAGGCCTTCTGGGCTTCGTCTTGATTCGAGATGTAGGTGCGGTAGGGATCCATGGTCTTTCGCGTCTTCAGCTGTGGAATGTCAGCCGCTTTGTTTGTATCACAATTGGGCGTACATGGTCAAGGCACAGATCACCAATAATTTCGGCTGCACGTCCCCCAGCCCACATCTTCTGCAGGTCTTCCTGGAACGCCAACGCCGCCGGAACAACGGCATCGACGTTGCTGAACAGCCGTCGGACCTCGTATGTCTTAATGATCCGGGTCTGTGAGTCTCGTGAGAAGTTCATGAGAGGCTTCGAGTAGTTCTGTTAAGGTTAGACATGTCGTAAACAACAATAACAACAACCCACTTTTTGCAAGGCGAGCACGCGCGACACATAGCTGTTCTCGGTGCGCACTAGCTCTTCCATGAGAGACTGGAGACGGCGGTCCATCTCCTCCTGTTTGGAGGCAGTCCATCCGGCGGCCGACATGGCCATGATATCGTCGGCGTACGAGTTCTGGGGCTGAGGGAGCTCGGCTGCCCGGGGCAGGCAGTTAGGTCGCTCGAGAGGCTGTCCTAGTTGGGAAAGCATTGCATTGGTATGCTGGCCGGTGGCGTTCGAGTCGATGATGAGGTCGCAGAGGAAGGCTCTCCGTGAGCTCCTACTCGGAATCATGGTGGCCGAGCCGGTGGAGGAAGCAGCATCGGCATTGTTGGACTTTGGAGGAAGAGGGGGCGGAGACGGAGAGCGGTTGGCGTGACCTGATCGACTCCTCGGCCTGAATGGAGAGGTCCCAATGGGAGCCATCGTACCCAGAGATGGTGATGGTGGTGGTGGTGGTGGTGGTAGCAGGCTATACAATGACAAGAGACAAGATGAGGAACGCAGGAAAGGGGGAGAAGTAAATAGCACGCTCGTGTGAAAGTGCTCGGCGGTGGATGCTTTGTTTGGCTCGTTTTTGGATGAATGCGCCAGGGTCCGCCGTCTCCCACCGCAGTGTTCCTCCACTGCAACGGGCGGCAGGCCCAGAAGTAAAGTCATACGCGGTGTGACGCTGACACCTATGACCTTTTCCCACGCGACAAACACCTGGACTCAGGCTAACACTGACTCCCACTGTACCAACGGTCGAAGGACGCCGATTACCCACGGTTTTGTATTTGGGTTTGCTGCGTCATGTAGATTCCGGCAATGCGGCATGCGGCGGCCGAACAACGCTAAATCGACGCATCATGGGTTTCGCAACCTCTCGATCCATCCTCCATCGCTATCCGCTATTTCTCGATCCAGCACCTCCCTACCCTCTCTCGACACCATGCTCTCTTCCTAATCACTACCCGCCATGTCCATACCCCCCTCGACCCCTCCCTCTCGTCCGACATCAGGCGATAGCCTCCGCGTTAGATCCGACACTTCGCCAGCCTCTGCGCTGCACGGTCTCATGTCCGACGACGACCTGAGCGGCAAGGAGCTCAAGCTCCCTCCAGCGCGGACCGCCCCCGCTACCCAACCAGGCGTCAATGCCGCCCCGCAACTATGGTCACCTTTTATTCGGCACGAATCCACCAGCGGTGCATCGGGAGCACATCGTCTCCCTCCACTCTGGCGAGAGCTCAGCGATCAGCCGTTCGATGAAGACGACCCGGAATCCGGCCCCAGCGATTACTGGAGAAGACCTAGTCCCGACCTGATATCTCCAACACAAATCCCAACTGAAAGTCCTTGGTTGCGAACGGGAGCGTCGCACAGCGATCAGACTCAAGCGACACCCGAGGAGACGCACGACGCGGACGCTGCTGAATACTCGAAGCGTCTCGAGCAGGTGCTAGCTCAACACGACACACCACCGCAAACGCCGACAAGGCCAAGAAGAGATTCGGTTATGCACGGAACGACCGACTCCGAGACTGGGTGGAGCGAGTACCAAGCCCATGGTCATGGGTATGATTCGGCCGTGCGCTCTGTCCTGCGCGACAGCGATGAAAGTACGAAAGGCGAAGAAGAGTTTGGGCGGCATGCTTCGAAGGTAGTTGTGGCTTGCTCGCGCCGCTGACGACAGGAAACTGATTCTCAAACGACGCCTTCTGGGACGCCAGTCTCGTTTGATCGTGCGCCTGTACGAGCGAGCCCAGCATCGCGATCATACATTCGTGAGTTCGTTAAAGAAGCAACATGCTAACGTGAAGACCCCTCCGTATCTCGACTACGATCCCACCAGCACAACCGTGCTGGATCTGGAGCAACGAACATGTCAGGATCGCCCCAGCTGCCGCGCATCGCATCGCATTTCTCGCAGTTGTCGCTGTCACGATCAAACAGCTTCTCGACCGCTTCGTTGGCAGGACCCGGACCCTCCAAAGCTCTCGCACCGCACCGAGAGGAGAGCGAGCTGTCCGAGGAATCTCTGCAGGGACCGGCTTTCACGTTCCACCCGTTGCGAAACCTCTCTACGCATCTCTTCAACCGCAACAAAGATGGAACGTCCACCCCGAATGCGTCGATCACACCTCCGGCTCCCTCTAGAAGAGGAAGCAGTTTGCTCGGGTTATCACGCAGCAGCACACAATCCCAAGATGCCACCGACAGTGGCTTCGGCCGTCCTACGGTGCTGGACATAAACGGCATGGTCGCTGCCGGCACCGATCAAGGCTGGGTAGTAGTGTACAATTTCTCTCAGGAGGTTCGGTGTGTGCTCGGCAACGATCTCATCGGTGAGCCGGTTTCCATTGTCTGCTGGCGGATTGACTTTGCTAATGACTAGCTTCCAACTCAGGACCCGTCACAGCCGTTACCATCTGTCCTGATCAGACGTTTATTGGCGTTGGTCACGCTAATGGCAATATCTATCTCTACGACCTGGCTCATCCGACGAAGCCGGCCCGTACGCAACTTGCCCTCACCCTGAAGCAGGTCATGTCAGGCAGGAAAGAAGGACACCTGCAGGGCAGCCGCATTCTGCACATCGGCTTCGTCGGCAAGCGCCACACGTCCATCGTGACCGGCGATGAGGATGGTCGTGCTTTCTGGTTCAGTCTTGGACGAGTTATGGGAGTGGACAGCAACGATGCGGTCCGAATGCTCGGATCATATCCCGAGATGGACGCTGAGCCGCCGATGTCTCCCGGAGCCGACGCCCCCTCCGCCCCTAGCTCGATCCGTTCACAGAACAAGAGACACACGACACTGTTCGCCACGCTGCCCTTGGCTCTGGGAACTGGTTCTCATCCTACCGACGAGTTCCATCTCTCAGCGCTTCTGACGCCGGTGAAGCTCGTCATCGTTGGCATGAAGCCGTCAGCCAAGACCTGGCATCGAAAGATGCGCGGAATCACTGGCGGACCGTTCGGTGGCTTTACTGGCTGTGCGACATGGCTGAGAGCAGGCGAGGTCACTCCAGGGGACGCTACGCACCAGCCCTCTGATCCAGTGCTCGCCTTTTCGTGGGGCAAGTCCTTGCGCTTCCTACGCGTACGCGTCGCTGTGACAAAGGAGCCGGACTCGAAGAAACCCGAGTCGAAGATGCGCGAAATCCGGACGCCAGAGTTCGTGGAGGGTCGCAGGTGGGAAGCGCCGCACCCGATTCTCTCGCTCCATTGGTTTGATCCGGATCACATGCTCATTATCACCCACCACGACTTGCTTCTCCTCAACGTGAGGATGATGTCACTGGTCGAGCGAACGCCCCTCCAGACTAAGCTTCTTACTTCGCAAGATTTCTTCGCTGGGCTCAGCCTTCGCCGGTCCAACATTGAGGCGGTGCCAGCGAGCATTGCCAGCTCAGCGAGAACATATCGGTCGAAGCTGTTCCTGCTTACGAAGGCCAATGTACAGGTCGGAACTCTACAGTACTGGAATGACCGTGTGCTCGCCAACGTGCACCGCGGTGACTTCCTTGCAGCCATCAACCTCGCTTTGGCCTATTATGAGGGCCGAGCGCCGGGCAACACGATCGGCCTGCCAGAGTACCCTACGGAGCGCCATGAGGTTGTTGGTGCTCGTATCCGCGAGCTGATGCGGGCGTCACTGGAGTGGGCCTTCAGCGAGGACAGAATGAAAGACGACACGCACTTCAGCGCGGACGGCCGTGGTGTTGATCTGACGTCGTTGTTCGAAGGTCTTGCCACGGCCTGCATCGACGCTTGCATTGCTATGGACGACACCGAATTCCTGTTTGAGTCTGCCTTCGAACATTACTCTAACGCCGGCATCCAGGGCATCTTCCTCAGCAAGCTCGAAACGTACATCTTCGACGGGCGCATCCCCGAGGTTCCTCCAGAGGTGATCAAGGCCCTGATTACGATGCACGAGGACCGCGACGAGTTTGCCGAAGCCGAAGCCGTTATCTGGCACATCGAACCGCAGTGTCTGGATATCAACCAGGCGGTTACCCTGTGTGAGAAGCGCGGATTATGGGACGCCCTCATCTACGTCTATACCCGTGCCATGGGCGACTACGTTGCGCCCATCGTCAAGCTTATCCGTGTGCTGTGCGACGTACAGCGCTACCGACGTGACCGTCCGAGCCTGGTCGGTGACGATGCGGCCGATAATAACGACGAGGAGCGTTTCGCGCCCGATGCGTACAAGCTCTATGGCTACGTCACGCATGTCCTTAGTGGGCTGTGGTACCCGTCCGGCGAGACGATGCGCGAGCCGGAGGCGACGCGTGCCAAGTCTGAGGCGTACACCATGATCTTCTCGGACCACATTGTCGACTGGCCCGCTGGGTCCGGAGACATGGTGCTGACCGACGCCGACGAGCCGACCTACCCCTACCTTCGCTTACTGCTTCGATTCGACACTGAAGCGTTCCTGCACGCAATGGACATTGCCTTCGAGGACTCGTATTTGAACGACCCTTCGCATGCCATCAACCGCCAGAGCATCATCAACCTGATGCTCGACGTCATGGAGAGCTTCCACAGCTCGGACGTTACTCTTCTGCACATCTTCGTGGCGCGCAATCTGCCCAAGTATCCCCAGTTCATCTTCATCCCTCCCGACACCAGCCACCGCATCCTTGTCTCACTGGCAGCCGACCCGGATCAGAGCAGCCGCGAGGACCGACAGCTCGCCGCGGAGTACCTGCTCTCTGCCTACACGCCGCACGACGGCGACGAGATGCTTGCGCGCTTCGAGGAGGCGGGCTTTTTCCGTATCCTCCGCGCTGCCTACAAGCGCGACAAGAAATGGGGCGCTCTCATCGAAACCCTGCTCAAGGACCCGGAGACTGATGACTCCGTCTTCGACTCGCTCGAGGAGATTGTGTCCGAGGCCCGGACGCCTAACGGCGCGTCCGAGGTTGCGCACGCCGTCGAGGCGGCTCTTCCCGCGCTGTTTGACCTTAGCGTACGTCAGACAGCGTACTTCCTCGACCGCTGCCTCCCGGAGCTACACGACGCAGCGATTGCAGAGCTCGAGGAGGCTCAGCACAAGCAGGCCGCTTACCTGCGATGTCTGCTCGACCCCACCGCCGACGAGGACAGCGATAGCGCTATTGTCGATGACACGGCGCGCGCCCCGACTGAGACGACGGTCTCGACCCACCTCGGCCTCCTTGCGCGACACAAGTACATCACACTCTTGGCGCAGCATGACGAGAGCGCTGTGGTGCCATTCCTCGATGCGCGCGGCAAGGACTTTTTTGACCTCACCGACCTCGCCGAGCAGGCGGAGGAGGCTGGCCTACCGGAGGCGCAGCTGTGGGCTCTCGACCGCGCTGGGCGCAAAAAGGAGGTCTTCGACACGATCTCGTCCGTCCTCACCCGCCACGGCAGTGACCTGGCCATGGGCCTGTCAGGTCTCGATGAAGGCGAGGTGCACGTTGCGCTAGGGCAGCTGCGCGGGGTGACCGCAATGGCGATCCGTCTGTGCACGGAGCACTCCTCGGACGGCGGCGTCGAGGACATGTGGTTCGGTGTGCTGCACTCGATCACGAACCTGCTGCACAACGTGACCGCGCTGAATGAGAGTGTACGTCAAGCGCCGCTCGGCACCGAGTCACTCGACACGCTCCGCACCCTCGTGCAGGACACGCTGCAAGCTCTCCTCAGCAGCAACGCCGACATCAGCTTTGCGCGCCTGTTCAAGCGCCTCGTCGAGAGCTCGGCTGACGACTCGCCCTCGCACACGGCGCCCGTGTACGCCGAGTTCCGAGCCATTCTGACCGGCATGCTGGACTCGTTCAAGAACAACGCCGAGGCGCTCGAGCTCACCACGCGCCTCATCCAGGCGGACGGCTTCGATCTCCTCGCCGAACAGGTCCGCCGCAGCCGCAAGGGCTGGGCTGCCAAGTACACATGCGCCATCTGCAAGCTCGAGCTGAGCGCAATGCCGGGCGAGGTCAAGGTTACGGTCGACGGAAGCGTGCACGTTGCGTGCGAGATGGCCGTGCTCGCCGATGACGAGCTGAGCCCCGGCATCGACGAGGCGCCGACGAGCGTGCTCCCCGGCGAACCGACGCTGGACAAGGGCAAGGCAAAGCTGGTCCCGGCCTGATTCCCCCCCTCAGACAAAAATATTATCTCAAATCTGACGCTCTCTCCCTTCCTCTCCTTCATCATCATCTAGTTGTTTTAACCTGTGTGTGTTTCCACTGTGCATATAGCATCAAAGAGTTGGTAGTACAATCTAGACTGCCTAGCCATAATGAATCCATGACCTCTTACTCTCGGCGCTGCGTCGGGCTCGCGGGCGGGGCGGCGTCCTCAAGCCGTCCGCCGTGATACGTCACCATCTCATCCTGCTGGTGTAACCTGAAGGACTCATGTTCGCCCGGCCGCCCAAACACTTCACTGACCCCCGTCCCAGCAGCGCGGGGCATCATCGTATCCCCATCCTCGGAGACGTACGAGTCGTCGACAAACTCGAACCCAGCCAAAGCAGCAGCCTGGGGATCGTACCCCTGCCCGCTTCCGGCCGAATACTGCGGCTCGGCCTGGTAATAGCCCCCCTGGCCCTGGCCGTACGTCGCCGTCGCGTCGAATGTGTCGTCGAACGACTCGTCGATGCTCTCATCGTCACCAATGACGCGCACGGGCTGCTCCGAAGTCTGGATATCGCTCCCGAACGACGTGTTCGCCAGACTCCTCCGCCGCGGCGTGGGGTCCAGTGTCGTGTCGCCTAGGAGATTGACAGACTCGTCGCCCGCATTGTACGTGTAGTTCGTCGTTGAGGGTGGCGGGCGGCCAAAGCCGAGCGACGAGGCGAGAGACGTGTCCTCCGTCGGGGCCGGCTTGGCGCTGAAGAGATTCGGCTCCGGCCGTGAGGAAGCTTTGGAGTCGTGGCTGAGGGCAGGGCGCGAGCCACTGCTAAAGATCGAGCCGTGCTTGCTCCCGCTGCCGAAGGCCGCAGATGCTGACCCAGTCGTGGAGTGCTTGCTCCCCCCACTCGCCAGCTTGCTGATGAACGGCGAGTCGTCGCTGATGTCCCCTAGCCCTCCGCTGGACGCTTTCGGTGTGTCGTCGTCGAACAGCCTCCGGCCGATCTCGCCAGGCATGACCGAGTATCGTCGCAGCGCCTCTGGGGTCGCGGCGCGCGGACTCGGGGCGTAGTCGTACTTCGTAATCTCGTCGAGGAGATTGGTCATCTCGCGCGTCTCCTTGTCTGCGCGGCGGAGGGGCTCGTCCCCTCTCGGTCGGAGCATTGCCTCCGCCCGCGGCGGAAGCGTGAACTTCATGGTCACCGGTGGGGACATGGCGGGCGACGGGGAGAAGGAGTCGAAGCGCGCGTTCAACGGTGTCTGGGTCAGATCGATCAGAGCACTGTGACGGCGGCCAGGCGTGCCGGGGGCAAGGCCTGCGCCAGGAGCCAGCGATGAGGCAGACGGTCGTCGGGCATCGGAGGGTCCAGCCGTGAAGGACGACAAAAGATCGCGGCGCACTGGAGGACTGGAGCTGCTCTCATCAAACCGGTCGTTATACCGCCCATATGCGGAGGGGAGACTCGGTGTGTCCTCAGTGTCGTCGATGGCGAGCGATCCGAGCTGGCGGTCGACATGCTCGAACGGACTTCCCACGCTGTCCTCCATGCTGTCGTCCTGTCTCCTAGCGGGCGTCGAGCTGGTGGCGGGGTTAAAGCTGTCGTGCGCGAGAGAGACTGTCTGGTCATCGTAGACAGTCGGTTGCTCCTCCTCCTCGTCTTCCTGGTGCTGCTCGACGGCCAGTCTGGTGCCCGCAGCCTGCTCGAAGAAGGAGCGCCAGAACTCGCTTGCTTCCCGTGTCGGTTCTGAGGCGAGGGCGAAGCGCTTAATGTTTGGGAGAATGCGTGAAGTGATGATTTCGTGGAAGCGGGCAAAGTTGTAATCAATGTCCTGCAGCAGCAGCGTGTTCATCTGGTCGATCTGTTCCATCTGCTGGGAGATGGGAGCTGACGGCGAGATTCCGTCCACAACGAAGAAGGGCGGCTGTAGCAAAGCAGGGTGCGCTGCGCCGCCTTTCTTCGGCGCCATGCTTGGTCTTGCTGCCATGTCGTTTGGTCGTGCAGTCGAGAGGTCTTGTGCGATGCGGACAGCTCTTGCCCGTGACGCGCGGTTGTTTTTGTTTTGGCAGGCGCGTCACTGTCAGTGCGGACAATCTTAACAGGGAGGCAGGCATAAGGCCGGCTGGTGCCCCGCGGCGGCCACGTGGGGCACGTGTCGGCTAATCTCCGCCGTGAAGGGGAGAGATGAGCTCTGCGCGCAAGTCCGAGATTTGCCTCTCGAGCAGCATCGAGCAGCACACCCGGCAACAGCAAGCATCAAGCATCCACGCTGCGGCATCGACATGACGAACGTGACGCCCGTACTGCCCGCGGCGGCGCTGCCGAGCCTGCCCCCGACGGAGAACGACACGTCGCTGTGCTCGCATCTCCGCGCGCTGGTATCGCGCCGCCGCACACCCGTCAAGACCGAGCCGGGAGAGCAGGACGACTCGCCCGCCGCGCGTGCTGAGCGCCGCTACGTGCAGGTTGTGCGATGGGGAGCGACGATGCAGGGATCGAAACGGAGGAAGGTGAGCTATGCCGTTGATGTGAGCTGACAAGGCAGACGACACCCCCGTGCTGCGGAGAGTGCAGGACGACACTGGCGCGCCCGTGGGCATGCCTGACGTGCGACTTTGTCGGATGTCCGCCCGCCGGGTCCAAGGGAGAGTGCCTCGCTACGCACTTTGCAGACAGCACGCGGTGCGAGTTCGGTGAGTCGCCGCCGCAGCTGATGGCGAACACAGGGTGGCGGCCACACCATGACGCCGTCGCCTGGTGGAGGCAAATCAGTTTCACCCAGCTTGATGAGAGTTTCCATGAGCTGACATCCAGCCGTTGACCCGATGACTGGCGCAATCTTCTGTGGCGAGTGCGACGACTGCATCTACCCGGACGCCTTCGAGACGCTGTTCCGCACGACGTGCATCCGTGTCGAGGAGGAGCACGACCGATCGCGGGAGCCGTCGGCTATTGGCGCCCGAGGGCGCGGGAGGGGCAACTGGCGGCCATGGGTGCCGCAGGACTCTGAGGCGCTCCTTCCTCGCGCACCTTGCCGCGGCTTACGGCCACTGCTGAACCTTTCGCAGACGTGCTTCCTGTCCTCGATCTTGCAGGCGCTCATCCACAATCCGCTACTGAAAGCGTACTTCCTTTCGGACAAGCACAATCGGCACGTGTGCCCTTCGTCGCGCGGGTTGGCGGTCGGCAAGCCGCTCGGCGACAGTGGGAGCGGGGCGAACACGCCACAGGAGCGCGAGAAGGGGTGCATGTGCTGCGAGATGGACCGCGCCTTTGAGGAGTTTTACAACGACGATGTGTCTCCGTGGGCGCCCATCAGCATGCTGTACAGCATGTGGCACACCTCGAGCGAGCTCGAGGGGTACGGGCAACAGGACGCGCACTCCTTCTTCCTGGCTGCTCTGGACCAGATCCACGCGCACGCCAAGGGTCAGCTGAGTAGCTGCAACTGCATCGCGCACCAGACCTTTGCCGGCTTCCTCGTGAGCACCGTGACGTGCAGTGCGTGCGCGGCCAAGAACACGACGATAGACCCGATCCTCGACATCCAGCTCGACTTCCCGCCCAACCCGGGTCCGGAGCCGCTCACGCTCGCGGCGATGCTGAGGCGGTATTGTGCCGAGGAGAAGATCGGGGGCGGCTCATACCGGTGCGAGCAGTGCGGAGGCGGGCCAAAAGTGCACGCCACGCGCAAGCTGGCAATCAAGAAGCTCCCGCCCGTGCTCAGCTTCCAGATGAAGCGGTTCGCGCACGGCGCAACGAGCTCAAAGGTCGAGCTGCCCGTCAAGTTCCCGAGCCACCTCAACATGCGTCCCTATGTCGACGACACGGAAAACGAGTCTGTCCCCGAGAGCCTGTTCGCTTATGATCTGTTTGCGGTCGTCACGCACGAGGGCAAGTTAGACAACGGCCACTACTGGGCCCACGTTCGCAGCGGCGACGAGTGGTGGCATTGCGACGACGACAAGGTCACCCCCACCACTCTGGCAGGCGCACTCGCGCAGAAGGCGTACATGCTCTTCTACGTCCGCAAGAGCCTCGCGTACGCCCAGCCCATGAGCGTGCTTCTCAACGCCAAGCCGAACGGCACCGCCAACGGCACGGCCAACGGCCACTGAGCCGCCGTCTGTCCCTATTTGAGACCCCGCAGTTGATATATTATGTTTGTATGCCACTTCACATGCATTGAGACTATGATGACAGGTGCGCGTTCAAGTATGGTGACAGGCGATGGAGGATCAGACCGGACAGCTTGAGTCGCGAACATGGGGATGATGATGGGATACAGCAGATCGGGCGCAATGAACGAATATGACAGTACGAATTGCTGGGGCATGGAAAACTAATGATGCACGACAGCGCACTTGGTGACAGCGTCACGACCAGATGGACTTGCCGGCGGAGAACTCGAGCGTCGTGCTGAGCGACGAGTGCCACTGCCCCGCCGAGCCGGGCGTCAGCGGGGTACGGGGCGTGCGAGGCGTGACTGGCAGCGAGGTGCGAGCCGAGAGCGGAGTCAAAATCTCCTCACCGCGGACACCGTTGGAGTGCTGGATGGGGTACTTGTCCTCTAGAACAATGTCGATAGAGTCAGCGATACCAAGAGAACCATGGCCAGGTGTCGGCAAAGGAAGACCGAGACTAGGCGGACGGCTCTTGCGCAGCAGCTTGCGCTCGGCGCCGATGGGGTGCAGCGCATCAGTTTCAGGAACTGGAGACAGCAGCTGAGTCTTGGAGACGGAGCGGGAGAGGTCGCCGGAGGTGGAGTCCGACTTGCGCACGGGCGTGTAGCTGTGGCGGGGCGGCACGGGGACTGTTGTTAGTTCTACGAGCTATGGAAAACTCACGGGTACTTTCGCGAGCGCTGTGCAGACGCGAGATGTTCGGCAGCGAGCCTGTCGTCAGCTTTCCCCTGTATACTTTAGCTCACCTCTACGGTCTGCATTCCACTGCGCAAGGCTGAGAGGCTGCTTGAGCCCCGCGTCGCTGGAGCGGCGGGCAAAGCGAGCCGTACTCGCCAGATTGGTCAGATCCGTCTCGGAACGAGAGTGGGCGTCGGTCAGGGGTGGTGACTCGGGGAAGGTGGTTGGACTGGGTTGAGGTGGCGAGCTCTCGGAGCGGGAGGCGACGAGACGAGGGGCGATGCCGCGGCTGGACCTCGCAAAGGGCACAACAGCACCGAGGGGCACCTTGACGCCGTCCCAAGACGAGAGACGCAACCAGTACTTCTCAGGAATGCCACATCCGTCCTTGCTGTCGCGATCCAGGGTCAGACCCAGCGCAGTGACGTTTGGCTTGCCACACTCGGCGAGGATGTTGCCCATCATCTCCTCAGGCTTCTCCTTCAGCTTCCTCAGCAGCGGCGCGTAGCCCGATGCAGCAACGGTGGCGGGATTGACAGCTGGAGAGGCGTAGATAGTGAGAGGGTGGGGATAATCGGCGTTGTAAGGGCGAGGAAGAGAGAGCTCGTCTGCGGTGTAGCAGGGCGCAGAGAGAGGGAAGGGCTTCGTCTCCGCCACCTCTGTGGCAGGGATCGGTAAGTGACAACCGAGGAAGGCGGGACGGGGGCGACGTGGCGCGGGCTTGCTGATCGGCGACGGCTTGACATCGCGCTGCTGCTTGAAGTGATCTTCCTGACGCTCGACAGAGTCGTGCACGACATCTTGCTGTGTGCTCAGCCACCTCTGAGTGGCGGAAGCGTAGGTGTCACTCAGACCCAGGTGGCGATCACCGCCATTCAACCCAGAGATCGACGATCCAAACACAAGGTCCGGCTGCTGCTCGATCTCCTGGGGAGGCGATGCGCAAGGTGACGATGACGGGGAGCATGAACGAGAGCCTGAGGTCAGCTTGTTACCAGAAGATGCGAAGCTCACCGAAAGTCTGCTCCGAGATCTCGGTGCTTCCTTGCTGATTTGACTCCTGCTTGTCATGGCGGTCTGCTGTCAGCTATACACCATTGTTGGTTAGCCTTACCTTTTCGAGACCGAGGTCCACGCCTGCGCCGGCCTCGGCGACGGCCGCGACGAGGAGGTCCTGCGAGCAAAGAGTGTTCGCTCTTGTCGGTGGGAAGTGTGCCAGGGGCAGGTGACTTGTAAGGCACAGGGCCAGGAGCGGTGTTCATGGGCTTGCGAGAGGGAGAGTACACTGGCACACTGCTAGTGTGATTGCCGTGGGCATGGTGCGGGGTGTCGAACCGGGGATCCCCGTGACCCATTCGCACCGAACGTCCGGGCATCGGAGTCGAGGAGACAGAAGGGAGCTACCCTAGACTAAACGGTGAAAGAGCTAGGAGTAGAAGGTTGGCTGTGTTGCTGCTGACGGTCAAGACCAGCTAAGCGTAGGGGTTGTGAGAAGTACTTGGTGTTGGGACACGGGAGACAGTCAATGTGGAGAGAGGTGAACAGGAGAGTGCGCGAGTTGGAAGATGGTGGACAGATGAGCTGGGGAAAAGTGCTCTTTTGGAAGATGTGGAAGTTCCAGATGACATTGGCGTAGTCGAGGTCGACGCGGTGCGGGCGAGCGCGAGCGCTCTGACAGAGCTCGGCGTTTGTTGATCAGCATTCGTGAAAGACAGCGGCGCGTTTGATCGAGAGAGCACGAGCGCACAAGAGCATTAGAGAATGCGGAGATGCGCCCTCTTGCGCCCTGCTTGCAGAATTTCCTCTCGCGACGCGGACGTTGAATGTGGTGAGTGAGACAAAACGATTAGCTCGTTTTGGATCCTGATCCGCGGCCAGTCCGTGTCGCCTCCTCCATATGCCCCGAGCGTGCCTGTCAGTAGTGAGGAATGACGTCCATGTCGATGCGCAGTGTCCGCAGAGCTTCTAGGGTGCTGCTGAGTCGCTGAGCATGCTGAGGCGACTAGAATGGTCGCTCGGAGCGTTCGCTCGATAGGTTCGAGAGGAGATGGCGTTATCATGACAGGCTCTGTCTATTCGGCGGGAGATTGCGGCCAAGGTTTGGACGTCGCCTGTCCCTCAGTCTCCGCTGCGATAAGACTCAATGTTAGCAATGTGGAAGGCCGACTGGTGCACTGGTGTCATGTGGTCTGGAACTCACCTTTCCTCATCTCTCAGCGAATGGAACCGCTTGAGGCATAACCGATGACTGATGACTGACCCCTTGGTCCGGCCTCTCCATCCCATCACGCTCTTGCGGCAGACCAATCCCAAGATGCCTCGATGCCTCAGAAAACGCCTCAACATAGTCCGGAAGCCTCGCCACAGATTCCAGACCTACCACTATACCACATGGACCAGGTCGCGACCGCCTCATCACATGGTGAGGCGATAAGGCCAGTCTGAGCCTCTGAGCCTAACATGAGTCAGAGAGCTCGGGACGGGGTGAGGTGTACGAGGTACGAGGAGTGAGCTAGTCGTGAGGACAGAGCAGCACCGCCAAGACACATAGGGAGACCAGCACAGCGCACAACCCTGACTCTCGCGGGGCGAGCAAGCATCAGATGCTCCGCGCTGTGCTTGCACGCCACCCGCGCCGCTGCCGATGTTCCAGTTCCTGAGATAAGGTGAGTATCGAAGGCGCGTTCGTCGCTAAGGAAAAGGACTCTAAAGGACCTGTGAGGTCATAGGGCGCAAAAGAAGTTGCTTCTGAATGGCCGGCGCGGACGATCTTTGTCCTGACAGCTCACAGGCTGCGCGCCAGCCTCGGGTACTCCGGTCGCGTGCGTGTGACAGCCGGGCTGCGCGTCGACACGCTCGCGGGCTCGCGAGCAGTGGTGGTCAAGTCAACGAGATTTTCAAGGGAGATCAGCGATTCATGAAGGCGGTACTGTGTGTCACCCGGTCTGTGCGTGTAAGAGTGAGAGAGCGGAGATCTCAACGTCCGCCGCGTTCCACCGTACGATATCCGTCCAGCTCTAACTTCTAGATCCCTCTTCCACTCCGTAGCGGCCTTACTCTCCGAGGACACGTCCGACGAGCCGTTGCAACCCTGTCCGCAGCATTCGACGTCCTGAACGGATCGTCGATCCTCGCTGATCTCGCAGCTATGCTTCGAGAAGTCACTGCTGCATGCCGCATTAGCCGGAACTGGGGTATGACGGAGGATCGACGTGCTCTCGCTACCGAACAGTAAGGCTAGCTCAGGCTCTCACCACATCACCCGCGACCCGATCACGCTGTAGCGCCATGCGCCATTTCTGATGTCCTAAGCACATTCACTAGCTCACATTTCCAACCACACCGGTATATCTTACCGAGGTCCGAGACCAGACCGGTCGCGATCGTGGGCAGCAGTGGGCCAGGTTGCGTCTCGAAGATGCCAAGCCCTCCAGGATCCAGGGCCTCCTCTCTGCTCTCCGCCATTGCAACATGCAGAGAGATGGACAGTGCTTGGCACCATGGCTAGTCCGCTTTAGGTCATGATCTTGGTGAATTGGTGAACACCCCCATCTACCTTCTACCTGTTGTGAGTAATGAGGAAGTGCAGTGCAGATGTGATCACGTCAACTTTCCAGCGAAAATGCCGCTGCTAGCGTATCGCGGCCCGACCTCCCGTTGCGCCGATGCTGGTTGTGAATCCGTAGTCGGACAGGAGCTGGATCCTGGTGAGAAACCTGTCTCTTGGACATGTCAGTGAATCCATGGTTGCATCGTATCCGGCAGATCGCTGTCTCACGCTCCCTAAAGTCGCGAATTGCACTAGACGTTGTGGTTGAACGAGACGTTGAGCTGGTGGGCGGTGAGAGAGTTTAGGACGCATGAGGCCCTAACAGAGTCGTCGTGAAGCAACTGTCGTCAACCTCCTCACCGTCACAGATGTATGTCGCTTGATATGATATGCGCAGAATGATGCTGAGGTGAGCGATGATGAGGTTTGGGTCAGCCAGGTTCCTGAAGCAGCGATGCCTGACGATGGTCGGCGAATTCCGAAAGACCGAGCGTCTCGGCATCCTGAGACCGTTCGCTGTTTTTCTTAGCTGGTAGCAACTTTAACTCGGCCTCATCCGCGACGGAACTGTGAGTAATTAAGGATGCTTAGTGCTGATGGTCGACACAGATAGCAGATATGGCATATGGGCATATGAAATCTTGTTGACCTTTGAAGGGACCTCACAACGACGTTACTCCTCGTCCCACTCGCTCTCCTCTTCAACGGGAGACTCAACAGCCTTGACCTTGTCGTGCTTCTGGGCTTGCTCGAGGTACTGGCAGAAGCGCCCATACACGCCACCCTTGGGCGACTGCTCTCCCTTCTGGATACCAGCCATGCGGAGTGCCCACTGGTATTCGACAGGAATGAGCGAGTACACCTCGAAGGGGACGAAGGGCATGGTGCCGTGCTCGGTGGGGCTGGGCAGGCACCAGAGCTGGGGCTCGGGGACGTCGTGGCGCATGAGCATGAACTGGGTAAGCTCGGGGCGCTTGAGGTGGATACCGGCGAGGAGCAGCGAGATGGGCGGGAGGACACTGCCGGCCTGTTCCTTCAGGTGCTTGACGAGGATGTTCGCGGCAGCTTCGCACTGATAACGGCCCAGGAACTCGGCGAGGCGCGCAACGCTAGAAATAGCTGCGCCAGCAGACGTCCACTGCAGCGCGACTTCGCCCGTGGTGACGATGTCGAGGAAGGCTTCGACCGTCTCGGCGCTCGCGTTGACGGCGACACTTGCGTGCGCCCACCCGCGGCTTGCCTCGACCTTCTTGCGCAGAACGGGACTGGACGTTAGTGGGCAGTGGACAGCATCCCAGGACCCACCTGGCCGACTGGAGGTGGTATGAGGGCACAGTCAGGACCGCGCCGTCGGCAGTGACGATGTCGCAGTCACCCTTGACCCATTTGCTTGCGTGTGAGCTCACGACAGAGGGCGCCGCGGGCGTGTCGGTGTCGGACCACGAAGTGTCGACAGACGGAGTTGGAACAGCAGGCCACTTGCCCCAGGCGGCGGCATTCTGAGTCGAGGAGACGGCGGGGGTTGCAAGAGCAGGCGGGGTAGGCGTAGCCGAATCCGTGGGAGACGGCGCGACGACGGACCACGCCGCGTCATCCTGGGCAGGAGCGGCTGGAACGAAGACAGGGGCGTGCATAGCCGCTGTAGTGGCTGAAGGGACCGACATTGGGAGGTGGGGGTGAAGATGCGGAGAAGAACGCTGATGAACAGATCCCCATCACTTGCAGACACGTCACTGCTGCTGACTGCGCCCCACCGGAAGCAACGCCTGATCGCCCAGCGCCCAAACTGCCGTGCAAGAGACATGGAGGCAACGCCGTTCAGCGTGAGGTGCAGGCGTGTACTCGAAGTAATGCATAAGGAGACTATGGGGTGATTGCTGATCACAGGCCACCTCCTACAGGCATTCATAACTCGTTTCTCCCTCAGCCTTGCTGTCACCCTTCCCATTCGGTAACAGCACCGCCCTTGAGTCGACCCTTCGAAGTCCTAAGGACTGGAGCCTGCCGCCTGGGCCGACTCGAGCAGGCACTGGAACCTCTGCCCGGGAGTCATCATCTGATTGTTGCCACCCTGAATCACTGAGCGCTCCAGGTTGCCAACCCGAGCATGCCTGAGGGCCCAGTGATACTGGATCGGAAGCTCCGCGAAAGCTTCCAAGGGAACGGCCTTGGGTTTGAAAGAGGTTGTGGGAGTGTTGCCCCCAACCCAGAGGCAATTCTCATCCCCTGTGAAGGAATCCAATCTGTTGATGAAGAGGCGGGGCTTGTCAGGAATCTCGACCAACAGCAACGCGATGAGAGCTGCGTCGGCTCGATAGCGAACGCTGTTGCGCAGAATGCTCAAGGCCACAGGGCAGTCGTACTTGCGCAGGAACTTGGCGAGACGGCTCAACTGGACCAACGCGGTGGAGGCGCCGCTGTCGTCTGAGAGCGCCAGTTGGAACTCTCCGGTTGTGACAATGTCGAGGAACTGCTCAATCGTGTGCGAGGGCTCTTCCAACTGCATTCGCTGTGGGCCCGAGCATGTGGCCAACATGTCACGGAACACTGCACTGATTTGTCAGCGTGACCTGACCTAGACTAACCTCCACGACTGCAGATGATACGGCTCGATGCAGAACTTGATATTGTCACTCGCGATGATCTCGAAGGAGCCATGCTGCCACTTGGCATTGACGGCTGGTTCGGGAGTCTCGTTGATGGGGTGGGACATGTCGATGGGAGAGGACGATGAGGGAACGAACAGGTCTGACATCGACCTGGGTCTAGGTGCACCTGTACAGGTCGTGTCAGCGTGAACGGTGAAACGGCGCGAGTTGCGCCCCTTGTGTGGTGCCAGATGGAGAATTCATGCGAACACTGAATTCACTGAAACGTTCATGATCAGACGACGATAAGGGGGTTGCACACAATTGCACAGTCTGAGGGAGAGAAGTACAGCCTCCCTCGGTAGTTCTTCAAGAATGGAGGAACCGATCACCCTGTTACGAAGGTAGAGACGGAAAGGACGATTTCAACGGCGGCCAGGAGTGGAGGGGTGCTTGACATGATGTAAGCGGGAAGATCAGTAGGGCGTCTGCAGCAGGTGAGATAACATATCGTTGAGTAATTCATCTCGTCATGAGGTCGTTACGGGGAACTACGGTTGATGATGGGCAAGTGGGAGAAGCTGTATGTACAGTACATTACCACAACAACGAGGGGGAGTGCTACAGCAATGCGCAGTGTGAGCACGAGTGGCTTCACATCGCGCTTCGATTGTTGTTGCAACTTCGTTTTGGTCTGGGTCATCACAGGTATAGTGGTGGTCGTGGGAGCCTTAGTGGTGGCCGTGAGGTCGGTTCTGGAGGCGACGACAGCGGCTTCAGGGTTTACGGCCGTCGGGACGTGTGGGTCTATGATGACTTGCTCGCCGTTCAGCGGCGCTGCAGGCGCTGCTTTGTCATCAGCCACGTTGTCTCTGGCTCGTACCTTGGCGGACAGGGCGTCTCCATTGTTTGAGCCGGCTTGCGCATTCGCCGTCACATCGTCCTCTTCCGTGACCGACTCGAGGACAACGAACTGAGCTTGCTGGGGCGAGACGCCGACATCGACTGCTTCGACGATGACGTCCTTCTTTTGCACATTCTGCACCGGAAGCGGGTTTTCCTCTGCCTCTTCAGGCAGAGTGCCCGACCGTAACGTGCCCTCTGAAGAGTCCCAGCAACTGTCAGTCTCGCTTGACAGACTGGCCAATGAGTCTTGCCTGTCCCGCGTGAGGGCAGGGCCGTTGCAGGTTGCCCTCCCCGTAGTAGGGTTGTGGACGTTCGTCATCTCATCCTTCACAGTTGCACAAGCGATGGTCTCATCCGAACCCTCATTGTCGACCGAGCCTCTGTTATGCACAAGGTCGTTATCATGCACGTCATCCTTCATAGCGTCGTTAAAGCCGGTGTCCTTCTCCGTTGCTGAGGCAAGAGCAGGGGTTACCGAGGAGGTATGCTCTGGAGAGCCACCCAGGGACTCAATCCTGACCATGTTCTCAACAGCTTGGTCGGTGTCCGCCGACAGTGGTATATCTTCGAGCGCTTCAGCAGTGTATCCGTTCATAGCCGCATCCTCCAACGATTTCGGGATATCCACAGCGATATTCTGGGTTGTGGCCTCGTCTCTGATGTCGGGTTCCTCCCAGACGGCCGGCACTGCTGGCTGGACGAGATCCCGTTCGTTGCCGTCCGGTTCGCCAGTGACCTTCTCTTGCTGCTCCTCGCCGCCTACCTCCTCCACCTTCCCAACCTTGTTTTGATCGACCGCAACAGGGGCCCCAAACGGCTTCCCTGTCTGGGCGTCAGCCACGGTGCCCGAGATAACCGCCCTCGCCGCCGGGAGGGCGGCCCGCTCGAGCGCGTGTCCCTACTTGCGGCTGAGGTTGATGTAGTGGATGAAGCGCTCGTCCTGGGCCCATGGGACGTTCGAAGCCTTCGACCTTGAGCTTTTCGACGCCGGTGAGAGTGAGGCGAAGAGCCCAGAGGTAAGTGTGGGGGATTTGAGCGAAGACCTCGAACGGAATTTCGGAAGGCTTGAGCACGGCGGACTCGGGTGCGGGGCAGAGCCAGAACATGTCCTCGGGGCGAGGGTACGAATCCAGGATCTCGGCGCAGAGTTCGGGTCGATCGAGATGCACACCGACGAGGAAGAAGACGATTGGCGACCAGTCCGTATGCGCGCGCACCAGGTGGACGAACAACTCTGTAGCCAGTGCGCACTGGTGTGCTGAGAGGAATCGCGCCAGAGCAGCGATCTGCACGAGCACACTTGCTTTGCTGCTCACTGCGAACTTGCCGGTGTCGACGATGTCGAGGAACTGCTCGAGCGTGTACGACGCATAGGGCAGGTCGAGCGTCTTTGCTCCCGAGCCGATCGTCTCACGGAACGCGAGCGACCAGCTCTGAAGGTGGTAGGACGCGACCGTGAACATTACATGGTCGGAAGTGACGAGCGAGACATCCCCGGTGTTCCACTTGGAGTGGGGCGTAGGCTGGGGAGGAGAAACCTCAGACTTGGGGGTGACTGGCTCAACTTTGGCCATGGCGACGGCTTGAAGCTCGAAGCTGCGACGGTGGTGGCGGGGTGAAGGATGGTGGAGACGGTAGACTCTGGGCGATATCGAGCTTATGTACCCTTTAAACGCACAGCTTTAAAGCGGGCACTGCAATGCATGCACCCACGGCGCTGCATGCCCCTTCAGCGTGGTCGTTACAAGCGGATCATCTGAATCTCAGCTGTCCACAGATTCTGAGCTGCCAAGATCGACTTCGACAGTCTCAAGAAGATTCATGGGAACGCTGCATGCGCTTCATTACCCTTGCGCCCGGGCGTCACAGAGTGACTGGGAGCTGAGTCAAGGAGTATAAGCACAGCATGCGTAATCAGTGTGATGAGCGACGTGACCCGCATACCGGAACAGCATGGTTAAGATATCGGAGTGCCCGGCATCGCCGGAGGTGCGAGGCGGCTAGACACCCCGATGGTCTTGCCCTATTGCCGACTGCTGTGGTCGTGTCCCGAGAACTCACGAGCTTCGCAGCGCAGTGGGCGCTCGTAGGTCAGTGCAAAGAAGCCAGAGCATGCAAAGGAATGAGCATCCAGAAATTCAGGACGCGCATTTGCTGTGCACTGCTCTCCTGCTGGCTCGCGTGCTGAACAGATTATCGCCTTCGATTCAACCTGAGCGTGACTTGGCGTCGGGCAGTCGAAGCATGATCGTTGCCTTTAACAACAGCGTTCTGAGAAGTGATCTTGCATCGCAGGGGAGGAAACTCACAATGGCTCCACTTCCACGCCCCCAAGTGCTGCCGCACTCCATCTGGACTGTGCGTGATAGGATCGCGTATCGCATTTACCGTGAGTCGCAAGACCAGACATTTATGGATAGGTCGTGCCACGTGGTTATCGATACCTGACATTGAATAGTTGAACTCTTCTGCGAAACTGGCACGGGCGGAAGCAGTTTGAATCCTACCCGACGGAGCCAAAAGAGGTAAGCCAGGGTCTCAGGCACACCAACCCCCTACTGCCTGCGACGTATCAACAACCTTCTCTTCCACTCTTCCGTGTCGCCGGCCAAAAACCCGTCGTTTCTTCTTCACTCTTTCACAGAGCATGAAAAAGAAGGCGTACATCCAGGGGGAATCGAACCCCCACCGCATCGAATCGCACGTGGCAACGATGCATGATACCATTTCACCATAGATGTGAGGACGAGCTGTCTGAGGAAGCGATGGGAGCACAGCTGGACGGGCCCTTAAGTACGCGCACGCACCGAAGATTTGTCGGGGGTGTTTTCTTTCGCACCTCAGATGTTTTGCAGCCTCATTTCTCCAGGGTGGCAAGACTTTGAGGGAGGAGAAGAGGTGTCGTGTCGACTTTTCGTTGGAGGTCGTGGCTGTCGATAAGATCGGTGGAGGTCTGATTTGATAGCCGCGTGGTATTGATCACGTGACCCCTCGCAACTTAAGATTTCTATCGCACGCACCGAACATCCTTGGCCACTTAGCTCAGTTGGTTAGAGCGTATGCTTAACACTCGCAGCGTTACGCATAAGGTCGGCGGTTCGACCCCGCCAGAGGTCATCTTTTTGGCCTTGCTCTCACCTCGCGAGGTGCCAAGGAAGGTGTGAAGGACCATAAGCGTGTAGGGAAGTCAGCGATGGGCGCCGGAGGCGATAAGGTGATCGTGTGACATACCGCGCGGGCCCTTGCGGTCCAGACTCTCCGGTTTCAACCCTCTGATCTCTCGGTCACCCGCAGTCGTGGGGCAGCAGCGTCGTGTTCCCACACAGCTGCACACCAGAGCCTAAGCTGGCACCGGGAAGGCTCGGATCCGAGATCTCGCTTCCAGTGCTCGAACCCAACCTTCGGTGTTCCTGTGATGAGAACTGATACGTCTTCTACGAGCTAAGGACTGCCAAGGCTGGCATCAGAAGCGTCTCGAAGGCACACGATGGAGCAAATAGCAGATTAGGTTCAGCAACTAGGAAGCAAGCTAAAAGACGACGTGCCTCCTCCGCGCTGTCCACCTGTGGAATGGATAGCCCCACTGCACCCCAGCCGACACCAGCTGGCTGCCACCGCAACGCCTGAGGGGCTGTCAAACAAGCCCGAGCTCTGATAACGGTTTGGCTTGGTGTAGTTGTTGTTCTTACTATGCCAGGAGCGCTCAGAGGTTCACTTATCGGCAATATGATTTCACGGGATGGGGCATCACCTCACTCCGATTTGCTGCCCAACCTTCTTTAGTCAGAAGGACGGGGCGGGGTGTCGTCAAGCTGGATTGTCGGTTACAAGGCTACTTGGCAAACTGGTGCGATCGGGTGAGCAGTAAGTCCTGAATGATATCTATAAAGACGGCGGTGGTTGAAGGCTCTCCCATACTTCTGATCGCAACGTCATGAAGCTCCTCGCCGTAGTCTCCATTGCGGCTCTCACAAACGCCGCAGTTATCAACCCCATCCCTTCGCCTTTCCCAACGGGCAGTGGTGGCATTTCGGGTTGTCCAGCCGGACCCAAGGGGACGAAGGGTCCTTGCTGGTGGAAACCCAACCCCTTCGAGGTGAACGTTCGACGCGACGTGAGTGCCCTCCACCGTGCACCCCTCTGACTAGCAGATCGTCGAACAGCTACCCGACTGGGCCCAAAAAGAGGTCATGTGTACTATCAAGTGCTCCCAGTTACACTACTGCTGCTGGGAGTACAAGAAGGACGTGTGCACTTGCACCGTTCCATCGGGGGACCCGCACTGTCGATCTGCATGCCGCCCATGGATAGAATCCCTCCTCAGCCCTCAGTATAAGGTACATTTAGGATGCAGTTACTGCCATGAAATCACCTCTTGCATATGTGTGGAGGAAGGTGCCCGCCGGCTGCAGAATGGAAAGTGGCAGTGTCATCCGGATCCGCCTGCCGAACTTAATCTTATCTGTCGCGGCGCCGGTTCAGCTCGCTTCCCGTTGCATGGGTCTTAAGCCCCTTTGTCCAATGTGCGTTGGGCGGCGTCGTCAGGCAGGCAAGTCAAGTGACTCCATCCGCAGTTTGCAAGTCGTCGCCGCAACCTGTCATCAGCCTCAAATAACAGCGATGCCCATCATGAAGTTGGGGTGCGCGCATCTCACCATGAAACTTCTCTTTTTCACCGCATTCTTTACTGCTGTCGCTGCCCAGAGTGGTGGCATTTCTGGTTGTCCTGATCTCCCCGATGGCAACCTTGGGCCTTGCTGGTGGAAGCCCGGGACAGACGACGTCGGCAATGCTCGACGCGACGTAAGTAACTTGACCCAGTCTCGCGCTGAACGCAAGGACGCAGTCGGCCTGCCGCCACCTCTCCCGGCCAAAGGCGAGGGCCTCTGCCGAATGAAGTGCATGGCGCTGGGATACTGCTGCTGGGTGTGGAAAGGCGATACATGTACCTGCACGGTGCATGGGAAGCTTGGCGACTTCCGGTGCAAGGTGTGCGGTCGTGTTGACAAGATTGAGCCCACGAACACTTGGGCTTGAGGCAGGCAAGAGGCTCAGCGACGAAACCCATTCCTGGATTGAGCTCGAGAAACGGAGCTCATTCCCGGCGAGGCGTACGATGAACGACAGTCAATGGAAGTTAGTAGTGAGGTCTGACTAAAAGAGACGCCGTAGGACACGTTGCAATGCAGGTTCAATCTGAACTGCTTGAACCAAGACGAAGCAGGCTTGATGCAGTCTGCAAAAAATGCCAATTGATAGGGAGGCGAGCTTTATCCGCGAAGGCGAAGGCGAACGAGTGATTGACAGGGTTCGAGGACGATAAACCTAGTAGACAAACTCGCGCGGCAGCTGTACCGCGGGATCCTCGCGCCTGCACCAGCGGGTTGCCAGTCGGCATCGGCGACGGAGCACAGGGCGCGAGTCGCGGAAGTCCAGTCAAGGTGGTGATGGAAATGCGGGGCCGTCAGTGAAAGGCCGATCACTCTCGGGAAACGAGGTCCGGCACACCGTGCCATTGGCTGGCTAAATGCTGCTATGAGCGGCAAAGTACCGGTCTTCGGTTGCATGAACACATGCTGCATGCGCGACAGAGACGCGTCCGGGAAAGGACATCGTCGCCGATCATCTGGAGTCATGAAAAGAAGCATTGTCGTTTGGGAGCGCAGCTCAGGCATGGCTGGATTATGAGTTACATCTAGTGTCTAGTCAGTCTACTTCTTCTTCGCGAGGGCTGGGTCCTTCGCGTGGGGCGCGTTCTCGGGAACAGGGATCTCCTTCTCGCCGTCAGGGGAGAATGCAACCACCTGGTGCGAGTTGGCCATGTGCTTGGTGTGGTTCCCGAACGCGACGATCTGGTCCTTCTCGTTGAAGAACTCGACACGGGTGAAGGCGAGTGTTCGACCTGGCGTGTCAGCGAGTCTACCCTGCAGATGGGCGAGAGAAGGACTTACCGACACGCAGAACCTTTCCGACAGCCTTAATCTCATCTCCAAGCTTTCCTCCGGGACGAATGAACTCGCAGGAGATGTTGACGGACGCGCCTGTCGGAGGTCGCATGCCCAGAGACTGGAGGGAAACGGAGGTCACGGTGTCAACCATGGCGAGGATAGCACCGCCGTGGATCGTCTGCTGTCAGCCGCGGCTCTTGACTCCAAAGCCTACGTCGTGGTTGTTGAGATGCTCCTTGCCAATCTTCATGCTCGTGTGGATGGTTCCCGGGATGGCCTTGTTGACGACCATCTGGACGTCAGCATTCTGTTTTCTCACGGGTACCCGGCCGACACAAGACAGCACAAGGCTTCTAATGCTTACGTTCTTCAGCACAGTTCCATCTTGACCTGTCCATCATCAGCCACCGAATTCTGATCTTTCAGATGATGGTGACTCACCAGCTTTAGCGACAGTCTGCGCCCAAGTCTGGGCGGTTGTCAGCTCAGCTCCTACACGCAGCGAACAGGCGCGAAGCCAGAACTTACCTTCCTAACGAATGCCAGACAAGCCATAGTGAGTAGAGAGTACGATCAGTGATGCGTAAGAGCCGATGGAGAAGAGATATTGCAAGTCGAAAGTTAAATAACGGGAAAGTGTGGGCGTGCAACACTTTCGGCAAGCGGAAGCCTGGTCACCGAGTGGATCGTCGGCCTCTCCGATCGATCTCGGCTATGTGCGGCACAGGTGGAAGTGACACCCGTCGAGATTATAGGGGGAGGGTTAAAATAAAGAAACCACCCTCAGGCGTGCACTTCGCGTGGCCGTCATTGACACACTAGGGGTGGGCTAAGATAAGGAACTAGTCACCCGCCCAACGTGCCTGATCACGGTACATGTCGTCCAATGCGTCACGTCCACTGTGAACGCTTCGCAACAACGACGACGACACTAACGATACCCTCCTCTCATTCCTTGGCACGCTTGCTCACCTAGACACATCCAGGAGACTTTGACGTGCCTACACGCTCATTTTCTGTTCTTTTTCTGCCGACAGCGCCACTACCCTTCTTACCTCGACGCTCCTCCCTGCCCTTGGCCGAAGGGCTCGGTCGCCGCAATGATCAAGTTCATCCTTGTGCAAGTGGGTCACTATGCGCTGAACAGGAAGCTAACCGTAGAACCGCCAAGGAAAGACTCGTCTGTCTAAGTGGTACGCCCCGTATGAAGATGACGAGAAGGTGAGCTTTCAAGTACGCACCCCAGCTGACGTACTCAGGTCAGACTACGCGGCGAAGTCCATCGCTTAATCGCGCCCCGTGACCAGAAGTACCAATCGAACTTTGTCGAGGTGAGTGCACTCTCGAGATTATAGCCATGCCGACCGCATGAGCTGCGATGGACGGATAGCTAACCCTTTAGTTCCGCAACGACAAGATTGTTTACCGCCGCTACGCCGGTCTGTTCTTTTGTGTCTGTGTGGACTCAAATGACAACGAGCTTGCGTATCTCGAGGCTATCCACCTGTTTGTCGAGGTTCTCGGTGAGTACATTGCGCTTTACCGGCCGCTGCAAGGGCGGAAGGTGGTAAGCTGACAACCAGATGCGTTCTTCCAGAATGTGTGTGAGCTCGACCTCGTCTTCTCCTTCTACAAGGTGAGTCTAAGGCTTGTGAGGTGGAGACTGACCCGCAGGTCTACGCCATTCTCGATGAGGTCTTCCTCGCGGGCGAGATCGAGGAGACGTCAAAACAAGTCGTTCTCGACCGTCTCGACTATCTAGAGAAGCTGGAGTAGAGCGGATAATGTGTGCCAGTAATGACCCTTCATATGCAATATGTTGTATTAGTTCTGACAGTCCTCTACCCTCCTTCGGCCGTTCGTTCTACGGCGTTTTTCTCCTGAACAGTGCAAGATGGAATACATGCGGATGCCCGCCACCTTCGTCCTACCAACAGCCGTCTCCTATGATGACCGATCACGCTTCCTCTGCTCCTGCCAGTTCTTCTTGCATTCTCTGTATGCCTTGAAGAACTCGTAGCACTGTCCATGTCAGCTTTAGCGGCACGTAGCAGCTTACCTCCGCCTTGTTGTAGTGCGTTCGCTCGAGGCAATCCAGGCTCGCCTTGCTTGCCTTCTCACACGGGTCGATGAACTGAGTGTCAGCTTCGATTTCCAGACAGCACTCAGCTGCATCTGAGTCTCCCTGCAATTATTACATACCTTGGACACGACACGGTGGTCCTTGTGCGCCTGCAGCGTCTTCTTGTAGTCGGCGGGCTGCTTCATCTCCGGCGTGGGGGGAGGAGGAAGGTACTCCTTCGGAGTCGGGTTCTTGTTGGGAGGGACAGGGGTGGCCATCGTGCTTGCTCTTCTTCTGTCGTGTCGCTCCTAGCTCCTCGTCGCCTTGAGAGATGGAAAGGACGGTTCGTTGTGGTCGAGTGATCAAGTGGTCAACGGCAGAGCAACGCGAATTCGGAAACGGCCATTGCAGCCAACCTCATTTGCGCGAAACGCGGAACATTGGGGCTCCACACGCCGCTCACCACACGGACTGACGCAACCGCCTTGTCTGGGCTCTGGGCTAGTTTCCGCGCCGAGGTGCTTTGTTTTCGTCCACTCATCCACTCTGGTCACTCACCATGGACGCGATTCAGACTCTGGCGTCCGTAGGGATGGCCGTTGGGTAAGCTAGTTGTATGGGTGGAGCTGACTGCAGGCCGCCTCTCGTCTACGTCGACCAGGTATGTAGCTAGGCACCACAGTTCAAAGCTGACCCCAGGCCGTCAGCATAGTGCGCAAGCGGTGAGCTCACAAGCTCTGGAACTTTCAGCTAACCCCAGTGACTCATCCGGCTTCTCGCATGGTAAGCTAAGAGCTAGTCGCTGATAGCTGACCTCAGACGTGTGCGGCGTAGTCATTATCGCGAACATCTGCCGAGTGTTCTTCTGGTTCGGCGCGCGATTCGAGACCCGTGCGTAGACCTTGCTTTGGCCTTCCCTGCCCTTCGGTCTGCCTCGCTTTTCCACAGCCAGCCGAAAGCATCCACCGATGTGATCAGCTCGTTGTCCTGGGCATTGCGGGGCAGGGCGAACCAGCAAGCATAAGCTGCAGAGCCAACGTATACAGCTAACACACCAGCACTCCTCGTACAGTCGTTACTCCTGATCGTGTCGCAGCTCGTTCTCCTCTGGATCTGCATCTACTATGCGGTCCCGTCTGATCCCGGAGAGGAGGCGGACGCGCTGCTGGCGCAGTCGAAGGGCTTGCTCTCCAAGCGCCCCTTCAACTTCTGGCGCTGGACAAAGTTCGGGACGTACATCGAGTTCCTGGCCGGGCTCATCGTCGTTCTCTCCATCTTACAGGTCGCACTCGGCCGCTTCGACTGGTGAGTGCAGCTTAACTCAGCCAGAAAGGTAGCTGACAGGACAGGTACATCGATGCGTGAGTTGGGAGAATAGGTTTCGACAACTAACACGCAGACTTGGCTTTGTCGCGCTGACGATCGGTGAGCTGGTAAGAGACCGCTAAAGCTGACAGCAGAATCGACCCTGCCGATCCCGCAGTTCATCTCGAATTGGCGCCGCAAGTCGTGCTACGGTTTCCGCTCGTCGACGCTGGCCGGCTGGCTCTTCGGCGACGCGTTCAAGTAAGTTTTGAGACACTTCTTGTAAGCTGACTCCAGAACCGCATACTACTTTGTGCGCCACAACCCGCTGCAGTTCAAGGTGACGGGCATTATGACGTTGTGTTGGGACTTTGGTGAGCTAAGTTATGGAGATTCTGAGCTGACAGCAGCCGTCCTCGGGCAACGGCTGTACTACGGTGCCGAGCCGCCGACGCATCTCCCGTTACATGATCGGGACCACGAGCGCCTCCACGACCGCGACGAGGAGGAAGACTGATCTCTCCATAGACACGACTTGTTCCCGTATTCCCTGCCTGACCTCTGGCTCCAGATGTATCACTCTTGTCCAATCTCCTCTCCTGACTGCTGTCCCTCTCATCTGCCTTCCCAGCTCCAGACTCCCAATCACAATGATCTCCCCTCGCAGCCCTCGCAGCCTTCGCTCCACTCGCTCGCTTCCTCCACTCGTCCATCGTCGGAGCTATGTTTTTTGCATCAATCTAAGGGTGATGTTTGTTTGGAGGGTGGTTGCTTAGTGCGAGTCCTTGACGGTGACAGAGTCCCAGTCGGCACGCTCCTTGTCCTCCTTGGCGACCTGCTTGATGTAAGGGGTGAGGTAGCGGACATCGTCCTCGGGCTTGAGCCACTGCTCCTTGGGGAGGGGGCGGCGCATGAGGTCCTGCTGGAAAGCGACGCGGAAGCGGTAGGCACGGTCGTAGCCCTCGATGGCGGGGAGACGCGAGATGGCCTGTAGGTGTTAGCTATGCGGAAAGCTGTTAGCTGGGCGGGGGACAGGGCTGGGGCTGGGGCTCGGCGAAGTGATCAAGCACTCTAGATGATCTGAAGGGCGGGGAGGACGGTCATTCCTGGATCGATCCGGCGGAGCAGAGATGAGAGCGATTCGCGACCTCTATCCACCACATAAAGCATGGCACCGCCAGCTCCTGCTGCATGGTCACAGACCGCGAACCTTGCGAGCTGGTAACTGCGCCAGGTGGTGTCGTTGTGTTCTCATTCCCATCCGGCGTCGTTCGCATTCGGAGTGAGTTGACCACTTTGCCGAGCCCCGGTTCTTGCCCTGTCCAAATCTCCTGTTCCTCCTCACCTTCTCAACATCACGGCGCTCCTCGATGATCAGGTCATCGTACTTGAGGCCGACCTTGCGGTATCCGGCGGCGTTGACGTAGGCCTTCGAGATGGGGATGAGGGCCTTGTAGAGGCTGGGCATGTGCTCCTTGATGCAGGAGGCGAAGCTGGATTCGGAACGGTCGCATGGTGGAGCAAAGAAGAGCCGAAGTGTGTGCCAAATCATCGTTTCGTCATTCGTTCGTAGTTGCAGGATACGTTCGGCAGCACGGAGAGAGAGTGTCGGGCAGCGTGGAGGGGGCCATTGTCGTTCGCGAGAGAGTTACAACGGCGACGCGGAGCGAAGTAGTCGAAGGTAGTTCGCGAGACGGAGAAACATCGAAAGTCGTAGTGTACATTCGTAACACAGAATTCGGGCAGTCGAGAGCAAAGAACGCAGCGTTAGTACATGCACCCTCCACAGCATGGAGCGACTCACGAGATGCCGAGAGGGCCACCGATAAGAACCATCGTGACGGATTTCTGTTGGAGTGGTGTTTAGGCAAGAGGACTGGTGAACGAGACGTCTCTTGCAGCAAGTACGAGCGAGCGAGCGAGCCAGCGTCGGGCCTGCGAGCGCCCTGCCAGAGAGAGCCCGCCCGCCCAGGCTGAGCCCGCCCGCCTGCAGTCCATTCGGGTGCGGGTGATTGGCCCGAGGGTTCCGAGTGCCAGAGGCGCGGAGGCAAATGCGGGACAATCCGGGAGTTCGGGGGCACGGAGCGAGTGGCACTCTCCCTGCTCGTTTTCGTGGTGGAGGTGGTCCACTTGGCTTCATCACTGCTCTCCAGCGTCGCAAGCAGTGAGCTCGTCGTCAGTATGCTCTGCATGTCCGTGATGTTCATTCCGTACGACAACCGTTCCTCGGAGTCCCTCGAATCCTCTCCCCGCCACTCCCGATGTCCGCGGAAACATGTAACCTATGCATCACAGATACCTGGACTGTCCGTGGGGAAAAATGCAATGGAGTCGGGCTGGACTTTTGATGTAGTAAGAGAAAGAGACATTGTCACACGCCTTCAGCACTGTAGTAGCTGCAGGTGCCGTGTGAAACGTGTGATGATGATGAAATGCGAGTGTGCAAACGACATACGTAGTAGTAGTGTGTTGTTATGAGAGGGAAATAGTACAATAATGGAGGAAAATGGGGAGCATGAGGAGGGAAGGTGTGTCTAGCCCAGATAGGATTGTGGTCTTCGTGTATTTCTTTGTCCGTTGTAGAGGTGTCTCAGCTCGCGTTCGCGTGGCTCGATCGACGGGCGCGAGGCGTCTGCTCATTCAGCTCGTATCGCGACCCGCGCCACGCCGACACGGGGCCTCCGGCTTCGCTCAAGGCCATGCCACTAGCACGACGTTGTTGGCGCCGGGGAGGTGTTGCAATGTCACCAGAGGCCACGCTCTGCGGGCGGACAGATCCGCCGTCCAGGTGGCGAGAGCGGCGGTTCGGCGAACCACCGCTGCCACCGTGACCGGCGACGGGCTCGGTCGCGAACGGCGCCTGCACGGGAGGGCCGAACTCGCCACCAAAGACGGACTGGGCCGGTGGTGCGTACGAGTACATGCCTCCGCCCATGCCCATGCCGCCCATACCCGTCATGCCGCTCGCAGAGCTCATACCGCTGCTCATACCAGCCTGGGGGAAAGGCATGGCAGGCATGCCGTACCCGTAGCCTCCGTACATGTTGAACATGGCCGACGGCGGTACAGGCATGGAAGCCATGCCGGCGGGGAAGGCGCCGTAGGAGTAGCCCATCGGCATCTGGCCCATCATCGGATTGTTGCCGGGGAGCGTCTGGGCGTTGGACACATTGGAAGCACGCTCCCATGCGTCATCGAAGTGGGCCTGCGCAGCCGCCATCCACTGCTGGTAGAACTGCTGCTTGTTCATCATAGCACTGTTCACGTCAGCCACACACTTGCTCTTCGATACGTACGCTTGGGCCTGAGCAGCGTACGCCGGGTCCATGCCGGGGAACTGCGGAACCGCGCCGTTGGCAGCGTTCATCCAGTCGAACTGGCTGGGAGGGCGAACACGAGCCTCATTGGCGTCACTCGAAACGCGCAGACGGGCGTCCGCGCCCCAAGATCGACGATTGTCAGTGTTCGATCGGGGCGTCGAGGGCTGCTGCATAGAGGAGTCCCCCGTCAGAGCCGATTGCGACGACGCGGGTGAGGCCGAGTGTCGGGCGTCATGGTTGAGAGCTGCAAGCGGGCCGCCCGTGGGAGGTGACGTCTGGTGGTGCGATGAACGAACGCCTCCGGGCATCGCTCGGAGCCTGTCGCTGCTAGCCACGCGGTGCATCCTCGCGCGGGATCCAGGACGGGAAGGAGGTCGGGAAGGCTGCTCCGAGCCCGTTGGTGACGAGTCTGAGAGAGACCACTTGGACGAGCTCTTGGTGAGGCCGGCGTTGCGAGGCGTAGCGGTGGTGTGCGAGCTCGCCGACACATGGGACGAGGAGACACTTCGGCCACCGTTAGGGCGCGGCTGACCGGCTGAGGGACCATGAGGTACCGGCTGCTTGGTAACACCCGTGTCCACGCGCAGGTCCTGACGAGATCCCGGACGGCTCACTGTCGGGCGCATATCCCCGCGAGACGGCGGTCGTTGTTCTTGCTGGCGTGACACCGAGCGCAGTTCCTGGCGAGATGAAGCCCTAGCACGGACCTGACGAAGGGGCTCGTCAGGTTCAGAGTCGTCCGCTGACGGTGCAGGGGCAGGAGCAGGGCTGGTGGACATCAAATCGGTGCGTGACGGGTGCTTCATCGCCGACTTCAATGGTCGAGGAGCAGCGATGACAGGCGAAGACTTCTTGACATCGTCCTCATCCTCCGAGCTCGTGTCCCAACCGACAGCCTCCTTGCGAGTTCGGACCTTCTCAGGTTGTTTGCGCGAAGGGCGGCCGAAGCTGGAATGCGGCATGGTCGGCGGCGGCGCAGGCGGGGCTGTCATCGGCGGAGGAACGCGCACTGGCGAAGCAGTGCGGTCGCTAGCGGGAGACTGAGGGAGGACGCGCTTCTCGGGTGAGTCCGGGACAGGAGGAATGAACAGCTTGTTGGGGTCCTCTCCCTTCATGATTGCCATCGGGGAAGGCACGACGCTTGAGACCGCAGAGGTGACCGAGTTCAAGCGGTCATAGATGCTCATGCGGTTGCCCTCGGAGGCAGTGCGCTGACGCTCACCCATGCCGATCGGTGGTGGTCCGTTACCAATGGCAGCAATGATCGAAGGGTCGAAGGCCTCCTCCTTGTCGTCGTTATCCGCGTTCGGCGTACCTGTCCAAAGGCCAGAGATACGACGAAGCGGCTCGTCCAGGACAGCAGTGAGACCAGGCGACAAGGTCGTGCTTCGGCTGGGGGGCCGGGACCCACGTACGGGCTCGTCGGGGATCTCGTCGGGGCGGGGCGGCAGCTTGATCCCCTCCAACTCGCCCGGAGCGTCGGTCAGGCCAGACGCGAAGGTAGGCTTGACAGGTGACGTGGACTGGCTGAGAGCGTTCGCAACCGCGTTAGCCGGCATCGTATGAGGCTCGGGAGCCGGGGGAAGCGCCTTCCGAATGTTCTTTAATGAGTCGCGCCTTCGAGGTCCGCGGATTGGCTCGCGCAGACCAGTCGGGGTCGTTGGGGAAGCTGCAGTCGACGCTTCGCTGGCCGTCGGCGAATCAGGCCATGTGCGCTCCTGCTTCGCCCTCGCCAGGTTGGGGTCATTGCTGCTCCGACGAGGCTTGGCAGAATCGCTGACGGCGTCGTTAGCGCCTAGCAAGAATGCGGATTGGAGGGCGAGATAAGGGGCTCGACGACGGCAGTTTGCGTTCCTTGTCGGCCATCGGGGAGACGGAAGGCATCAGTCGAGACATGCTGGGCGATGGTGACGGCGCGTCGCTGCCGAGCGAGATAGCAGAGGAGTTGCGGTGAATCGCCGCCTCTGCTCGAAGTTGCGCTCTGCTCATGGACAATGGCATATCGTCATCGTCACCTCCGTCTGCGGCGTCGGCGAGCATACTGGAGCTGGGCCGCCTGATGTTCTTCCTAAACTCGGCAATGCTGACTCGGTTCTGCTGAGAGCCGGAAGAACCAGCAGCGCTGGACAGACGTGGTCGGGGCGGGGGAGCCGTGAGGGGCGTGGTGTACGTGGGCGGCACTTCATGGCGTGGGGAAGGCCCAGCAGATGGAGTATTGCCGCCCGACGACAGAGGAGCATCGCTCGACCTCGACAGGTTGAAGTACTGATCGAGCTTGCTGTCGGCGCCAGACGCACCCGAAATGTGACGGAACGACTTGAGCTGGAAGCTGCCATCGTCGGCACCCGCAGCCTGATCGAGCGGTAATGAAGACCTCGAGGTTGTGCGTCCGAAGGGGTTGTGGAACAGGTTCGAGGACGGGCGGCGCAAAGCCGCCGACTGGTCTCCGGTCTGGGACGATGACCGACGAGGCTTTGGCGGGGAAGACGGGGGCTGCAGGAACATTAGCATTCCACAAGGCCAGGAGCAACAGGAGAGCGGCATATTCAAGAGGGGTAAAGAGAAAGAATCAAAGACTCACAATGCTATCTGGCGCATCGCTCGTTCTTGAGCGTGACGACTTGCGCCCTCGCGTCCACATCTTGCTGCGTTTATCCTCATCTGGCAGGTCTCGCGGGTCCCCTTGATGCAACGACCTTGATTCCAGCTCTTCCGTCGTGTCCACGAGCGTGGGTGATAAGACAGGAGGCGCGGCTGGAACATTAGTCGTCGAAGAAGGGTTTCGGGAAGAGAAAGCAGTGGTGATCTTCTTCACGGGAGAGGTGCGTGCCGCCGCTGATGTCGTTGACTCGGGGTCTTCCCGCAGATCGGAGCGCATTGGTCGCTGCTGTGGCGCAGAAGGCTGACCGTTCGCGTTTTGCAGAGGGAGGGTGTCACCTAGCCCTCCCCAGTCGTCCTCGAAACCAAGCTTACCGAGAATGCCGCCCTCTTGCTTCCACTCTAAAGACGATCGGCTTCCTCCCGTGAACGTAGAGTCGATGGAGATGACGGTAGCCTGAGACGGAGAGCGGTGGTGGTGGACATTGATACCGGCGTAGCCGTTACTGCTGGCGTGCGATCCGGGAGACACGGTCAAGCCAGGGCGGGAGTGGACGGACGCGCTCGGTGGTGGCGGGCGGGAAGGCGGCCGCGGGCCATAGCTCTGCCGTGAGGGCGTCTTCGGGGACGGGGAGTCATAAGAGGTTGTAGCGATGGTGGGGACACTTGTTGGATCCGGTGTATAGCGCCCGTTCTGCGAGTGCAGGGAAGGTGATGACGGGGTCGAGAATGCTGGACGTGGAGGAGGGGCTGAAATGTCATCGTACCCGCGGTCGGTGCTCGGCGGCTCGCTGCTCTTCTTCCTCGAGCTCCATGGCAATTTCCCTCCGGTCCGCTGTGGCTGCAGGGGTGCCGGAGTTGTCGGGCTGCTCGGAGCGTTGCTTGCAGTCGAGGCACGAGGTTGTCCGTTGAGTAAGTTCAGAGACGGAGTGCGCCTAACAAACTTTTGCCCCGTAGACTGCTGGCTCTTAGCAGGATCGACGGGGGCCTTTTGGTCGGGTTGAGCCCCACTCGTTGAGGAGCTCGTCCCCGCCCGAAAACGGCGAAAGATACCCATTGGCGTGCGCGAGGGGGAGGAAGGGGGTTGGTGAGCTACTGCTCAAGCAAGCCCTTCAAAAGGGTGTAAGGGGTGCGTTAATGTCCAATGGTGAAATGGGCGGTTTCGTCCGGAAAGGAGAGAGAGAAAGGAGGAGGGAATGTGTGCGAGCGTGACAAAGGGGTGGGTGGTTTCTAAGGGGTGGTCGGGGTAGATCGAAGATAAAATGAGCGACGGTTGTGTGAGTGCGAGGTACGACGTTGGGAAAGGAGCGAGTTGGTGACCAATGCAGTGCAATGGCTGGGATTGCCGTTAACTAGACCAAACCGCTTGTAGCTTGTAGGCTTGTGAGCGTCCTTTCGACCTCGGTGTGCGCAGCGCGGGAACGAGCGAGCAAAGGGCGGAGGCGTAGTATAAAGGCGTGCCAAAAGGTTGCGAGCGGTAGGCTGTGCGTTGGGCGTTGCGTGCCGAGTGCTATGCGATGGTCGGAGGATGGGTCGACGCGTGAAGGATAGGGTTTGTGAGGTTGAGGTTGAAGAGTAAGTAAAGAGACAATAATAGGAATGAGATTATAGTAGGGCGGTCTGGCGGCGGGAGGTACCGGTGGTGCGAGGGTCGAGGGGTGATCGAGATCGAAAGATGGGTTAGGAATAGGAGGGAGAGTGGAGAAAGTCCAAGACTAGCAGCAAAGGGAGGAGCAAAGGAGGATTCGAGGTAGATGCAGTGCGAAGAGTGCAAGAGGATCAGGAGTGCGATGGCATGTCTGAGTGCTCGACAGGATCCCCACACTGGGACTCGCGGCACTGGCGGTCACTGGAGCGGTATTGTCTCGCTGTCTTATGTTAATGCTGGGCCGTGAGATTCCAGGCGGCGGCTTGGAGCGCCAGTGGCCAGTGGCCGCCGTGCCGTGCGCTCAGCCAAATGCCGTTACAGGCCGTCTACCGCTGCACCCCCTGGGATCCTGGGAGCGCCCAGCGCTGGCACGCCCGCCGGCCCTACTGATACAGTCTACTGCGCTGCAGCGCAACGACTTCGCGGGGGGCCCTGGCCCTGGATTTTCACCGGCTCACCTTACCGCTGACTGGCTGAGCGCTGCCCTCCTTCACCCCTCAGCCCTTCACCTGTTTCATCCTCGCCGCGGTCGTGCTCGACGTGTGCATGCAGGCTTCCTTCTGCGTCTTTTCCTGGCTGCGCTATGCGCTGGCGCACTGCATTCGAGTGCGACTATTGCCAGAAGAGCGCTCTTAGTCTCCAATTGGCGGCTGGTACGACTGGGGCGCTGGGTGGTGGACTCCCTTGACCAGTTCACGTTTAGCTTTGGGCTTCAGGGAATGAGAGACGCGAGGGACGGATCCCATGCTGTGTCCAAGCTTTGCTGGGCTACAGCTCGGCTCCCGCTTGCATTTCTGTACGCGGCGGCGTTCTCTACTGCGACACTTCTTCCCACCGGCCTGGCTGGCGACGGGCGAAAGATTCAGACAATGCGTGCTCTGCAGAAAAGACATACCAGACAGGAACGATGCAAGGGGATTGCCCTTACCCCTGGCCTCGACACGGAGGCCGCAATGCATCAGTGATCGCCTATCGCTGGCCGGCCTGCGGGACCCCGCAAGGGCGGTGCTATCTCGTCAATTCACTCGGTGCATAGCGTGCCAGAAGTAAATCAGACTTGCCTATTCAACGCTATTACTTCAAGCTCGTTAAGCTCTGAGCGACGTGTCTGCTCATGATTTCGTGATTTTCGCCACCCAACAGTTAAACTACCTTGGCTGCCTCCACCGGCGTGAACCGCCTTGGACCTCCACCGCCAAGGCCGCCCAAGGAATGCGCGGACAGTCAGCGCACGCCACTGACAATCGGCGACGTCAGTCTTCCTCCGACCGTTCTCACCTTCCTCATCCACCATGTCGACAGCAAACCGACCTCAAAACAGCAATAACAATGACCTGAACGTCGACGTGCCGGATGAGGCCCCGCCGCCGTACTCTGCTGCCTCTGGCGACCAGACGCTGCAGTCCGGCCCGCAGCGGATGGACTTCTCCGGACCGCCGCCATTGCCCGATCGTTTCCAGAATCCGGGCTATCAATCGCCAGCTGGGCCGCCGCCGGCGCACTTGAACCAGACGCCGACAGGAGGGCAGAGCATCCCGGGTGTAGGCGTCGGATACGGAGGAGGGCAAGGGAGTGGACAGTGGGGACAGCCGCCGAGCCACCCCGCAGCTCAAGCTTATCGTCCCCCGCCGCAGCAGCCGTATTCCCCACCGCCCGGCGCGCCCCCACCTCCGCCGCCGAACCGACCTGGCTCCTCGCAGTCCCAGGACCAGGATATGACGCCGACGGAGCGCCCCGTCCCCGGCCGTCCGCTGCTGCACAAGGGCCAGCTGCTCGTCTACCCGAAGTCGTACTACTGCGGCAAGTGCGCAAATACGGGCTACAAGTGAGTCTCATATCGAGATCGCGGCAGAGATCTGGCCACCTGCTCGGCTCCGAGTGCATATGGTTTCTCACCCACCTTCCCCTCAACCCATTCATCTGGGTTGTGAGCTGGGACTACGTGACATGCAGCTGACGACAGAAATGGCGACCCCGGCCGACCGTGCAACAGCGACTGGAAGAAGTACGGCAAGGACTTCTCTGGCGCTCTGGCGCACTCGTACGCGATCGCGCCCAAGCCGGGGACGAACGGGACCACGTCAGCCGCGACAAACTTCCAGCGCCCCCTGCCGCAGCGCCAGGCTGCTCCTCCGCCACAGCAGTATGGGGGTTACGGAGGCGGCTACGGTGGAGGAGGGTACGGGGGCGGATGGCAGCCGCAGTTCAGGCCGGCATACGGACCGCCGCCGGGCGCGCTTGTGTTACAGCCGGGAGACCCGAGGATTGGCGGACAGTGAGTACTTCGAAACCACACGGCTGTGCGCCGAGGATGGATGAAACGCGGCTGACACGCAGGCTGTGCCAACGATGCGGGGGAAGCGGGACAGAAATTTTCTTCCTCTTTGATGATGGGCCTTGTCGCCAGTGTCGCGGAGTCGGGCGCGTCTTCTAAGCGACGTGTTGAGTATCCTGAGCAACGAGGCTGCCTAGGCAGAGAACGAATCAGGCGTGGCAGTGTCGGAGTAGACGAGAGCAGAGAGGTGTAGAGTGTCCAGTGAGTGTGCCGCATGTTCAAGCTACTGGTGATCACCACTGAGCTGACAGCGCAGTTTCACAGTTGTCGAGATGTATCATTGCATTATCCATCCAGACGCCACAGTGTCCTAACTCGGAACCCTTCCATTTTACGACCACGGGAAATCTACACTGACACGAGCGCAGCAAGGAGCAGACCGAGCAGCATGCCAAGGTTAACGCCCAGCCGTGCTTCCCCGCTCTCTTCGAGATTCCACGCATACTGCGGCGACTGACTCGAGACATACAGTTCACCAAGCGGCGAGAGCGTCTGGCTGTCCTTCAACAGAGCGAGTTCCGGATTCAGCTTGTCCTGCCTGTCAGCTTAACATCCTCGGTTTCTTAGCTGGATCTCGCTGGCCCCCAGCGTTTCTTTTGAGCTTTTTGTGTTCGGGCTCGTCGGGGTGATCGGGACAGATCGAAGCGTGGAAAGGTACCATGGAACCTTTCTCGGGGACAGGCACAGCGTAGCTCAGAGAGGCACAGGAGTGCGCACTCCAAGCAGCTTACTGTACTCCAACACACCTCTGGCAATTCCAAAATCACACGCGAACCGTTATGAGCTCACAGCGGACCTGCTCACAACAGCCTTTCACCCAGTATTTAGGGAACGACGTACGCCAAGGAGAGGGGACTCGCTGCGCCTCCTGAACTCTCCGCCTGACTCGCTCCGCTCGCTCCGCTCGTGTCGAACTCACCATATCCCACCTCGCGCCATACCAGTAGTACCGCTCGACCCACTCCGTCCCGTCCATCCACGCCATGACGGACTGCATGTAGTTCCGAACTTGCGTGCTGTCGATATGCTCCTTGTCGCGCGGGGGCCAGGACATGGGCGCGATCTCGGTCACTTGCAGGGGCAGGTTGAAGGTCGTGTGCCACTGGGTCAGGACGACGGGGAGCGCGGCGGAGGAGGGGTTGTACTGCTCCGCTCAGTCTGCCTGCTCTGCTACGTGCTCTGCTAGGAGGGAAAGCGCGGTACTTACAAAGTGGACAGCGAGGAAATCCGGATGACAGCTCCCGTTGCACTCCCGCCACCAGTCGAGCATCCAGCTCATGCCCCATCCGCCCGTATTCACTGCTGGGGCGCCGACACGCCAGCCCTGTTCCTTCAGCGGCTCGACCGTCTTCTTCCAAACCGCAGCAGCAAGGGCAGGCGTGCAGTTGGCCTGGTGGGCTTCGTTCGGCTCGTTGAACGTGAGCACTTCCTTGTGCTTCAGGAGTCGGGCCTTCTCTGAGCTTGTCAGTTGAGTCACACGTGTTTAACTGGAGAGGAGTGCGGGATGCATGCCAGCTGCGTGCGAAGGAAGGGGGAACAGAAGGGTGTAGAGGTGGACTCACGATCACTTCCCGCTACGGCCCATTCAGAGTTCATCCTGGCCTGGAACTCGTCGACGTGCGCATCGCTACACCCCCAGAGCTGGGGCACGAAGCCGGGCCCCGCCTCAGAGACATTGTACCCGTACGGACTGTAGGTGTAGTAGCTCGCCAGCGTGTGGAAGGGGGCGAGCGACCCACTCCCGCGCAACTGCCAGGGAATGCCGCGCTTGCGTGCGTTTTGGCGGTAGACGTCATCGTTGTTGCGCTTATCCAAGGCGGTTTGGCCGATGCAGGTGCCGCCTACGATATCGAGCGCTGTCGTGTCGCTCAGAGAGGAGACGTTGAGAGCTGAGAGGGAAGGCGAGGAAGGGAGAGAGTCGGCCGACGAGACGGGCGAGCACGACGCCAATTGCGCGAGGGCTGCGACTGTGAGAAGTCGAGAAACCAGCATGCTGAGGTATGAGATGAGATCGATGTTAGAAAGCAATGAATGTCTGGGAGCCTTATGTGTGGTGTGAGACCTGTCTCGCTCATATCGTGCACGCCCCAGCGTCCACACCCCGCAAGTCGTGAGTCAGGATCTTGGGGCAATGGGGCGAGTGAAGGGCTGAAGATCATAATAAGTGGGGGTGTGCGAGTGTGAGTGTGCAGATGTCCAGGTGTGCGCCACCTCCGCCCCGTTGCGCCATGGAAGGTGCGTGCGCGACTGGCATCACGGCTGTCTATTCACCGAGAGAGGGAGGAGAAGGCATAAAGGAAGGTGAGGAAGATGGCAAAGGAGGCCGTAGACACGCCTTCTGTGTTCTGTGTTCGTGACGGTTCATGTGGCGCGCGGGCGTGTGAGGCGCTGAAGCCGGGGCCGGGGCGTGCCAAACACGAGGAGGGCACGATGCAGCCTGAGTCTCACATCTCGTGTCTTAGTTGCGTCAGTGGTGAGTCAGGTCCGATCAACCTCAGTTCAAGGTTTCCCGTCCAGTGTCAGTCACCCGATGATAATTGGGCTGGGTCAGCGCGCAGGAGGTATTCCGCGGTCCGCGCCCGCCATCCCGAGCTTCGTGGTCGATACCGAGCAGACCTGGACCCATTGTCGATCATGATCGTCGTTACCTGTTTTGCCATGAGATAGGGACAGCGATACGCGGGCAATGTCAACAGCTTTGGGCTAGCCGACAAGTCTGTGACGTCCCGATCAACGAGGAGGCAGCCACATTTCCTCCGCGGACGTCGGCGGTGGCGGAAGTCCACCCCGCAGCGCTACGTAGACGGCGTCATCGCAGATCTTGATAACGTGATGTTCCTGCATCTGGCGGAAGATGGCTCCGTTATCAGATTTGACGAGGGGCGGGCATGTGGACGCTCTAAGTCGCTCGACCAACGGATGAGCATTTCGCTCGACGTGGATCTCGTCGAGTCCGCTCACGGGCGCGGACCTCCCAATGCTCACTACGGTCAGTCCGGTGAGGACAGCTCGCCTTGTGTTCGAGCTCCCTGCTGTCACCTCAGTACTATGCCGTTATGCAAGGAGATTGACGGCGGCGACATTGACATGGGAAGTTGGTCTCGTGAGTGATTCAGCCGTGCCGGCGGAGCTCGTCATTGGTGGCGGTAGATCTCGAGACCGATGAGGATGATACGAAAAGAAGATCTCGTCTCAGTGATCATGGAGTGCGTATGTTGCCCAGGTCCTCTCAGCGGTCTCCGCTGATCCCCGCCAAGCTCCCTCGAAATGACCTCATACGACGCTCTTCGCACCAGGTTTGCCAAGAGGACACGGCGCCGAGACGAGCGAGACGAGAGAGACGAGAGGCGAGTGACGGGACAAGAGTATGTCCGAAAGACGAATATGACAGCGGGCAACCCTTGTTGACCTTGTCGACACGGCGCCGTCGAGCAGGGCGGCGAGGCCTCATCAATGTCAATGTCAGGCTGCTGTCCTACATCCGCCTCTGTCATATCGACACGGTCTCGCCGCCTTGGCCACCTCCCTCCTACCCCAGTACATAGCGCCCGACACCTCTCGCCGTTCGCGCCGAGCAGGAGCAAGGCCCAGACTCGGCGGCGGTGTCTCGGCGCACCATTTTCTCGCCGCAAAAGTGATGGTCAATGAATGAATGAAAGGAGGATGTGGGTTGTGCGGCGCAATAGTTTCTCCAAAAGAGCACGTTTGATAGAGTTCAGACGCCGAGATCTCTCCACAGTAAGGAGAATGCGGGGTCGGCGTGCATCGGCGCATGAGCTGGCGTCTCGGCGCCGCAGAGTTTCGGCGCATTTACTGCCAATCACGACCCAAGGAGACCGAAGTGCCATGTTCGTTGGTGCGGAGATAAGGGGGGTGGCGAAGTCATTGAGCAGGTCCAACAACGTTTGAGCTTTGCAGCGTTACAGCCTCTTCCCCACCCTCTAAATAGAACAGGACGGCGCCGAAACAAGGATGTCCGAAGTGATACGGAGGTGTGCCTTGCTCTCGCACCCTCGCCTGTCCAGTCGCGCCATTGATTCGGGTCGAGGGGGAGCTATTTACTCCTTCGGGGGTGTGATCTTCGTGTTTTAGATGCGCCGTGCCAGGCAGCTGGGTAGGGTTCTTGGAAATGAGGAACCTCGACAGCTGACGACTTGGTGATCGCCCCGAAGGGCAAACCCCGGTGCTATGTGGGGGGTCCGAGGTACCTGATGGCCGCTGCTGGCTGTGATACGCTGAACGTGTGCACGGGGGCAGGGAAAGCGGGGGCGGGCAGCTGTAGAAGCAAGAACGAGCAACAGCGAGCGGGGGAGCGGCGTCTGGTCGTTCTAGTGCCATGTTGAGAGTGGAATATCGTTGGCTCGCGACGATCATCTCGGCACCGGGGTGGGGGACTTCGGCCCGAACCCCTTTCGCTCCATGTCCGCCGTCTCGCGGCCTCGGCGTGGCAGCCAAGCAGCTGTGCGCCGCATCCTTTGAACGACCCGGTGTCAAGTCCGAAGTCCAGGGATGCACGGCGTCTGGTGATTCCAGCACGCGACAGGACCCTGGATATGACGTAGAAGGTCATTGCCGCTGGCAATCTGGTGGCGATCTGCCAAGCCGCGGCGACGACTCTGCTGCCCGCCCCTTCCATCCTCACATCCTCCGCCTCTCCTTCATCATCAACCCCCACTCCGCCGCGTACCTCGCCAGCCCTGCACGATACCCCTGCTACCGGCTGTTCATGATCGGCCCAGGAACACTCCGCGGTTCGCAGCTCACGAACCTCAGACCTCACACGGCGGACTAGTGCCTGGGGGATTTACGAGATATTGGGAATTGTCTGTCGCAGCGGGTGGTCATGAATGCGGACCGATCGAGCGGAACGTCAGTACATGAACTTAACACGGTGGTTAGTCGCTGTGCACGGGCACAGCGGGCCCCGGCGTCATACCCTCAGCCCCCCAGCCACAGTGCTCGAGACACGGACAGTTGAAGCTTAGCGCCCTGAGTGTTTGATCGTGTTAGAGCTGCTTTGAGCTGTTGCAGCAAGGTTTAGACATGAACAGCATGATACATGGTGAATTAGAAATACAGTGGGTGATGTACAGCAGGCTAAACAGCCACAGGGGTAAGGGAGTACGGCGTGTCCTCCTCCATAGGGGTTACTAGCACCTCGTCGTCAAAGTCGAGGTCGTCCACGATCTGGGTGAATTGCGACGGCTCGGAGCCTTGATGTTTTGATCGGGGGTCTACCCCACTCATGAGCACACCAGACTCTTGCGGCGAATCGATTGAGGGCCCGTCAGACTCCAGGTCACTGTCCTCGTCCAGGCCAGGTGGTGACAGCTCGTCTCGTTCGGTGGCGTCAGACTCGTCAGCGAGGTCATCTTCGAAAGGGGCAGGAGACATGTCAATGTCCCAGTCGGAGGCCCATTCATCCGTCGAATGACCGTCGCTGAGGCTCCGTTGGAACGGTGCCGGGAATGCTGGTGTCGTCTCGAGAGGCTGCTTTATCCGATACTCGTCCATGACACTGATGCAGGGGCCCGACATCACTCTGGGCACGGCGCTGCCGTCTCGTCCTCGTCTCCGGCGCGACGACTCAGGAGCATCGGAGTCAACGGTCAGCTGACTGAGATCGTCTGAAAGCTCGCTGTCACCGAGCAGGTGTGTTGGCGTCGGCGAGAAGGGTTGCATCGGCAAGGCCACTGGGACGGAGACATAAGGCTGTCCTGATCCGCTCCCAATGTCACTGAAATCGTCGGAGGCGCTGTCGAACGCAAATGTGCTGCTCCCGGCGTGCAAGTCGAGGCAGAGGGCATTTGACACGGAAGAGGTCTCGAAATCAAGCTCGACAGCGCTCAGCCCAGCGCTGAGCTCCTCAGTCTCATCGTGGGAGGAGAGCGAGGAGGACCAGTCCTCGATGTAGATGTGCCCCATGGAGGAAGCACACTCGGCTTCCGGTGAGTCGTACTCAAAGTCGAGATCATCGTCAAGGACGGGCAGCTGGACGCATCTTGATCGCGGCGCTGGAGGGGGCAGAGAGGCCCTGCTGACGGGGCTGAGGGGAAGGAGGTCGGAGAACGGATAAGTGTTTCGTTGTGGCTCGCACATGGCAGACTCGTAGCGATCGCTGGGGTGATTTTGGTGTTGGTAGGTTGGAACAGTCAAGCCAAAAGCATGGGTCGGGATTAGGGCCGGTTTATATTTGTTGTCGTGCAGAGGACTTGGCACTCGTGACTCTCCAGTGTGGTTTCGGATATCGTCATAGGGGTTGGTGTTAGGCACAGGCGTATTTTCCAGCTGATATTATTGTGTCAGTGCCTGCGGCTGATTGACCGCTGAGCCAAATCTCCGAAAGGATAATGACTCACAATTATACGGCCAGCACCGGCCTTACTCTGCCCTCTCCTGACGCAGGACCACTCTGACACCCCAATCGTCATGAGCGCACGACTGATCGAGCTCTCCGCCAAGGCATCATCACGACGGCCAAGCCTCCGTAGATGATTGGCGACGATGTCCATGTGACCGTCGTCACCGGCATCGGAGGTGCTCCATTCAACCTTTCGTTTCTTTGGACCACGTTTCGGGGCCACTTTCACTGATGCCTCGACTTGACGGCGTAGCATCATGTCTTGTGTCTCTTCAATATCGTCCAATAGATCGCGAGTTGCTGTTAACAGTGGCGTGTCGTGCTGGGCGGCGAGCGAGACAAAAGAGCGGAGACTGTGAATGAGAGTCGCCGGAGTTCGCAGAGTGATCTTATACTGATATCAGCAATTGCAATGGGTGATTGCATACACGCTGGATGAACGAGTCATCAAAGACCAGAGGAAATTGTCTGAGGTTAGTCGTTATCGCCACTGATAAGGATCGATTGGTCCAGTAAGGCGCCATCCGGCCGACTCACTGGATGAATTGGAGGCGCAACGTGCGTCTCATCCCGCACCGTAGTTGACGGTGGACCGCGTCGAGATAAGATCCGGGGTGATCGATAGCGGCACTTCCCCTCGGAGCGCCGTTGGGTGCTTTCGACCAGGACATACGGAGGCGTATCTCTTTGAGATGGATGTACGGTTCTTGAGATGCAACCATCTGCTGTTTGAACCACTCGTGCTCCGGCAGGGCAGCTTTGGGCAAGACGCGGTAATGTAGATCGACATCGTCCTCTTCAGACGCAGAGATGCGAGGTTCGGGACACCGAGTGATGCGTTCGAGTCCAACTCTGCAAGCGTTCTACCAGATCAGCCAATCTTCTGGGCAATAGCTCACGTCACGGAGACAACTATCCAGTGTTTGAATCGCCTCGTCTCGCAACCTCAGCGATTGGTGGTCACCAAGACTGCATAGATCGAGGCTGATCTTGATATGAAGTTTGCCGTTGAGCGGGACGAACACCTTGAGGGCATGTGCGAGGGCTTTAGTGTCAGGACGAGATGAGAGCGGGGGTGAGTTGACGACGAGCCCCTGTGGAAACACTTGAATACGAAGATTGGGGAGGTTCGGCGCTGTTTCATCGTCATGCGGCTTGATCGTGATTGTGGAGGTGGGCAGTGCGACTTGCGGTGGCCTTGGTGAAAGCATGCTGGTGCGACATTGAGAGTAGTTGAGGCGAGATGAGATCAATACGACGAAAGTACAGTCATCTCTGGAAAGACTGTGTCCATCGTGGGCAAAGAGCGCAGTCGGTTGGCGAGGAAGACACCTGGAGGAAGTTGCCTGAAAGCCTGGAGGAAGACACCCCGGGGAAGACAAGACCGGGGAAGACACCTCCAGGAAAAGCAGCTCTTCTCCGCGAGGGAAGGCGACTGCGATTCGACCTGTGTTTCAGTCAACTGCGTCAGTGGTTGAAGCCATGGTCCTATGCTATGGATTGATGACAAGTACGGCGGGTGCATCGATGAGAACGATGTCGTTGATGACAGCGGTGCACCGAGTGATGACGCGCGATCCGCATGGTTCGCTTGCAGGACGTGCTGTAGGTAGCGACGAGGGCTGAATGGGCGGCTGTGGCCGGTCGGTCTGCTCGGTGGTGCATGCTTGCGCTTGGCGGACAACCGTGTGTCCACTACTGGCTGTGCCGAACGTTCATTGGGCCCTCCAGCCGGTCTTTACGCGGCGCCAGGACGGGATCACAACCCTGCCTGGCAGGACGATCACTGCTCAGGTGACATCACTTTCGCGTGTAATGCCCAAATCCGGACCATGCACCACCTGATTTCAGCATTCTTCCTCCGTTGCTTTCGGCTCCCTCCACAGACCCCATCGACCGGCGCGACCATCACCAGCGTCCTCTGCGCGATTTCTCATTAGCTCGACATTAATCTTTCAACGTCTTTCGATCGCCTCGACACCAACTTCTGCACCGCCGCCGCGCTATCTTTAGGGAAAGTCTTGGCGAGCGCCTCGATCGAATCAACGCTCTACACTTAAACACATCAACTGCCGCTTTTGCATCGTTTGTCTCTTTCCATCACTACCATAACTCAGCGAAATGCCGCCTACGCCTAATATACGTCGTAACCCCGTCTCGACGGTTCCGACTGTTGCAGCTCTCTACCGACTGTTTGCAGCGGTCCCGGAGCTTGCTAAGCGCGGCCTGCAGACGCAGTTGGAGGAAGAGGGTGGAGGTGAGGATGAACCCGGTCCCGAGAAGGTTGTCAAGCTCCTCATTGCTACTGGACTAGTCCTTCTCGGTGGTGTGTTCGCTGGGTGAGTAGAGTGATGTAGCTCTGTACTGACAGCAGTTTGACTCTCGCCCTCATGGGCTCTGACGACCTCAACCTGCGTGTGCTCGCTGCGTCGTCGTCTGATCCTAGGGAGCGCGCCGCCGCTACCAAGGTGCTCCGCCTTCTCCGCCGTGGTCGTCACTGGGTTCTTGTCGTGCTTCTGCTCGGCAATGTCGTGAGTGGTGAACTGCTAAGCCAAGCTGATCTCAGATTGTCAACGAATCTCTCCCCATCTTCCTCGATGCCGTCCTCGGAGGTGGCGTGGCCGCTGTCGTCGTGTCCACGATTATGATTGTCATCTTCGGCGAAGTCATTCCGCAAGCTGTGAGACTGTTTCGGAGGTTTGAGCTGACGGCAGATTTGCGTGCGTTACGGTCTGGCCATCGGAGGCGCGTGTGCTCCTATGGTTCACGCCCTCATGGTCCTGTTCGCTCCTGTCGCTTGGCCCATCGCCAAGCTTCTTGACTGGGTGCTTGGCCACGACGCCGGTCACACCTACAAGAAGGCCGAGCTGAAGAGCTTCCTCCAGTTCCACCGCGAGGGCGAGGAGCCTCTCCGTGACGACGAGGTACGTTCTGCTTTTTGCGTCGCTAACTTCAGATTCATATCCTCAATGGTGTGCTCTCGCTCAATGAGCGCCGCGTTCAGGAGATCATGACTCCCATTGAGGACTGTCTGACGCTCTCTTCCGACAAGATTCTCGACCACGAGGCCGTTGATGAGATTCTTCTCTCCGGTTTCTCGCGCATTCCTGTCTACGAGGCTGGCCAGCCTGACAACTTCATCGGAATGCTTCTCGTCAAGGGAGTGAGTCGTGTGATCTGGCCCAGCTGACTCTAGCTTGTGCCCTACAACCCGGACGATGAGAAGCCTGTTTCCAAGTTCAAGCTCCTGCCGCTGCCCGAGGCTACTCCCGACCTCAACTGCTTCCAGGCTCTCGACTACTTCCAGACTGGCCGTGCCCACCTGCTGCTCATCAGCGAGACCCCCGGCCGTCGCGGTGGCGCTATTGGTATCCTTTCGCGTACGTGAACATGGCGAATATCGCTAACAATAGTTGAGGACCTTATCGAGGAAATTATCGGCGAGGAGATCGTGAGGGAATGTGTCGTTCGCCGCTGACGCCAGATTGACGAGACCGATCAGTACCAGGACAACCACTCGAAGCGCAAGGCTCAGCGCAAGGCGACCGCAAACATCATGCGGGGAATCATCGAGCGTCAGCGCGTTATCAACGCGTTCTCCCGCCGCCCCTCGGTAGGTGACAGCGAAGCGCGTCGCTGACTTTTCAGGCCGGCCGCTCGCAGTCTCCTCACCCCGCCACGAGGTCTCCCCGCGAGGGTCTTCTCGTCCGGCTAGACGACGAGGCGCCTCTCCACTCCGAGCCCACCACGATTCAGGAGGCCAACAGCCGTGTTGGCTCGCCCGAGGTCAACCTTCTGCTGCCACCCTCTACCGGAGGTGTGGAGGCGATCGTGGAGGCCGTCGATGAGGACGGTAAGCCCACTGCCGAGCAGCATGGTACTCCCGTGAAGACGCCGTCGCCGCTTGGCGAGCACGGTGATGGTACCGAGGACCTCAACGGCTCCGAGTCGAGCGAGGATGCTAAGGCCGCGGACACCAAGGATGCCTCTAAGAGCGACTCCAAGGACGACTCCAAGGACGCCGCTAAGGACGACGCCAAGGACGTCTCTAAGGACGACTCTAAGGATGACTCCAAGTGCACTAAGGATGCCAACGGTAACGGCGACAAGTCGAACGGCAAGGGACATAACGAGCCGAAGCGCGGTCGCAACAAGAAGAAGGGCAAGAAGTAATTCTGCCGATGTCATAGTTATGCATTGCAGGGTGCTACACAGTTACTCGGCTCGCAATGCTCTTCACTAACTACAGCACTCATACAACTGACCACAGGTTCGAAGACCGTCAAAGGGACCAGTGGCCGCCGAGCGAACTCATGGCCATATCCGACTTGCCGCCGAGGCCGCGTGGGTCGCCTCCGATAACGGTCTGGGGCCACATGTGGTGGTGAGGGCTTGCCTTATCGATGGTGGCCATCTGCTCGGGTGTGAGCTTGATGCGGAGCATCTCAATGTTGGACTTGAGGTGCTCGATCTTGTGCCCGCCGATGAGGGGGATGCTGTGCTCGTACTTCTGACGGGACCACGCGAGCGCGACGCCAGGTACGGTCACCTTCATGTCGCTGGTGGAGAGCTCGTCAGCGACGCCCTGGAGGACTTCGGCGAGCTTGATCTCTGCATCGGTCGCCTTCGTCCCGCGCACCTCTTGCTCGCGGAGAGCCTCTGGGCTCTTAAACTTGCCACTCCCAAGCACGCCGAAGGGAGCGAGGGCCATGCCCTGGTGACGGAGCATGGGGATGACCTCCTCCTCCACAGCGCGGTCAGCAAGGGAGAACCTGCCCTGGCTGCGTGTCAGCTCACGTTCCAGGCTCTAAGCTCACAAGACGACGAACTGGGCCATGCCGCGCGCCTTGGCATACTCATTGCAGGCCGCCACGACCCAGGCGGGCATATCGCTCGCGCCGAGGTAGAGCACTCTGCGCTGGCGCACGAGGTCGTTGAGTGCGCCCATGAGCTCGGGGATGCTCGCGCTCCAGTCCCAGTAGTGCACGTACAGGATGTCGACGTAGTCGGTCTGCAGCTTGCGCAGCGACGCCTCGAACGACACGTGCAGGCTTTTGGCGCTGTTGCCCTGGAAATTAACGTTGACGCCCGGGTCGACCCGGTCCATGCGGTAGTGGTAGAACCAGGAGAACTTGGTCGCGAGAACAATGGAGTCGCGGTTCTGGCGGGCCTGCATCCATTCCCCAATCAGGCGCTCGGACTGCTCGGCTGCGTGTCAGCGGCGGTGTGCCTGGGCGGTCTCCGGCGGGCCTGGGTCGTCCCGGCGTTCATTCCGTGTCTGAAGCTGACAACCTAACGCCCACTGACAGACACTGATGGGGACTCACCCTGGTATGAGTTCGCGGTGTCGATAAAGTTGCCCCCGGCGTCGTAGAACGCATCAAGGAACGCAAACGCGTCCGCAGTGCTCATCTTGCTCCCGAGCCCGGCCCACTGGTTGCCCAGGTTCATGGCACCGAGGCAAAGGGGTGACACGCGCACCGATGCGGTCGGCGAGAGGACGCGATACTCGGCAAGCGGAGTCTTGGGCGGAGGAGCCTCGGGGAAGAAGCCGAAGACGGCTGCAGTCAGCTCGACAGGCGTGGGGCATTCGGAGTATAGGAAGTGGGAAAGCGAGTTGGACGTACGGAGCACGGCGTCGCTTGGCGGGTAGTCGGAGGCCTTCTGCTCGGTGAAGTAGGTCGAGGACATTGCGACTAGTTGGTTCTGCGATGGAGTGCTGGGTTGGTGTCCATGTCCAGGACCAGCGACCTTTATGAGCGCTGTTCACGTTCTAAGGCTCGCTCTGTTGTGCACCACGCCCAGATCCCGGCAAGGACAGAAGGGTCACGGGTAGCAATACGACACTTCCATCAGCTCTTGGGTTGGTAAGCATTCCCACGCCCTCTTGTTGTGATATCTGCGACAACAGAATATCCAAGACAACGGCGACGGAGGTCCCGGATATGAGCGGGGCTCACCTGTGGCGTTGCGATCAGAGGCGTCTGGGGTCCCCGCGGCGATCTACTCGATCACCCGTCAGCAGTCGAGGCTGACCTGAGTGACATTGCTCGTAGGGACGAGCAGAGCATTGCGACCGAATATGCTGCATGAGGTATGAAATCAATCACAGTCTCCTCCATCCAACTCGGTATGTGACAGTTGACGCTAGAGTTTGGACATCGAGCCTCCGCTGCCCTACGTCTCTACACCGCTTACATAAGATATCACCGGGCCATTGCTGCGCGCCTGAGCTGGGCACCGTGACTTTCAAGTTCAGCTGGCTCGCGACTGCGTCCAAGATAGGTACGTTGACGAACCTTAAGCAGATAGGAGCTCACGTGCTGAACGAGATCAACTTGTGCCGAGGTGGGGGAGGGATATGGGTGTACCGCAGGGGGGGCTTGGCGAGTGCCTTCCACTGATGGTCAGCTACCGCTCGTCCACAGAGCTCCGAGCTTACCTCCATGTGAAGGGCGGTTGGACACGAGATGATGTGGCTCCATATGCCGGTTGCAGAGAGAAGAGATGTATCACCCACAATCACACGCAGGTGCTTGCCGCGCGTGACAGCTACGTTCGCCTCCCGAGTGCCACTCAAGAAGCCGGGATACTTCGAGCGGACGCAAGAAATCAACACCACGTCGAATAACTCATCTTGCATTGACGTCACGGTGCCGACTCTGATCATCAGTCATCCGGGAGGGGAACAACCAAGACCAGGTAACACTCACCGAAGTGTGACGTGGTCAGGCTGCGGAACAGCGTTCAACGCCGCCTCGAGAGCTTGGGCTTGAGGAGCGTAGGGGGAGAGTACACCGACTGTGAGTCCCCTATGCACTGCCACCTTGTCGCATGAGCTACTGCGCATGATTACCAAGACGACAGCTACCACGGCATTGATCTCGTCGTAGTTGACGCTTGAAGTGCCGACGTCTTGCTCGGAACCGGGGACGTTTAGAATAGTATTAGGATAGAACACGGGAGCCGTGACTTGCCAGGACCAGAGCGGCAACACCTCATAGTCCCCTCCGTTTTGAACTTGCTTACTGTACACCTTGCTAGAGACATGGAGATAGATATCTGGATGGTATTCCCCTTGGACGTTGAGGGTGAGGAGCGGGTAACCGTTATCGACCAGACGCTCAAAGAAGGAGCGGTTATAACCCGTGAACTTGTTGGCGTCTGTGACGAACGGCTGGAGTTGTTTCTGGTCACCGAACAAGACGTACCTGCGCGCGCGTCGGAGTGCGAGAAGAGTACGCGCTTCGCAGGCAGCATTGGCCTTGTGGATTATGACGAGATCAAAGGCGATGTGGCGCAGGCGCTCGTTGGCTGCTGAGCTCATCGTAGTGAATACGAAGTCGGCATTTTGCAAAATGTCGCTCCTCACCTCCTCAACTGAGCGGTCGCGTCGAGCCTCTGCCAGCTCCCTGACGAGCTTGTGGACCCTGCTCTCAAAGTCTGGCTCACTCAGAACCCCGGCGTCGAGGTCAGCCAAGGCCCGTCCGATCATGGACTCGAGTTGTTCGACGGTCGAGTTGGCGCGGCTGATGGCACTGAGAGCAGCGCCTTTCACCGAGCCCGCAAACTTGTACTCGGCCCCAGTCCTAACAACTACATGTCGATATTTTTGAAAAGGGAAGAGCTCGGGAGGGACGAGCTCGGGAGGGAAGAGCTGGAGTGCACGCTCACAAAGTTTATCCGTAGCCGAGTTGCTTGGGGCACAGATCAGAACCCTTCCGCCGGGCCGTTTGCTCAGTTGGTTCTTGAGAAGAGTCATGGTCAGTTCAATTTCGCCGGTGCCAGGCGGTCTGAACGTCAGCTTGAGGAGCAGAGTGTAGGAGCTCACGCTTGCACCAATACCGTTCCTTGTTCTAGACCCTCCACTGCGTCGACCACGCACGCATACGGGTCTTCGATCTGGAATGTCTGATGGGATGGAACCGTGGTCGGTGTCGGCCAAGGGAGAGGATCATGCACTCTGCGAGGGGGGCCGGCCGCATCGTTGCCCGAGAGCCTGCGGTTGTAAGGAAGAGGATTGGGGTAATCGTGAGCCTTGCTCTCCGTGAAAGGAGTGATATGAGGGTCCTTAGGAACCGGAGCGATGAGGAACTCCGGGAACAACAGTTGTTCGAGGAGTGCCGGGTCGACGTTCGCCAGTTCTTGAACATTCTTCAGTTCCACGCTACACGTCTTGGCGTGAATAAACGGGGAGACGAGCAGTTTGGTGCCAATTGAGAGCAGAGGGAGCCTGCTTCCTTTGTAGGTACGTTTGAGAATCAGCTGATTCGAGATGCGCTTCAGCTTCTGCACACCGACGATCAGCGGTTGGCTGTCCGGGGTGATGCGAAGCCCCACCACGTCGCATTTCTCGAAGCGCTGAACGAGTCGATGCGGTAGAGTGAGATAGAAGACCTCAGACCTCTCGCCTTCATTGGGTGACTCAATCTCGTCGATGACTCGGTTGACATTGCGACTGGACACCGTTGCTGTGCACCACGAGTCCTCCCTCGCCATGCCCACATCTCCTCTGCGAGCCTCAGCCCATAGCTCCTCAACGACTCCGATGGAGACTGAGGTAATGTACTGCTGGTGCTTGGGGAGCTTTCTGTGACGGTCTTCGGAGAGCGGCGACGGAAGCTCGACCTGGTACGGACGGCTGATCTGGCGACGCCCGCGATTGTGGTCGGGCCATGTGCCCCATTGCTGGAGGATGGAGAGTGCGGAGATGTTGGGGCTCGGTCTACCCGACATCTCGGGGCGTGGGCTGGTACGTCAACACAGGTGTTCTTGGTACTAACAGCACACTCTCAAACTTACAGTACGTCCTGAAGCGTCTCGACTATGTGTCAGGGTTGAGCAAGAGATGGGGATTGCGGTGAGTCGAAGTGACCCGTAGACGAGGAGAAAACAGTGCGGAGGAGGGCCTGAACAGTATCGGGAACGCGCTCCGCGTCGGCTGGGAGCTTGAGCTGCTCTTCGTGCAGAGTGAGAAGAATGTTGGTTACGAGTGCTGGTTTGCGATTGCTCAGCGATGAGTAGAGCCGGAGCAGTCCTGCTGCACGCTGATGGAAGTTCACGGGAGCCAAGAGCCAGTAGGGTGATGCCGCTGAAGGAATAGAGCGTTTGCCGTCGGCGGACCTCTTCGGAAGCATCCAGCTGGCTGCCCGTGAGGGTCTAAGGGCACAAGAGCTGAGGTCTGGTAGAGCAGAGCATGTCGCACCATGGCTGGCCAACAGGTATGTGATTGACTATCGATTACGCCCCAGCCCTTCTTCTGGGCGCAAGAAGCAACGGCGGCTTCACAATGCGAAGAGATGAGCGGAAGGACGAGGCCGGTACAAAAGGCGTATAACAAAGGACCATGACGTAGCTCGTCTGCGTACGTGTGTGTAGCGCCCAAGGGTGAGACGAAGGACGTCCTCCACACCACCGTTGGCCGCGTGATTCGCCGCCACAGGCGAGGCAGGAGCCCTGCATCGCAGCCCCCGATCGTCCCGAACAGATCGACACCTCAGAGCCTTAGTGGAAGGTTCAGACTCCTTGCTCTCCTCCACGAATTGAGTCACCACCGATCGTGTTATCATCATAGCGAACCTCGGAACTCATGTTGTGCGATGCGATTTGCAAAGCCTTCATTAGCGGCATCGTCAGTTACTGTGGCGTTAATCGTAATTTCGCGAGTTTAGTAAGGTAGCCAGAGGAAGTTCACAGATTTATGATACATTGGCAATGTTACAAACCGGGCTTCGGTAGTTGCTGTATCACAACAGCTTTTTTTCTTCTCCTACTTCAGTGTCTGACTGCTTGCAGACCTTTCTTATAGTCTTCGAACGGCTTGATCAATAGCAGAGGTCGTTGGGTCGACCATGATCTGGCTTGGTGGCGTGCGAGAAGTTGGCACAATGTGGCAAGTGAGACGGGGCTTGTACAGTCGTAGAGGATGGGTGAGACTTGCGAGTGATGCTTGTTCTCGACTCTTAGGTGGGCGAGTGCTTATGCATGGATGGCACATTCAGTCAAGGGTTGATCAGGTTGTGGGAAGAGGGAGGAAGGCTCGTCGAGAGCTGCAGGCGAGGGTTGGAAGATTCGTTCCACTGGCAAGTTAGTGACTCCTCTGGCATGTATCGCATACTCACTTCCATCAAGTTTGCAGTCGAGCACTCGAGGATAGAGCCCCAGAGCTGCGCTTCGGACATCAACGTGGTATCACCGACGATGACCCTCAGACGTGTGCCCCGGGTCACGGCGACGTTGGCTTCGCTGAGGTTGTTGAGGTAGCCGGGGTAGTAAGTGCGCACGAAAGAGACGATTGACACATCGAATTGCTGCTCTTGGAGAGCAGTGACGGTTCCACATCTGCGAGTTAGTTATGCGATCTGCATCGAGGAAACACCCGACTCACTTCAGAGAGATGTGGGGTGGCACGGTGAGAAGGTTCGTGGCCCGCTGCAAGGCCGACGCTTGAGCGCTGTATGGCGTGACGATTCCAATGGTGAACTGTTCGCGAACCTCCTTTGGTTCCATGAGGCAGAGGTCGAAGATTGACCTCAAAACGTCGAACACGGCCTTCACCTCGTCGGCGTTGCTGAAAGAGTTGCCAGTGTCCTTCTCTTCACCTGGTACGTTGACGATTGTGTTAGGCCCCCAACCAGGTGCCCAACTCTGCCAAGCGAGGAGACCCGGGGTCCCCTGTCCATTCGTCACTTTTCCTTCATAAACCACCAAGGATACCTGCTTGTAAACTGTTGGATGGTATTGGGTCTGCGTGTCCAGCAGCCAACAGGGGTAGCCGCCGTCGATGATTCGCTCGTACGTTGAGCGGTTATAGCCGATCCAACGGCTGACGTCAGTCACCATGGGTTGAAGCTGTCGGCGGTCGCCGAAGAGAACAACGCGGTCGACATGGCGGAGTGGGATCAGACTCGTGGCTTCGTGAACGCAGTTGGCCCCGTGAACAATCAAAAGGTCGAACTGGCAGGTGTCGAGGATGTCGGCACCGGACGACCCCAAAGTGCTGAAAACGAACTTGGCGCGTCTCAGGATCTCGCAGCGCCAGGCCTCCTCGTCGGCACGTTGGTTCTTGAGTGCCTTGAGTTTGACCACGATGTCGTCGATGATTTCAGTGAACTCGTCCTCGCTGATAAGTCCTGCGTTGTACGATTCCAGCTCACGCCCACTCTGATACTCGAGAGCCTGCCTGCTCTCACCGACCAGGATATGCTGACGCGCGAGGCCGTTCACCGAGACTTCCTGGACCGAGTGGTTGAACCGACCATCGTCACCGTAACGGACGACGAAGTTACGTCCGACGCCTGCGGGGAAGAGCTCCATGGCACGCTCACAGAGCTTGTCAACAGTTGCGTTGGTCTGAGCGCAGATGAGAATCTTGCTCTGGCGTTGGGCATTGTGGTGGCGCATCAGAATTGACATGGTGACTTCCTCGTCGCGGGTACCATGAGGCCTGGATGTTAGTAGTGGACTGAACACTCTACTTACGCTTGAACCATCACGAGGCCTTGATCGAGTTGATCGACATCTTGCAGCACCGCGTTGACAGGGTTTGGAACGTGGTCGAGCTGATGGGCTGGGACATCAGGTGCCAGCCCGGGAATAGAGGCAGGAGGGGGATGAACTGAGGCGGGAGACGGTGAAAAGACGTTGTTGGCATTCCAAGCCCTACGGTTGAACCTGTCGGGGACAGTTCGCAGGCGGCGGCTAGGGTCTGGGCGGTATGTCTTGACAAGCTCATCATCCTCTTCAACTCTAGCAATCGGAAGATGCGGCAGGCACAACATATCCATTGCACTTGCGCTCTTCTTCGAAAGGTCCGCAATGGCACGCAGCTCTGCATTGCGCGTCTTGATACCGCAAAAAGGGGCGACGTCGAAGGTGGTGCCCTGGGGAATCGACCGGGCAGACGGTGTTGCGGTTCCCATATGCTCAAGGTGGACCACAAGCTGGTTTGTATGCCTCTTGAGCCTCTTCACTTCGAGCAGACGCACACTCTTGGCTCGGGGATCGCGAACGCCGACGACACCGATGCCCTCGAAGAGCCTAACCTTGTTGTTGGGGATGGTCAGGTACAAGACGTTGATGGGGCGAGGAAGGGTGTCGGAGGCATCGATCCTGTCGACTGCCGGATGAACGAGAGAGCTTGACACGGTGGCGGCGACCCAGTTGCTCGGCTCACTCAGACGAGAGTCTCCCCTCTTCGCGTCAGTCCAGAGCTCTGAGATGACTGCCGCAGAGGCCCTGGCCATATACGTCTCTCCGTTCGAATACGACTGCCGTTCTTGCTCAAGCGTGCGTGTGATGTAAGGCGGATAGAACGGCTCCCATGGGCGGGTAAGGCTCTTACGGCCACGCTTCAGGTCGGGCCAGATGCCCCAAACTTGCAGAATCTGCACGGCTGACAGCGGGTCATCGGAGTTAGGAAAGATTGGCCGTAGGCTGGTCAACGGCGACGGACCATTTGCGGAGGACTGTTGAGTAGGCGCCGACATGGTGATTTCTGTCGCGTAAGGATAATCTCGAGAAGTCGGAAGACTAGTTGCTCACTTGTCTGCACTTGTTCAGGCCGTCAAAGGACCCTGCGGCGAGGCATGAGACGGCGAGCGAGTCACAAAGGGGGGCAGAGAGGGGCCTGAAGGTTACGGGAAGGGTGCTAGGTGACGGGGGCTGGGTACAGGTGGGGAGAGGAGGTGCGTCTGGCAAGGTGATGACGCTGATGAGGTGAAAGGAGGGAAAGGAAGAGTTGAAAGAGTGCGTGGGTGTAACGTGCCGCCGCTTGCTGAGGCGACTGGCTGCTCTGGCCGGGTGGAGGCTGAGGATCTGGGAGGATCGGAGGGGGCCTTAGGATGCCCCCCTCGCAACGAGCTCGCCCCATGACGGTTGGATCGGCGTATCTGACACCGTTGCCCCTCTGTGCGGACGGGAGGGCGCATCCGTTGCGCTGAGGCTGTCCTTTGGACGACGGCTCTGGGTCGTAGGCCGTCCTTGTGCCTTGTGTTGTCTCCCCCAAGGACGGAGATGGTAGCTCTTACGGGCAACGGACCGGTGGGGCGCTCATCACATCATCGTTGGAGAGGGGAGCTCTGTCAGTCATTGTCCGTTGTTGAAGCAGCCATCTAACTCACTCCTCCTGATTGCTCAGCGATGAATGAGCTTTGGGCGAACAACGGCGGCAGAGAAGAGACACCAGCACCGTTTTGGACACTGTTGATCACTCACTGCTGCATTGTTACAGTGATACAACCTCAGCGCTGAGCGACTCGTCAACGTCTCCCGTTATGAGCACCCTAAGCGTTGAAGTGAATCGAGGCGATTTGGATATGTACACCCGATTCATGAATTGCATGGACGCGTTCTCGAGGTGAAATGTAGTATCGAAAATCCGTATCTTGTGTAGGGCGGGTAATCGATGAGCAGCCTCAATGCTTCTAGTTGCACTCATCATCACACCATCGCTCCGCTGGGCACCGGGCGCTGTCATCTGGTGAGCGTACGACACAGAGCTCGAGGTCTGAGGGTCGATGATCAAGGATCGAGATGGGCGGGTTCGGCCCTTCGTCACGGATCCCTAAACCCCTGTGTCGTCAAGCAGATCGTGAGCGGCACTCCAAACGTCGAAGGTTGAATGGCGAGACTTTGCAGTCTCGCGCTGCGTAGTGGTCAATGGTAGCTGCCCGCAGGCGCAACGCCAATCGGGTCAGAAGTTACAGTGCCGCGCAAGGATGTGTCACTGAATTGGTCGATGTCCCGTCCTACCTCCGCTGCATGAGGCGGGCGCTCAATAGAACATATTCAGAGGCGAGGTTCCAGGTGAACACCGCGCTCGACATCGTACTGCTCGTACCTGGGTATCGTATAGCGCGATTTGCGTGAGATGATCGGGAGTGGTAGGAGTACCCCGCGAGGAATCGAAGACAAGGCCGGTTGACTCACCCAGCGCGGACCAAAAGCTTCCGCGTCATTTGTTTTGACATGACGCGTCTGGAGACCAGGGTGGTCAGGCAACATTACGGACCACTCCGTCACCGACCTGTTGCAACAACGCGCCATGTTCTTCGGCAACGGGCCCCAAGCGGGTCCGAAAGTTGGCGGACCAGTCACCTATCGGTGAGCTCGAGAAACCCGCTTTCTGCAGAGCTGACGAGTAGTCATCTACTAAGCAGCTCGGCGCAGAATGTGTAGTGAGTGGTCCGATGCCCTCGGTGGAGCTGTCTCTGTCCTTGATGCCCTCTTCTTCGCGCCAGAACAAGCTAGAGACCTCCGAGCACAGCACTAGCTTTGCATCTCGGACCACTCGCTTGCTACCCTGGTAGAGGGAGAGTCTAGCACCGAGGCTGTAATAATCGGCTGAGACGCCTAACATTGGCTGACAATCAGCAATCCGCTGCGCGTCGTTGCGCATTTGGACATCGACGGTGCCTATGCGCGTACGTTGCAGCTCACTTCCACACACGATAGCTGATAGTACAGAGTTTGAACAAGTCCGCCTGGGCTTACCTGACGACGTTCCGCTCATCTGCGCTCAGTGGGACAGCATCATTGCGGTGAACTACCCAGCGAGGGCTTACGGTATCAAGCGGTGAGTCACCTTCTCTACCCTGCCTTCGCAGACCACGCTTGCCACAACCTTCATCTTCACAGCTGACATCAGAATGACGACCATTGTTGACGCGAAGAAGGCGTGCCCCCACCTATACGTGCAGCACGTGCCGACTTACCGCGAGGGCGAGTCTGAGGCGGGGTACTGGGATGAGGTAGACCGGCAGACCCAAAAGGTGTCATTGGATCCGTATCGGCGAGAAAGTCTGAAGATCCTGGCCGTGTTTCGCGAGATGGCACCGAAGGCGGAGCTTGGTAAGCTCGGAGGTGCTCACGTAAGCTGACAAGCAGAGAAAGCGTCGATTGATGAAGCCTTCCTCGACTTGACGCCCATGGTTCTCGATGAGCTTTTGAAGCGCTTTCCCTACCTTTCGGCTGTTCCAGAGGACGCCCCTGACGGGCTCGACTCGCCGCTCCCACCCCCTCCACCAGTTGACTGGACCAACGCCGGTAATCTGTTCCCGAACAAGGTCAAGGTTGAGGGTGAGGAAGATGATGGCGAAGAAGAGGACGGACCTGACACGTGGGAGGACTGGGCTTTGTGCATCGGCGCACAGATCACAGCCACAACGAGGGAAGAGGTGTGGAATAGACTGCACTACACTTGCTCCGCTGTAAGCTCCGAATAGCAGCATGAGCTGACTCGCAGGGTATCGGACATAATAAGACTTTGGCAAAGGTATGAAAGGGCGGGTATCCGGGCTGACCGCAGCTCTGCTCGGCGTGGAAGAAGCCAAATAACCAGACCGTGCTTCGACACTCAGCGACACCAGCTTTCCTCGGGCCTATGGATTTCACAGACGTAAGCTAGGTATACTCCCCAAGCTGACGGCAGATCCGCTTCCTTGGCGGAAAGCTCGGACATGCTATCGCGGAGGAATTTGGGGCTAAGACTGTGAACGACATGCTGTAAGCTGTGGCGGACCCGCTGTAGCTGACTCCAGCCCCATTACGCTGGATGAGCTGCAAGCCAAGTTCGGCGAGGAGAGCATTTGGGTTTACAATGTCTTGAGAGTGAGCTACATGACGTTTGTATGAGCTAACCATCAGGGAATAGACCATACCGAGGGTAGGACCTCTAACTGCGGCCGTACTGACAGACAGTGAAGGAGAAACTTAGCGTCAAGTCGATGCTCGCCTCGAAGAATACCATACCGGCCGTGACTTCGACCGCTGGCGGTTACCACTGGCTTTCAGTGCTAGCCGGCGAGTTAGCGGTGCGCCTCCGCGAGTCGCGAGAGGTGACACCCGGACTATGGCCAAAGACTATCGTGCTGTCCACACGATCAGCGCTGGCGGCGAATCCCTGGCAGCACCGCACTGTGCAGATGCCTTTCCCCTTTACTCGTCACCTTGATGCCGACTACATTGCCAAGTACGGCCGAAAGCTCTGGGACGACAATATTGGCAAGCAGGAGCGCATCAAGCTCACGAACATCAGCCTTCAGTTCACGGGGCTCGCGAAGCTGGAAGCTGGACAGAGAGGGATCGAGGGCTTCTTCAGTAAGGGGGCCGCCAAGAAAGAGGAGGGGCCGAGGAGTAGTGAGGAGAAGGGACGGGAGGTGCAGGACCACGCGCCTGACCCCAAAAGTCAGAGCCTTAAGCGAGAGCGCTCCGTGTCCAAGGCACCTGAGATCGAGGCTAAACGTCGAAAGCAGCCGAAGGGTATCGAGACCTTCCTCTCCAAGTCGTCTTCGGCTTCGAACACTCCAGCGACTCCTATCAGTGTTGACTCTGGCTCAACCTCGGCCGCCTCGGGCTCGGTGACACCGGTACTGGCTGCTGATGGCTCGGACGATGCTGCCGACCGAGCTGTTGGGGAGAAGGAAGAGGGCGACGAGTCTGGGTGGTCGTGTCCAAAGTGCTCTGAGCGCTTCGTGCTGCCCGACCATGTCCCTTCGTCGGAAGCAGAGGAGTGGAAGCGCGCCACGAAGCAGGAACATGAGGACTTCCATTTTGCGCTCTCATTGCAGGAAGGCGGGAGCCCGCCACGCCAGCCTCGCCCTCCAACCTCAACGTCCAGCTCCTCAAGCAAACCGAAGAAAAAGGGCAAACCGGACATCAAGAGCTTCTTCGCGCCGAAGAAGTGAGCGACAACCTGCTCAAAACTGTATCATATAGCCACATTTGAAGCATTCTGTTGTATGCATGTATCGATCATCTGCTCAAAGCTGCTGCAGGCAAAGTCCAAGTTAAAAATGCATTGTTTGCGGAATGGAGTTCAGGTACAATGATGATATGGGCACCTGTGTTTCTGGGTCTACCACTGGCTCCCTTCTACTACTACTAATCGCAAGCCATCCTCCATCTCGACGGCGCCGGCTCACACTCATCTATCTAATTTCACGGTGCTTGCCCTCTTGTCGCTCGCCGATCCCTCGATCACTAAGTCACTTCAATCCAGAACGGAAATCGCACACGGTCTCGACACTTTCTCCCCTTGCCTACGCCTACTTCTTGTTCTTGCTCCAGCTCGGGTCGCTCGAGTACCTGCTCTGGCCGGCGGTACCCCAGCCGCGCGACTGGGCGGCGCCGTTCTGTCCTTGCTGGCCAGGACCGCCGGGGCTCGTGGGACTGTACACGGGCGAGGTGGGCGAGTACGCGGGCGACGCGGGGGAGTACGAAGGCGACGTGGGACTGTACACGGGCGAGGTGGGGGAGTAGGACGGGCTCGTGGGCGAGAAGGCAGGGCTCGTGGGCGAGTACTTCGGCGACGTGGCCTGGAACGCCTGCGGGGAGGTGGGGGAGTAGGCAGGCGACGTCGGCGAGAACGCAGGCGAGGCAGGCGAGTACTGCGGAGAAGTGGGCGAGTACCGCGGCGAGGTCGCGCCCATCGGCGACGTGGGCGAGTACGCCGGAGACGTCGGGCTGTAGCCAGGCGATGTGCGGCCGCCACCGTAAGCGGGCGAAGCGGGAGAGTACGCCGGAGACGTCGGAGAGTACGACGGCGACGTCGGGGAGTACCTCGGGCTCGTCGGGTTGTATTGCGGCGACGTCGGGGAGTACGACGGCGACGTCGCACCGTAGCCCTGGTTCCGCGGAACCCAAGGCGACATGCCGCCCGCTCCGCCCCAGGCAGGCGAGGTCGGCTGGTACGGGCTGGTGGCCGTGGCGAACGGAGACGTCGGCGAGAAGCCAGCACCGCCGGGAGCGTACGGTGACTGTCCGCCCTGCATGGGAGACATGCCGTAGGGCATGGCACCGTAGCCACCCTCGTCGTTGTTGCTGGTCTGCATCGGCGAGAACGAGGCAGACGCAACACCACCCATGCCACCACCGTTCCACATGGGCGACATGTTGTCGTAAGGCGTCATGGCACCACCAGGCGTCATGCCGCCAGCACCCTTCTGGGCAAGAGCGATCTGCACCGGCAGACGGTGGTCAACGATGACGTCCTTGAGCATGCCGAGGTCGAGCGAGACGTCGAACGCGCCGGTACCCATAGGGGCCATCTGGCCGAGAAGAACGTTCTCAGCGACACCCTGGCAGTCGTCGACATCACCGACGGCAGCGGCCTCGAGAAGAATCTCGACAGTCTCTTCGAACGAACACCTGGACAGCGCACCAGCATCGGTTCGGTTGATACCGTGACGGGTAATCGACATGAGGTGACCCTTGTTGCACATGAGGTCACAGAGAAGCGCCATATGACGGTAGTTGACGTAAGAACCACCAGAAGCAATGACTCCGTGCAACTCCTTATACAGGGCGTTGCGGCCAGCCTCGATACCGAGAATCTGCCAGACCTCGTAACAGTTGTTCGAGTAGGCACGCGTGAAGTCGACACCGTCGACGGCCATGACCTGCTGCAGGTTGATACCGTCGGTCTCGAGGAACCACTCCTGCTGCTGGTCATACTCTCCCTTCTGCGAAAGAACGGTCTGCTTGCCTTCAGAGATGAACACACGGGTGATACCAGGGATTCCACCAAGCTCAACTCCATCCAGCAGCGTCAGCTCAATTCGCTTGAGGAACATGTCCTCGTCGCCCAGGAGCTCCTCGCCGTCCATCTTCTCCTCCGCCACGACACGGATACGAATGATGAGCTTGTCGGCGTTGTCTTCAGAGTGGATGACGAACATGTCCTTTCCGACGGTGCTGACGATAGCACTGACGATGTCGGCCATCTCATATCCACCCTCAAGAACCTTGGCACGGTCAAGCTCCAGACGCAGCAGCCACGGCGAGTGAAGCTCGAGACGAATGTCTTCGTCGGGGATGGCGAAGAATGCGTCGACGAACTCCTTGTCCTCCTCGATATCCGTCGAGTCGAGCTTCGGGTCGTAGAAGATCTCCACGGAAGCAGTCACGTCTCGCAGACGCGTGTACGTCAGCTTACGCGAGATCTGATGGGCATCGCGCTCCGTCCTGCTGTACTCTGGGTCGAGGTAGACGTTGGTAGCCGGCGTACGGATGTTGGTCGCGACGTTGATGATCTCCTTCAGACGCGGCACACCTCCGGTGACACTCTTACTGGACACACCAGCGTAATGGAAGGTGTTGAGCGTCATCTGGGTAGCGGGTTCACCAATAGACTGCGCGGCAAGCGTTCCCACCATCTCGGCCGCGGCCACGATGGCCCTGTTGAACAGCGTCTCGATTTCTCCGCAAACCCAATCGAACGCCACCCTGCTAAGGTGGTAGTCCTCAAGAACTCGGCGAGTCGCCAGTTGGGACCGGAGAAGAATGTTGAAGAGCAGCGTAGCATTGCGCTGGCTCTCCCGAGAGATCGGATCGTCGCCACGGACCACAACCAGCGAGTCGGAGAGAGCTTGCCTCTTCTCGATGAGGTAGGCAGGGTCGAGGTCACTCGGCAGACGCTTGTCGATGTGGAAGATTTGCTGCGAGTTCTGGATGATACGCTTGATGTTCACCGGCAGAGGGTGTCCTGGGTCACCGTCCGGGAAGATCTCCTCTCGAAGTAACCTTCGGTCCTCAACCAACTGACCCCACTCCTCGTCCAGCAGCTTTTGCAGATCGACCGATGTTTGGTCGATACCAGCCTCCAGAGTTCCCTTCTTGAAGCCTCCCGTAGCGCCGAGGACATCCACCCTGTACTTCGACTCGAAAGCCGCGTCCGACAAGCGGAGAGTGTCGAGAGTCTGCTTCTCCATCATGGCTCCATCCATGCCGTCCTCACCGTAGAGGAACTGGATGATATCACCACCCGAGTTGCGCACGGTTCCGTCATAGCCGACCTTGAGGTCCTCCATGGCCTTGACAAGTCGACGCTGGATGTAACCCGTCTCGGCAGTCTTGACCGCAGTGTCAATGAGACCCTCACGTCCACCCATGGCGTGGAAGAAGAACTCTTGAGGGGTCAGACCACGGAGGTACGAGTTCTCGACGAAACCACGAGATTCCGGTCCGTAGTCATCCTTCGAGAAGTGGGGGAGTGTGCGGTGTCGGAAACCGAACGGAATACGTTTACCCTCGACGATCTGCTGACCGACACATCCCGACATCTGAGAGATGTTGATGAACGAACCCTTGGCACCGGAGACAACCATCTGCTTGACGTTGTTGTCCGCCTTTAGGTTGTCCTGTGCCGTTTTACCAGCCCAGTCACGCGCCTTGTTGAGTTCACCGGACACCGCCGCCTCCAGAGTTTCACGGATCGTCATACCCGGTCGGGGCTTCATCTTGTTGTTCTCAGCCTCGCTGATGAACGCCTGAACCGTGTCCTTGGCCTCCACAAGACGGTTGTTGACGGCAGCCATCGTCGCGCTGTCTGCAATCGTGTCTCCGATACCAACACTGAAACCGTTGTGGAGGAGCCAGAAGTTGATGACTCGCTGCATGGCCGAGAAGAAGTCGCGAGCTTTGATGTGACCAAGCTCTCGGAAGATGACGTGGATGAGACCGTTGGACGCGGCACCAGCCATGCTCTTGGTGATCGTTCCATAGACCAACTCTCCATTGTCAACGAGAACGTTCTGGTCGGTCACATCGATGGGCGACGGGCGCTCGTTGTCGTGAGCCGCAATGTTGATACCCTTAGGGATACACATGGAAACCAGCTGCTTGCCCGTCCACATTGGTCGGGGCTTCAGAATGGCAGGTGGGGGGATAGTTCCATCCCAGTCCGGCAGCCACAGCAGCAGGTTCTGGACGAATGCCCAGTCGCAGAAGTTGTCTCGAAGGGTGAACTTTCGAACACCACAGAGCGTGTCCTGGACAATGCCCATGACGGGCTTGTTGGCTTGCGGGGAGATAATCTGTCGGGGAACCCAAGCGATCTGGGACAGCTCTGCCCTCGTCTCCTCACTCTGCGGGACGTGCAAGTTCATCTCGTCTCCGTCGAAGTCGGCGTTGTACGGTGACGTGACCGAGAGGTTGAGACGGAAGGTCGAGTAGTTCATCACCTTGACACGGTGACTCATCATAGACATCTTGTGGAGAGACGGCTGACGGTTGAAAAGAACGTAGTCGCCATCCTTCAGATGTCTCTCGACGATCCAGCCGAACTGCAGAGGAATCGGCTCTCCAGACTTGCGGTACTTCAAGTCTATTCTCTCTCCGGTATCCTTCACATAGTAACGAGCACCAGGGTAAGTGGCTGGACCGTTGTTGATGAGCTGCTGGAGATAGTTGATGTTGTAAGGCGTCACTCGCTCCGGGTACGTCAAAGTCATGGCGATACTGCGCGGCACACCGACCTGGTCGAGCTGAAGGTTTGGATCTCCCGTAATGACGGTACGGGCGGAGAAGTCGACACGCTTGCCCATGAGGTTACCACGCAGACGACCCTCCTTGCCCTTCAGACGAGCACGGATGGCCTTCACCGGGCGGCCGGACTTTTGCAGAGCCTGGGGGATACCGGCGATATCGTTGTCCATATAGGTCGCGACGTGGAACTGGAGGAGGTCGAAGTGCTCGTTCACTACCGATGGCGGAACACCCTCTGCCTCGAGTTTACGAACCTGGGCGCTGGCCTTAAGGATTTCACCAAGCTTGTACGTCAAGTCATCCTCAGAGCGCATAGCACCACCGTCAACAGAAATGGACGGGCGGACAGCGGCAGGAGGCACAGGAAGAACGGTGAGGATCATCCAGTCGGGGCGCGCATACTCGGCGTTGAGACCCATAATGAGAAGATCCTCATCAGGGATCTTCTTCAGGATGTTGTGGCACTCAGCAGCAGAGATGTTTCTGCGCTCCGGCTCCGATCCCTCCTCCTGCTTGTCCTTGGAGGGCTTGAAGACAGCGATCAACTTCAGGCCCTCTTTTCGGTAAGCGGGCTGGTGGTGACCGCATCCTCCATGTCCAGTCTTGGGCTTGGGGCCGCTGTTCTCTCCGTACTCGTCCTGTTCCGCATCGTTCTCCTCCAAAGAGTCGGCTTCGCACACATTCTTCGCCTTCGCAAGGTCCCAGATTGCCTTGAGACGGTGCTGAGGCTTGATGCGACGGACGATGTTCTGGACCATGGGGTCGCGCATGTCGACCTTGAGCTTGCCGCACGAGTAGCAAACGCATTCCAGGATCTTCTTCACCTTGACGATGAATCCGGCATGGAAAACGGGTCGCGCAAGCTCGATGTGACCAAAATGGCCGGGGCATTCGGCCATTCCTTCTGAACACGTCTGACACTTGAAGTTACGGTCGATAGCTAACGATAAGCCACTGATTCCGGAGGGCTTCATGAGGTGTATACTCACTTCCCATCTTAGGGTCCATCAGACCGCCGACCTTCTGTTTGCCGTTCTCGTCCATGACCTCCGGGTGCTCAATCTTCGCGACGGAGTACGCTTTCTGCTTGGTTAGTCTCCATCCCCGCACCGGCAACTGACGATCTCCTCTGGACTCATGACACCGAACTGGATCTCCTTGATCCGCTTCACCGGCGCGGACGAATAAGGGAAGGTGACAGTCATGGTGCCGAGAGTGACTAATCGCTGGTGCCCGAGGCGCTCAATCCAAGATGTTTTTGTTTGTTTTGATAATTAAACCGTGCACTGAGAGCGTCAAGTCGTCTCCAGTACGCAGACACAAGCGCCAGCAATACGCGAGATGCCGAAGAAAGCGAAAAAAGAAGAATGGGCAAGCGAAGAGGCTCGCAGAACAATAATACACCGGATGGAAGCTCCCAACACGCGTCGTCTCGATCGAAGCGATTCCAACCACGGCCTACTCGAAGAAATCGACACCGAATCCAGTCCCGGAGACGACGAGGGTTATTCACAAATCCCGATTGGACCTGTCGCGATGCGATTGATGCCAAACCGAGGTTGAAAGATGGTTTGAAACCACCTCGTCTGTCGAGTCGCGATTCCGATCTTTACCGCGCGCAACTCGCCTAGTCGGCAGGTCGTAGTGGCGGATGTGGATTCGGACGGCTTCTCTTTTGACCCGATGCGTTGCGACGCTCGCTAGAGTGCTGCTGGCGACGGGATGGGGTAAGGATGAGGGTGATGTAGTTGAGTATGGCCACCTGATTGTTGGTCGCTATAGTGACTCCTTCAGTGGGCCAGCTGGTGGCAAGCCAACCCTGAATCACTGTCGGCATTAAGTCGAAGCGGGCATGTGGCGCGATCGTCACCGCGCTGTCGATGACGCTCGCCGCTTACCGAGCCACGACCAGGTCCGAGGTGTCATCTCTCTCAGCAGTGCATATACCATTCCATCCAACGTCGACACCGACCACTGCTTGTTCACATCACACCGACCTCCAACTTGTGGTTCCCAGCCTAGCTTTGGTCTCATCGACGGGTTTCTCAGCTAGCCTCACCCTTTCCTGCGACCTCTGCCCACCGAGATACAGCGACTCGTCATCGCCTCCCCCAGCTTCACACCCCTCCGTTGAGCGGGTTGGCGTCAAGGGCGCCCAGTCAACCTCCCTTGATCACTTCGTCGACACATTAGTCCACCAGACCCTACACCATGTCGTGGCTTTGGGGTGGCGGTACCAACACGGAGTACGAGGAGCTCGTCGGTGAGTGACAGCAGGGTGTGACACCCACATCGTTGCCACTAGCCGTGGAATGACTGTTGCTTACCCAATTCTCAGAGAAAGCATGCTCCCCGCTCAAGCTTCCGTATCCTCAAGGGGAGGACATTGCGTTGAACCTTGAGGTCACCGACATGATTCGCTCCAAGGCGGTGAACCCGAAGCCCGCCATGCAAGCCTTGAAACTGCGTATCGCTAGCAAGAACCAGCGAGTCCAGATGTACGGCCTGTCGCTCGTGGACACGTGTATCAAGAACGGTGGCGACCACTTCCTGGCGGAGATCGCGAGCAAGGAGTTCACGGACGAGATGAGTGCCATCATCAAGGCCCCAGCGACCAACCCCGAAGTGCGCAACATGGCGCTGAATCTGTTGCAGCAGTGGGCCCTCGCCTTCAAGAACAAGCCTGCCCTGTCGTACCTTCCTGAGGTGTACAACGATCTGAAGAATGGCGGGATCAAGTTCCCACCCCCGCCAGTCAATGCGCCCACGGATCACCTGCTCGAGACGGCCACGGCACCGGCGTGGGTTGACGCCGACGCCTGTATGCGCTGTCGAACAGCCTTCACCTTCACGAACCGAAAGCACCACTGTCGAAATTGTGGTCTGGTATTCTGCGGCGAGTGTTCCTCGCGCACCATGCCTCTGCCCCGCTTCGGCATCAAGGAGCCCGTCCGCGTTTGTGAATCCTGCTGGGTCAAGGCCGGCAAGAACCAGCCCGCTCCGGCAGTTCCGGGACGCACACCACGCAGTCGGCGCGATTTCGATGCCGATCTTCAGCGTGCCATCGAGCTCAGTCTCGCGCAGTCGCAGCCCGGTCAGCTGCAGCCAAGTGAACCTCCGATTGCTCTGCGCAGTGACATGAGCGAGGACGAGCAGATGCGACTCGCCATCGAGGCATCGTTACGGGACATGGAACAAGCTCCTTCAGCGCCGGTCGGTGAGGAGCCAGAGTTCAAGCCCCTACCGACCTTCGACCTGCAGCCTCGCGAGACCGACACACTTCTTACGTTCACGAACACCATGGAGCAGATGACGGCCTACGGAGAGCGCGACCTGTCGCGGTTCCCGCACGCCCACGTCTTGCACCAGCAAGCCATGGCTGTGGCCCCGAAGCTGCAGCGCAATTACGAGGAGAAGTCGACCAAGAAGCGTGAGTCTTCGAGCGATTACTAAGCTAACTTTTCCAGAGATGCTGTCTGAGATGCAGGCGAAGCTGTCGGAGGCTGTGACGCTGTATGGGCAGATTCTGGACGGGCAACAGGCGTACGCTGCTCAGCAGCAGCAGCAGCGCCAGTACTCTCAGCAGTACTACCCTCAACAGCAGTACGCGCCTCCCCAGCAGTACTCGAACGGCTACCCGCAGTACGTGCCGCCTCAGCAAGCGTATGCTCCGCAGTACGCGCCGCCGGTCCCGGCCGCGTCGTCGAGCTCGCACATGTACCCTTCGGTCCCAGTTCCGCAGCAGTCCTTCTACCAGCCGTACGCCCAGCAGCAATGGGCGCCGCCTTCTCGCCAGGCTTCGCTCAACCAGCCAATCGAGCCTCAGCACACTCACCAGTCTCAGCAGAGCTACAACGTCCAGGCTCAGTCTCCGCATCCTCAGGCTCAGTCGCCCCAGCCGCAATATCAGTCGTACCAGCCACTGCAGGTCTCTGCTGAGCCGCAGACGTACGGCGTCGGGGCACCTGATCCCGCTCTCCCTTCAGCGCCTCCCCAGGCTCAGGCTCAACCCTCCGCTCCCTCCATGGAGCCTCCCATGAGCCCGAGCGCTCAACCGTCGGCCCCTGGTTTGTCGCCAGAGGCGGCGCTGAGCCCCAGTGCCCCTCCCGCATCTGCCCCTACCAGCCCGGTCAAGAGCATTGCGTCGCTCGCCTCCCCTCAACCCCAGCAGGCATACGCCCCCCTCCCCCAACAGCAAACGCCTCAGCAGCAACCGACCCAGCCTCCCCAGCAGCATCACCAGTCTCCTCCCCAGCAGCAGCAACCCCCTCAGCAACAACACCAGCCTCCTCAGCAGCAACAGCAGCAGCAGTGGCAGGGCTACGAGTCACAGTGGCAGCACCCGGGCTACACGCCCGCGATGTTCCCGAGCGCCCCGAGCACGCTGCCCGAGCCTGCCAAGCAGCCGCAGCAGCAACAGCCGCAGGAAGCTCTCCTCATCGAGCTTTGAGAGCTTTAGTCAGAAGTGTCTAGCGAAGAATGTTTGCATATCTTACGATTCTTACCATCTCTTGTCATAGTTGTTTATGTTACTAGGTCATCATGTAAACATTCATCTGCACGAAGCGTCACTCGAAGCATACACTGCAAATCGTCCAGTTCTGCCGCTCGACCCATTGGGGATCGTCGTCAAGCAACTCTATCGATCTCATATGCTTAACTATCCCTCGCCGTGCCTCAGCTTCGCCAATCACAGCGATCAGTCGGGCAACTCAACTCTGCACCAGATAAGAGAAGACTTCGCGCCCGATCACCAGCTGCTGTCGCAGACTATCATTCCATGAGGTCACTGACGACCGTGCCGCTGATAGCCGCATTCCTTGCATCCGATCATCGCCCGAACGGACCGTGAGCCGAAGTGAACCTCTGCTCACTAGTCCGTTGAAACTCGGCCACTAGCTCTCGCTCGATCTCGGCGATGGGCGCTTCGGGATCGTCGGGAACCTCACCTGTGGGCCGTTTCAAGTGCGCACTTTGCCCGATACTAGCTACTGGCACATCATGCAGAGCTTCACCCCCCTGACGACCTAAAGTAGCCGACTCGGAACGTCCAACACGTGCAGTACTGCACCAGAATCTTGGCTGACAATGCTGACGTACATTCCATGAGCTATCAGCTTGGCCACGAGACGCGATTCGCGTCCGAAAACGGCCTGATCGGCCTGAACGGCGTCAATTCGCCGTGCGCCCTGCCCCGCACCGTCTCATCACTGGCCTTCGAAGAGAATACGCCGCACCTCCACAGACTCTGCCTCCAAGGCATACTCGCTTGCGCGTGGATCCCTCCGCTCTTGTCACCGGTAGTGGGTCTCGGACCTCAGTACATTTCGGGATTCATGCAGACTTGCGTACGGCGGTGGAGTGAGTAGCAGATCGCCAACCTGCAAGAGAGTTTGACCTCTCGATCAACTGCCAGGACAAAAGGTCGTCACGAGGATAGGGTCAGAATGCTGCTTGGGTCAGTTTCCTGCCGGACCGGCCACAAACATTCCATCGCTTATCCCTGCCATGCAAGCTTGTCCTGGCTTGGGTAAGCATTGACAAAGGCCGGGCAGCCATGCGACCGGAACCAGTGCCAATGGTGTTGGAGCCTCCACGACAAGTCCGAACCATGCAGGCAGGCAGTGCCGCCCACGCCCAACGTCAGGGCAGAAGCGAGCAGTTAGTCTACGGTCTATGCGCTGTTGCTGCGTCCCAGCGTAGTCTGAGCTCTGCGCCAGCTACGCAAGCGGCGCGCGCTTCGTCTACCCAAAGACGACCCAAATGGCATTGGCGGCAGCACCGGAAGCCGGGACCGGACACGCCTGCATTCATTGCAACGACTACGGCGCTACGGCACTGATGCCGCTGAGCCGGGTGATGCCCGCGATACACGGAGCTAGATGATTGCTGAAAGGAGTTCATGTCAATTGCTCATGAGCTTCCTCTTTCGTACGACTTGAGAGACTTGGCCCGGGCATCACAATACTGCAGAGATTCAGCAGCAAGTGGTCTGGCGACACAGTGGGACCTGAAAGAAGTAATCCCCCAGGGGGCCCATTTGCTTCCCAGCACTGCAGGTGAGGATGAAATGGTGAATAGCTCGTGTTAGTGCATGGTCACCAGCGCAGGCGCGCAGGTGCTCCTGGCGGCCGGAGGGACGGGGTGGATGCGCCGTGGGCCCTGGAGTTCGTGCAGTCAGCCGCATATCCCGGCTGAGCCGGCAGCGCCAGGCGGCCAGGCGCGGCAGGGCTAAGGGCCGCTTTGCCCAGGTGAGCACCATATGGAGCCCCCGGTCCCCCGGTCCCCCGGTCATGCGCGCTCTCCATCGCCGGGTATCGCGGGTATGAGCAGACCATCCATGCATGCCCTCGATGCCCGAGAAGGGCTAACGTCCGACCTCGCGGGTCTCGGGATGGGATGCGACATGGGCGCGCAAGGGACATATATATCGCTGGCGTTTGTTGACAGTCACCCGCTCTCCCAATCTTCACTCGTTACCCCACGCTTCACCACTCACGCTCGCCCCCGTGCTTCGTGCTCTTGCTCTGCAACTAAGGCTGCCCCTCGACGATTGCCCCACGACCACACGACTGATACCCACCTGCAACCATGCCCATGTCCGCTACGCTTGAGAAGCTCCTCACTCCCCCCGCGCTCCCCGTCAAGGGCTCGCAGCTCTCGGAGGAGGACAAGGCCGCCATCGCTAAGGTCGCCGCCCACTTCAACGCCGAGGACTACACTGCTCCCGATGGCGAGGACAAGACCACTCGCTCTCCCCTGATTCTCCGCGAGTACATGTTCTTCGTGAGTAGAATGTCAGCGGCAAGCGGCAAGAGCGGCAACGCCTAGCGCGGTGATCAGACGCCGGCGCGACTGCTGTCGCCCGCGCCAGTGCCTGAACATTAGCTTAGACAGTCCGGCCCAGCTCGGTGAAGTGGGGACGAGAAGCTGACAGCGACCACAGACCCAGGGCCGCATCAACGGATACTACCAGGTGCACGGCACCGTCGAGAAGACGATCGAGGCGATCGAGAAGACCATCGCCTGGCGCCGTGACCGCAACATGTACGACATTGACGCCTTCGCCAAGGAGGTCGAGGACGAGGTGAGCACAAACAGGCACGGGTAGCGGGCCCCGGACGCTCTATGGACGGGCTTGCACGCTGCGGCGGCGATCGCCAAAGCGTCCGAAGGCACCTTGCGCCCTCTTTGTGTACGCAGTAGTGCTGACAGTTACAGTGCCGCAACGGCTTCGCTCACTTCACCGGCTTCGACCCCGAGGGCCGCCCGATCATCTACTTCTTCCCGAACAAGGACATCACCCCTGGTGCTGAGCGCCGCCCGCTCCCGAACGCGTTCATGATGGACCGCGCCGGTGACTTCTGCGTCGGCGACGTTGGCCAGGTCGTCATCATCCAGAACTTCGGCGGCAAGCGCCAGGGTGACCTCCCCTCGATTGGTGCCGCGACCGAGCAGCTGTCCAACCTCGAGACCCACGCCCCGGAGGTGCTCTACAAGCTGCACTTCCAGCAGATTGGCTGGATGCTGCGCGGCTTCTTCGCCCTCCTCAACCCCGTCATGCCTGCGCGCACGGCCGCCAAGATCCTCAAGCAGGACACGGCCCAGAGCATCAAGGATGGCTACTTCACCGGCGACGAGCTCATCAAGGAGATCGGCGGAAACGTCGACTGGAGCTACAAGCACGACGAGTACTTCTGGCCCATGGTCGAGGCGTCCAAGAAGATCCGCGCCGACCAGGAGAAGCGCTTCGAGGCCCTCGGCAAGCCCGCCATGGGCGTCGACGAGCGCCTCTTCCGCGTCGCCCCCGGTTCCGCCTAGAAGGCGTAAAGGCGAAGGTGTGCAGTGCTAGTCTTAGAGATATTATATACCCATCTTGATGTACTTTGCTTGTCTGGACAGTGCCGTGAATGGGTTCGTTGCAGATGATATTGGCTTGACGCTGAAGGTATGATCGACTGGGTCTTGCCAGCTTCGCTACCTGCCGGTAGCGGGTACCTGTCCATTAGTGACCCGAGAGCTTCTGAGTATGGCGTTTTCCGATGAATAATGCATAATACACGATGAGAGGGGGTGAGATGTTTAGAACGGAAGCGTCGACCTCGAGTTGGCCTTGTTCTCGGCGACCTCCTGTGATTGTCAGCGACAGCTCTACACACACTCTTCGGTTCCCAAATCGCGCAGATGTACGGTCGCATACAACTTGTGCTCTTCGCTGCAGTTCCCTCAGGGACAGAGCAGTCCAGGCAAAGGAGCAGACGGCACCATCCAAGGACGAAGAAACAACCCGACACTCGATATACTCACCGCCTTCCACTCGGCGATCCTCGCGTCCATAGTCTCGAGACGGCCGTCGACCTCGGCCTTGCGCTCGGCACGTTCCCGCTCGCGCTTGTGGCCCTTGAAGAGCTGGCGACGGTTGGCGTAAATCGACTTGTACTCCTTGGGCTTGTACTCGCCGACCCAGTTGATGACCGTTCCAGACGGCCACTGCACGGGCACAGGCTCAACGGGGTTGATGGGCGACGGCGGAAGGAGGTGAGCAGGGTACAGCTGCAGCAGCTGCTTCTGTCGGCGGCGCGGGATCCATGCCGGGCACCACGAGCCGTTCGGCCTGCATGTCAGCTGTCACCTCGAAGAATTCGAAGCTCAGATTCGATGTGCGAAACCTCAGGCGAGGTGATGAGGCTGCCTGCTCATCGTCCGAGTCATGATTCCCCTGCTCAGAGCGTTGAGCACGCTGCGACGCTACGCGAGGCTGAGGAAGACACTTCAATGCGGGACAAGGTATTGTTGTTCCGCTAAGGTCCAACTTCGTAGCAACTCCGCCCCAAAGAGAGGCGTCATGAGCGACCCCCTGGATCCCATGATGTCTTGCAGCCCGTCCCAAAGCCGTCGCTAACTCACTTCGAGGGAAGGAAGGGATTCGGGAGGTCAATCGACTTGGCGTCCTCGCGGCCGGCAATGCTGCGCTGAATCAGGCGGACGAGCACTGGCGGGAGGACGTCGGGGGTGACGTGCGCCGGCGACTGGGCGATCTGGTTGGCGACGCGCGCCGTCGTCGAGAACATGCGTCGAGAGAGGCCGAACATGGTGTGGGTGTTGGTGGTTGTCACGAGCCGAATCTCGACTTTTCGTCGCTGCCCGACGTCGCGGGCTGGACTGACTTTTGCTGCTTGAAACCCACGGAGAGGCACGGTCCAGATAGGCCTGTTAGGCAGGTGCCTGGATAGGTGCGCCCTTCTGATTTTGGGTTAGTGAAGCCCCCTTCACGTGACTGTGCAGACCTGAGGGGCGCAACACGTTTGAAACTAGCCTGGCGCTAACCACTACTAGCATGCCCAACATTCTCTTCGCACCCAGCTGCGCAGGTCTTGTGGCACGGCGTTGGCATTTGATGGCGAGCAGCAGAGCAGGAAGGCTGAGAAAACAATCAAAATGTTTTCGTAAGCCGCAGATGTACTTGTGGGCGTGACAGCGGGCGTACTATGGTACTTTGGTGGCTGATGAAATATTCCAGCGTCGAATTCGGTGCACCTGGCTATCTGGAGTGACAGTCTCGGCTACATGACGTACAAGAGGTACGGCTCGGCACCATCAGCCGCGAATTCACACCATGCAAACAACCGATGGACATGAGCCTTAGTATGCAAAAGTGCAGTAAGGATGCATACCATACATTGCGGGACACAAGTAGGGGTGCATGCATCGGTGTTCATCGAGCGATGATGGATGGGAGACGGATGGTCGCCGAACGAAAGTCAAGCGCGTGGAGGGTCAGATCGCTTGTTGGGTTCGGCTTAAACTGGAGTGCGAGGGCGTGCATCGTTGGCAGACGCACCTGACGTGCTCCTGACGAGGATGGTAGTGGTTCCTCTGGTTGCTTGCTTCGGACGAAATGGTCGAAGACAGTCGCTGGCCAGGGTGCGGGACCAATTGCTGGGCGATCGATTTCTCCTACGCTGCCTGGATGGCCCCTAATCAGCTGGCTGCAGTGACACTCCACCCAATCGCACCTCTGGACCAGCCCAGTTCGGAGTTATGACGAGTAAAAACCCGGCCGGTCCAAGTGGCACCACGGAAAGGCGAGCCGTCTCGCCGGAAGCACCCGCTATGCCCGCGTCTCTCACTCCCCCCTCGCCTACACTCTTTTCCTCCCAACTCCATCTCCTCCTCCCTCCTCTCCTCCTCACTCACCTCTCAAAACTCGGCAAGATGACCCTCGTCACTCGTTCTGCCATCCGCGTCGCCCGCCGCGGCGCCAAGAACGCTCGCGCCAACGCCGCTCTCTTCACCACCGCTGCCAAGGCCGCTACCGCCCTCCCCCAGCCCCGCGTTCAGGCTGCTGCCCCCAAGGTCGCCCAGCAGGGTAAGTAGTTGTGCACTTCGGTCCTTCGCACACGTCCTCTTCTACCTCAAGCCGATCGCCACGAACAGTTATGGATGGAAACAGAGTCGGTTGGGAGCTGTACGACGGGAGCGTAGACGTTTGCGATTGAAAAAAGGGCGGTCGGAGAGTTATTGGGGCGGAGCCAGCCAGGGACATGAGAAGGGACGTGGAGGACCGAAAGAAAAGTCACAAACGTGTTAGACGTCGATCAACATCCAACTAACATTACTTCAGCCGGTGCCGTCCGCTCGTACGCCACCCCCTCTGCCGTCCAGACCGGCCACATCAAGACCGTCATTGGTGCCGTCGTCGACGTTCAGTTCGACACTGAGGAGCTCCCCGCTATCCTGAACGCTCTCGATGTCCAGTTCGCCGAGGGCCAGCCCAAGCCTGAGGGCGGCCGTCTCGTCCTCGAGGTCTCGCAGCACCTCGGTGAGAACACCGTCCGTTGCATTGCCATGGACGGTACTGAGGGTCTTGTTCGTGGCCAGAAGGTCGTCGACACTGGTGCTCCCATCTCCATCCCCGTCGGTAACGGCACCCTCGGCCGTATCATCAACGTTATCGGTCAGCCCATTGACCAGCGTGGTGAGATCAAGGGCCCCATCCGCCCTATCCACGCCGACCCCCCCGCGTTCGTCGACCAGTCCACCAAGGCCGAGGTCCTCGAGACCGGTATCAAGGTCGTCGACCTCCTCGCCCCCTACGCCCGTGGTGGTAAGATTGGTCTCTTCGGTGGTGCCGGTGTCGGCAAGACCGTCTTCATTCAGGAGCTCATCAACAACATCGCCAAGGCCCACGGTGGTTACTCCGTCTTCACTGGTGTCGGTGAGCGTACCCGTGAGGGTAACGACCTGTACCACGAGATGATCGAGTCTGGTGTCATCAACCTTGACGGTGACTCCAAGGTCGCTCTCGTCTTCGGTCAGATGAACGAGCCCCCTGGAGCCCGTGCCCGTGTCGCCCTTACCGGTCTCACCATCGCCGAGTACTTCCGTGACGAGGAGGGCCAGGACGTGCTTCTCTTCATCGACAACATTTTCCGTTTCACCCAGGCCGGTTCCGAGGTCTCTGCGCTTCTCGGTCGTATCCCCTCCGCTGTCGGATACCAGCCCACTCTCGCCACCGACATGGGTGGTATGCAGGAGCGTATTACCACCACCAAGAAGGGTTCCATTACCTCCGTCCAGGCCGTCTACGTCCCCGCCGATGACCTGACTGACCCCGCCCCCGCCACCACCTTCGCGCACCTTGACGCCACCACCGTCCTGTCCCGTGGTATTGCCGAGCTCGGTATCTACCCCGCCGTCGACCCTCTCGACTCCAAGTCCCGTATGCTTGACCCCCGTGTTGTCGGTGAGCGCCACTACGTGAGTATCTTTGCCGTGCCTGCGTCAGCCGAGGTGGACCCTGACTCGGATGGTGTCACGTGGAAATTTGATCCCGGTGGGGATCATCTGTGGCACCGCCATTCAACATGCCACCTCGTTCCACCTGGGCCACTTTGACCGTCTTTCGTCTGTTTTGGCCGCTTGCTTCGTCATTTGAGCTCCGCTGACAACCAGAACGTCGCCTCGCAGACCCAGCAGGTCCTCCAGCAGTGCGTATCAATTTGATTCCGGCCTCCACTGTGGCACAATCCGCCACTTGGTGTTTCAACCCCCATCGACTTCTTCTGACTTCTACAGGTACAAGTCGCTCCAGGACATCATCGCCATTCTTGGTATGGATGAATTGAGCGAGCAGGATAAGCTCGTAAGTGGCGATTTTGGCGCTTTTGAAGCGTGCTGACGTGTAGATTGTCGAGCGCGCTCGTAAGATCCAGCGTTTCATGTCTCAGTGAGCCTCGACCTTTTTCCATCCTTTTCTACAGTCAACTAACACCCTTAGGCCCTTCGCCGTGGCCGAGATCTTCACCGGTATGAAGGGACAGCTCGTCCCGCTCAAGGATACCATCACTGGCTTCGAGGAGATCCTTCAGGGCAAGCACGACGACATCCCCGAGGCCGCCTTCTACATGGTCGGAGATATTTCGACCGTGAAAGAGAAGGCTGAGAGCATGGCCAAGGAGGCCGCTTAAGCGACTTCTCAGCTCTAGGCTTGATTAGTTAAAGGTCGAAAAAGATGCAAGTTGAATGCTGAAATCCGGGAAGAACGCTGTCGTTCGACATCGAGCACTGATTTTGGCCATAAACTTGTACTGGTGCCACAACCTCCAGATGAGATTTGGTCCCGTCCATGGGGCTCCACACCGCATACCGATCACTGAACCTGACGCCAGCGGAACGATCGCACGCACCTCCCATGGCCGCATCCTTGCTCTATAACGCACAAGCCATTACAAACAGTGCCGCTTCCCCAGACCGACCGAAATACTCAGAACGCATCTTGATTCGGCGCATCCCCTTCCGTCATCCCGAACTACCCAGTTGGCGAGCTCTGCTAATGCCATGATCCTCCACTCCGTCATCAGCCATGCCCTGGCTGCGCCGCTTCAGCAATGTGCTGTCTCTAAGACTCTGCCAACAGTCACTGAGGTTGGGATCGGTGAAGAGATGATCAACGTGGTTACGAGTGACAGGTGAAACCGTTGGCGTGCGATCTGGTGCCTAGTCGCTGCCGAGCATGTCGAAAGGGCGACGCTATCAGCAACGCGCAACGACGTCTCCGCGATCCGCGACTTCGCTTTCTCTTCAGAGCTCCAGCGCTACAGGTCAGAACAAGCCGCCTGCGCCGACTGATGGGAGGCGCGTCCTGCGCCGAGCTAACGCCTCTGTCTTCAGACCGCGGCACAGCTGCCCGTTGCGCCCCACGACCATCGAACGGGTGCGATGCGTCATCGGTACCGGCCCGGGGATCCGAGGGTGAAGCAACACCAGAGGGCGCAATTGGTGGGGGCGCAGAGGGCGCAGCTGTTCCTGGTACTAATCCGACAGCAATGGTGCGAACAGCGCAGCTAGCGCACCTCTCGTCGGCACACAGCTGCTCACAGCGTTTGCAGCGTGCTGGCTTGGGGTCTGAGCGATATATAACACGCTCATCGAGGGGCTTCCTCCCCAACTTCTTTCAACTCACTCTCCACTCATCTCTTCCGCGCCTTTCTCCTCCAAATCCTCACACTCGCAACACTTAGCAGACATCAACTTGGCATCACTCTGATGACCTCGGTCCTGTATCATTCCTCAACTCCACTGCGGGACATTTCAGTGAGTCTTCCTTTTCGGTCGCTGGGTGGCGACACCCTGACAAGCCGACCTCGCCGTGGGGGAACTGCCTCTCGTGCCAGGATCATGCAACTCACCGCTGCAAGCCAGACCATGTTCAGTAATTCTTCCATGCGCATTGATGACTCTTTTGACATGAGGAAGACCAGGAGTCGTTGCTGAGCATTGCCTTACCTGTCCGGCGGCGGGTGGCTTGGCCACCGAGCAGCAGCTCAACGATGAAGAGGTAAGTTCTTCCCCACTGCTCCACCAGTTGCACCGTTTACTGACTGTCTCAGAGCAACCGCGCTCAGGAGTCGTTCGTTGCTCGCCACCACAAACTCAAGGACTATGACATCGTTTCGGAGGTTCCTCTCTCTGATCGTAATGCCGATGTCACTCATTAAGAAGATCGTCATTGCTTGGATTCTGAAGGCCATGGAGGCCATCGCTCTCTTGGACACTATCACCTCGTTCTGGTCCTCCCTGCTCAGCAACGCGAGAGCAGAGCTGCTCTTGGCCGAGGCCATTTTCCGAGGCCTTTTACCTGGTGAGTGTCTAAAGCATCATCAACTTCCAGGCACATAAGCTGACATCACTTAGGTGTCATGAAGCTCCTCTCGTCCCTTTTTCGTGAACCCTTCCCTTCTCTGGAACGCCTCATGTCTCTTCTGCAGGCCACTCGGTACCTCAGGCATTGGGGGGTCTACTTGAAGCTTGCCATACCCAAGTCTGGCTTCGATCTGCCTATCTTGCTCTACGTTGGCTCTGCTACTGGCGTGCTCGGGTTCATTGGTCGCTTCATGTCGCACCTCTCGGCAATGATTCGGGGCAAGTCCGACGGCTTCTACGAGCTTTGGCACGAGCACAGCGACAAGTACGAGATCGTGTACCTTGAGCTCTTGTGTCTTCCCGAGTTCTCGCACCGAAACGCCTCGAATTGGTTGCGTGTTCAGGCCAGTCTCCTTTGCTTGCTTGCCGAGTCTGTCCTCATGCTCCTCTTCGGTGCCCACTCGGTCTTGTACCAGGGCTCGGATGCCGTTGCCTTCACCTTCTCGACTTCCTCTGCCTCGGCCTCGGCTACCCATCCTTTCGTCAAGCCCACAAACCGCTCCGATCCGCTCAAGACGCCCCCTACCAAGAAGCATGGCGAGGCGACGCGCGACAAGGGCGACTTGTCGTGCACACTCTGCGGCAAGTTGTTCCAGACGCCCCTCGCTTACGCTCGTCATATGCGCCATCGTGCGCCGCCGCGGCTCAGCCCAACCCCTGCTCACAATGCGACAAGTCGCTCAACGTGACCAGCGGATGCGAATGTCACAATACTTGTGACGGCTGTTCTTTCACCTTCGCCAGCCTGAGCGACTTCCGCGACCATGTGCGCCGCCGCCACGCCGACAATGTCTGCCCGCCACAGACAACATTCTGGTCAAGAAGGCTGTCAAGGGCGAGTCCATGCCATGCCCCTTTTGCGGTCCAGTCTTCGCTGGCGACCACTATGTTCGGAACTTCAACCGCCACGTGTCGGCGGCTCGCGCCCATGGTCGTTGCCACAGGAACCGTGTCTACGCCAAGGTCCTGACTTGTTTCTTCTGCCCGAAGAGGTTCACAGGTGAGTTGCTTCACATTCCCACCTCTCTCCCATACAACAGCTGACTGTCTCAGGAATGCACTGATGGGTCGAGCGCGTTCACCACCATGAATCTAAGTACTTCAAGAAGAACAACAAGTGCCAGGTCTTCAAGAAGCGCATCAAGAAGAACCGTCCCCGCTCAGGTTTCAAGGCGATTTTTCCCTCTTACATATGTGACCAGTGCCACGCCGTCTTCGACCAGAAGCAGAGCGACAACCGCCGAAAGGCTTTCTACTCCCATCGCGTGTGGAAGTGTAAGCCTGTTCCCAAGTCGACCAAGACTCTCAGGAGTCTCGGCCCTCTGCAGGTGGTGTCCTGCGACCAGCCAGGTTGCAAGCACATCGAGCCTTCCAACGGTCGCTCCATTACTGTTCGCGTGCAAGCTCTGATCGACCACATCCACATCGTCCACTTCGATCTTGGAGTGTCTGGGTTTGATGAGTCTGGCACGTGACCACCTCCGACGCCGATACAACGGCAAGGCTTCCCACGAACGCCTTCCTCGTTGCAAAGGCCGTCGAGGGCAAGTCCAAGGCCTGCCGGTACTGCGGTCGCGTGTTCAGTGGCGACCACTTTGTGCGCAATTCCAACCGTCATGTGGGTGCGTTTCGTGCCCATCGCCGTTGCTATGTCAACAGGACGTCCGACGAGGTCCTCCAGTGCTTCTTCTGCCCGAAGCTCTTCAAACGCCAGCATCGCTATGCCGAGCGCGAGAAGCTCGTCAACTCGAAGTACCTCGCGGACAACAACGGTCACTGCAAAGTTTACAAGAAGCGTCTCAAGACAACCGTCCCCGTTCTGGGCTGGCTGCAATCCCTCAACTTGCCACCCTGTCGGACTTCCGCGATCACTTGCGCCGCCGCGAGGCGAACCAGGAGTACCCCTCGACCGCCGGCATCCTCGTGAAGAAGGCCGTCAAGGGAGAGTCCAAGCCTTGCCCGTTCTGTGGACGCGTTTTCACCGGAGACCACTACGTTCGCAACTACAACCGACACGTCGCTGCCTCTCGTGAACACGGTCGCTGCCTTGTGAACGAGGGGCACGCCGCCGTTCTCAAGTGCCGCTACTGTCCGAAGCTCTTCACGGGTGAGTCACTCAACACCATCCCTTGATTTCGTGGCCCATGCTGACTGCTTCAGGGCAACACCGCAACGACGAGCGCAAGCGGCACGAGGCGCGCCCTTTCCGCCGCAAGCACGGTTACTGCAAGGTCTACAAGAAGTGTCTCAAGGCCACTCGTCGCTCTGGTCCCTCTGCCATTCCCCCCACCTACACGTGCTCGGCTTGTGGTGCTCTCTCCAACGACAAGAACAGCGACAACAGGCGCAGGAACTACTACACTCATCGAGTGTGGAAGTGTCAAACTACCCCCAGTGCCGGCCTCATGAAGCTGACTAAGACGGCCGTCGTCGCTTGCGATCGACCGCATTGCGACTACGTCGAGGTCGCAGACGGTCGCTCGGTTACTGTTCGCGTGCGGGCCCTCTTCCACCACATTGACATTCTGCACTTCGCTCCCTAGTCCGAGTCTGATCCAAGTTCGGACTGTGACTCGGACCTTGTGCCCCAGACCCAACTTAACCTCCAATCGCCGCCACCGCTTAGATGATCACCCACTTCGCTGCCGCCCTCGCGGTGATGCTCTATGGGAAGCTGTTTGCGACCATCGCTGACTGTATCGGCTTCACACCGTTATCCCTCCCTCCGCCCAGGCCCACCTTCGCTCCCGGTGTGGAAAATCTCGCATGCCTCCACTGGGTGTCTGTAGCTGTAAGCATATGATGCATTTCTACAGTGTTGGTTGTGTCCATTACAAGATTTACAAGGTGCAATTTTCAAAGCTCAAACTTGGGCATCTCGGGAAGAGGCTTGGCACCAGGAACGTCGCAGGGAGCGAGGCAGACCTTGCCAGAGGTAGCCGAGGGCGCGGGGGCGGTAACCGTCTCCTTGACGGTCTCGGTAACCTTCTCGGTCACCTTATCAGTGACGGTGGAAACACTGGCGCTGCACTCGGTGGGGGCAGGAGAAGGCTTCGAGGAGGGAGGCGGCGCTGCGGAGGAAGTGGGAGGAGGAGCTTGGGAAGAGGTCGGCGGCGGGGCTTCGGAAGTGGGCGGAGGAGCCTGGGAGGAAGTGGGAGGGGGCGCCTCAGAGGTAGGGGGAGGCTTCTCAGTCGACGACGGCGTTGGGATGGGGTCGGGCTTGCCTGGAGTGCCACACTCCTGGTCTTTGTTGGTGAGACCCTTCTTGAACAGCTGGTCGATAAAGTAGTCAAGGCCGCCACCGTCATTAAGCTCGGAGTACCAGCCGCCAGACTCGAGGACGGCAGAGCCGACCTCACCAATGTCCCTTACATCGTGGTGCTGGTTCGGCTTGCCCCAGTGGACACGGATACCGAGGTCCTTGGCGTCGCGGATGGCCTGAGCGGTCTTGACGCCAATCTGGCCGGGGTGCCAGCCAGAGTTGCCGTCCGTGTTGTCCCAGGCATCGGACACGAAGACAATCGCGGCGCGGTCGCGGAAATCCTCCTTGATCGTGTCCTTGATGTGCTTGGTGGCAGCATTGATGATCTCAACAAGGGGGCGGTCGGTGTATCCGCGTCCGGGGGCGGGCCACTCGAGCGCATTGACCGTGTTCATGGCGGCCAGCACCTGCGGGCCCTGGTACTCGGTCGAGAGGAAGGCGCCCTTGTCCTCGTCAGGCGTCATCTTGGCGAAGACCTTGCGGGGAACCTCCTGGCGGAGGTTCTTCTCGTCCGCGAAAGTGGTCGAGTACGAGTTGTCGAGCACGACGACGGCGATGCGCTGCGGCAGGCACTTGTCGTCGCGGGCCTCAAAAGAGTAGGCGCTCGGCGCCGCCGATACGACGGCAGCCAGGACGGCGAAGGCGGTGAAGAACTTCATGTTGAGATGGGGTGAGCGAGGGTGATGAGGAAGGCTTAGGCAAGCATTTATATCCCGACAGTGGACCAATGCTGCTTGCCGGTACCACCTCTTGCGAAACCGCCTCAAGGCAGGTGCCACACCCGCCTCGGTCGGGTTGCGACACTCGTTCCGCTCAGGGTTTCCATAATGAATCCCGAGCCGACGGCCCGGGCGGAAGAGGGCGTCACCCAAGGACGTTGTTGGAGACCTCTGTCAGTCGAGCATAAGACGGAAGTTCCGCGCAGCGCGTGCCAGGGGGAAAGCAACAAACTCACCGGGGCACGTTCCAAAGGTCCACAGGATCCAGTTGGTAAGCTGGCGATATTTACGAGACATGGACGGATCCCAGCCCGAAGCACAGCATTTACGCAAACCCGAAGCCCAGAGTTTCGGATGTTGTTGCACAGGGTCCAACGAGGTTCGTTCGGCTTCACGGCTTCATTGAGCTTACTTAGTGCTTGATGAGGCGTGTCACCCGGTTCCCTGTCGCATGTAGACGACGCGGATGCGCCATCGTTCGCACACTTGGCTCAACCCGCTCCCGCGTGGTTGCACGAGGGGCAGGTTGGGATGGACTTCGGCCTGAGGGTTCTGGAGCAGATGCACTGACACGGTCCTGATCGTCCTCACGGCCCAATATCCGACGGGCGGTAGGGGCCGCGGTCATGCTGTTCCATTAAGAGCTGCCCATCTGCCCAGCTGCCCCGCACTTCTCTCACGCCTCCCACTCTTCCCCGAGGGAGCTATTGCCTTGGCCCGAAATGCCGTAAGTTCACGATTGTCAGTGTGAGGACTTCGAGTGGTTGGTGGCTCCGCTCGGGTGACTCACCGATACCAGTCCGTGCTAAGGTTGATTAAGTCAACCCTCGGGGCCCGATGGTCTCCCAGCCCTGCTGTAAGACCGCTCGCGGAAGTATGTGAGCCTGACAAGACATCCGCCGCCTGCGCTCGTCTTTGTCAGAGCTGTTATTGGCACACTCACCATTCTAAACTCGCTCTTCTCATGCCCGTGCCCGCTCCCCTCGCTGAAATGACGATGATGCATGACTAAGTGTACACAATGATTCTCAGAGGCAGGACCAACCGCCTCCGTCGTTTGTAAGCTCGAGCTTGCGCGCGGCAAACGTCGGCACGCCGTGCTGCAGCCACACGTTGCGGCGCAGCTCCTCCATCCTTCCCAGGTGCATGTACTGTCTGTGTCCGCGCCTGATGTCAGTTGACGTAGCGGGTATTCTAACTCACCTAAGACTAGTCTCTAACTCGCCAAACTGGTCCAGGTACGGCATGGGGCCGAAGGATCCAGAGCCCGCGAAGAGGTACACAATGACCCAGCGCTTGATGTCCGCAAACATGCCGACGACACCGCCGCATCTGATGTTAGCTGGATGCGGAAAGAGTTTAGCTATACTCACTCTCGCATGTGCAGATTGCACTCTCCTTGCTCGCCCTCGCTGCAGCAGTCGCCCGCAAGACACACCATCTTGCCGCAAAACAGGCAGATGGCGGGGTAACTCGGTCGGAGGCCACAGTGGTCGCACCGGCGGCGCGCGTAGCGAATGGCAGCGACTTCGTAAGCCTGCGGCAGACGCATCAACTCGTACGTGCCCGGGTACTCGAGCGAGGGGAGGATGCGACCCTGCATGGCCCACTGGGTAAGCCAGCGGGCGACAATGGGCGTCTCCGTGCTCTGCGGGTTTGCGAGCGTCTCGCGCGGGCGCGGGATGCCCATCAGTGACAGCAGACGGTTGTACTCGCTGCCCTGCGTCACGATGTAGTCGGGGTTCGTGACCGGGTATGACCCGTTGACGGCGTAGTAGACGATGGCGGCGCGGCGCAGGAACGGCAGCGTGAAGCTGTACAGGATCTTGGCGAGCATGTCGTCCGTGACGAGGTTCAGCACTCCGTCGATGTCGATGAACGGACCCGCGTTGCGGAGCACGCTGACCATGAGCGGCCTGAAGTCGGAGAAGACGCTGAGCGCGTCCTCGAGCGACGTGTCGGTCGGAGGCTGCGTTCGGCGCTGCGGCTGAGCACGCCCGGCGAGAGAGCGCCGGATGTACACCGACAGGCCGAGCATAGTCCTAGTAAGCTCGGCATAGTAGGACATGACAATGACGGCATGCAGGAGGTCTGGAGCGATTGCGGCAGCCTCGATGACCATGCCAAGGGGCAGGCGGAAGAGAAGCGGCGACGGCAGCGTCGCGCTGCGGTACCAGTCGGGCAGGAAGCGGGCGAACAGCCCCACTCGCAGCGGGGTGCGGTCCATCTTCGTGCCGAAGAAGAGGTCGAGCTCGAGCTGCAGCGTGCCGATCAGGTGCTTGATGAGCTTGAGTCCAGTCTCGGGCACTTGCTCGGCGACGGTGGCTCCCGGTGAGCCAATGCCGCGGTGCGTGATCTCGGCAACGCTGACAGTGTACCCGACCATGTCGTCGGCGAGGTACATGTGCGTCTTCTTGCCTCGGATGCGCTGGCTCTGCTCGCTAAGAGGTCGGGTCAAGCTGCGAACACGGTCGACCATGCGGTGCACATTCTTGTGCGACTTGCGGTACGCGCTGTCGTACGCGTGGGATGTAAAGTTGCAGTCGGTGAACCACGGGACCAGCTCGCCAGTCTCGACGTGGAACTCCCAGATCTTGGCCGAGTCCGAGACGCGCAACAAGCCCTCCTCGGACACCGAGCGGATACGTTCGCTCAGCGTCGGCGGCAGCCCGGGCGCAACTTTGGACTTTGGTGTCGGCCGGAGCGGCGTCGCCGTCGGATCCAGCGGGATGAGCACGTTGCCAATGCTTCGGCACAGCGGACACATGTACTCGTGTCGCATGGCATTCTCGGGCTGGTGGCGCTGAACCGAAGTCGCCTGGCGGTTGCGCGTGAGCTCGTTATAACTGTTGATGCAGCTATCGTGCATCAGGTGGTTGCACGCCGAAACGTAGACGCCGAAGCGCAGGTTTGTCGACGGGTACGCATCCGTGCTGAGGGGCTCGCCTGTGGTCCCCATGCCGTAACGGAGGTACCTCGTGTCGCGGTCGAGGTCCGAGGGTGCGAGCAGCACCTCCTCGAACCAGTCGCGATCGGTGACAGCGTCGCGAATGATGCGACTGGGCTGAAGGAACGCCAGCATGCCGCCAGTCCGCCCTGGGTGGACCGGCTCCTGGCAGACAATACAGCTCCCATAGCTGACCGGCTTCTCCTCCTTCCTCCTCGATCTCTTCGTCCTCGTCCAGGAAGCTCGCGGCAAAACTGGCCTGCTGCTGGGCGAAACGCGCCTTCAGTGCCTTCTGGCGGGCCTGTGCCTGCGCCTTGGCGTCCGAGTGCGGCTTCTTGTTCGCGGCCTCGCGGGCCGCGGCAGCACGCGCATCGCGCTGCGTCCGGTAGTCGACCGTGTAGCTCTCGGGGAGGTGGGTCACGATCTCTTCGAGGATGTAGTCGACCTTGGCGCGGAAAGGTTCGAACGGGGCGTTGGTCTGCATGAACCACAGATTCTGGAAGAGGCTCATATTGCCGCCGTTCTCGATAAAGTCTAATGAGCGGAACGCAAAGCCCTCGGGGTCGGCCGCGAGCGCCATCATGGCGAGGTGCAGGCCGAGGTTGAGCAGCGCATCCATGCTCGGCATTGTGTTGCCAGAAGCAGTGCCGTCGGCGTTGACGAGGCCCGGCCAATCGTTCGGCTGCGCCAGGAGCATGCAGTGCGCGACCGTCCAGTGTACGAGCTGCGACGCAACGGGCTGCGCGAGGAAGTCGGCGAGACCCGAGAACGGCAGCGGCTTCTCAGGAACGTGGATCGGCTGCGGCTTGATGACGGGGTTCGTGATCTCCGGGTTGTCCTTCTTTGCCCGCTGCAGGAGGACCTCGGCCGCATCGCGCTGCTCGTTCCGGCTGTACTGGCGCCAGTACGGGTCTACCTCGGCGTACAGCTCGGGCTTGAGCGCGTACGATCCGGTCGCCGTGTCTGTCGGTGGCCGGAAGTCTGCGACCTGCTCGAGGATCGGGACGAGCGAGCCGCGCTCGTGGCTGCGTTCCGGCAGCTTGCGCACAATCTCAGAGTACGACATCGGTCCGAGGGCCAGAATGTGGATGATGTGCTTTCTGGTCACAACCTCGGGTTTCCAGCCATTCACTGTGCTCGTGTCCGAGACGAGGTACACGAGCAGGAGCAGGAACTCCTCGAACATGGCGATGGTTTCGCGCGGGTCGTACGGTGACGACGCCCACACGCCGGGCGACATGACGTCGAGGCTGAAGAACGAGCCCAGATCATATCGCTGAATCAGGGCAGTAACAAACTGCGCCGGGTCCATGATCGATAAACCGAACTGAAGGAGGAAAAACTCCTGGTCAATCGTGAACTCTCGCAACCCGAGGTCGCGGTAGTGGTGGTATTGGTGGCGCATCGCAGCGCCGTTCTTGGCCCACATGCCTAACCGGATCTGCGAGAGGATGACGTGCTCTGGGGCAAGTTAGCGCTTCATGAGCCGTACAACTTACTCTGCAGCGGCCACTCGATCATGAGGAGCTTTGCTTCGTTCAGCTCCTTTGGGGACTCGGCCCGGATGATGCTCTTCTCGACGACATCGACAAAGTCACGTCCTGCAGGATCGGGCTTGAAGCAGACGGCTGAGAAGCTCTTGAGCATCTCGGCGAGCACAAGGTGCATGTAGTGGTGGAAGGAGAAGCCGGTGATATGGCTAATGTCGAGCTGGTACAGCTCAAAGCTGGAACCGGGGGTGAGGATGCCGGAAACAGTCTTGAACTGCGGTTCGGGATAGAGGGTCGCATCGAGAGTCTCGGTCGTGAGCGAGAGATCGTCGACGATGCGCTTCGAGACATTGTGCAGTGCGTCGAGGAGCTCATAAGCCTGCGCGGAGCGGAAGGACTCGCCAAACTCGCGCGCGAGTTTCGTCAAGTCCGGCAGCACGCTGATGCTCTTAACCCAGTCGATCTCGTACTCGACGTGCTTGTCGAGTTCCTTACGCTGAGACTGCAGGCCGACGAAGTGGTTCAGGAAGTCGAGGGTGCGCTGGAAGAGTTCCGGGTCGTGGACGAGCTGCGCTTTGACTTCCTTGTACTTTAACAGTGCGCGGAGGTGGGAGAGCAATGTCAATCCCTTCTTCCCTCGGAAAGCTGGCGAGTCAATGTCGAAGCGGTCTCGGAGGGGTTTGGCGGCCTCGTCGACTGATGGTGGGCGCGACGCATAGTAGTTGTACGCCGTGTCGAGGACAGAGCTGAATAACTTGCTCTCGACAATGGCCTCGCCGCACGCCGAGTTGCGCCCAAGGAGCATGTAGCTCATGCTGAAGGCCAGACTGGAGTCGTCCCGCTCCTGATACAGGTAGTGTTCGAACGTGTGTCCGTAGTTGATCGAATAGCGTGTCGCAAACTCGCGCTTGATGTCCCACCCGAGCACAAAGATGCCCGAGTAGATCTCACGAAGCTGCCACTTGGCCCGCTTCCAGAGGCGCACGTCGAGGCGCATCAGCCAGTCGAAGCGCCGCGCCTCGCCGTTGCCCACTCCGCGCTCGAGCTGCGCCAGGTCCGGAGCGAGCGGCGTACCCTCCCATACTGGTGACAGGGATCGCGGCTCGAACAGAGCCATGGCGACGTACCGTCGGAACAGGTCTTCCTCGCCGCAAATCGTCACCTTGCACATGTCGCTGAGCCACTGGAGACAGAGTCCGACGACCTCCTCCTTGTACACGTCGGCTGCGCTCCGAAGCGTGACACCGATATCGATCTGCTGAAGCATGGACGCCGTGTGGAACGCAAGAGCATCGAGTCTCGTCACGATCAGCACCTTGCGGCCCTGTATGTCAGTTCGACTGCGGGAAGGATTAAACTCACGACCTCATCCGTCTCCTTCGCGTATCGCTCGGCCTCCTCCCAGGTGCACCCGAGAGCGTCACGGAACTGTCTCGTGACCTCTCTCAGGACGTGCTTGTCGTCGGCCCAGGCGGTGACAGCCCATGGTCCTCTTCCTCGGCGCTCTATCGGCTCGCCGCTGGGCCCGTTGCCCTTCCACATGTCTGCTCTTGAGGCGGGGAGCTTGCCAAAGTCGTTCGGCAGCGGCGAGTGCTGCAGCACGCGGATGATGAACTCGAGCACAGTCACGATGGTCTCGTAAAGTGCCGTGCCGAGAGCCGGCGGAACGTCTGGGCTGGGTTTCGGCGGCTCCTCCCCCGGCGCCAGCGGCGGGTGGTGGCTGCATCCCAGGTGTCCGTTGTCGCGCCATGCTGACGGGTCGCCGCAGTCGCACACCGCCGCAAACGTGTAGGATAAGCCGAAGAGCACCTCGTGTCCCTCGTGGTTGCCTGCGTGGAAACAGTCGACACACAGGACACACGAGCTGTCGTTCGCGCATGTTCTGTCGTCAGCCGTCTGCCTCCGCCGATCGCAACAATAGGGTTCGCGACTCACTTGCAGATGTATGTCCGGTCGTAACGCTGCAGGACCTTGCCGCAGACTGCGCCGGGCTTGGGCTGCTTGGTCGACTTGCCCGCCTTCCTCGCCTTGTCCTCGAGCGCCTGCTGGGCGGCGTACAGGCTCCAAGTCTTCTCCGGGCCGAAACCGTCGCCCTGCGCCGGGCCCTGCGTCGGCTCGAGCCATTCGTACAGGTTGTCCCAGCTCGGGACACTCGTTGCGGAGGAGCTCGAAGCCTCGTCGGAAGAGGGGAGGAAGCACTCGCGCCACTCGGGACGCTCGAGGACGCAACTGTACAGCTGTCGTGTGATGGCGGCGCGCTGCAGCGGCGTGAGCTCGGGATTCTCGATGTGCCGGTGCCCCAGCAGGAGCAGGTCGGAGAGCTGGTTCTGCTGCGCCATGGCTTCGCTCTCTCTAAGCCAGGGTCAGCGGGGGTTGTTGTTGTGATGAAGGGGAGGTGTGATGGTCGCTCCTTGTGCTGACGGTAGCGAGTGTGTGTGACCAGCTCGCTGGCTGGCGGCTGGCTGACTGAGACCAAGCGTCATGAGTCAGTGGCGTGGTTGCGGACGCGGCGCTGATCGCAGGGGCACAACGTGGGGTAGCACACGTCATTCCCCTATCAACACGTCACCGGTCACCACCGTAGCCTCAGCCACCGTAGCATCGTCCACCTCGATCAAGCAGTGCATTCGGTGCAATCAACTCCGAGCTCGATACCAACAGCAGATAGAATGGACGCAACCGCGTCCCCCGCTCGACCAGCCTCGACGGCAACGACACCTCATGCGCCGATAACCCCCATCGTGCCGCAAGCAGTGCATGCACTGGCGGCCCCCGTCCCGAATCTGATCGACACCGCGCTGCCGGGGTACCTCCTGCCAGAGGTGATCCGGACATTGCAGGACAGCGCTCGCCACGCAGTCGAGCAGCGGGTAGCTGCCGAGCGCGATGCAGGGACAGGACAGGAGGAGGACGTGGACATTGCGGCGCTCACGATCAACGAGAAGCGGCATAGCGTGCCGCCTAAGGACAAGGGGAAGGGCAAGGAAGGCATGGTCGAGGACGCGGTCAAGGAGCGCCTCGAGCGGATCGGATACGCCGTCGGCGGATACGTTGCTGAGAAGTGAGCTGGATTGGATCTGTTCGTAAGCTAACGACAGGCTCACGCTCGCGCGACCCCCACTTGCGTCTCACCTCGACATGATCAAGTTTGTCTGCAAGGACCTCTTCCTCTTCGTCTATGCCAAGCAGATCGATAACCTCCGGACAAACCACAGGGTGAGCCTCAGCTTTTCGGTGAGAGAACTCAGCTGACCCCCAGGGCGTCTTTGTGCTGCAATCGCACGCCTTCCCTCCGCTCGCCTCGCTGTCTTCTACGCGGGGCACGCAGCACGACATCGCCGTCGCCAAGGTGCACCTGATCTACCCGCAGGCTCTGATCCAGGGCGCTCTCCAGCGTCTCGGCATGCAGTGCACGGTCACCGCGGAGACGAGCCAGCTTCCGCAGTGCACCTTCCAGGTCCGCGTGAGCAAACACCGCCAAGCGTCAGAAGGTCCTGGCCATGCTGCGCAGGAGAGCGTCGATCGGCGAAGAAGTAGTGCTGCGACCAGCGTCATGAGTCCGAGATAGTCCGCCCCTTTGTAAACAGATACGATATATGGCGATGTTGCATACTGTATGCTCGATCGATCTATCACGCACATAGCATATACCCATACTCGTACAAAATGTTAATTGTATAGACCCTCTTTCCCCCCAACAACTACGATCACTTGGTAACAAAACCTTACAGTTATCTGATTAATCGAAAACTTAACTAGGTGGGGAAAGCAGGGAAGAAGGGAAGAAGAAAGGAAACGGAATCTCTTAAAATCTACGCTCTGTGCTCAGTTTGTTGTTGTTATCCTTGACGTTGAAGTAGAATAACGGGAAGTAGTGCGAATGTCCAGGAAGTTCGGCGTCCTCGAAGACTCTGCTTCCTAAGTGATGGGTCGAGGGTCGTCCTTGGGGACCATCGACATCCAGATTCGGGACTGGTGTCAGCTCAAATATAAGCGCGTATAGCTTACCTTGAAGATACGGAAATTCTCTTTGGTCAGCTCGCTGAAATCCACTCGCTTGTCTGCCTTGAAGAAGAATGTGAGTTTGCGACGGTCCCATTGGTACTCCGCGTCCACGATCTGCATTGGCAGGCCACGCTGAGCGACCTTCTCACGACAGATCAGCATGGCGTCGTGCTCATCGCGCAGCTTCTCGACCATACGCCTGAAAAGTTAGCTTTGCTCGATCTCTTCTTGACTTACGCTTGCTCCTCCGCTCCGCCGCTGGACTTTGTGAAGATACGCTTGGGCATGATCTCCTTGGCCAGGGGGCCGCGGGCCCCAATGCCTCCGCTGCCGCCCATGTCCATCTGCGGTCCACTGGGACCGACCCCGGAGAGAAGCGTGTTGAGGTCCGCGCCGGTAAAATCGATGGCACCCGGGGCGGGCACAAAGTGCTGACCTTGGCTGCCGTTACGCTTGTGGTTGCTGGTGGTGCCGGACGCGGCAGGCGGCTGGTTGGCCATGGCCATGCCAGGGGGCTGGTGCTGGGAGGCTCCGGACAGAAGCGCCGCAGTAGCCTGCCGCTCCTGCCATTCGCGCACCTCGACCGGTGTCAGCTGGTCGTAAACGACAGTGCCAAGGTCAGAGCCACGATCAGCCTCAACGATCACGCGGTCACCGTTGCTGATCAACAGGGTGGGGTCAGGGCAGTAGAAAACGTCGCGGCGGCCAGCCTTGAACGTCACGATGTAGAGAGGCGTAGTAGGAGGCAGCGAGGCGAGAGGAATGCCCTTACCCAGGTCCGCCAGCGAGAGGGACGAGAATGACGGAGATGACTGGGGGTTGCCGCTCTGCGGCTGAGGCGGACCACCAAAGTAGTTCGGACCTGGACCAGGAGGGCCAGAGGATCCCAGAGGGAAGCCGGGACCAGGGTTGGACATGCCACCTACTGGGCCACCAGGAGGGCCGCCGAAGCCGGAGCCGCCGAAGCCACTAAAGTTGTTTTGAGGGAACGAGGGGCGACCAGGCGTCTGGCCAATACCTCCAAAGTATCCGAAACCTCCGGGCGGCCTTCCAAAGGTCGGTCCAGGACCGGGAGGCGGTCCCTGCGAGAAAGGTCCGGGTCTGAAACCGCCAGCAGTCGGCGACGGAATGCCCATGTTGCCGCCGCCGCCGAAACGGGCATCGAATCCACCAGGACCTTGAGGTTGTCCGCCCGAACGGACGGGCGCACCAATGGCACCGGGACCTCCTTCGCGGATTCTGTCGGGGCTGCCAGTGACAGCGCCCGAGAACGATGTTCTAGAACGAGTATCAGCGAACCCGAAGCGGCCGCGGCCTCCCTCGCGTTGTTCCGGACCAGTCGTTCCGCCGGGCGAAGAGCCAAAGAAGGGGTCGGACGACGGGTTAGAGCGAGCGATCTGGCGGGGGTTGTCCGAAAGACCTGGGGCGAAGATCGGCAGGCTGGATGCAGCCTGCTCCGGCTCCGCAGTGATTACACCCTGATTGTTCTCGTCAACATCGAGGTTCAGCGCATTGCCGAAGGAGTCTGCAATGAGCTCTTCATCGGTGAAGCCGAGAGAACCCAAACCGCGAGAACGGCCGCCTCCAACAGCGCTCAGACCAGGCCCGGCGTCGTTGAAGCTAAAGCCGCGCCGTGGTGCGGCGATCACCGACATGCTATGGCGGCGACTAGAGTTGCCAGAACGCCCTCCGTTGGCGGTGTCCTCGAAACCACCGACAACAGACGAGTACGTGGGCTGGCCACCGACGCCACCAAGAGCGTTTGTGACGGATGTGGTGAGCGCCGCCGTTGTGGGCGAAGTAGTCCAGTTCGTACGTGAGCCGAATGTCGCATCCTGCGGGGTTCTGAAGCTCTTTGGCCCAAAGTTGGTGGTCTTGCTGCGAGTTGCAGTCTTGCTCTGCTTGGGAGGCTCCTCATTGTTGTCGAGGAACGGGCGCATTCCGCTCGTGAACGGAGACATGTTGCTGGAACCATCCTGGCGCCATCCTTCTTCGAAGAAGCTCGATCCACCCGCCGAGTCGAAAGTACTGAGCGGCATCATGTAGCTGCGGTCAGGCCTGACACCGGTCGCGAATGACTGGGACCTAGAGCGGGATACGTTTGCCGGAGCGACTGGTGGCGAGTACTGCCCTCCCCTGCTGCTGTGCGGAGGGAGTGCCTGGTTGCCGGTGGTAGGAGAAGTCGAAGGAGAAGATGAAGGCGAGAAGGTGGGGAACTGCGACGGGGAGCTGGAGCGAGAGATCTGGAGCTCCTCGACATGCGATGATAGGGTGCGGACGAGGGAGGAGGGCTGAAGAGTCAGAGGACGAGATCGAAGGCCGATGAATTATTACCTGAGACACAAAGTCTCATGGTGCACTCACACGCTGGTCAATCTTGTCAGCGACGGAGAACGAGCTAGCACGGACTGGGCCCGAGCCGTAGGGCAACGGGCCGCCCATCCGACCGTTCCCAGACATCCGAGAGCCGCCGATGACGCCGAAGTCGTTGGCTGTAGTGCCGTTGGTCTGCCCCGGGCTGCCGCGGCCTGAAGCTGGCGATGAGATGGGCAGGCGCTCGTCCGGTGGCTGGCTCGACCCGCGCTTGACAGCCGAGGACAGATAGGGGTTGCTAACCGTGAAGGATCGCACTGGCGAAGGGCGGAATTGAGCCGGGGGAGGCGTGGCTTTGCTGTCCTTGGATGACGTCTGCGTTGCAGTGGTCTGGCCGCTGCCATCGCCCTCTGTGGTAGAGGCCGCGGGCACTGCGGCGTCGGCCATGGTTTAGAGTGATTCCGACAGCTTGAGAGGAAAGTTGGTCAAGAAGAAGGTGGTTGAATAACCGCCAAGCTGTGGTTCGAAGACAGGGCGGTGGCCTCCGAACGGGGAAGGCAGAAGGAGGGTTGGCCTCGCGGCTTTCGAGTTCAGGGCCCAAGGGGGAGGCTGGAAGAACCGAGTGGGGATCCGAGATTGGTAGGAGAAGACACTGAGGATGGATGGGACAATGGATGTGTCGACGAAACTATGCGGATGGCAGGTCGCCGAGCCGGAGGGTGTGACTGAGAGGGTGGAGAAGACCAAACTTGAAGCGAGTATGGTGGTGTGGTACGGAGGTAAATGACAGGCGACTTGGGGACCCGGGGGGGATGGCCTGTACTAGGGCGGAGGGTTAGGGCTGTGGGGGGCCGAGGTCGCCGATTAATGTACAGCAATTGCAGTCGAGCAAGTCTAGATAATCTAAAGATGGTATGACGGAGAATGGGAAGGAGGATGAGGTGGTGGCGAAGGGTTGGAAAGGTCGAGATGATGATGAGGTAGAGGAGGAGGGAAACAAGGGTCAGGTACTGCAGGTTGGCAGTGCTAGATCCATTTGATGACAGAGACGAGCAACAAGGAATGTTGGCTGGCCGTGCTGAGCCCTCGTTCCGTTTTGTGCTGTCATCCGGATCCCAGCCAACTACTTCGGCCCTGCTGGAGAGACGAGTAGCTCGGACTTCCTAGGATCTCGGCTTCGGTGCTCTAGTGAAGGGATGCATGCATTTGTTCGACCTCATACAGATACACTCCGCATGAACGGCGGTCGAGCCACCACGTTGGAGTGCGGAGTGCGGAGGGGCAGGCACACGAGGAGCTAGGTACGACGCTCAACTGAGAATGACACTACAACTCCAGTATGGGGGGACCAACTTGGAGACTCCGCCGACCACCTGGGAATGAGCGCAGTTTCCAGCGCTTAGGCATTGAGCACGTAGCCACCACTGTTGCTGGGAGAGATCGAGAGAAACAGAGGTATGTGAGGCGCCGCAGTATGTGGGATGGCGCAGCAGCTGGGGGTGAGTCATATTCGGCTGCCTCTCTTCAGCGCCAGTCTCATAGCTGGTGCCCAGCTGACTAGATGCGGGCAGAGGTTCTGCCGCAGTCTCTCTGCGTCGAACCGGCTTACATGTCCGTTGCTGTGTCCATACGGGCACACGGAACAAACCATGCGCCGCACCTTACTACTCTCACACCGCGCCCGACCCGGCTGAGCTGCATTGCTCACCGCTGCTCGAGGTCCAGGTCACAGTTCGAGCCAAGTCTTAGGGCTTGGGCGCTGCTTCTTGTTGTGCCGGCGCGCCTTTGTGAGCTTGCAAGGCACTTGACATGTCATGTGGCCAGTCCATCCGCACTCACGACAGTCGGCTGACCTGCACGCGCCCATATGTGTGAGGGTCAAATAAGAATCCTGTCATCGACCTGTGCATCCGAATTCTCGAGGCCAATGACGTACCCAGGTCCTACCCTCCGCACGCGTCCGACTGCAGAGCGCAAGGGCGCTGCACATCGGCTGCTTCGCATACGCGGCCTCCACCGAAATGCACCTTGCGGCAACACTTGGTCGCCGAACTGAGCAGCGATCAACACGCACAATCGATCACGCGGACAGAATGCAAGCACACTTGAATAGCTCTTGCATCTTATGCTCTGCGCTCTGGTGCACGGTCAAGGCTGTCGTCGCTCTCGGTGACAAACTCTCCTCTAGATGCGCTCATCGATCCTGCGGCCCGATGATGCATGCTCGCTACTCAATGCCCTCGTTACATCACTTCGGGTTTGGCCAGCCCTTGTTGGAATGCTCATCAATCCAGCAAAACATCTGTTTGAGATAGTGATGCACATTGCACAGCTAGCACTGGTCATAGCGCCGTACACTTGCGCGTCCACGGCCTGCACGTACGGTTGAATGGTGCATTTGTCGGGAGCTTGTCGTTGCACCAAGCTAGATCTGACAGACTGACCTGGCCCCCCGGCCTCACATTCCGCCACCTGACGCTTGTGCACGGTATCAACTGGGCTATCTGTCACTCCACCCGATCCCACCAGGCCCACCATCCATTCGACGTGAGCCCTCGCAAGCGTTCACACTCACACCCCATCCCCTTCCTTTCTTCTTCTCCAAACCTCCTCTTTCCTTTATCCCCAACTTCGGTGTTCCCCCTACCGACACTGCAGACAGCCAGGCGCTACCCTACTGTCTCTTCTCTTCCTTGCCGCCTTCGCTCATTCTTGGTGCTCCCTGGCGTCTGCCGCCCAGTAACCGGGATTGCGCGAGCGAGCGTGCCGTTTGCTGTCTCTCAATCGACATGTTCGTCATCAAGGCAACCCTGCGCGATGAGACTCGCCGCATCTCATTCGACGTGAACGGGTTCCCCAACTACTCCGAAATCCAGGACAAGGTGAGTTGCCTTTGGGTGGCAAATGCCTCGCTGCTGGTGGCAACGACGTCGCCCACTGCGCATGGTGAACACTGTGGGACCGGGGATGTCAACCGCATCGTGACCTTGCCCACTGTTGTAGACGCCCTTGGAGACATGGATACACGCCCTCCACGCACTCAGCCAGGCGCATCATGCACAGGACACGAGGGCACAAGCTAACGCATAGCTTCGCGCAGCCTTTAGTCTACCCGCGACTGCCCATCCCTTCTGGCACAACGTCCTTTTCTACCCTGACGATGCTAAGAACTCTCGCATCAAGTTCAAGCAGCACGTCTGCGACGCTGATGAGTAAGTACACGCCGTCGGCCTTCCACACAGGTTGTGCTAGTGTTTTCGGCGCCTCGATTGGTTATCAAGCCAGCCAGCCCGAATTCCAGTGCGCTGACGCGTCTACGCGCACCTGCCCTTCGGCTATCTTTCTATCATCGGGCTTTATAAAGCTGACTCTGCACAGATACAGCGCTGGTCAGCAACCTTTCAAGAGCGTCTCGGGCTATCCCAGTCCTATGCTCGTGTTCAACGTTCTGACTACCTCTGACCCTCGACTGAACGCCATCCGTGACTACCACAAGGCCAGCAAGATGCAGGCTAAAGCCAACGAACTCGATGTCGCCATTGCCGCCATCGACGAGGACCTCTTGCACAGGCATCAGCTGCTCGTGTCTTTGGAGGACAAGCTCCAGCAGTGTCGTCGTGAGGGGGATGCGCTCGGCGTTTCGTTCTGGTCCGACCGCGTCGAGGAGAAGCGCCGCTCGCTTCCTCAGCTGAACGAGAAGCTCCGCAGCCTTCGCACCGAGCGCCGTGCCATTGTTGAGGAGCTCGACCGCATGCGTCCGTCATCTCCCGGCCTCTCCCTGCGCCAGTGGGCCGACTCGCAGGAGCTTGACGAGATCCGCCAGATGCGTGACACCGATCAAGAACTTGCCGCCTGGCAGATCGAGAACGCCGACGCCACGTTCCCGCCCCTCGAGTCTGTCCTTAACGGTAGCTCTCGTTTCCCGACCTCGCGCTGGTCTTCCGGACCGTGGGGAAACATGCCTCTCCCACCAAACAGCTTTCGTCGCCCGCTGCCTGACCCCCCGGCTGCTGGGGGCATCGGTGCGATTCGCGACATCTTTGCTAGCTCGGCCGCGAATGCGATCCCCGCTCGTGAGATTGGCGCCGTTCTCGACCGTTTCCTGGAGCACTTCCAGGGCCAGCTCTGCGATACGCTTGACACTTTCGCCTCGCGCATCTCCCCCAACCCTCCTCAGGAGGCCGCTGCGCCTGCTGAAGTTCCCGAGATGAAGGCCGAGTCCTCCGAGCCGCACATCCCCGGTGCCTTTGTTTCCTCGACCCCTGCCGCTCCTGCTGTTCCGGAGGCGGGGACCGCGACGGACGAGAAGAAGAAGGACAAGACGAAGAAGCACTGCCATGGTCACAAGGGCGCATACCGTCACAAGCACATTACCTGCGACGGTTGTCTGACCGGTATCCGCGGCATGCGCTACAAGTGTGAGCAGTGCGCCGACTACGACCTCTGCGGATCGTGTCTCGCATATCTCCACACTTCGGACCTGCACCCCGTTACCCACACCTTCCGTGCCATGCTGCATCGTGGCCTCGAGGAGCGCATCAAGTTTGGTGGTACTGAGCCGACTCGTGCGACCCACCAGGCAAGCCGTCACCCAGCCACTTGTGACCTGTGCTCCGAGAACATTGTCGGTGTTCGCTGGAAGTGTCTCAACTGTCCAGACTGGGACTGCTGCTCGTCTTGCGCTCGCTCTGTCTCTTTGACGCACCCCGGTCACAGCTTCGTTAAGCTGCACAAGCCTACCGACTACGTCGGTAACGCTGCGTGGGACGCGAAGAGCAACGTGCACCACCCCTTCGTCGTCTGCGACGGATGCAACACTTCCATCCGCGGACCTCGCTACAAGTGCATGCACCCGAGCTGCCTTGACTACGACCTGTGCGAGAAGTGCGAGTCGCAACCCGTCCCCATCCACCCCGAGGACCACCCCATGCTCAAGACCAAGACCCCTCTCCACGTCAAGGTCCAGTCGTCGTTTGACCCTATCAACGAGGTCTACGATGACCACCATCGCCGCTACCGCGTCTCGCCCCGCAAGGAGCGCAAGGCGCGCAAGCCCGAGGCTGAGGCGGAGAGCAGCTCCCAGGCTCAGAAGGCCGCTGAGGAGAAGCCTGAAGTCAAGGCCGAGGCTGTCCAGGTTGACAGCACTTCTGAGGCTGAGCCGTCGTTAATTGACATGAGCGAGACCCCAGTTCAACCCCCCATCGACCGCGCGACCACTCCCAAGCCTGCTAAACCCGAGAACTCTCGTGCTTTCACCCGTGGCGAGGAGTACGCCAAGGCTCTCGATTCTCTCTTCCAGACCCCTCTGCGTGTCCCCGGTGGTACCGTCAGCTTCAAGAAGGACTTTGACACTTCTCGCCTCGCCCAGAGTGTTGTTTCAAACGTCCAGAACATTGCCGAGCGTGTGTCTCAGAGCGTCGCCAGCACTATCGCCCAGGGTGCTGTTGCTTCTGCTGACCTCGGTGCCGAGCCGGAGCGTGCGCGCACTCCCACTCCCGTCGGTGCCTTCCCCCAGCAGGGTTACACCGTCCCGCCTCCCGTCAAGACTCCTCCCCGCAGCCACCTCGATGCCCAGCAGAAGGCTGCCGCCGAGGCCGACAAGGTCGCTGCTAGCATCAAGAAGGCTGAGGAGGCCGCGCAGGCCGAGCGCCAGAAGGCTATGGCCGAGTCGAACCGCGTCAGCCGCGAGGCTGAGCGCGCTGTCGACGAGAGCAAGAAGGCGACGAACGAAGACTTTGTTTCGTCGCTGAAGCAGGCCGAGGAGGAGATTCGCCAGGCGATGAGGGAGATCCGTGCCGATCGCGCCCGCCGCGAGGCCGAGAAGGCCAAGGCGAAGGGCAAGGCCAAGGCTGTCGAGGTTCCGGCGCCGTCGCAGATGGAGGAGACTGAGCGCGAAGACCCGATCGTCAAGATTATCGCCGATGCTGCCAAGCAGCACGCCGCTGCGTTCGAGAAGGCGCGTGAGGAGGAGAAGTCCAAGGAGGCTGAGAAGGAGGTTCCGAAGGAGGAGTCCAAGAAGACCGAGGAGACGCCCGAGCCCGAGCGTGTTGACCCCATCTCGTCGATTATTGCCGCCGCCGCTGCGCCCAAGAACGCCGGCCAGGAGCCCGTCGGGCCCCACGACATCTTCACTTGGGTCCGCCACGTTACGATCCCCGCCGGCACTGTGCTCCCCGCCGGTGCCGAGTTCACCAAGACGTGGCGCGTGCGCCACTATGCCAGCGGCTCGGAGTACAACTTTGACAAGCTCCGACTCGTGCACACGACAGAGGGCAAGCTCGGCCCTGCGTGCAAGACCGCCCAGGTCGTCTTCCCCAGCGACATCGTCAATGGCGGGGACGTCGAGGTGTCCATCGCAGGCCTGATCGTGCCTGAGGAGCCGGGCAAGGAGATCACAGAGCAGTGGCGCTGGGAGGACGCTCAAGGCGTCGTCTACGGCCAGCCTCTGCGCGTGCGCATCAACGTCGAGGCGGTCAGCTCGGGCGAGAGCTCCATGCACGCCTCATCCTTTGTGCTTCCCCAGCAGAAGCTCGCAACCCCGGGCACCGGTGACTCCTTCTACCTCCCTACACCCCGCGAGCTGCGCATGGCCCACCGCCCCGCTCTCGACGCCGACGAGCTCAGCGAGGAGCTGCACTCGGTCGCCTCGGCCTCGGACGCCCACTCGGAGCTGCACGTTGTTGACGACGACGCCTCGTCCACCTTCTCGTTCAGCGACATTGAGCGCGACTCGGCCGTCGTCAAGGGCGCGCAGACCGTGACCTCGGAGTCGGACGAGGACTATGACTTTGTCGACACGACGGACGAGGACACGGAGAGTGAGATGTGAGCGACGAGCGAAGCGGGTCGCAAGAGCCTTCCCCCACCCCGTAACTCAACCCATCCACTCATTCACCCCCCAAAAGTCCACTCACACCTGTTGAAATGCCCCCCTTTGCCCCTGTTTGCTCAATAATGAAGTTCTCCAGTCAGTAGTCCCCAAAGTTCCAAAATAACATAAACGCAAAAGCCCTTGTATCCCGTTTGTAGTGAAGTGTTGTTACGAAATGAATCAGTACGCTCCTTACGTGCACGCAGCGAGCGAAGCGAGCGCAGTGGGCTGAAGGACCTGGAGGAACGGCAGCGGAAGGTGAGTGGCACTCGCCACGCCATGCGTAACCAGGACGCCAGTCACACAGCCAGCGTCCGAGACACAGCCCCTTATGCACAGCTCCCGGTTCTTCAGTCCCTCGAATCCTCATTCGCGCTCTCCGCGTTCTCAGTGCACAGACACTATGCCTACATCGTACAACTACATTACAGAAGCAACATACAACCCGTCTTCTTCAGCGCCACTCCGCGTCTTTCCGACGCCACTGCTCATGATACGGCCTGGGTTCTGGGTTCTGCCGATACTCGTCATGTCCATGTATCGTCGTGTTCATGTACGACCTGGGCTCGAGTGCGTAGGAGTGATCTGAGGAGATTGAGGAGACTCAGCTCGAGCGCTGTCGCGCCCAAGTCCAGAGCTTAGAGGAAGCCCCCGCGGTCCTTGAATCCGTACGCCTTGGTGTTGTGGTCGGGCGGACCGAGGAAGATACGGCGGAGCTGCGCGTCAGCAAGCACACGCGAGCGAAGCGAGCCGTCCATATTCTCTCTCTCCGCTCGTGAACAGTTTAAACGCAGTGGAGAAGACAGCGGGAGCGAGTGATGCAAGCGTGCATGAGCTATCCGGTTTATATGACGCCCATGACCCTCGAGCTCACTGCGTTCGCTATGCTCTCGTGGTGACCAGGAGGTACACCATCCTGACCACAGACACGGTGGTGTTGACGGAAAGACGTACGAAGCGCTTAGTCTTGCGCCACATGTTGCCGAGGACTTGGAGGATGGACACTGTGCTGGTTTTGGAAACTTGGGGTATGTTTCTGAGGGGATATGGGGTTGGGTATCGAGTTGGTTTGGAGTGAGAGGACGGAGAGAATGGGGGATGGACAACGCTGTGAGGGATATGAGGGGAGACAGTGGACGTCGATACAGGATGTGACAGTACAGAACAGGGCTACAAATGCGAGTGTGCAGACGTGTGCGAGTGTGCGAGATGTGGGATATGGGCGAGATGTGCGAGATCGGGGCGGTGTGTGGGCCAAGCAGGACAGATCGGTGGGATGTGTGTATCGCCGCTGCTTTTATCCACGAACGGACGAGGAGGGTCGTGCACTCGAGCACAGCCGCCGTCCAGCAAGCCATGAAGTACAGCGAGGGCCGTCGTCCGACGCTTCGCAGGTGTTCTTGAAACCAGTCTCGGACCCATCATCCCCCTGCTGTCCTGGGGTATCCCGGGATCGTGCCAGGTATGCAACGTTGCTGGAGTCGGAGACACGGACCGCAAGTGAAGTCGTGGAGAAGAGCCACTACTTCCCAGGCTTCGGCTTCGGCTTTGCCTTCTTGTCGGACTCGCAACAGATGCCGGGGAAGGGACAAGTGCCGGAGGTCGGCGGTGGAATAGGCGGCTGTTGTCAGCTCATCGCGGTGACTCCGCTTTTCCGCCTCTCCAGCCATGGCCGACTGTGGAGGAGGACTTACTGAAGGAGGCGGGCCCCCGTCAATCGGCATGACTGCTGTCAAGTGGTGTGATGAAGGAAGATAACCGTCAACGACTGTTAATGTACCGCCGACGAACAATGGAGTGAGTAAGCGCAACCGGCGAACGCGGTGAAGGGTGCGGCAGAGTGCGGCGGAGCCGTGGGGCCGTGGGGGCGTGGGACGGAGGTGACGACGCTGGACATGTCCGATACACAGCGACGCACTGGGGACAAGTGTGGACTGCCCCATTGGACTCTGCAGATGAGGGTATGTGGATGCCAAGGCGACGGACGCACTCTACACTGTGTAGTGACCTCCCCTGGTCACAGATCTGCGGCGCCGGAGATGAGATGCCGCTCTCGCATGCAGCGGACTCCATGGTGCCATGGATTAATGCTAGTGTGCGGTGTGCAGTTAGTGAGTGGGAGTCAGTAGCCATCATGAGTCAATGTGAGGCAACGACATGTCTCTCCACCAGCTATACTGCATCTTCCTAGCTCACTACGAACATTCCATTGATCTCCTTGTAGTCGTGGAAAGGAGATCAAATGGCCGAGCTCACGCCGAGATACGACTCGTTCCAGTGGTCGAACGCGTGCGCATGGCCGCCAGCGCGATTCTGGATCCGCTCAGCCGGTTCGATAACGGACGGAACGGTGATGTGAGTCTGGGATCAGCTTCAGACCACGCGCCCACCAGCTGTATCGAACAACCCTTACGATGGATACTCACGAGCTTCTGGGAGCTTGCAGTTCCAGAGACTATAGTACCCGGGGTAACAGCCCTGGGCACCTGGGTGCGCTGGCGGAGGGCCTGGACAAACGCGGCCGCGTAGTCGGTCAGAGGAATAGTCTCGCTCATCGTTAAGGTCACATCCCCTCTGAGGTCTTGTTTATATATCTCTCTCGGGAGCCTCCACTTGCCGCCTGACCCCAGACATGTGGGTCCATTGCCGCTTGTGTCCCCCGCTTGCCGTAGTTCTCCGCTCCTCTCCTCCGCGCGCCCTGCTGTGAGTGTGTTTGTGAGAAAGCGGTAAGTCGATGTGGAGGGTGGAGGTGTGGAGGTGGGAAGTGCGCCCCTGTCCCCAACATTCCTCGGGTCGTTCCCACATCTCCACTTCTGGGCAACGCTGGGCGCAAGATCTATGCAGGGGCTTGCCGCAGATTTCCATTCGAGTACTGCAGTGACAGCCATGACACGATCGCGACGCGCCTCCGCGCGCCTGGTGCAATTGCGCAGTGGAATGTGCGGTAAACCAGTCGGATCGGGTTTTTGGGGCGGAATCATAAGTCGGCGCCTGCCAGGAGGGTGCCATTGCCGGCGGTAAATCCACCCCGCTCCGCAATCGGGTCAGATATCGGGATGGGTCCATGGGTCCATGGGGACTCTTGATTTCGAATGACCGAGTGGGTGGGGGGTGACCGCTATCGCTAAGCGCTCAGCGCGCTCTGCATCACTGTCTCAACTGCGCAATACGATAGATAACGTGTGATACCTGATGCATGATAGTGTTGAATCCGAGTTGATAAGCACGCGCATGCGCGAGTTCCGGAGCCGGCGGCAAAGACGGGTCTTCATTTCTTAGCTCGTTCCATCGTGAGCTCGGTGGACTCGATTTCGGCCTCCACCGATGGATGAAAGCGTTCCCTTCCATTGTTCTGGCCCAGCGAACTGGCGACCGTGCCTCGCCCGCCTCGTCGCTTATGCCAGGCTGCCCGCATCCAATCATTCATACTCCAATGTCAGGCGCTGTCCACTTCACACTGCACCTGCTGACTTCGCTTGCTTGCCCGCATAGCGCACGCACGATGATACAAGACACGCACGTACGTCGCTCGCCCCTCGGCACACGCAAGAGCGGGGCGGTAACGTGCTTGCATCTGTCCACTCTGTGGGGAAGCTGATCGAGCAGAGTGCCCATCGATCGCCGCTTCTCAGCAACAGATGTGACTTGAGGTGTTGAGTGTTCACAGATCAAATGCTCTATGGAACAACGCATGGAACAGGTAGACCGTTAGAGCTTTGGATTGCGTCGAACAACAGGGACGCAGGGCATATCGCTGCGTGCACTGTGCACCTCGAGGCTGCCGCAGGCTGAGACGGCTGAAACACACGCACCCTCATTCTCTGCATTCTAGCGTGCCGAGGTTATCTGCTCCGAGGCAATGGGCAAAGTCGCCGGTCGCCCGCTCGTCGCATGCGCGGCACAGCCGACGGCATTCCAAGAGCAGTTGAACAATTGTACAGTTTGAGATCTCAGATACATACAACGTATTTTTACTAGTGATGATGTGCTGTGGTTGCGTGTGTTACTACAGAGCCCAAGACGATGGTCCTGTGGGCCATTACGAGCTGGCGAATGGAGAGCCCGTGCGTTTCTATTGTCACTCCCGCCGGGCCGGGGGCCGACGAGATTCGATGCCAAAACCCAAACAGTGAAAGTGTAAGAGAGAAAAGAACAAACAAAAGCGAAGTTGATAGAAGGGGAGGTCGGTGCGGAGGCGCTTGAGGCGCCTCGCGGCGCGGATGGCGGGCCGGCGGACCGATCCCGGGGCCGACGTCGTCAGAGATGGTGCACATTGTGAGGTGGACAGGTGTGGAATACACAGTGTGAGTTCTTGGCGAGCGCAGAGGCAGGACTACGCTGCGCCGAGCACCGATGGCGACATTGCGCCTCGCTTAGAGCGAGAGGCGGGCGGGAGACCTTGCGGCTGCGCTGGTGTGCAGGTGTGCTGGCGCCGAGCTGCGCCCCCACGTCCTAGCAAGCAACGGAGCTACGCCTTGATGGCGTCAACGGTGCCGTCGACACCCGGGATGTGAGGACGAACCGCCTGCTTGGGCTCCGGGGCCTTGAGTTCAAAGTCGTCGAGGGGCGGGCCGATGTACTCGATCGGGATGCGCGGCTCGTCTGGCGAGATGGGCTGGAACGGGCCGTACGAGATCGACACCGGCGAGGGGAGCGCGGGCACAGGCTGCTGCAAAGGTCAGCTTCTATTCGGCGTACAAACTGTGACAACGCTGCAGCTACTTCGAAGACTGCAGAATGCGGAGCGCACAGAGAGAGTACTCACCGGAGCAACGTCGTTCTGCACGGACATGGTGAGAGACAGTCACGCAGTTAGGCTGGTCGGGACTCGAGCGGCGGAGACTCGAGTGGGAGAGGTGAAACCAGAGACAGGTTGGGCAACCTGAAGTGGTGGTGTGGTGGGTGGTGTCGCAAGAAGCGCGGGAAATGACAGTGGTGACAGAAAGTCGACGGCGAAGAGAAAGTCGAAGAAAGAGTGAAGTTGTTGCGAGTTGTTCTCCGAGCGAGGGGCGATCGAGGCAAACGAGGGCCGGTGCAGGAGTGTACGAGGGGTGCAAGTGGTGGCTGATGGTGGCGTAGAGAGAGGGGGACGCTGGAAAAGATCAGCGCCGTATATAAAGCTCGCCGCCGGGTGGATGTACTGCAAGTGGTGTTGCAGACGAGGTCAGGCATCAGGCAGCGGCCATGTGTTCGGCAGGGCGGCGACGGTCTGGACCAGGCATGACTCGGGCGACCAGGGAAAACAGGGCGTGTGCAGGGTGAAGGTGCACATCACCTGAGCTGGCAACCGTGGGCCCGGAGCCGCGGACGGCGCTGCGGTCCGCGAGCAGTGGGCCAGGCTCTGATCACAAAATGATAGGCGACTCTGCGGTGACAGGCACGCCATGCACGCAGTGCTCGCAGGCGGCGCGGCGCAATGCACAAGCAACGCAGTCAGTCTGCTGGTGGCGACGCAGCGTTCCAGGCCATAGGCACTTCCATTTGGCCCCGTTAAACCTGCTGATGTGCGCCGGCATGCATGCTGTGGTGACTGATCCACTCCACAGGTCAGCAATTGACTGTCCCATGGCTGGATTGGCGGCGTCCGCCTGCGATCCGCGATGAGATTTGCTTATTCGAAGGGGCCGCTTAGTCTGCTGCGACATATCATGTCGGCAGGGTACATGCAGAGAGCACGCCTGGCCGCGTGTCCGAACAACCCTGGCAGCTGGCCGGGCTGGCCGGACTGGGGGGCTGGCGCGCCGAAGGGGGAAGGCAGGTGCACGGAGGGTGCAATTATCATCCAGGGCAACGCCGACACTAGAGTACCCTTGGCGTCATGAGCTCCACAGGCTGGAAAGCCACCAGCCTCCAGGCTGGGCGATCCACACGCATGATCTCACGCCGTTCCCTGCTCTATGGATAGCTCCCTTTGGCTGCAGGCCGAAGGGACGGGGCGGCCGGACAGCTTGCCGGACCCCGTTCCACTACCCTGCAGGTCTGGACCGCTCGTGCGCTTGCACGCGGCGGCGCGGAACAGAATGGCGCAGAAGAACGGAAGAGCCGTGTCAAGAGATCGGCACGGCATGCACCGGCTGCGAGATCACCAAAGACCTCAAATCTTCTTCTGCCGACGCAGCAGCTTCTTGCCTACAACCGTGCAGTCCGCAGAAGCATGCAGAAGCCCTCGACTGCCACAGCGCATCATCTAGACTCCGCATCCCCCAATCTTCATCCAGGGGAATAGGCGGAGCAACTCGGCGGGTGCAGAGCGCTTCTCTAGATCGCAGAGAAAGGGGAGGCGGCGACGGCCCGGTCGCTACCTCGGCCATGCCTCGTTTGGTGGGCTCTACGTCTGCTTTTCGGGACCATCCTCGCCCCCATATTGAATAAGGCAGGAATGCAGGAATCCGCAATCAATGTGGTGTTTCAATGAACTTCATTCTCTTCGGGCATTGCGATCATCGCTCGTCGTATGCCAGGAGGTGCATTTCGACTCCAGCACAGTGGCGCATACCTCTGTCATCAACGTCACTCCGCTCGCGATTGCGAAAACCCTTCATCCCAATGTTCCCAGCTCTATACCTTGTGAACATGTTGCACAATGCTGAACGACCTTGCCCGAGGCGGCAGGGGCCGGAGCAGCGGATCGAGCAATGGTGACTTAGGGTCGGGGCCTAAGTCTCGACTGGTCGACAGCTGGTTGGACTGTGGACAGCGGAAAAGCGACGCTCGATCACAGAATGCACAGAAGCAGTGGCTCAGGTCTCCAGTGACTCAGTCATTCGATCATTCGGGCCCGTCGCTCAGCTACGCCTCATCGCTTCATCGCACGGTGAGTGACCTGGCCAGCATCGGCCAGCACAGTCAGGTAGCTATCAGTAGGGCGCGATGCCAAGCAGTGTGGGCTCTCACTCAGGCCGATCAGAACAGTGCACGTTCATTGCGGAACATTGGGGGAGGGCGCGGCCGAGCGCTGACCGAAACAACAACGATGATCCGTCTGGAGAGCCGTCACGTCGTCTGCCCACGTCTGCTTGTCTGAGGCATGTGTCTCAGCCCGTTGCAGAGCGGGGTGAGTCACCAGGACGACGCTAGCGACACGTATGGACAGCCGGGCTCTTCGGGGCCGTGAGTTGCTCGGATCCATGCGTCCCATGACTGTTCAGATCCAGAGGCGTGGGAGGGTGGCGCCGAGGCTGGACCCCTGTCTACCAGGCTTTCAGCGACATTGCTATGCGAATGCGAATATCAGGCGGGTTCGTCTCCGCGAGTGTCTGACCTCGTCACTTGAAGCGTGTCTCCGCACGAATCGGTCACTTGACGAGACGTTTTGATTCAGAAGTGCAGCACGTAGTCTCTATGCAACCTCGACCGCGATCAGACGTCGCACTCGCCCACTTGTACCAACGCGAATAACGTGTCATGTCTCTTCCCCACACAGCTCTGAGTCAGACTGGGCCTTCCAGCAACCATTTGCTCTGGGTACTCGATCTGGGCCCGACGCTCAGTAACGCTCCAACCAGAGGGATTCGCTTTGGCTTCAATTTAGTGCTGTTCAAGAGTTGCCAAGAGTGCGGGTTGCGGTGGTGTGATGCGATGAGACCAGGCGTCAACGAGTGAGACGGCTTGAGCCCAACTATCAGGCGGCACATGCGATAACTCAGCTGGTTCATCGCCTTGCAGACGTTTGCTGATGGAAGATCTCAAGCGCCGAGCGAAGAGATCTTGGCGTCGGCACCGCACATTTCGGTGACTAACCTTCCTTTGCGCACAGGAAGATGCCGATCGGCGCTTACTTGCGTTCGCTTCTCAAGTGGTCCTTATCTTACCGGGTGTCAGCGATGACCCTTCTGTGATGCCTGATCACTTCTTTATATCTCTACAAGGCTTCTGCAAAGAGTGGGCCGGGGGGACCGTAAGAGAAGATTGCAGACAGCCAATATTCCGGTCGCGGACCGTCTGTGCGGAGACGCCCGTGGTAGTCATTCTCTGCCGACAAACCTACCGTACGCTATACGCCTCATGCAAACGAGCTGGCATTCTGAGCACTAGTGGACTGTCAAGCCATCGTGGAGCATTCCTGTCGGTCCCACAAGAATCACGAGAGAGTGATTACTCGGCGGCCATGACCAACGCTCGAGTTCTAGTCGCTTGCCAGTCAAATCGAGCTACTGAACAGGTTTACAAGCACCACAGGCGTACGCTTCAGTCACGACTAACACAACAAACAGATGTTACTCCCTGCGTCTGTGTTCGATTGACAGCTCAGAATAGGTATCTGTCCTCAAAGGCATCGTCGATCGTCCCACAGCGACTGATCCGCATCCCTCCAATTGGTCGCGGGCCCGACGTCAGCCGCCTAGCCGAGAAAAAGCCGAGTGACTCTCCTTTGGGCCCCGCTCCACCCCCGTCGATCACTTCCTGCCTGACTTTTCGCGCTTTCTCAACAACAACACACTCTTCATTCCACATAACCCCCTCGCTTTCTCAACGCAGCGGCAAAACGACAGCATGAGCGACCTCGACGTCAAGCCCGACGTTTCCTCCGACATCTCCCGCGAAGCCTCCGCGCCGGCCTACGAGCAGCGCCCGCGTGCGCGCCGCGCCGTGCTCGTGTTTGAGGACGATCCGGACTTTGGCGAGTTCCTTGCCCCGCGTCCGCAGGCGCTGCACCCCAGCTTGATCCAGTACCCCCAGTCGACCCCACAGCCCGCCCCGCAACCGCTGCACAGGCCGCCCAACCTCGGCCATCCCGCTTCGGGCCACGCCCCGCCCAACCTCGGCCATTCTAGATCTAGTCAACAGACCGCCGGCAACTATCAGTCCGTCGAAGTCAACCAGGTCGAGAGGCCTAGTGCCTCTCGGCCGTGGCCCGCCCCGCCCTCCGAGTACGCTGGACGCCCGCAACAGCAGGGAGCTAAACAGGGAGGCGTCAGCCCGCTTGTCGTGCTTGGTGTGTTTGTCGCGCTTGCTGTTCTTATTGGATCCTTCGTCTTCTTCTTTGACAAGAAGATTAAGAGGGACGAGCTCGAGCACGTCCGTCGTCTTGTTTCTGAGGTTGTCGCGGAGTATAGGGACGGCAACCGTGTGCCGGAACAACTGAAGGAGGTCGTGGACACTCTTGATGGCGTGTTCAAGACGTACGGATTCGAGCCAGTGGAAGTCGCGAAGGTGGTGAAGGCGACAACAGCGAGAGCTGTCGCCGCTGAGCTCTAGCATGTATCTGGTATCTGGGTCTGCTGATCGGTGGCTACTCTACGGTTTGCATACTGACTACTGCTACTACTGTTGACCTTACTCCTTGCACTACTAACTACGCTCGAAGCTCGGCGGCTGAGACACCTCGAGCTATGGATGGGAAGGCGACACGCCTACTTCTTGGCGTTCGAGCCGTAGTAGTGGGTGGTCTGGCCCGAGGGCGAGTTGTACTGCGCGTAGCCATTGCCTGACGTGTCAGCTGCGGACTGTGTGAGAACGCTGGGAAGGAGAACGGCTCACCCGAGTTGTAGTAGGTCGAGTTGTCAGTGTTCTGGTAGTAGTACGAGCCGTTCGAGCTGTCCGTCAGCTTCAATGGCGATCACTAAGCTCACTTAGAGTAGTGGTAGCCGGTGTTGCCGGTCGAGGTGTCGACACGGTTGTCGTAGCGGTTGCCCTAGGGTCAGCTGACTGCGTGTGAAGGAGCATGGAGACTGGCGTCGCGCATCGGAGGTGAGGTCATCGAGGAAGGTGGAAATAATGACTTACCTGGTCGTTGGTGCCGCGGTGGGTGATCTTGTCGGGCATGGTGGTGTTTTGTTGTTATTGGTGTAAGGTAACGAAGAGAGCGGCGGGGAGAAGTGAGGATGGGAGAAGTGAGAGAGGTGATAATGAGAGGGGGGAAGAGCATCAGTACGCCTTATATCAAGGAGAAAGGGGGTGCGGTATCAGAATGAGCTGCGTGCTTATCGTGCGCCGGCTGACCAGCTGACCTCGCCTTGCTCAGCTCGCACCAGGGGCGCACACTAATGCACGCCTTATTGTGATCGGGCGGATCTGGAGCCAGGCTTCACTTCTGCATAGCTGCATAGCATTCTGACGTGAAAGCTGAAAACGACTGTACATCACTTCTTGACGCCAAAGTATTCCTTCACATGGCCCGAGGGTGAGGTACGGCGTGCATAGCCATTGCCTGAGGTGTCAGAGCTCCAAGAAGCGGATGAAGCAGCTCACCGTCGTTCCAGTAAGTGGACCCATCAGTGTTCTTGTAGTAGTAAGAGTTGTCACGACTGGAAAGTCAGCGCAAGAACAGACCATGCTCACTTGCTGTAGTGGAAGCCCTTTTCGCCGGTCTCGGTATTGACACGCGTATCGTACTTGTTACCCTGTGGTTATGTGATCAGATGTAGAGCACGAGCAGCTGTAACCCACATCGTTGTTGATGCCGCGGGTGAGGATCTTGTCAGGCATAGTGAGATGAGGTAGTGAAGACGCGCGGGGGATGGCGGAACAACTGCCTGGAAGGCTCAGCTTATATCATCATGCACGGCGAAGCGGACTGAGAGCTGATCGTGAGGGCATGGGAAGAGTTGACGACTACGCCCTTTCCGCTAGCACAGGCTACGGACGGACACACGGACACGGCGCATCAAGATACACAACGATCTCACTTTTCTGCATAGACTGTTGCACTTCTCACGGTGAGGTCTTATGACCACTTACTTCTTGGATTGGTGCTCGGTCGTGCTCCTTTCCGAGGATGTGTAGCAGGCGTACCCGCCCCCCGAGTTGCAGTACGTCGAGCTTTCCGTGTTCTGGTAGTAGTACGAGCCGTCCGAGCTGATGTTAGTTCAGAAGTACTTGCGGCGCAGCTGATGCAGTGATAGCCAGAGGAGCCGGTGTGGTTGTTTTCCCGGAATTCGTAGTGATTGCCCTGTGTGCCAGCACTGACGTTATCCTCATCGATAATTGATGCGCACTTGGATGTTGGTGCCGCGAGAGGTTACCTAGTCGGGTATTGGTGTGCGCTTCGCCCGGTAGAGGGAAGAGAATAGAGCTGTGAAGCCCCTTTTATCCATTGCTGCTCATCGTGGCTTGGGCTGTTCGTCATGCATCATCTCGACACGTTAAAAGCAAGCGCGTCAGATGACTGCTACGAATTCTGTAGTTGACTCAACCGTGGAATGCCGAGCGAGTTTTTTTGCCTTCAGGAACGTAATTTCACCGAGATAGCAACAGCACGGTGACGTCTTGCTTCGATCAGTCTGACCACCCGCGGTTGACCTCAGAACTCGAGGGGCAGCTTTCGTCATTTCTACTTGCATTTGGCTTCAGATACAACACATTCTTTAATGAGAGCTTTACTTCTTGTACGAGATGCCCTTCGACTCGCCAGAGGAGGAAGTGTACTTGGCGTAACCGTTGCCTGGGGTCAGTTGGGGTGATCGAAGAGCAAGCGCATCATACCGAAGTTAGTGTAGGTTGAGCCATTCGTGTTGCTGTAGTGGTAGGTGCCGTTGGAGCTACTCGTCAGCTCATGGTGTGAGGAAAGCTTACTTTGAGTAGTGGTAGCCGGTGTTACCCGTCGACGTGTTGACACGCGTGTCATAGTTGTTACCCTGAAGGTGAGCTCTAATGGATCAGAAAGATGTAGCTTACCTGGCTGTTGGTGCCGCGAGAGGTGATCTGGTCAGGCATTTTGAAGTGGAGCCGAGTGTTAGTGAGCGGAAGTGTTAGACGTATGGGGATGGGACGAGGAAGAAGTCAGTCTCGCGTCTTATGAGTTCCAAAGTGGTCGCGCGGGTAGTGACGCATGGTCACCTGAGGAGCGGATGACTGGACTTTCGTTAACTCGCGGAATGCGAACATGACAGGCGAGGCAGCCTTGGTTCCTGGATGGCGTTTCACGTAGCACAGATGAGCACGAAGTCACATTTCCGCAACTAAACGTTATCCCACTCGTTGATCTCACTCTTGAACTTCTTGCGCTCGTAGTTGCCGATAGTATACCAGCTGACCTCGTCGCAGGACCCAGTGACGAAGCCGCCTCCAGCCGAGTTGTAAGCGAAGCCGATCTCCTTGCGCATCGTCCACTGCTTGGCGAGTGTGTGAAGGTCGTATGCAGCGTTTCCCTTCTGCTTCTGATGTTCCTCGACAAGCATCGACCTGCCGTAGGCTGACAGACTCGTCGTCGAGAAGCCGTAGAAGTCGACGCGGGGGCGGCGGAAGTCCCAGGGATCCAGGCGGCGCGTCTTGGTCAGGGCGTGCATGACGGTGGCGATATAGTCGGCGCTGAGAGGCTTACCGCCCAGCTCGGCTTGGACCGCACGTGCCTCGGCGTCGCCGACCAGTTTGCGCGCCAGAGGGTGGTGCGTCAGCGAGTCGTCCCAGTCAGGCCAGAACACAACGCGGATCACGTCCACCTCTGTGAACTGGCCGATGAGCGACTTGACCAGCCCCTCGGAGGGACAACTCTGTACTGTCAGCTGGTGCGAACAACCCAAAGCTTACGTCTTTGCCAGTATACGACATCATTTTGGTTGGAAGAACGAAGACCATTTCCTTCGTCTTGCTGTTGGCCTTCCACATTGCAGGGAATGGAACTTCGAGCCCCGAGACGTTGCGCACGACGATCTTGCGCGGGTTCAGAGCGTCGACGATTGGGCAGGAACCCCCGGGACAGTTCTCGCAGATGTGGAAGGTGCGGTGAGGAGCGCAGGGCGTCTCAAGGATACGCAAGATTTCGACACCCTGCATGAACTCCTGGACGTGCTTGCTGTAAATACCGCACCCAGACTCGTGGTGACTGCCCAGCGTGAACACGCGGACAAGGCGGAGAAGGTCCTTCTTTGAGATCGGCAGGGTGACAGCGGGGTTGTCGTCATCGTCGACAGCTTCGAGATTGCCCTCCACGTCCTGTGACTCCGATGCCCTGGGACCCTTCTGGACGTTCTTGGCGTTTTCAGTGATGTTAGTCTTGAGGAGCGGCTCATCTTTAGGCGACTTGCGAACGGGGCTCGAAGCCTTTTCATCCTCGTGGGGCGTTTTGGGACGTGGCGCGGGGTTGGTGTACCTGCCGTAACCGTGAGGCTTGCTGAACAATTTACCATATTCGGTCAGGCCACCGTCGGCGCGGCGGTCGATGCCCCAATCATCCTTCAGGCGCTCGAGACACTCGTCACAGCCGCACGGCTTGAACGAGCCGCGGAAGAATGAGTCGATTGTCTCCTCCCAGATTGCGACGGTGTGGTAGAGCAGCGGTGCGACCTCCTTGTAGAAAGTCTTGTCCAAACGCATTAAACGTGCTAGAGTGGGCCGGTCACGACTTGCGTACTGAATGATGGAGGTGACGATGTGAGGAATCGACATCAGACGGTCCACCGCTGAAGACGAGGAAGCCGAGGGTTTGACGTCGCTGTCACCAGCTGGTATGGCGACAGTGGGGCTCTTGTCAGTCATGCTGAGAGTTACTCTTCGAGGTCGAGTTGGAGTGAAGAGAAACAGAGGAACGAGAAGACTATCCATACTGACTACCTGGTGAGCTGCCGCCTGTGGGAGAGGGCACATCAGGTGAGTCATGTGTGTGTGGGTGAGGTCTGTTCGCAGGTGTGCCCTGCCGATCATAAAGGTCGATGATCCGAATCGTGCAGCTTGTGCACTGGCTGACATCCCGGATATCATGGTCAACTACTCGGGCTACGGTGCCGGTGCACAGCAGGTGTGACGGAGCGCGGATATGAACGTATTTCATAGCACGCACGGACAACTGCATACAGGTATTGCGGTGGACTAAGGCATACGAGCACCGCCCGCCTTAGTCCCATTGCGAGATCTCGGCCTCACGCTGTCCACGCAGATAGTTTTCAATCGTGTACAGCACTACGTCGGGGCAGGTCTGCATCATGATTGGCATGCTCCTCGTAGCAGGTGTCCCCACGACGTACCAGCTATCGGTACGGATGGCCTCGCGCTTCACCAGCGTGTGCAGGTCGGGCACCTGAACTCCCGGATTGACGACGGAGAACTGGTACTGGATCAGCCTGTACCTCGTCGCGGCAAGGTTGAGCGAGCCGATGCCATAGAACTGGACGCGGGGCATGCGTTCCCCGGGGCCCGGCAGCGCGCGCCAGAAATCCTGCTTCGCACGCGTGCCCTTGCACATGGCCACGAGGATTCCGGCAGTGTCGGCCGGCATGGCACGGTGACGGTTGACCAGGTACGGAAGAGGCTTGAGGTCAGACTTCAGCACGAATCCCGCCTCGGCATAGGTGGCGAGGTCGTGGTCCCACTCGGGCCAGAAGACGATCTTGATCAGGTCGGCTCCATGGAACTGCCCGTTGAACGACCAGGCCAGGTTCTCAGGCAAACCAGTCGCGTTCTCATGTCAGCTCCTCAAGCATGAACCAGCTTACGGTACGGTCATGCAAGTACGCCTCAACGGTGGGGATTATGAAGACGACCTCCTTTGTGTTGCTGTTCAGCGACCAGAGGGGCGGGAAGGGGAGCGAGCGGTGCGAGAGATTGCGCAGGACGAGCTTGCGGGGGTTGATAGCGCTGATAATGGGACACGGGGTTTCGGGTACGCCCGTGTCGCTGTCAGGGCTGCTGCAGATGGGGGCGGTGACGCCATCGTGCACGGGAGTATCGACGATGCGGAACACTTCGACGTTGGTCACATATTTGCGGAACGAGGTGTACCACACCGCGCAGCTGAATGAATGGTGCGAGCCCAGCGTCAGCACGCGGACGAAGCTGAGCAGCTCCCTCTTGCTGAGAGGGAGGGTGGTTCCAGCCGTGTAACGGCCAGACCAGTACGTGCGGAAAGGGGCCTTATTCTCGAATTCGGGAAACTTGACGTGTTCCCCCGTGACATTGTCGACGAGGTTGCAGATTGGAGAGCCGTAAGCTGAGTGATCGTCCGTAGAGCGATTGAAAGCGCCGTGAAAGAAGGAATCGAAGTTGTTCTCCCAAACGGCGACGGTGTCGTAGAGTACGGGGCCAACTAGGGCGTAGAGATTGCGGTTGGTGCGCATGAGATTGAAGATGGTGGTGCGGTCGGTGCGCGCGTACTGGGCGATGCTATATACGACGTGAGGCAGGGCCATGACCTCGTCGGTGACGATGGTCAGGCGGTCTCGGCCTGCCCTCATCGCGGAACCGCTGGTGCTTTAGGGGGGGAGATGGGGTGTGAAGAGCAGTCGAATTCCGTGTTATGATGACAACACCGTTATATAGGGGGAGCATCTGTTGCTCCTTCTTGGCATGGTGTCGGTCTGTGTGCCCGTCAGCGAGGTTTCGGCCAGGGGAGTGCGCACCTATGTCATCGCACACGACTCGCACCCACACATGTGGCCAAAGTCCACATCTGTTGAGAGCTGTGTCGTTATGCTCTCACGTCTTTCTTTGCACGCGAGGCCGGAGGGACGCTCTTCTGATGCGCGACAGCTCTGGATCCATGACCATGCGCTTGCGTCTCCGCACAACGGAGCCTTGAGTCTCATCCGGCACCTCACCAGTCTCCGATGGAGCTCTCTTCACCTGTGGGACAGAATCCTGGTCTATCCCTGCAGACACTGAAGCGCCGTTCTCGTCGGACGCCCAGTCGCATGACTCCGAGTCACTGGGCGAACCGGTGCCAAATTCGCGCCTATACGCTCTGTTAAGCTCCTCGTCCTCGTAGAACATGGAGTCATCGAAGCCACAAGCGTCAAAGACGGCTGGAGGCAGGAGGTGGGCGACGGGAAGAAGCTCCATCCGCCTTTTCTCGCTGGGCGACATCCCGGGCTGCGGCACGGTCTGGGGGTGGTCGAGGCGGCGAGCGATGAGTGAGGGCACTCCGCAATAGTGCACTTTATAGCCCCATTCATCGACCGCGGGGGTGCAATTGCACGAGACTATAACGGTTCCATGTGAAGTGAGAACCGTGTACGTCGCGCTGCCCTCATAAGTCGTTGATTTCTTGTTTCCCTCGGCTGCACGTCAGGAATGGCGACAATGGTCAGCCTCACCAGTGCAGATATAACTCGATCCATCATCGTTTCGATACTCGAATCCTCTGTCTGGATAGTCATACCGCCAGGCTCTCTTCGACTCGCTGAAATTAGCCATTTAACGGGCTCAACCCACTCGTAAGTGCGCCTCCCGTGATGACCATTATTGTACTCGTACACCTCGAACCTCTTGCCCTGCAAAGATCAGAAGAGAATCTTCGGCCAGGGACTTACATTTGCGTTCACTCCGCGGCTGAACACGCTCTCTACCAGGTCCCGAAGGTGAATAGGCTGGGGCATCACCAATGAATGGGACAAAGACGTTAGGGCCGGATGCAAGATTAGTATGCTCTTTCAGTCTTGCGTGATTGCGTTGCACACATAGGGGGTGAGGACACATAGGGGGTGAGGAGCGGTCTGTTCAGAGACCAAGTGCCCGTGAGAAAGCTGCGATTACGACCGCAAGGCCGTGGTAACCGAAGACAAGGGAAAGCTCTCCTTATCCTCCTCTGACCTCCAGACAAGGAGGATCAAAGAAGTTCCGGCCATCGCACACCTGACCTCCGGCACAGGGATGTTCGTGGCACCTGTACCTGGGAGCTGGTGGCCATTACGTACGAGGGGATGCGAAGCATATCCAAGTCGGTATCGAACCAGAGGCAAATCGCTGCCAATCACACGCAGGAGCAGAGGCTGAGGTTGAAAATGTCGACTATGGCGGCGATACCAAGATGGAGGCCCTTTATAGTAGGAGGCTGAAATATTAGGTGGAAGGATAAGCTGAGGGTAGGACGTAGGCCATAGCAATCCCACGACAGGGATGGGCTACCGAACCGCCCAGCGGAGTGTTCAATGTGAAAAGGATGGCCCGCTGCTTGTCGCTGCTGCCGGGGCTCCTCCATGGCAGCTCCTCACCGTCGCTCCAGTCTCAGCGTCTGCGTTCTGACTCGGCAAGATTGCGTAGGGCAGGCTTATTCGATCAAAGTAGACCTCTATAGTACGTACCGCTCATTGCAATAAGATGTGCAGGTAAGGTTTCTCAATCAGACACGACGCGACAACACAATGAAGGAACGGCAAACGACATCGAGTGCCTGGGTGACACCGGATCCTGTTGTGACGCCATCCACATGACTCGCTTGGCTCTTCCACATTCCGAGGGGTTGGGCGCCTTACGTCCGAGATACCGAAGGGACTGTGGTGAGCAGCATCGCAATCATGCAAGCACGACACACGAAACCCCGTCGTCGGATGTGAAGCAAGAGTTGATCGGCAGAACGATGCACCGCGGGCCTGCTGGCAAGAGGGTGATAACGAACAGTGAGAGACAGGATTTGAGAAAGAGAACATGGAATTTGTATTTGTTGAGCTACGGGAGGTCAAGATGCGCGCACCTGGCTGGCTCACTGACCACAGGTGAGTCATGAGGCACTGGGCATGCTCGGTTTGGAGCCCCCCGTCGCATTTGACAGTGCCCTGCAGCCCCCAGCAAATCATTAGAACCCAACTGTAAACCAATTTGAATTGTGGATGACGCCGATGAGGCAAAATTGCCCCTTGCGGAAATGACAGCATTCAGGTGCCTGGTTCCACCTCCCAGCGAGATGTGCATGTTCAGACTCGGACTGACCTCACGCAACACCAAGTAGATCCTCCAGCTCGCGTCATTTCACTCATCCTCACACTTCCTTCGCACCTTTGTCTTTGCTCAAGTCTCTTATCAACCGCTATTCTCGCGCGTCCCTCTTCAACCCCGTCGTTACTGGTTAGCACAGATCCTTGTTCCTTCCTCGGCGCATATTCGACCCCGACCTAGCACGTCGATCGTATCGCCGTCATATCCAGTCCGAGGAAGGCGTTGCATCCGGTATCGGCCATCGCTCGTTTGTTCCTCTGCTGCTTTGTTCTGGAATCCGCGTCCTCAAATACGTCGCCTTCTTTGACGGCACCCACACACTTCGGCCGTAATCGACGTCTTATCTGGCCTCGGCTTGCAGTTCTATCTACAATCCGCTAGTCGTCGAAGTCTTACGCACGTGAGTATCGTCTTCAACTCGATTCTGCGTGCACGCGCAATCCCTCTAGCAGACGAATGGACAGAGGAGTACCGTGCGAATGGTAGCCCTTCTACACACACGACAATCTCAGACAGTGCCTTCACTTACAATCCACTACGACAGCCGGGCTGACGATAGGCGCAGGCAATCATCAGGGCCGAACCCGCTCGCTGTCTCTCTCGTAACGAGCGTGGAACTCGGCGTGCCCACCATGTTATCGAACGCACCCATCATCCCGTCGTCGGCCTTCTCGGTCATTGCTCTCCTCCCTGATTCGATGTCGATGGGGTCGCAGACGGGACCCACTCCGCCGCCGCTTGTCCACCGAGATTCGGCGCCGAAGATTCACACGCGCAGTGATTGGAACAATGAGGAAACTGATAACCTGTCGCTTCACAGCCGCCGCCTGAGTCTTGCTCCTGGATTGGGTTCTGGTTTCAACACAGCTTCGAAGCCCTCACCTCTGGCTACCAGTCCAGAGATACCTTCGTCCTCTCGCCTTGCACCGCCCAACGCCGACTCGCCGTCTTCGATGCACTCAAGAACACGCAGCTCCGGCAACAGGAAGACTTCTCTCGGGAGCCCTCTCGGCTCCGAAGCTCTGAGGCAACCGCGCGGCAGTATGCAAATTGGCTCAGCGGCGCGTTCGTCGGCCATGGCAGGCCGCAGCCGGCCTGGAGCGGCCGGGGATGACCTCGTTGGCGCTTTACGGCAGTATGGTTTGGAAGGTGAGTAACTTGGGCGTTGAAATCTGGTTGGCCCCCTCGCGCTCCAGTTTGCAGTCCCTGGCGATCTCGAAACACAGGGACAGGTGTCGGGCAAAGGGCCCGCCGGGGAAGCGCAGCAAGCGTCTTCCGCGTTTGCTGGTGATTATGCGAGGCGAGTCTCCACTGGAAGCTGGCATCGAGAAATTCTCAGTTTCGCAAGGCGGTGCTGAAGTCGGCTATCGTGGGGCTGTCGCCCTGCTTTGCATTGACGAGGAGGCGTTAGGGACAGCAGACTCGACGATCTCTCCTCGGCGTGTCATGAACAAAGCCACCGGCGACCACAGACCTCGTGCGCTTGCTCTTCGCCAATAGCTGGAGTGGGCAAGCGCTTTGGCCTGGCTGGGCAGTGCCCTGGCTGCGGTGTTTCATGTGCACGTACAAGCGGTGCCAACCACTCATGGCTCCCTGTGCCTTATGTGCTGACGTCGCAGTGACTGCTGTTCACCAGGCTTCTCATCTCCCGAGCTTGTTGTCCTCGCCAACAACATCAGCGTCATCGACGTCACCTCAGCAGGTCATTCTTGTCCCTCTTGAGGAGCCTCCAGTCCTGCCTTCGCTCTCCATCTTAACTTCCAAGGGCACCACTCCCAGTGCTGTCTGTTTTCAGAATGATATAATCCAGGCAGCTCGCCGCGTGGAGGATCAGTGGATCAATAATGCGACCGCTAGCATCGAGCGCATCATGCAGCTCTGCAACGGGGCGGACCGGTACGCCGAAGAGAACGAAGGACAGAAGCCACCAGTCCTCCTCGTCTACGTGCCAGGATCTGGTCTGTCGAACAACGCGCTTTCGGCGTGTGTCGCTGCTGGCGCATCGGGGTTCCTCTACCCGCCATTCGACAGTCACACAGCCGACTACATTGTGCAGCTAGTAGCTGCCGCCAATGCTGGAAAGACGGCGAGCATGGTCGGCCTACCCAACGACGTCGCCTCACCTCAGTCCTCCATCACGTCCCTGTCGCTCCACTCCGGCTTCGACGACGAGGCCAAGGTCGTGCTGACGCCCACGGCGCTTGGTAAGGGTGCCGAGCACGAGAGTGAACGCGCGCTGAACGCATCGCTTCACCCCGCTCGGCGTAGGGTGAGCACGCAGCTGAATCTCAGCCGTGTGATCTCCCAGGGCTCTACTGCCAGCGTTGAAAGCGAGCAACGTTTCGAGCGCAGCGAGATCGCGAATCTCTCGCCAAACATTGGTCGTCGCAGCTCGCTGGCAAAAGTTACAGTCAGCAACGTGGGCCAGCTGCCATCCAAGTACCAGCTGCTGGAGTCGATGATCGCCAACAGCGACGACTCTCGGCGGAGAAGCGTTGACAACGGAGGTCTTGCGCTCGCCTTTGACCGCGTCACACAGCGCGCCATGCCTGCCCCTCAAGGTTTCGGACAGACTTTCAGTGTGATCGCGCGGGAACAAGAGCAGGAGGCGACCGAAGGGAGCAACAAAACGCAGTTCGCCGAGGTGTTGGGCGAGACTTTCCACCACATCCTGTCTTGGATACAGATTCAGATGGAAGACTACGAGGCCATGTCAGCGCCTATCTCCCGAGATGACCGCGTGCGCCTCGTTTCCGCTCTCAATTCTTGGGATTTCAGACCTCATCTCTTGTCGCAGGCTGACCTCTATCGTGTCGCTTGCCTCGTGTTCGAGGCGGCGTTGCATGTCGAGGGAATTGCGGATCTCGGCATCACACAGGGTGAGTTTCTGAAGTGAGCACTCGAATCTGACTCCAGATCAAATGAATCGATTCCTCTTCGCCGTGCGAGCCATTTACCACAAACCGAACCCCTACCACAACTACATCCACGCCATCGACGTCCTCCAGGCGACCTACATGTTCCTCATGTCCATCGGAGTCGTCCCGCCATTCTCTTTCTTCCTTGATCTTGTTCCTGGCCAAACTATCTGGAAGCGACCCACTGAGGATGCCCAGCCGGCGGGCGGCGCGGGCACTCAGCGAGCTCGCGACATTTTACGTCCCCAAGATGTGTTCGCGATTCTCATGGCCGCCATCGGCCACGACGTTGGCCACCCGGGCCTCAGCAACGCCTTCATGAAGAACGCCAAGGTGCCACTCTCCCTTGTCTACGATGACAAGTCGGTTCTCGAAAACATGCACACTGTGCTCGTGGTCAAGCTTCTGAACAAGCACGGCTTCGGCTTCCTCCTCGGCACTCCATCTGAACAGGAGGTCGCGCAATTCCCGGCGCGCGGCGAGATCGACTGGCGCGGTTTCCGAAGGGTTTTGTATTCTGCCATTCTTGCCACCGACATGTCTCTGCACTTCGCCTGGATCCAGCGTCTGCAGGAGTTCGGCTCCGCCATGCAGCAGGGCAAGATCACGGACCGTGAGGAGCTTCGCGATGAGGACCGCGTTATGGTCTCGCAGGCCCTCATCAAGTGTGCAGACATCAGCAACCCGACGCGGCCGATCGATGTGTCCGAGCACTGGTCGACGGTGCTGCTGGACGAGTGGACGAAGCAGGCTTTCTTGGAGGAGGAGCTTGACCTGCCGGTCTCGGTCGTGGCCGGCGTTGATGCACGACTTCAGGCCAAGGGTCAGGTTGGCTTCATCAACCTATTCACGGAGCCGTTGTTCAAGGCAGCAGCTGAGGCGTTGCCTGAGCTGACGCAGTTTGCCGACTCGTGCATCGAGAACAAGAACATCTGGATGACGCGCCTCGAGCACCTCGAGGCTGACTCGGACGAAAACGCCAAGCTCACGGCTCTTCTGCAGGAGCTTGTGAGCACACCGACCGCCTCTTCCCAGGACGAGCGGTTCAACACTTTGCTTCCTGCCATTCTGCCGCCCGGTCTCGTCCACCATGATGAGTCCCCGACCGAAGAGACAGCCGACGCGCAGCAGTTGGCAGGCGTTAGGAGCGTCCGGCCGCCGATCATTGACGCCCTGCGCGCCGTGTATGAGGAGGAGGTGCACCATCCCCGCAACCACTGCCTCTCGTCGTACCAGCAGAGCCGGCGCATGTCGACACCCGACGCGATTGCGCTCCTTAGCCGCTCCAACCTGCGAGGTGGACACATCTGAGCAAATGCTACAGACCCACATTCTTGACACTCCCGAACCCGATCTTCTCGATCTTCCACCAGAATCTCATCTTCCGCCGTACCAGAGAGACGATCGACAGACGAACGACAGACGACAGACGACAGACAGACGTACCGACACAGACAAACAGACCAACCATTGCATTTGCCAACTACTAGCATTCACAGCTTGCCAGCTATTGCATTCACAATGTAACCACATCAAACTGTACATGTAACCAGTACACGAAAACGGATTCGGAGCACGTCGCACATATTCACTACATTTGCATGACACGCACAAGACACTAACAAAGAGATTTCTAAGGTTACACAGTCTAGTTTAGTCCGTGAGATACACGGGGATACCGTAGACAACGGGCGCGGCGCCAGTGAGGAACTGGAGCTTGGTGCTCGCCCTCGCAGCAGAGACGGCCTGTACGACGCTCTTCTCCTCCTTCGCCTCCGTCTCGCCCAGCCCAAGCTGGTCAAGCACAACCTCGGTCAGGCGGTCAATGTCCTTATCCGTCACGTCCCAGAGGTTGCCGACGAGGCACGGGCAGCCGGCAAGGACATAGTCCATCGGCGTGCCCGTGCGGTCGAGGTCACCCTGGTCCCTGAGCAGGCCCGAGGAACAGCCCCAGAGCATGGTGACGGCGCATCTCTGGAGATGCCTAATCTTGTGGCCGCGGACGTACTCCTCGCCTCCGCCGTGCCCGCAGTACACGACCAGATCCTTCTCCTCGAGCGCCTTCAGCACGGCCGCCTCGGTCGGTTTCGAGCCCGTCAGACCGGTCCAGCCGTACTTCTTCTCGAGGGCGGCGATGCGCGGCTCGAACCGCGCCTGCGTCCCCGTCAGGTCGCCGGAGGGGTTGAGGTAGTACTCGGCGCTGCGGCGGGAGACCTCGCGCCGCGGCGTATGCAGCAGGAAGGGTAGGGAGGGAATGCGGCTCACGGCGCGGCCGCGCAGGATCGGGATCGACTCCCACGGAATGCCCTGCACGTTCTTGTCGAGCGCGAGCAGGAGGTGCTCCTCCTCCCGCTGAGGCTGGTGGAAGAGGGACGCCGCCTCGAGGTCGCTGAGCGCGCTCTTGACGTCGACGCCGAGCTGGTCAAAGTCGAGCTCAGCCAGCGCGACTGGCACCCCGTTGAACTGGTACTGATCCAGGATGAAGTAGACGAGATCCTCGACCTCCTCGTCCTTGCACTTGCTGCTGAGGGTTGCGAAGCACTGCAGGAGAGCATCGGGGAGCTGCACGCGGGTGGAGCGGCGTTCGGAGCCCCCGCTGAGAGCACTTTGGAAGATGCGGTCGAGACGCTCCTTGAATGCCGTGAAAGCCTGCGTGTCGTAAGACGAGCGCGGGTTCAGCACCGTCTTGAACGCGCCCAGCCAGCAGAACTCGATCGTCGCCAGCAGCTCGCCTAGTCGCGCGTCGATTGCGATGCGATCGCGCCACCACGTCTTCTTGTCCTCCTGCGTCATGCATTTCTTGATTGCGCTGATCGACGCCTCGTTGCCGTCCATAACGGCCTTCAGCTCGGTCATGCCCGCGTCAAACGTGAAGAGTTCAGACTCGTCCTCACCCTCGCGCCTGCCCTGGCGATCCAGCGGAATGCAGAAGACAAGAGGCTCGCACCCATTCTGATGCCGCGAGACCAGCATGGTGTTCCGGTCATCGGTGACAGTAATGCTTACCACGGCCCAAGTCTTCGGAAGCGAAGAAAGGTCGTAGTCCGTCTGCAGGTAGTCGTTGGCCTGATACTGCTGCCTCAGGCTCTTCCAGTCCCCCTCGAGCTCGGTCTGCGGCTCGATCTCGGGACTATCGAGAGCGGGCCAGTCGAAGTCGTCCGCGTTGGGGTCGGCAAACTTGCCGTCAACGGCCGACAGTAGCTCGCGGTGCAAGGTAATGCTCGAGGCGGATGCGAGAACACCAGCGGCCGAAGCTGTCGTCTCGGGATTGCCATGGCCGAGGGAGGTTTGGAACGCGCCGAGAACCGCGAGCGAGACGCACGCCTGTCGAATCTCCTCGACTTTCCCGGTGCGGGCGACTGCGGCGAGTGTCGATCGGAACGCTTCGCTCGCCTTCTCCAGAAGCAGCTGAGCGGTGTGGCGGGAAGAGGCTCTGTCCTTCCTTTCGGATCCGCTCATGGTCATGGCGATCGTGGACTCGGTCAGAGAGCTCATGAACAGGTCGGTCTTGAAGCAGTCGAACGCATCGTGCATCGCGACCTTGGCGTCGAGGAAGAGGTTCTCCGACTTGTTTTCCGGCACATGCTGCAGCTGCTCATGTACTTCGCTATACTCGTCGTTGCAGCCGGCCTCCTTCAAAAGCCAAGCGCGCTGGCGCAGGAGATGACCGAGAGCGTTGGGGAAGAGGGGTTCGACGCTTGTATCCTTGACTGGCGAAGGCCACGACTCTGCAGTGGTGAACTGCCCGTCAAGTCCGACGATATCGTTAACGGCGCGAATGAACATCTCGTCCGCCTCGGCACTTTCGTGCTGCCTCGAGAGCAGCTCGCCCTGCACGCGCATAAGCTCGACCGCATCCGGGCCTTCGATGGCGAACTCGGCGCCGCTCGTGATCTGCTCGGCTGCCGTATCGAAGTTGAGACGACGGGATTCGAGCTCGGCGCTGTGAGCCGAAACACGGGCGGACAGGCTGCTAGACCGAATGGCCGGCACCATGCCACGGACCTGGACGAGGTAGTACTCGCACTCCTTGACCGAGCCTCTACGGGCAAGTGCCATGGTCAAATCAAACGTGGCGTCGACGAGGTGCTCGGCATAATGCCACTGCAAGGCGGTGAGATACTTGCCAGTGAAGCAGAAGTTGCGCGCAGCCTTGGCCACGCCCTCCGACTTCGCCTTAGCCTTTTCATGCTCATCCATCTCCTCCTCGACGGCCTCCAACTCCTGCACGTCCGCAGCATCGGGAGCCTCTGCAGCCAGGTGTGCGATGCCGTGTGCTCCGCGGCACCATTGCCTGTAGGCGACAGTCAGGCTGTCAAGTGCTGACGCAACGTCACCCTACTCGTCAGATTGGTCATCGAGCTCGAGCTACTCACCTCCGCCATCCTGATGGCTGCGAGAGTACCGTGCGCGAGGGCCACCCGCTCGGAAACAGCACAAAGCTCGATCCAGCGCTTAGAGAACGTGCCCGTGTTTGTAGGTTCTGGGATAGATGGGAACAAGTCCTGAGCATTGGCGTAAGCATCGCGAGCGTCTGCGACCTGGCCAGACATCGCGAGGTATCGTGCGTAACGAAGGTACACCTCGAGGAGAGCGGCAGGGGAGATGGTCGCCGACTGCCCCGCGTCAGAGCCAGTCTCTTGGCTGGAGTTCTCGGTCGCCTCAGCGCAGTTGACGGCAGCTGCGAAGATGCTTTGAGCCCTAGAGAATTTACCGAGACGCCCGTACTCCGTACCCAGGCGAGCAGAGGTCATAATGTAGGCTAATGTTAGTTTACCTTCCACTCTCGTCAACTCACCTTCTCCCTGGTCCTGACGCTGTACCGTTCGGAGTGCCCTCAATGTCTCTAACTTAGGCAGCACGAGACCCATGATACCGAAGAGAGTAGCAAGGGAGTCCAGCAGTTCGCAGAAGCGCTCCATGTCGTCGATCACAAGCGGTACGGGCTCCGTCGCCTTCGGTGCAGCCTTCGCAGATGCCGCCTTCGTCGACCTCGCCGCAGGAGGCTTGGCGGCAGTCTTGGCCGTGGTCGTCCGGGTACTCCGTACCGTCGCGCGTGTACCGCGAGCGCCGCTGACGACGCGCTTGCCCGCAACAGCTGGCTTGTCGGCGACCTGGGGAGGAGCAATCAGGTTACGGATGGCTTTGAGAGCCGCACCTCCAAGTTGCGCCACTGCCGCCACACTGTGTTGGGTGGCGTGGTAAGCGTCGAGCGCCCGTAGGACAAGTGCACAGGCATGGTATTCTGAGCTGTATCTCTCCAAGCCCGAGTCGTTACCGAAGGCGGTCTGAGATGCAAGGTGCTCGATCTCTTCCGCAAGAGGGTTGAAGCGGTTGGACTGGTATCCCGTGGCAGCAATAGTGGCCATCAGACGAAGGATGACCCTCATTCGGCGCATGGGATAGTCGGCGTCGGCATAAGTCGCTAAGAGTCGATCGGCAAGCTCGGAAATGAGCACCTGAATGTGCGTCTTGAAGCGGGCATGCTCTAGTGCACCCATAACCCGCTCGCCAATGGCACCTCGGACGGCGGTGGAGACATGCGCTTCGTCCATTGCACTCCAGAGAATTGACGCGAAGCCGATCGTCTCCGGGTCGTTCGTGATGAATGTCGTGCAGCGCTTCAGCAGCGAAATCCAATCCGAGATGTTGGCGAAGATCTTGTACGGGCTCACGGAGGCGCTCTCCTTTTCGATGCGGTGAATGGTGGAGTCGTCCAGAGTGAGTAGGGCTCGGGCAAAGGCTGCCATTGCGGCCGGCTTGTCCTTCTCCTGATAGCAGAAAGCGAGAAGCTCCAGTCGCCTCATCATCGAGCCATGGAGGGCCCTCCAGTGCGTCGAGTCCAGGACAGCCTCATCGTCCGGAGGCGATGCCAGGAGTTCGGAAGACCAGTCCACACTACGCTTGATCAGTCCTAGAGCTCCGTTTGCTTTGGCATGCGTGAGGCGCACGGCGGTAGCGTGAGCCGTTTGCGAAAGGCAGACCACGAACTGCACCAGGGCGCCAGCACTGATGTTCGGCTTGTTGGCGATCACCAGGGAATAGACGCGGTCAAGAAGAGACATGAGCTCGGTCGTTCCCAGAGACGGGGCGATCTTCAGGGTTGAGTCCACGAGACCGGGCAAACAGTCACGGCTGATGGCGGGCATTCGGTCGTCGGAAACGTCCCGAAGGAGGCTTTCGATAAAAGTCGCCTCAGCACTTAACCATTCGCGCACCACTTCGACCAACTTTGGGCGATCCAATAGCTTCACAAGCACTCGTCGTAGGCGCTCCAGTCCTCGGAGACAGGCTGAGGTGGCGTTGGCTCCCTCGCTTCCCATGCTACAAAGAGCAGACAGGAGGGTGCCGAGATCGACACCGGCCAAAGCATCAGTCAAGGCGCTTCCCGAAGCAGAGGAATCGCTGGCCAGAGCTTCGACCTGGACCTGAACTCTGGCCAGCTTCGCGGACAGCTGCGAAGCAGTTGCTGAAGCATTGCTGATCCTCGACACGCTCGACGAGGAGCCAGTAGACACTGCGCTCGATGCGCTCGTCGAGAGCGGCGTAGCTGTGCCCGACCGAACGGTGGCTGACGCCTTGTCTCCCGAAATCGTTGCGATCGATGTAACGACGGCCAAGGCTTCGTCGATAACGGCTGAGTCACCGAGGTTGCGGCCAACTCCGACCCAGATATCCGCCACTGTGCTCCAGCTGCCTGCGAACCAGGCATTCCTGTTCTCCCCTCGAGCGGCGCAGGTACGCTCCACGACATCAACGCACTGGGAGATAAACATCGCCACGGCCCGCTTGTCATCAGTCCCGGCCAGATATTTCTGGCACGTCCGCGCGACATGAGACCAGATCGAGTCGGGCGAGTTCTTCTTAGGAGGATCGTCGGCCGCGCTTGATGACACCGTTGTCGCAAACGCCGTGTAGAAACGAAGTCGAAGCCAAGAGGCTGAGATCGGGGTGTCCACTGCCGAGATACGGCGGTACAGTAACACGGCAAACGGACCGATGGAGGTAAGTGGTAGGGAAGGCGCTAGAATCAGGGGGTGATTCGCAGCGTCGGAGATCGTCAGAGTGGAGCAAATCGCCTGCTGTCAGCGAGTAGCACAACCGAGAAAATGTACCTCAGGATCCATGTCGGGGAGCAGGCTGCACCACGCTGCAATCGTGGAATTGCACAATAGCACTCGAAGAACGTCGCCGATTTCGCCCTTGGCGCGCGGATATGTCGTAATTCCGTCCCAGGTCCATTCATCGCCAACGAAAATGTGCTCGTAGTCCTTGACCAGGCTATGCCTGAGCTCTCCAAGAAGCTCAAGGGCGGTCGTATTCTGCACTGGTCAGCTGTTTCCGAAGTTACCGCTCTAGTCACCATATCCAACGCAATGCACTTGAAGGCCAGGTTGAAGGCACCTCGCTCGACGGCCAGTCGCTGGGAGCCAGAGCCGTACAGCTCTCGGAGCACCTTCACTCCGGCCCTGCCTTCGCGTACAGCCTTGGCAACCTTTGGAGCCCACTCTGACTTTGTTCCTGTCCTGTATCCCGCCGCTTGAGCCTCGGACAGTAGCTTTATCGCAGAGTTGCTCGCCGCCTGCGCCGATTGGGCACGCTCCCTGACGCCGACGCCTGGTTTCGTCCATGGTAGGTCATCGTCATCAGTCACCCTTTGGGGCGAATCCTTGCTGGCACTAGCAGTGGAGGCTGTAGCACGAATGGAAGCGGAAGTCGGCGCCCTGGTCGTCCGTGTCGTCGTTGTCGACGCCGCACGCGAACTGGAAGGGGTGGTAGTCGTGGCTGTTCGGCGTGTTCGTGTGGTCGTCGGCTTTGCTGCGGTCGTTTCAGTCTCTCGTGTGGACGTCTTGGTCGACTTTGTAACAGTCCTCGTCGTGGCAGCCGACGGGGCCTTCGTAGGAGCTCCAGCCTTTGTCGCAGACGCCTTGCTAGCCGATGTGACACGCTTCCTCGGCTGAGGCTCGGGCTCGCTGACCTTGAGCACGCGGTCAAGCGTCGCCGCAAGGTCATCTCCAGCGGATACGGGGGCCGCAGCTGTGCGCCTCGTCGTCCGTGTCGCCACCCGTGTCGTTGGTGGGGCCGCTACTCGAGCCGGCATCGTTGTCGGTAGTGTATGGTGTTGTTGTTGTTTCGATCGTAAACAGACTGAATTCAGGGACACCCAGAAGTCATTCGCGCTGACTGTGGCAGCTGGGCCGGGAGGTTGCATGGCTTGCACGTGGCTAATGACGTTTGTAAAATTTCGGCCCTTATCACATTCGGTCATGAATTCCTGCCCTCTCGAGCTATTGTGAGGTTAGCGACCGCTTTCGAGGTTCCGCAACAACAACACCGGGCACCATGGTGAGTACGAAGTTATCTAGTTGAGGAAGCAGACAGGGTTGACATTCAGATTATTCCCGTGCGCTGCTTCTCGTGTGGAAAGGTTGTTGGAAACCTGTGGGAGTCGTACCTCGAGCTCCTCGCCGCCGGTGTTGATGAGGGGTAAGTCAAACCGTGACTTCAGCTCGAAATGATTGCTGACTTGTAGTGATGCGCTCGACAAGCTGCAACTGTAAGATTGGATACGACCGGATCAATGCAGCTAACATGTAGGAAGCGGTACTGCTGCCGTCGTATGGTCCTGACGCATGTCGACCTCATTGAGAAGCTTCTCCTCTACAACCGTGAGTTTCGAGACGCTTCTGCCTGAACTGACATCGCAGCTCTTGACCGTGACCGCACTTAGACATCGGGATCGTATCTGTACAACATGTGACTCTTAGGACTTAGCTGGATCATCGGTCCGCGGCTTGCCCTTTGCTAGTTGCTGACACACTGATTATACATCATCTACTGAGACAGCTAGTAACGAGTGATCACGCCGCCTTCTCCTCCCGCACACCAGACGCCATCCGGAGCGACAGCCCACGTCTCGATACCAACAGCTTCCCACCCGCCGTACTCCTCTTTCGTATCGACAGTGATGCCGCTGCCATCGACCTGCAAACTCAAGCGACATGGCAGACCGCTGCCTGTACCCACCAAGATTCCGTCATCTCGATCGTCAAAGACGACGCTGTAGATCGGGGACTCGTTTCGCATGACGAGCGTCGGTGAGACGTCCTCGATGCTCCCCTCCGCCGCGCGCAGCGTCTTTAGCTGCCGGACGGCGATGGTGCCGTTTTGGTGGCCGGTGACGATAGCTTGGAGCTTCGGAGAGTAGTCAATAGAGATCAGGTTGGAGTAGATGTCGGGCTGGACGACGAATGCGGGCTCAGCACCAGACTCAGAAGCCAGCGAGAAGGCGGTGAGTGAGCCCTCTGGAGAGGCGGCAAGGGCGATCGAGTCACCCTCTGCACCCCCGAGCGTCTTGACGCCCTCCGCATCATCCACAACCACTATGCCGTCAACGAACTTGCCGTCCGGGACAGTCCACTTCTTCTCCTCGGCTCCCTGGCCCACGTTCCAGAGGCGGACGGTGCTGTCCTTGCTGCCAGAAAGAACTTGTTTGCCAACGCCTATGATGTGCGTTGAAGTAACTGCCCGCGTGTGGCCCTTCAATGTTCGAGGGTTGATGCCATCAACGCCAGAGAAGATGCGGAGGGACAAGTCAGAAGATGCAGTCAGGACGACCTGAGCCAGAGTCAGCAGCAGATACACTGGTGTAACACACCTCGCCGCTGGGGAACCACTTGACGTTGAGAACGTCGCCGACGTGACCCTTCAGTTCCAACACTTCCTCTGGCTTCTGCGGCGACAAAACGACGCAGTATCCGTCGGGTCCGCCAATCACCATCTTGCCAGATTTCTCGGCGAAGTCGATGGAGTTGATGCTCAGCTCGGGCTGCAGTCAGCGTCAAATCGGAGGCTAATGGCCTACTGAAACGTTGCTCTTCTTCGTGTAAGGAGGCTTGACAGACTGACGAGGGAATCGGACTGGTCGGCTGGCGACGTTGAGCTCCTGACAGGAAACCAGGAAGTTGGACTGTGGTTAGTCAGGTTTGAAGCCGTGTGACGTACCTTGGAGACGCGCTCGACATTGACACCGTTTAGAGATTCCAGATGGGCGCCTCCGTCACCAGACTCAACGCGAACCTTGCCATGGACAGAGGGAGACCCGAGTTTGTACTGGGATAAGCTCACGTTCTGCCGAAGATAACTCACCACCGACACCCATACATCTTCCTTGGTCACGGTGCCCTGCTCGACGTCATCGAAGACGGCAAGCGCATCGTGCTGCCATCAGTTAGACGTCTAAAGGAGGGCAACCAGCATACCTGCATGTCCACATAGGCCAAAGCCTTCACTTTGTCGACCATCGTGCTGCTCAGCGGGGCGGAGAATGTTGTAGACACCTCAGCGTCATCCGCTGACGGTGAACGACACTGGTGGAGGTCGACCGCTTACATGGGCGGATCGAATATGCCAAAGCATTGTTTTGACTTAGGCACGGAGACGGTGTTGCTGAGGTCAACAACAACCAGTCCACCATGGAGAACCCGCACGAGGCTGAGCAGACGCGCTTGCTAGAGCGCATCATCAAGAACGTCGTAGGTTTTTAGCTAGTCATCAGAAGCAGGTAACTGATCGACAGGACAAATGCAATGAGGCTGTCCTCGAGATGAACAACTGCGTCAAGGTGAGCTTTGTCCAAGCCTGTGAGCTAATTGTCCAGGAGATCCTCGAGTCTTCGCACGCAATGGTCATGTCTGCGCAGCTGTTCGATAACTATACAGACAGCGCTGCCAACTACATGGAGAACCTCAAGATGATGCCGAAGCCGAAGTGATCTCTCCTGTCTCAATCGCACATTCGGTCGAACGACGCAGCTGCCTTAGCGTGCGGCCGGTGACGTGACGCGCCGTTTTGTTCATATGTGATGCGACTCGCCGCTGCGACGCATCTGCGCGCCTCTCCGTTCAACGACTCCCGTACTGTCTTATTCGAGTACGGGTCCGGTTACGATACGTGAGCATGCCACCTGTGAGTTGGGTAGTATCGAAGCTAGCTGATGTCAGCTTGTCAGCGAACGACGAAAGCCATAGGTCACGATTGTGCATAGCATTGCTCTACATGAGGCGAACAATGCATCTGATGCGGAACTAGAGGAGCGGCTCCTCCACAATGGCCTGACCTCTACAACCACCGCGACGGTGCGGAACTGGAGACTCGTCGTGTACCACCCGTGTGATGCACCATCCTCGGTAACTGACAAGCTCTCGATGTGACCCGGGGTTGTCAAACTCACAACAGGTGGAAGTGATCCAGCTGACTAGAACGATGATATTGGCGCATAATGCTTTCGGTAGCGATGCCGGTTACGCGTAAAGTCAATCTCGCCTCGGCTTTGCTGCCAAGCGCTGCGCTAGACACACTCGCGAGACTTACGCCCGGCCATAACCCCGAGATACGGGCCGTAGCCGGCGAGGTACGTTGGATTCCATGACACAGTTCCATATTGCCGTCTTCCTCGACCGAGAGCTTGAACGAGGTGAGGCGTACAGCGGGTTGCGAACTGAACGTATCGTACCACGATCGGTCGTGCCTCGCGCGCACCTCGCGCTCGTTCTATACGGTAGCCCGGCCCCTGAGTGGATTGTTTGGGTGCTTGGTTGCGTGCGCAGTACACGGCGACGAAGACGAGGCTGCGTAGATAACATGATAAGGTTAACTGCCGGATCCGAAGTTCCCTTCTGCAAGCGAAAGTCCGGCCTTTGCTTGGCGTTGCGAGTGCATCGGCGCTGCAGAAGTGGACAAGTGTGGAGGCAGAGGCAGTGACACCCTTGAACCTTACCGATCTATCTGCTCCGTACGACGCACAAAGAGGTCAACTCATGAGACGAGGTAGGTTGCTTGGCCGCAACACCTCTTCCTCTGGCCAACTTCAGTGTTTCTACTCACCCGGTGCTAATGTCCAATGCAGGGTCGATGCGGTAGGGTTGTATAAGAGCAGGCCGTACAATAATCACGGACAGACCAGAAACCATGCTCCTCAGCACACTCCTATCATTCGCAACACTCGCCCTCTCAGTGGTGGGCGTTCCCCACGAACGCCGCGGTGTCGGCGGGCTCGACGCGGGCGCCTTCGCCGGCGACGGCGCAGGCAGCCGCCGCATCACGGCCCTCCAGTATCTACTCCTCGACCACCAGGCCGTCGGCGTCGACGGCATCTGGGGTCCTGAGACTTCGGACGCTGTCCAGTCGTTCCAAAGCAAGAGCGGGCTCGAAGCCGACTCTATCCCCGGCCCCGCTACGCTCGGCGCCCTTGCTAGCGTTGTTCAACAGGGCTCCAAGGGCAACGCCGTAAGCGCCGCCCAGGTCGCACTCGACGCAGGCCTGGACGTCGATGGCGACTTTGGCCCCGCTTCGCACTCTGCTACAGTCAACTTCCAAAGCCAGCAGGGGATCGACGCGGACGGCATCGTGGGAAGGGTTACGTGGAGTAGACTCTTCGGCAGCGGCGGCGGCGGCGGAGGAGGGGGTGGTGGTGGTGGAGGAGGAGGTGGAGAGGGAGAGGGAGGTGGAG